CCGTTATGACATGCGATAGTTTTTTAAAATGATAACCCTTATCTTGATCATTTATGAAATTGATTGCATATAATATACTGGGAAAACTATGATACAATTTGATTTTTTTAATTACTACAGCATGCCTAGGCGTGTCTATCATCCAAGATGCTAAACAAAACCTATTTAGTATGTGTCAATAAGACAGTTACAAATTTAACTAAATTTAACAATCGGTTTCAACTAATTTTTATAATAATGGCTTTGGACCATAATTGGGCAGCACCAGCCTCATCTCTCTCTCAAATAATTTTTCTATCAAAAAATGACAAATACTAAAAAAAGTTATAACAAACCCATTTTTGCAAAAATATACAACTTACACCTCTTCTAATCTATCTTTAATAACTTCGCGTTTTTAACACCTCACTGACTCAGCCCTACCCACACTAATACGTATTGAGTTAGTCTGTTCCTCTAGGCCAACCGTACTCAGTACTGTCGTTTTCTTTAGAAAAGAAGTAGACAGGGGCGGCTTTACCAAAAATGGAAAGTAGGTACCAAACCAATTACATAAAAATATAATTAGAAAATTATAAGAAGTCTGTTTATTTTTGAGATTTAATAATAAACTCTCAACTTCTTTAAATTAAATTCACCCAAAATTATGAAATTATTTTATTTATTCTCTAATTTTTTTTTTAACTAATAGAAATTAGCAATGATATAGGTTGAAACAACAACTGTAATTGTGAATTATGAAGATATTATAGATTAAGGAAATTTTGGATCTCTTTTCAAAGGTAAAATTAGTTAGGGTAAATTTGTGGCTGTAAAAATACAAAAAGACATTTCAGATTTTGAAAACTAGATTTTATCGGCAATTAAAGGAAAACAATTTGATCATTTAATTGAAGTGATTGCTTTTGAAAAAAAGGAGAAAGCTGCTTACACAATTATGGAACTTGGTGAAAAGTTTGATTTAAGTAAAATTTTGAATAAAAAGAATGCATGCTTGCAAGTAAAAATATAAATATTTTAGATGGCAAAAGGTGTTTAAGAATTACATAAATTAGGATTTTTTCATCGGGATTTAAAACCTGGTAATTTTGTAATAGGGAAGGACAATAAAATCAAATTGATTGATTTTGGGATCTCAAAAAAATTGAAGAGAAATCCTAAACCCAAATGCAAGGAACATATCAATATATGGCTCCAGAAATATTAAAAACCTAAGTTTATGACCATTCGGTTGATATTTGGTCTTTGGGATTGGTTTTTTATGAGGTCTTCCTAGGTTTAGTATTTTTTACAAATAAATAAGAGGGTGAAATGATTGATGACCTAATTTAAATCAAGCAAATATAAATCAATGAAAAATTAAGAGCAAATAAAATTTAGAATAATGGTAATAAAAATTACTGTAAAAAATGATTATTCAAAGATTAGATAATGAAAAAAAATTAAATAAGGATGTGAAAAGAATCAGTATTGATGAAGTAATTCGTTAACTTGAAGAAGTAGATGAGTTAAATAAATTAGATGGTAATTCAGGTTATGCTAGTGATGATAAGTCTATCCATTTATAGTATTTAAAGCAGTATAATCCAAATTAATTTAATTTAGGGGAAAAAACGAAAAACACTATTGAGCAAAATAATATTTAGAAATGTATATAAAAAGCCATTCAAGAAAAAATTGTAGAATATGTTTAATTGAAATAAGGATTAAAATTATCTATAAATCAATTAGGTGCTAAATTGAATGGAGAATTGTAATATTATGAGTTAGGAGAATAAAAGTACGATTATTAATATAAAAAAATTATTTTTATTGGAGAAAAAGATGTCGGGAAGACGATATTAATAAATTCATTTGTTAATTATTTTTTTAGAATTACATTAGATGATAATTTTAGATTAATTGTAGCAAATTAAGAACCAACCACTAAAATATCTCATTATTATCTTGGATCTTATTAAAGACAGTATGGAATTAATTTAATACATACCTGGTACTTACGGATATAATAATGAGTAAATTAAGATGGTATACGACTTCATTAATAAAGAGAAATAATTAATTGATATATTTGTTATTTGTTTAAAAGTAACAGAATAGCGACTAACCTTAGAAACCAAATAAATATTAGAGTTGATTGTGAATGTTTAGGCAAAGATTCTAAAGAATATGCTAATAAAATAATAGTTGCTCGTACGTTTTTTTAAGGAAGAAATCTGGACGAATCTATATTAACTTATCCTAGTAGTCCCTTTTGAGAGATTACTAAATGGTTACCTAATAATTTGCATCTGGGATTTAACGGAGGTTCTGTTGTTAGGGAAGTTACAAACCGCATTGATAGAATGTATTTTGAGATAAGCATGTAAAATTTTTAGAAAATGAAACAGAAAATAGAATTATAACCATAGAAAATCATAAAATAAAATTTACTAAATCAATAAAGTAAGATTAATTGACATTGATGATTAATGAGACTTATCAAATTATTTTTTACATCTCTATCAGAGGATAAATTTATACTATGTATAAATATTTAATTTTTGTGTAATAAAATATAATTATTATCTATATGAATACAATCAATATGGATTTTTTTGTTAAATGGAAGCTTTATTGCATATGTTTACTTAAATAGAATATTAAATTATTCATTTATGTTTATTTTATTATTTTTGGTCATTTTAGGTTTTAAAAATTTATTGCTTTCAGATATTTAAATGAGTAATTCAAATTATAAATATCTATTATATGATTAGATTTGAATGAGATTCTATTCAAATCAACCAAAAAGATTATTAAAGTATTATTCTTTAAGATTTTATTAGATTTATGATTATACAATATCAACATTTAATGCTTCATATAATTTTTCTCAAAATTATTCTTTTTGATAGTGAAAGTAAATATTTATCGCTTTATAATTGAATTTATTATTTAAATTACAAATAAATCGAATAATTATGCGGTTAATTGACAATCTGAAAATAAATCTTTACTTCTTAAAGATATATGAGATGCCAATAATACATTTATTAACATTCTTATAATTGAAGATATCATTTCTCATTTTTTGAATTTTGATGAAACGTCTTGCTTACATGTACCTTCGAGCAAGTTAATACTTTTAAAGCGTTTCTTATCTCATTTAACTTATTATTATTAGGTTCTCTATATAAATTAATAAATAGTTTTTGATTGGACAACAACATTCTAAAACTACTATTACAACTTTGAAATATAAATAACTAATATATATTAAAAATATGCCGAAACCATTATAATAGTTTGTTCAATTTGGACCAGTCTAAATACCTTTTTCACAGTTATTTATATTAACAAGAAGACATGTATTCGCTGCTGTAAACTTAAAGCCGGTGGTGTTAGGTTTTTTATTCGTAAATTATAATGGTCATGTATTAGTGTGTTCAAGAAGACCTGTAAAAATATCTCTAAGATATGACAGAAGTAGAAACTGTAGAGTTTTGGATAACTGTCCAAGAAGTTGCCAAAGTGATGTCTGATATTTTAAAGTAATCATTTAATCAAAATTTAAGACAAATTGTCATGTTTCCATTTAAGATGGAATACATGCCATTTAATACCTTAATAAGGCAAGATCTTGATAGCTTAAGCCGAAAATCTGAAAACGGAAAGAAGTGAAGAAGATATATATTATGAAGCATAAAAATTAAGAGCTCACTTTGAACAGAGTTTATTATGATTTTTATATATTACTAATTAGAGTTCTAACAGAGATAAGATTTGTGTTGCCAAAACTAAGTCAATATTTTTGGAAAGAGAAGGTATATTTTTTCAAATTAATAAATTAGTATTATGAAAAAATTACTATACTAAACTGAAAAAAATGAATTCTAAATCTTACTTAACTAGATAAATTCTCTAAAGATTTAAAATGAGTTAGGTTGAACCAGCTAGAATATAAATATGGAATCAAAGTAAGATCTAATTCCATATGACTTTATGTTTACAAAAAAAAGTAAATTTATTGAAAAATACTAAATTATCTTTCTAATAATGATAGATATTTGACAAGAATAGATAAAGAATTAGTTTTCTCTTTTTGAAATTTGTTCTCGTTACAATTATTTAGGATAAATCCAGAAAATATTGTTCATTCATCATTACATAACTTTTATTTTTTTAAAACCTTAAAAATTGTAATTGAAGTATTATTGAATTCAAATCATGATTAAAAATAAATTGCAAGAAAAAAAAAATAAAAGTGACATCAAGAACATTTAGAATTCTTTTATATTGCCTACTCCTATACATTTTCCAACCCAAGGACAATGATGATCATAGCCTTTAACACAAATATCACATTAATAGCAATGATAGGTTCCATATTCTTTTTCAAGTTTACATGGTTAGCAAGAATTCTAAAAATTTGAATTAGTTAAAATTGATACTCTCAGTTTATGAACATAAGTTGAAGTAAAATTAATTCCTGGATTTTTTAGAAAAACCCTTAAAAAGCATATTTCCAATATTAAACTGCTTATTACCGATCCTGAACTATACCATATTCCTGATTTAATGTGAATGATAGCACTAATGAAATAAGCTCCCACTATTATCAAAATAAAAGTGCAAACACTCAGAGGCCCTTCATTGAAATAATAAATTACAATGAGGACCGATTGTAATTTGCGGCTGACCATTATAAAATCTAAACATGTAGTTTTTTCCATAATGAGGTTGAAATGATTGATCATTTTATATTTCAAGGATTTTGTTTGTTTCTTCTTTTTAAGTCTAACTTAAATCAACTTGATTTAACATATTTGATGATTTCATCTTTACAAAATTTTATAATAATTTGAGATAAATAATATTCAAATCATAGAGGGATGTACTTTATGAAGAAAATTAGGATTAATCTATACATTTAATACCTGTTCTTTTAATTACTCATTTATCTTTCCAAACACCGCCACATTTTCAATGAGTCCCAATCTTAAAAATGCATTAGGCAACATGCTTTTCGATTCAACTAATAATTCTTTCTATTATAATAAATACTTAGATACTTTCTATGCAATCAATTTTCTTCAAGTATTTTCTATTCCTTATAAAATGCTTTTCAAAGTGTTAAATTTCATTTTAGTACTATAAATATTCTTCTTAATTTTTTCAGATGCTGCAATAAACACACTTTAAATCTTTTCATTAAAGGCACTTCGGCGTTTTAATTATTCTTAAGGATGGATAGTTTTTAACGTAAACTAAAGAAGATTGCAATATTTTTGCTGAGCTTATTTTTTCAAACTAGAATTATAATTAAAAATTTGAAAAAGTAATTTTGATTAATTTTAAAGGATTATTACTCGCAAATTAATTGTTTCTTATTTGAAGAAAGGATTTAAGCTTAAAGAAAATTATGTCAATAAAATTGTTTCATTATTTTTATATTGTTATTCTTGTTTAGAATGCAATATTTTATCAATTTTTTAGACAAGATTAAACAAGGATAAGAATTGTTTATTCTAACTAGGAAAGGTAAAAGAATAGATTAAATATCAGTATAGATTAATAAAAAAGAAAAACAATGAATGAAACAATAATTAGATTATATATTGTATAATGACTTGTTAAATATAATTTTTTATATTTAAAGTTCGTCATTATATTTTACTATGAAACAGTATGCAAACTTATGGAAAGTCTTGTATATGAATCTAGTTCTGACATTTCATTTATCTTAATGTTTAGCCTTAGCCAGTCTATTGCCTCAAATAGCTGAATAAAATAATTACCCCTCTTTAGGTGAATTAGGATTAATTTGCATATACACAGTGAATCTAATATTCAATCTGATTGGTAAGATTATAACATAATATAGCTCCTCTTTATTTAACTAAAATGAAATATAGATATGGGTTTGTCTTTCAAGCAATTTTAGTGTTGCCTTGCTTTATTCCTGCATTTTATGTATCAAGATGCAATGGGGACAACATTGAAGATTTAATATGCAATCCTTATATGTTGATTCCCCTAACTCTAATAGGATGTGTCTTTTTAGGGGCTGGATTAGGCGGATATTTTGTTTTGTAAAATACATATGTAAGTGACTGTACAAATGAAAAAACCAAAGAGTTGTATTTTGGGATAACTTACATGTTACTTGGATGTGCATATTTGTTGAATGGACTCACATCTGATTAATTATTAAAATATATTGGTAGAGAGAGTTTCTTTTTATACAGCGGATTATTTGAATGCGGATTATCTATTTTATTTATTTTTGTGTAATAACCTGATAAAAGTAATTAACATAAAATCTCAGAGGCAACTTAAAATATGATATAGAATGATTCTATTGGAAAATCTGAAGAATAGGTTGCAAATATCAATGAAGAGTTTGCCAAAATTGGATTTTAAGCATAACTGAAATAGATTATGTAAAAATTTTAATTAAAGGAAATGAAATTTTTATTTTCTTTATTTATTTCTACTGGAGTTGTGATAGGTTTTGAGTTTGGAATTTTTCATAAATTCATTTCAGCCTCACTTCCTGGTGAAGATTAAATAACAGTAAATGTGAGAACAGCCAGAATCTTCTTGTATGTGGGAGTGGCTTAAATAGTGAGCGGGATTTTTAATGGTTTGTCTAGATCTTTCGTTGGAATTATTTAAAATTCAATTTTTTATGGAAATGCCTTTTAATGCATGAATATAATTGCTATTCTAAGTGCATTTTAACAAAATTACGATATCAATATAATTTTAGGCTTATTAATGTATAATATAGATTTTCATTTTTAGAGGATTTACAGACAACTCAGGATAATTTAATTCAGCAGTAATTATCTCAGATATTTGGAATGAAGATATGGCAATTTTTGGATTATATTTATTCTGTTAAAATTTTGGCGTAATGTTTATAAATCTTGTTGCTATCTTTCTTGATGGATAATCGCTAGTGTATTATTTAATATTGTTGATTATTTTGTAATTTGCTACTAGTTATTCGTAATAATAATTTAAAAGGTCACAACAAAAGGAATGATGATATAATAAGAAATGTTAATATTTATCATTATTCCTCTGCTTCATCTTCAATTACATAGTCTGGGGGAAGTATAATTCTGATAAAATCATCCATTCCTAATTTTCCGTCCTTGTCTAAATCATGTAATCTAAATAAATCTTCAACTTCTTTGGCTGTAAAACCATAAGTAAAAGTCTTTTTGAGATCTTCCAAAGAGATATCTAGTTTTTATTATATCTATTTACATCCTTTATTTTCTTGATCTATCAAATCATAAATCTATTGAATTCTAATCATACTACTTTTTGGTAATATTCGCTTTCTTTTTATCTGCTTTGTATCATTATTTTTTAGAACATCTAATTCGATGCTCTCTTTTGAACTCTTAGAAAATACTTCGTTATATTACTTAATCCAATTATTAATAATATCCAATTAGACTTTCGTTAATGAAGGATAGAGCTTTAAAATCAATTGATCGAAAGTGACAAATCCTTTTTATTTTGAATCTAAGTAATTATATAAGCTGGCTGTCACTCTTTTCATATGAGGTTTATTTTAGAATGCTTTCGTAAAATCCTTAACTCCAATAACCTTTTTATTATCAGATAGGGAATCAAAATAATTTTTTACTCTAAATATTTCATTTCTTGTTAAAGTACACCCTTTAGTGATAATAATGTTTTTCATTATCCTCCCTTAGCTTTTAACTCTTTTTCCTAATGATATAGGATTTTAAGCAGGATGATGTAAACTTTAAGAAGGTTTCTCTGTTGACAAATCATATTTCTTTTAGTGTTAATCTAATGCTTTTTCCAAGATATTTAGCTCTTCTAATTCTTCTTCCAAATTAACTTATTTTTAGGCTTGAATTTTTGGTAAAGATTAATTTCTTTATTATTATATAACAGAAATCTATTATTATTATTAACTTTTAGTATTGGCCATGTAACTGAACTTATTCCTTTTGCCAACCTAATCGTTTAAGCTTTTCATATAATATTCATTCTTATTTGATTTAGTGATCATTTCTAGCATATTTTCTGCTTCTTATTCTGTATAAGCTCTAAAAGAACGAAAGGCTTCAAAGGGTTCTTAAACTTTTTGCTTTGGTTCATACATCTAAAATAATTGTAAACCAGTAGGATTATTGTCTAACCACTCTATTATCCTAAAATTATAAGTAATATTACTCGCTCAGCTCTAAAGAATTGTCAACTTATATATCACTCTTGAGAAACATCAATTTGGCAAACTTCTCTAATTAGATATATGATGGCAATTCAGCTTCTGTCAACTTGCAGTATCCTAAAATAATTGATTTAAATATTATCAGTAATTCGTTTAGACTTATGTTTCCACTGCAATCAAGATCGAACACTACATATAAGACTAGCAAAGGTGTTGATGTTAATAAATACAATGAACTTTATGGATATATTAGGTGTAGGCAGTGATGGTAAGAATACATATGAATTCATAAATGGAAAGAACTTTGTTTCCGACACAAAATTAATCAAAGATGAAGCTTGCATTTGATCTGCTAAAAGGGACAATTTTACAGAAAATATTTTTATCAATAAAAGGAGAAGTTGACCTTCTCTAAAATTGTTCATAAACCTATCTGATCTCCAATAATGACCCTATATTTATAGCTTACTCTTACAATGCAATAGTTATTTGAGGTTTGGATTAACACCCTTGGTAATATCAAATTTCAATTCCATCCTCCGAAGATGCATTGGAAGATTACTGATTGTGCCAGTTTCGTCTGCATTTGGATTTGATGAAACACTTCCCATTATTATAAAAATAAATATATAATTAAAACTCCCCAGATTATCTTATCTATTCAAGAGTCTAAGGAATAAAGAGTAGAATAAGTGAATTTTTCTAAAAGAAAATAGAGTGGGAAATAGAAATATACATTGAAAGTAAAATATTTATGACTTTTATGATTATTAATTTTCGTTAAAAATAAATATGCTATATGTTTAGGAAAGCAGTGGTTACAGAAAATCTGTAAGAAACAGCTTGTCATCCAGTCGAAATCAATCAAAAAAGTTGAAAGCAAGTTAATAATGTGAAGATATTTTGCTTAACATCAATTCTATGATGAATAAATTAGATTATTTGCAATAGGCAATTGAAAATAGAAATTATGAGACAAAAGCATAGTTAAGGAAATACACCCCTCAAAAATAATTTAGTAAAGGAGTGCAGAATTTTAGTATGAACTAGTAAGACTCCTACTTTATTGGGGATAAAGAAAATAACTACGAGAAATTGAATTGTTATTATCTAATGAAGAAATTTGAAACTCAGAAAAATCAGCATTAGCCCCAAAGATCTGAGTTTTCTAGAAGGAGATCCTTTGCTAATTGAGAATATTTAGTTATACTTAAATTATCTACTTTATTTATTTTAAATTCTGAAATAATCATAGAGAAGGAATGATCCAATTGATTTTTGAATCAATTAATAAATGATTTCAGTAGTTACAACAGAGAGAATAATGATGTTAAAATATTATTATGTTCCATATATTGACTAACTCAATCTCTCTTTTAATTTCCTCCTCTATTTCCTCTGTTACCTTAAGGTCTTCTTTATCCTCTGTTATCTCTATTATCTCTATTTTCTCTGTTATCTCTGTTATCTCTGTTGTCTCTGTTATCTCTGTTGTCTCTGTTGTCTCTATTGTCTCTGTTATCTCTATTGTCTCTGTTTTCTCTTCTGTTTGTATTTGGTCTTGGTTCCTTTCTCACATATTCAATGTCAGAGTATTTCTTGCCATTTTAGTTGACGACAACTAAATCATCCTGATATATAAATTGCTTAATTTACTTTTTCAGGAGTTATGCGTCCAAATTAATCAAGTGAAAGTCTGTGTCTTTCTTGAACGACTTCAGACAATCCGTTTCTCCATGCATAACTTTTACCCTTCTCAAGTTAGTTGGCGTATTCTCCAACAACTCTGAATCTAATGACTCCAGTCTCATCTCCGGCCAAACCTTCAGCAACAATCAAAGTTGATCCGTCATATCTTTTGATTTATTCTTTCTTGATTTCTTCAATCTAGGATTTAGATATTTGAGTCTTACTTTGACGTAGGTATTATATCCATGAATTCCTGGTTTGACATCGCTGAGTTTGTCAACTAGTAGGTTAAAATTAGACAAATACATTTAGGTTTAGTCAATTGACGAGTTTAAGGTGGTCTATTTTAGGAAGCCATTGAATAAATATATTAAAAGATTTAAATACCTTGATTAATATTTAATTTTTTTTTGAGATTTATATTACAAATAACATAAGGGACACACCAATTAAAATAAAATACATATCAGTATTGCTTGGATAAAGATATCTTTGTTAACCCATACGATTCATCACAAAAGTCCTGATACGCCGTTCGTCCTGATCTTACAATATTAATACTTGCATTTTATGATATGTTGTTTCGACACGCTATGTACTTTTAAGCTTTAATCAGCTAATTATCTCTTTCATAATAAGATTTTGTTGCTTAGAGTCTGGCCACTATTTTCTAATTTATTTATTTATGATATCCTTACTTCATTTTCGTCCTGCACTCGGTCTCTTTCAGTGTGCAACTATTTGTTGTTTTTGAAAACGTGAGATATTTCCTTGTACGATTTTACAAGCTTTTATTTATTGAGATTAGTAGTGTGAGAGTTGATATACATCATCCTTCTGAGTAAGGCTGAATTACTTCGATTTATCTCAGCGTAGTGTTATTACATAATAATAACTAGATATCAATACTAATATTTGTTCGTTAATCTCGATGTAAATTGATGTTAGTATGGACTTCCATTATCAACTGTAGCCTTAGCCTTATTCACTAATTTAACATGTCTATCGTATGACTGAAAGATAGAAATATGTTTACATAGGCTTATTGTTTTAGTTCTAAAATTTTACTAGAAGTAACATAATTCCACATCTGCTGAAAAGATCAATTTATTTATATAATTTTTATATTTCTAAAATATATTATTATTCTTTGTTCTTAATTTAACTTCTGCCTCTATTAAGTTATCTCTAGTTAATTTTAATGATCGATTTCATTGTTAATTAATCTTTTAAATTTAATGATGAATAATATTACACTATTTTAATAATATTTTTACCAATTCAAAATAACCTATTTCGCTCAACTTAGTTTTAGATCTAGATGTTATATGCTTAGATCAATCAAATGAAGTTTCATAGTTCACTCTTAAAATCGTATCGATTCTAAGGTAAAATTCGGTTTTAATCTATATTTTGACATATTAACATCATAAATAAAGCCTTGCATATAATTTAGGTTGAATCAAATTCTAAGTGAAATTTTGTAATGTTATTAAAATTCTACTCACATTGACTGTTATGATGGAAATGTGATTTACTTATTTCGGAGTTTTTAGGACATTATGGATATCTCAAAAATCACATTAACTAGACAGCATGAAGTTTAAAAACAAGTATCTTAATTATCAATTCAATTCTCTTAAATTATCTCTCAAATAACACAGTTTTGAGAAATATTCTATTTTATTAATTTTTTGTTATTTATTAAACAAAATGAGCCTAATGACAAAAAGAATAATAAAAGAGCTTGAGTAGCTGAGAAATGATCCTCCGTCTTCATTTGTTGCCTAGTGCATAAATAACAATCTATATGAATGGCATTTTACAATAAGAGGCCCAGAAAATTCAGATTATGATGAAGGCATTTATCATGGTAAAATCGTAAAACCTCCTAATATATTTTTTCTGACTCCTAATGGAAGATTTGAAGTAAAAACAAAAATTTGCTTGAATATTACAAAATTTCACCCTGAAAATTGGAATCCAAGTTGGACAAGTAAGTTGATTTAATAATTATTCTATAGTCAGAACTATGGTCGAAGGAATAATATAACATTTCCATGTCAAAGACTTTGCTGTTGGTTCAATTCAATATACATCTAATTAAATAAAATCCTTAGCATTGGCAAGTCATAAATGGGAATGTGATATATGTGGTCCCATTATAAAATGTATTGTTCCAAAAGGAAAACAAGTAGAATAATTTTAATCTGAAAAAAAAGAGTAGCATAAAGTCGATTAAAATGAAGTAATTTAGGTTTGCTAAAATAGTAATAAAATTAGAATTCTCACACTTAGGAAGCCCAGTCGAAATATTTGAAAGAAAATGAAAAGAAAGTAGAAAAGTAAAAGAATGATTTACCTGAGGATGATAAAGAAATTCCAGACAAAAAAGCATAAGTAGATGCATTTTAGAGATTAATCTGGAAAACTGTATTTCCAGATACGGAAAAGGTTCATTCTTAATTGAAAAGTTAGCAATTATAAAAAGATAGTATTCACACATAAAAACTTTAATATTTTGATCAAAGTAAGAATATATCATATGATAATCAGTTTATACAAAATTAGAAGATGAGGAAAAAGTTTATAGATGAAACAAAAGATGATAAAATAAATAAAATGGATGATGAAATACAAAAAGAATTTGAGCAAGCTAATAATAAAAACAAATATTCATCCTAAATTAAGCTAATAGGTTTAGTTCTTTTAAGTTTAATATTTGGAATAGTATTTGTAAATTTTGGAGAATTTGTTGAATAGACAGCTAAAGATTGGCTGTTGTTTAATTGAGATTATTCATTTGAATATAATATTGAATGTAAATCACGATATCATTTGTCTAAATACTGATTTAGTAATAGGCTGATCCTTAACATTAGTGTATTAAATCATAATCTTTATGTCTTAATCAGTCAATCCAAACTTGTATTTCTAGTTCGCTGCTTTGAGGCCTTCAAAAGTTATTTTGCCTTTGCCCTATTCTAAGACTTCATAGATGCAGTCGAAGTTTTCTGGTTCAGACAATTCAAAGTTGAACTATTGCGAAAATTCATCCTAATCCAATTTTTGATTTTTTCTTCTTTGTAATTTCTTTAATAATAGAGAGCATTGTTCTCCACAAGCTGCTTCCACCACTGGAATGAAATCCTCAACAATTAGTTTCTCTTCAAAAGCATCCACAAATTCTTAGTATAATTATTACACTTCTGGAGTTTATGAGTAATCGAATTCCTTTTACTAAAACATTCCTTTTTAATAATTAAATATTTTTAAATTAATGAATAAATATTCGCCTGAAAGCCTTGTATAAACAATATAAAATATATTAGAAATGTCTAATAGGTGCAGTATTGGTAAAAGCAGGATAAGCACTATTGATGACTTGGGGAAAATCTAACGTTTATTATTATTCATATTACAAAATGAATGATCCTAATTTATCAGTCGCTTACAACACCTTACCTTTAGCATTGATGGGCATACCTTTGGCTGCTGCATCAGTATATTCATTAAAGTTAGCAGATAGAATAGGTTACGAAAAACTAATAAGAATCACAACATCATTATAATTCTTATCATTTCTCATAGCATTACATGCAAACTCTTATTTAGAATTTATAATTTTTTATTTGGGATTTATTGGTTTAGGATATGCTTTAATAGCCTTTCCTTTGTTGAAATGCCTCTGGAGTCACTTTTAAGAAGAAGAAGGTATGGTCACAGGTATTTTATTTGGAGTATTTGGATTTGCGACATTTTTTTTTTTACTCCTAGTGACATATATAGTAAATCCAAACAACGAAGAAGCAACTTTATCAGTAATTGATTAATTTTAACATAGATGAAAGTAGGTTCTCAGGAATATCTATATTTCTCTGAGGAAGTTGCTGTTAATACATACTAAGCCATAAAGTTTGCTGGATTTATAGCAGGCGCTTTAAGTGTTTGCGGTAGTATATTAATAAACCAGAGAAAATTGGAGGTGGCCGAAGAGCAGGAATTATAGGTGTTGACTAGTGAAATTTAGAATATCAAAATTACTCCAAATGACCCTCTATTGCAAGTTGTAAAAACAACTCAATTCAAAATAATTCTTGGATCTTATTTCACTGTGTTTTTTTTTGAAGTGACATTAGGATTAAACTATAAAACTTATGTGTTACAAAAGGTAAATAGATATTATTAGTTTAAGAGATTAATAATGACTAATTGATTACATGGGTTGACACACTTGCAATTATTTTAGGGTCTATTGCTAATTTTATCTTTGGTAAGATGGCTGATTAGGTTAAATTTACTCTCTTATTACACAAATTATTAATAATTATGAGTATTATAGCTGTAATGATTCCTATTTCCTTGAATATTTCGAAGGATTTATTCATTATTGGTATCATTTTGATTTATCTTTTAGATTATCTTTTGTTATCGATAGTTTCTAAAGGAATTATTGTCATTTTAGGTCCAGGATTACTCTAGATTTTTGGTAAAAAAACAGGTGCTGACATCCTGCCAATTGTCAATTTTAGTGGATTGTTAGGCTTCATCATTTCCTCTCTATCTATACTATTGATAGTCCCAATATTGAGATTTGATGGCACATTCATTTTTCAAGGATTATTAATTGGATTGGCTGCTTATAGTACTAAAAAGATCAATTAATGAATGTTTATAATCCATTGATTTCAACTAAAATTTTAAAATAAATAAAATTATCATGACTAGTTATGTGATCAGTGCAGCAGATCAATTAATCATTTAATCAGGTAGAATCATCCATCCAACTACTAGGAACTCCCTTTAGTTGTGAAATCGTGCATCCTGGACTATCTTGTGAAATAAACATTTTATCAAAGTAAGTATAATTCGAAATCCCTTATTATAGTCTTCCAAGAATCATGAGATCCAATTCAAAAGTGTATTTACCAGTTCATCTGATTCCTTTTCTGCTGTACAAACGAAAACAAGTTATGAAGAGGTATCATAAATACTATTGAATCATTAGTCCTATATCCACAATAAGCAGAGCTCTTGTTTCATATTTTAAAAGCATTTGTTTCCTCTCCTTTATGGTTCAAATCCTCAGATATAATTGGTGCAAACAAAAAAATCTCCTCAAAAAGGTCGACCCATTTGTTCCATTATCTGGTGGATTCATAAGTTCATTTGCTCTCCTTCTAGAATCTAATACTAGGTATTTCTAGAATTTCATTGTAGAGCAATGGAAATTTGTTTAAGTATAGTTCCTAGATTTTGCGAAACAGTTATAAACCTATTAAAAAGCAGGGGAAAAATGATAGACATTCCTCATGGAGATGTTATTGTTTTCTCATTTGTTATCGCTATCATACATTATTATTATCAACATGATGTAAGAAAGCTTATTGATATTAGCCAAAATCTTTAAAAAGCACATATTATAAGGTATTTGAAAAAATATGGGGAATAAATTGATTACATAATTTGTGTTTAATAGATAATTTAACAATACATCTAATATTATGTTATTTGATTATCAAACTAGATTGTAAATGCAGTGCGGTTGGAATCACTTCGATTAAAATTTAGTATAAATGGCAAAATGCTAATTAATCTTTATTATAATAATTGAATAAATAAGTACAATTATAAAATATTCAATAATTTCCATGAAATGATTCATTGCTATAGATAATATATGTATAATTTAATTCATCAATTTAAGATGCTTCTTTTGGTTTATTATATGTACTTAATTACTTAAAGTTCTGAATATTTTGCACTTTTTTTATGCTTCTTCTTTTTTACCTGTTGTAATTTGATAGTCTTGATTTTCTTTGTTATTTTTTGAACTTGCCTAGTGTCATTACTTAAAACATCTTATTGTTGAGATACTCCATTTTATAAATGAGAATTCAACGATTCCATGTTTAACCCAACAATGAATTCATCCAAGAATTTTCTACTTTCAAAAATCGATGAATTATCTTCTTCCTCCGATAATTAAACCTGTTCTTAGATTATCTACTTTAAGGCACAATTCGATTCCCCAACATAGTTACTGCACAACAATTTCGAGCATTAAATGTTATCAGCTTAAATGAGATATTTCAATTAGATAATGCTGTATTTCATGTATATTACTTTTTCATAATCAACGTAGCAATCTGGGCAATAATATACCCAATCTTTGATGAATTAAAAAAATATAAAGATTTCTTTATTGCATTTAGTACAAATTAAGACATCTTTTGAAGATATAAATAACTCAAAGTTAGTTAATTTATTTTTTGATAATTAACGCCGAAATTCTTAATCGATAAAATATTTTAAGTAGTTTTGTAAAATACTTAACTTCTCATGGATATAAATGTCTAAAAACAAATTTCTGATTGCAATAACATCCTAAAACCGAAAGAAATCATTCCTATTCTGTCTTTTATAAATTTGTTGAATAGAAAATTCATCCACCATTAAGAAATTGAAGGATGTGTGAATAGAATTTCCAATATTTTTGGCCTAAAAAAAACATCCCGCCCCAATTATAAGTATATCCCCTTTTTTTTAAATTACTTGTCTAACAGGTATTTGATTTTTGAGGAAAAACTCAATATTGACATACCACCTTCCCTCCTTCCTGAATAAATCAGGAGTTATAGAAAATAACTTATCGATATAGTTGGCATCAATAATCGTCCAAACACAATCTCCTGGGCCGTGATTGATATTAACTTAACTCAGACCTTAAAAATCCTATTATCCCCCTATCCAACAATTCTAGACTCTCATGTATATTTCTGGCACATTTGCACCTTTACAATTCTACCTTAGATAATTCAATCCGTTGTTTCTTGTGAAGCAGGTGGGTAAGAAATCAAATAATCTATGGATTTCCTCCTTCCAGTCCTCCATATCAACATTTACTGCCTAGTAAACTTTATCACTTTTATATTGGGGATTGTTTTAAAAAAATAATTTTGGATCTTCGGCATATTCTTTATATTAACTTAATGTCATTCTGAAGGTTTAATAATAATTTTCCTCCTCTGCCAATGTTGTATCAGTAAATGGATTCTAAGCTATAATATCAATTTCAAAATTTTTGTGATTTTTTGATAAATCTTAGAAAGTAAACAGATTTTTGTTCAATTCTGCAGATACATAATTAGGCAACGACCATAGAGTAACTTAATCTTATAGCCACATCTACGGAGGTTCTGTAAAACAATTTATTGCTTTATTAAGTTCTATATATGCACATCTGTGCAGATATTGTCCATCCACATCTGTTGTTCTCAATTCATAATTTAATAAGTATTTTTGAAACAATTGCAGAATTTCATTGTTATCATAGGATTGAAATTCATTGTACTGTTGCGAATAATACTACAAATAGTGTTCTATGATACTTTAATAAATCCTCCTTATTGCTAAATATATTCGTATAATTCTTTTATTTCTTAGGATTTCAATAACTCTAATTCTGAAGCAGAGGGGTTGAAATTATTCTAAACATACTCAATATACATCTCGATATTTGAAATAATTATTAAAGCTAGTCTATTTTGTATCACTTATTTTTCATTCTAATATTTAGGAAAAATAATATAAACTTTGTATTAAGAATCGAATTTAAATTAGTTTTCGTTTTGATCTTGCGAAAATCAAGCAGGGAAATAGAGGAAGAGTAGATCCCATACCTTGTTCTTATAAATAAATCAAGGGAGACTAAATCTTATATAAATATGAAACAAATGATGATGATAATAATAATTATTATTATTACACATCTATATTTGAATATATGGATTGGATTCTCATTTTTTCTTGGGCTAAGGTGTATTATTACTGGGTTTTTTGATTGATATAGATTGTTAAGGGATTTATGCTTGAGCTGGCATTTTCTCATTAACTATATCAGCAGTTTTGGCGACATTGAAATCAGCAAGGGCTACAATGATCATACATTTTACCATCAGTAATAGCTGTTTTACCAGCTGATAGTATACCTTTAGGCAATCTTTTATCTGGACACGCTCCTTTCAATTTCATAACACTCTCACTTTCTTCTCTGAGTGTCTTTTGGAGTTTCATCATGGTTGCAACGAATTTCAGTTTATTTTTCAATTTCTCTGTGCCTTTTAATTTATAATTTATAATAATTACTTTTTCCAGTTGATCCTCCTGATTGTTATTTATTAAACTGCTTATTTTGATTAGTTAATTATTTGAATTGTTCAATGTCCTCTTAATTAACATCATCTTCATCATCTCCTTGATCTCCTGCTTAGATTAAATTGTAAAGCATTTCAGTGATTTTCTCAGCCACAAAAGGTATCGACCAAGTAAATATGTCCATAAAATTGGGAAGTAAATATGGATGTGGAGTATATTAAAATTATTAAATATTTAGAGTATTGTTCTATTATTTTCATAATTGATTCTTACTTCGAATTTGATCACTGCACCTCTATTGTTATAAACGTCACAATAGTTGGGGGCACTGAAAATAGTAATCACAACCGGGAAATCTTAGCCACCATTCCATCGATGCATTTTATATCCATCAAGTTGTGCCTATTTAAATATGAGTGAACTTTACTTCATGAGCTCTGATGATACTGATGAGACTGTTTCTCTGCAAGAATTTCATGCTTGCATCAATCCCAAAGAACCAACTGCATCCACGAACCTCGTTGCTTTTCCATTATCCATCCAGGTTTCCTTAATCATGATCTACTGGATCACTCCATAGCAAATCACAAAAGAGTCCACTTCGAGGTGGTTCGTGGTATCTGTCCAATTTCTTTATGTCTTCAATCTAAATATTAATCAAAATTTTACTGATTTTAAATCAGGTGAGATTCCGCCATGAATTGCAATAAATTTTGAATTTATTATACATGCCAATGGAAATAGATCAAAGGAATCCATCAACATCTCGTAGGTTTCCTAATCATATTTGTATAGACCTATCATAACATTGATAGGTACATTCATCTTTAAAATTAAAAAATGCTGTCAGTTATCTGCATTCGTGATTGCCTCTCAAAAAATAAACAGTATTGGGATAATTAATTTTTATCGCATAAAGTAAAATGACTACTTCTATTGAATATGATCCCCTATCTACGAAATCTCCCAAAAAGAGATATCTAATAATGTAAAATTATTTTACTTTGTTGTCTCAGGGTTGCCACCAACTTTGGGTTCCAATAATTTAAGTAAGTCATAAAATTATCTATTTAAATTTAGGTACATACCCATGAATATCACCAACAACAGTAAGTGGATCTTGCAAATATAGAACATTTCCCTCATTTTCTAACAATCAATATGTCACTTTACTCAATAATTTATTGCAATCAGCAACCAATTTAAATAATTCTTCTTTTGCTACTCTTCCCTCTTTTTAAAGATGATCTTTCAATAATTTCCAATCAGGTTTGTCTAAAAAATGTAATTTTGTGGCGTACTTTTCAATTTATCTGGAAACATCAGATTTTTTGAGAGTGGTCGATGAGGAGGAGGCTTTAGAGTCTTCACCTATCTATCATTGGTAGGGTCTTTGAGAATGTCCATTAATATTTATAATATATATATATATAATATTTATTATTAATACTTATTCTTCATCAGATGCTCAACTTTTACAATTCTGACCTCAATTTATTAACTCTTGACTACAAAGAGCAATCCAAGAATTTATTTCCTGAATACATTTGTAATCCTCCCAAAATGGATGGATCCACCTTGTATTGAACTGAGAATTGCATATTGGGACTTGATTCCTTCAAGGCCTAAATTACTTGTGATCTATAATAAATCCCTCTATATTTACCTTTGCTCTTCTGATAAGTTTTCAGCAGAAATAATAGTGATATTTTCTTCCTTATTAAAGATTCTATAATATTCAATGAATTTATCAGCTGTCTTAGTTAGATAAGAAATTCTTTGATTATCAATCATAGTGTTCAGCAAATTCTAAGTGACCTCATGAAATCCTTCCTAAAACATAATGAGCCTCATTTACTTTTGTAAGAGCTTGAATCACATTTCTTTATTGATTTCTCTTGTAGGCTGAATTTACCAAAAAGCCTGCAAATACTGGACTCTTGTCAGCCAATTCCTTGAAGTATTTCATATCCTACAACACAAAATGAAGTGCTTCTTTTTATGATGCTGTTGCGAATAACACTCCTGCATACTTTCCTTATACAGTATCTTCAAAAGAGGGAGGCTTATGTCCTAAATTCACTCTCTAATGTTGATACCTGGAACTGATTTGATTTCAGCCTCAGCCTTGAAGTTGGCAGCCGAATATCTGAAACAGGCTCTTTGAATAATTTTAAACATTATTTAATTAATGATTTTATCAACTAGGATTCTTAAGTGCTTTTCATCCGAAAAGAAGATTCTCAGATTCATCAAAACCTGTAGTAGTCCCAAAGAAATCTACTAAATCTATCACAAAAATTAAGAACATTTTACTCCATTACTATTTCTGGAAGCTTTGAAACATATGAACACAAGTCCAGTTAAAAAGAAATTCGATCTCAATGATGATGCTGCCTTCTATGATTAACTAACAGAAGTATTCAAGTAGGTGCCTATGCAGGAAAAATGGAGATTTTGTAAAATTGATAATCTTATTATTAGATAGATGTGCAAGTTGCTAAAATCGGAAGAAACAAATAAATAATCAAATAATATGGAAATGACTTGACTTGCATCAGAGTGAAGCAAATTGCCATTCTATTATGGGGTTATCATAAAAATGGTATCAAGAAGCCCAAACTTGTAATTCATTTGATTGATCAATTACAATAAAATTTAGATTCTCTAGTCCCAGTCTCAGAGAAACCTGAGGATTTACAAACTCCCAAGGAATAATTGAAATCAGAAAATCAAGAGGATAACGAAATCAATCAATCTGATGAAGATGAACATTTTTTAGAGCAATAATTGGAGGAGGATTTGCAATCTGAAAAACGAGTGCTTAAAGACTTTAAATTCAAATTCAAAGATTTGGTTCTCATTATTTGGGCTATTCAAGATATTAAGTTAGATTCCAGTGCATTATTAATATACACATTTAAATTAGCCATAAATAATTTTAATAATAAAGAGTTAATAACTAATAGATCTTTAATTCTACTCTTATAAGCAACTCTCAACATCAAAGAAAATAAATAAATCAGTGCTGTACTTATTTCAATTTAAAATAGTATCAAAAACTTGTTATCCAAAATCTAGCTGAATAGGACCTTTCCAATGAAGGTCTACTCCAGTTACTACTACTTTTAAGAACTTTAGGTTAATTGTAGCTAAGTCCAGAATTTGCTTAAAAATTAGCACATATTATGTTGAAAAACCAAGAGAAATCCAATCAGCCTTTTTCCTCAAAGTTTGCTTCCATAATGATTTGGAATTTGAATAAGTAAACTTTATCTTGATTTATCCAAAGATTAGGCATTACTGATACTGATATTTACAACAAATTGGGACTGCATTTAACAAAAAGCAATGAGTTCAAAGCTATGGATATTAGTTAAGCTATTTTGATTTATTCCCTCCAATAAACAAAATCTCCCTAATATTAATAATATTAATTCATTTTGAGATCATTAATAAGCAAGGCAAATATGATTAAATTAGACCCAAGAAGTCAAAGCATTATTAAAGAATCTTTAGAGTAGTATTAACCTCATCTAATCAAGTTATAAAAAAAATGAGTTTATTTTTATATAGATGTATATTTCAAATATATTCAATACAATTTTGATTTGCATATTCATCATAATTGATCTAGAAATAATATAATAAATAAATGAAATTAAATACAGAATAATTGTCTGAAATTAAGCAAGAATTAAAGAAATTCTCTTCAGCTCCTATTCAAAAGTCATACTAATTGATTGCTTAAGTTTATAAAGGTTAATATGAATTATAATCTGTGATTGAAAGCTAAATCACTAAAAGTTTTGTTAGAATTGGATAAAAGAAATATACTGATGAAGATGATGAAAAGTATTCCAAAGCTATTAAAATATGTCGTAAATTAGTCAAATAATGGAAATCGGTCATTATTTCTAATGATGTAAGTACAAATAATGAAGCCAATGAAGATTGTAAATAAAGTCAATAAAAATAAAAACCATCCAAAAATAATGAGCCATTTATTCAAAAAAAATTTAAAACTGATGATTAAAAATAGGAAACTACTGTTGCATAAGCAAAGAACTCAAATAATACAAAATCTAATTATAGAGAAAATCAAAATGCTTCAAGTGAATAAGTGCAAGAAGACAAAAGGAAAAAAGCAATTGAAGGATTAAAAAAATATTTTTGCTTGCAGACTAAAAATGAACATATAGAATAGTCTAAAAAAATTGAATAAACGATTTATGATCTGTATAAACATTCTGTCCTGATTTATATGGATAAAGTAAAATGCATCGTAAGAATGATTGATAGAGATTCAGAATTCAGGGAAAAATTATTAAAAGGAGAATTTAATCTTACATCTGAAATAACAAATTTAAAATGATTAATAAAAAAAGACTATCAAATCCAATTTCATCTTTAATGTTAAATATCTCTTTTTATCTTCATCTCTTTAAAAATTCCAAAAGTATATTTAAGATTTTCATCTCATTCATTATTTCAATAAAATTAATTGCATCCTATACTTAAACATTATTTTTATTATTTTACATTTAATTAAGTAAACAATATTTATTTCAACCGAAAATGCAATCTAATGTCGCTAGGCAAAAAGTAAAAGATGATGAAAGATTGTGTTATAAATTTATGAGATTTACATCTATCTGTAAAATTATATGAATGCTTGATATTATTATAACATTATGATATAAATAAAAAAATATTTAACTCCTAGTATGTAATTAAGATAATCATAATATAAATCAATTAGATATTAAAATATCATTTTGCTTCTTCTATGATTAAAATGGAGCCAGTTCCTTTTACTTAAAAATTATTTTATTACCTTTACTAATAAATCAATTTCTTCTCGAAGTGAATCAAAAATAGATTGCGTTTCTACTCTTTGCTTACAAAAGTCTTCGTTCAATTATCTAATTCACAAGCATATGTACTTTAAATGCTATCTAAGTCTTTTATTTTCATCATTGATTTGCTTATATTTTGTCATTAGTTTTTGGTGCTTAATTTTGTCTGTCTCTAATAAAGCTTAGGGATCATTCATTATTTTTTCAAGTTCAGAATTAAGTGCCTATAAAGACTCTTTACATTTTTAATATGATGCCTGAAGGGACCGATTATCTTCCATTAACTTTTCTAAGTCCTGCAAATTAAAAGCTTATGATGATCCAATTAATCTTACAATTTTAGATCAATCTAACACAAAACTCTTTGCCAATTTTAGATGGAATTTCAAATAATTCATAAGATTAAGATGATATACATAATGTTTATTTTAAGTATTTATCCTTATTGCTTTATTGAATATTTTACAATCTAATTTTCATGTTTCACTTGAAATGCTGGTAGCAGAATAGAAATGTAAATTCCTTCAGGCATAATTATTATTGTAATTATGTTAATATTTTGATAAATTTTTAATTGATATTGAGATAAAATGAAATAGTTTCTCCAAAAATATGAATATAAAAATTCAAGTCTTATATCTACAAGATTTTTGAGTATTTTCCAATTCAGTTGTTAATTTTCCTTTCGCCTGAAGCAGTTTACCAATCAAGAATTTAATCTCATTGTTTATATGCATGCTTTTTGATGGCTACTAGTTCTCTTTATTCTATTAATACCAATTTCATTTACATATTTAATTGCAGTAGAATCATTCTAACTAGTTTCATCTTAATTTATATATCGCGCCTTAATTTGCTAGATATAATTGATGTGATTATCATTCATCCTCAAAGTTGTTTAAGGCTATTGCTAATACAAACTATATTTTAGATTGTTTAACTAACCTTATGTAAAGGAAGGAACCTTAAAATGGGAAAATGAAGTGTTATGAGTTTTTTATTAAGTAGAGATAGAAGTAGTTTAATTTTAATAACTTTAATCTGTCTACCCTAACATTTTACTTAAATTTGTCGCAGAATTTATGCTGTGTGTTTTAGTCCCTTATTGAGAATATGATCGTCTTTGATCAACTTCATTATTAAACCTAGTTGTTTATTAGTTCGATATCTTAAATCTTATAAACTCATCTCCAGTTTCTGTTTCCTCTTTCATTATACTAGCATCTTGAAGATAAGAATTAAGATTGAAATTGTTTGAAGGAAGAGAATTTGTTGATTAAGATTTCGCCTTTTTACTCATCATAAGATTAAAGTCTTCAATAGGCATAGGGAGAGTATCATGGTTGTTAGCCTTGATTTTTTCAAATGATTGATTGTTTTTTGGAGGTTACAGGGATTACTTTTAAATAGAAGATATTGAATTCTTTGGTTATTAGAGAACTTATTTAAAATCAGGCTGGGATATATGAAAGCTTTTGCACTGCACCGGACTTTCTTATGAAGCTATAGAATTTCTAATTTTGATCATGTCTTAGCTTTTTTTCTTTGAGGTACTATCATAATTGTTAGTATTTCTAAAATATATGTGAAATATATACATCCTCTGATCATCAACTTATTTATTTAACATTTTCTTTTCATATTGAAATTGAACTTATTGTTCATGCATTTCTTATTTTAAAGCAGCAATTTATTCATCATATTTTTATTGTAATTGTTGTACTTCCTGATTGGATTCAATATGAGTTTAATATTTTTTAATAGTATTTTAACTTCGAATTAATCTTTATTACAATTGTTCTTTTTCCTTTTCGTATAATTGTGCTAGTTGCTAATACCTTTAATCATAATCTGATTGTTTTTCTTGCATGTCTTTAAAAAAGTTATCCTTAATTTTTTGAATTTCTTATTCGCATTGTAACTTTAAAACTTGCTCTTTTGACTTAGAATTTTCCTCATTTTTTTATATTTAATCTTTGTATTTAGAAATTTCTTAGTTTAAATACTATTTCTCAGATTCTAAGCTCTATATTTTGTGATCATATGTAATTTATTATTTCTGCTGCTAAAGTTCAAGATCCTTAATTTAAATTTCCTTTTCATTTAACTATTCATTCAAACATCTAAGCTAAAACTTATGATTATATATTACTTTTTCTTCCAATTTCGATATGCTATCTTGGTGCTTTTTATTATTCGCCATTTAGACTTCAATAGATTTTTGAAATTCTGTATAGCTTTTTTGCTTGATAAATTAGAATTAGAATCATACTTATGTTTTTCCTGAAATATCTATAGCCTAAGTTATTGTATCATTCAATTTCTTTTAATTCATTTCCCTGGTTCTATAATCCTCCAATTGAATTTCCAACAATTATATTTTTTATTCATACAAGGCTTTATCCTTTTTCCATTCATTCTCTCTCAAAGCATACTAATGGTTAGATATAATGCTATTACATTTTTCTTAAGTTAAATGTAGTCTTCCTATTCATTATTTTCCATTCAAATTTAACGATTAATTAGAAAATATTAATATAAGAAAAAAGGAATGAGGGAAGGAAGAATATAATGGGATTAAAGAGTTTGTATGTGAACTCTAATATAAAATAACTGGCTATGAATGTGAATAATTAATTTATTATTATTTTTAAATCAAAAAAGAAATGATTGATCTTGACCAAATCAAATTGGAATAAATAAATGATTTTAAGGCAATCTAATTGGTTAACTTTGTGTCATAAAATAATAAATTTGAATTAAATAGCGAAGCAGCTTAGTTTTTAAGTTAATTGAGAGGAAATATAGCTTTTGTTGTCGTTTGTGGCAAATACAGGACAGGGAAGAGTTTTCTCTTGAACAAACTCATCGATGTATAGAATGAAGGAGTAATCACTTTGTTTGCTAATAGATCTAGTTTTAGGTTAGTCCAACAACGAATTCTTGTACCCAAGGAATCTGGTTATACACAAAACCTGTGATTAATAAGCAAAGCAATCTTCAAATCTATTTTTTGGACACAGAAGGCAGTGAATCAGGAGTGAAATCACAAACTCATGATGCCAAGATTTTCGCTTTGGCAATTTTAATGAGTAGTACTTTTATGTTTAATTCGATTGGCTGCATTGATGAGCAATCAATTATTCAACTGCATCTAACTACATTGCTATCGAAGAACATTCAAGTTTAGGATCATGATAACAGTAATAATGAAAATATATTGGGTTACTATACTCCAAAATTTATGTGGTTATTGAGAGATTTTGTGCTTGAAATGAAGGATGGTTAAAATAGAAAGATCACACCCAAAGAGTATCTGGAGTTAGCCTTGCATGATGATCGTTAATATCAAAGTGAGAATTCAAAAAAAGTCAGGAAGACCCTGTTAACATGTTTTAAAGATAGAAATTGCTTTTAATTCGTTAGGCCTGTTATTAATGAAAACGAATTGTAGAAGGTAAATCAATTACCGAACAATCAATTAAGAGAGGAGTTTCAATAATAAGTAAAACTGTCTATCTTATTTTAAGGTAACTCAACTAAGGGAATACTTGCTGAAGAATACATCTCCTAAATAATTAAATGGAGTTAACTTAAATGGCAGGATGTTCTGTAAGATGATTGAAACTTTCATAACTAATTTTAATAAGGGGAAGGTTCCAATCATATCTACTGCTTGGGAACATATTGTAGAAACTGAATGCCAATAAGGCTTGGCTCAGGCCAAATAATTGTATGAAACTAATCTTAAGAAATACTTTGGTTCTGATGAAGCCAAGTCTTTTGAAGAGATATTTTAAATCCTGAAAAAAATTAGAGATGAATCCTTTCAAACGTTTCATTATATTGCAGGCATAAGGGAAAAGAATAACCATTTTGAAGAATACAAGAAAAAGCTATTAGATTTCATGACTGAAAAAGAAAATCTAGCAATTAGATTGAATGATGATATGAATAATACGTATTTGAGTTTGATTATGTGATTAGGAAGAATGAAGAAGTTATTGCTGAGGTGTCTTAGAAATTGAAGGAAAATCTGGATCAAGAAACATTTACGATTGATAATTTAGAAGTTTTCTTTTAACATTTCAATGAGTAATAATCAAATTTATCATACTATAGATTTTTAAATGCTTATGATAAAAAATCAGCAGGAACTGAAAAGGCTAATACATTGATACATTTTTTATAGAATCATCATCCTATTATAGTAAAATAGTTAGTTAATTCTGTTGTGTAAATATCATATCGTAAACTTAAGGCAAAAGTATAGCAAAAATAAGAATTAAGCAGAGGAGGAGAAGGCAGTGCAATAGGTCAAGGAGAAACAATTGTTGGATAATATTAAAATATTAGAATAGAACATTGCTTAGCATGAAACAAAAATTAAGAAATTGGATCAAGACAAAGTATAGTTGGAAGCATAAAAAAAACAATTATCAGATTAACTCAGCAAATTGCAAACTGAAAATAAAACTATCAGGTAATTGAATTGACAAATATTATATATAGAGACAATATTAAGGATGTAGATGAGTTATAAAATATGATTGCCCAAAAAAATGAAGAAATACAAGGACTTAAAAAAATCATTTCTGTATGATGTTTCTATTTAGTATTAGTCATTGCAAACGAAGAAGAAAAAAGGATGTTGTGGGTGAAGCAAATCTCATGATTTAAAACTATATTATAATTATTATGGTATTATCTAAACTTTGAAGACTGTTTTATGTATTGTGTATTTTATTTAAAAAATATTCGGATAGATTTTCACAGAAATAATAAATATATTTATTAACACTCCATGGATTACACAAACTAAAAATAACCATAAAATTATTCATAAATGGAAGACTTGAAAACTCTAGATCTAGAAGAAAGTGTATCAGAGACTATTGTATATGAAATAACTTATTTAGATGAGAGATTTAAGAATGATAGCATATAAATTGAAATACGTATTAATTCCCAAAGAACAAGAGGACAATGGAAAAGAATTACGAAATTGTAAACTTTATTTCTATATTCATAGGGGATTTATGGGGACCCTTAATTTTTTGTTTAGCATTGGCTATGTAAATTACTATCTATATTGAAGGACTCTAAGTTTCAAGGCTGATTCCACTACTTCTAGTTCAAAGTCTGACGTTTTCGCAATCATATTTGTTCTCATTTGGGTTGGCGCATTTGTTGTTACACTTAATGCTTAATTGCTTGGAGGAAAAGTGTAAATAACATCCTTTTATTTCTTAGGTCATTTTTCTAATCTGTTTGCTTATTGGGATATTGTGTATTTCCAATCAACATCGAAGCTATAATTATTGCATTTGTTGGATCCTATTTACCATTTGTAGTGAAGCTAATTCCAGTGATCATTTGCTTTGCTTGGTCTGCCTATTGTAAATTCGAATTTAAATTAATCATAGCATCTGTTGGCTTTATGGCATCATTGGTACCACCACATAAGAAGAAGTTGGCAGTTTACCCTGTTTTTTTATTTTACTTGTTTTTATCCTGGTTTTCTTTGATAGTATGATATTTATATATGCATAATAATAATAAAATTCTAGTAACAAGTAAATACAAATTTAACATTAGTTTTCCTTTATCTAAGATTTCAATCACTTCAACTCTTTAAGGAAATCTTTTAGTTATGACATTAAAGTGTTTTCCTCCTTAACTAAAACACCAATTAATCAAACCCAAATATTTGAGTATATAAATCGCATTGGCTCCATCAAATTATATTTGAGTTAGGAGGTGCAATTTGTCTTCTATAAAATTATTACACTTATCAATACTAATAATAGTGTTATTTTAATTATTGTTGAAGTTCATTTAACTCTGCTCTTCTATAACTCTTAAGAATTTATTATCAAGTTTTGAGTTACAAATATATCCTCCTTAAAATGTAAAGAATATATGGTTTAAACAATACTTTACAATAATAAAAAAATTTCTAAAGTTATCAATCATAACCACTTTTTCTTATTATTTTACCAAAGGTTCCGCTTACGAATTGTCATTCCTTATATCTGTATACTTTGACTTATTTAGATGAATGATTTAGTATTAAATTTCTTAAAAGCATAATAATTATTTATATTAGGAATTGTAAAAGTTAATTTTATCAAAAGAGTGAATTGAAAAGTGTTCTAATGCAATTTAATTATTTAGGTAACAACTTGGCAGAAAGAAGCATTTGTATTTTTTATTATGTGAAAAATTTTTTTTATTAATCTTTATAGATAACAGAATTATTGTTTAAAACGGCAAATTTATTCAGAAAGTTTAGTAAATCTGAATAAGTTGAATCGAATAAAATATGAAAATAAAAGTCCATAATTGTAAAAAATAAAGAGTACTATTAGTAATTTCCAACTTTATAAATGAGTAACTTATTTTGGGCAACTATTTATGGTAAATTTAGAAGGTCCTTCATGTATTTTTGAGTTTGAATTATGATAATCCATTAACTCTAATTAATAATGCGCTGGATATGTTACTCCGCTTAATAGACTGTTAAGAATCGTCTTTTAAATTCTTGTAAATGCAGAATCTATCAATTATATACATTTGAATTTAAATTAAAACTTTGTTGAGAATGAATTTAGAAATTTGCAAAGCGAAAATTGTACTGTTTATATTTGCAAGGTCTTAAGGTTTAAATTATGTAAATTCAATTATGCATCTAGATTCATTTGTGATTACGCCTTATGTAATTTAATTGAGTTAATCACATCCTATGATAAACCTATTGAATGACGGAATTTGTGAATAAACATGTATTATTTAAAATAAATTTTGAAGTGATAGTAAATTGATGGGATAAATGAGCGAGTTTTTATGTTGTTGAGATCTTAGAAATGAAAGATCTACCCGTACTAATCATAGGGTGAATGATATTACCAAAAACATGAATATTACTCGACTTGTAGCATTTGATAATTTAGTGTATCTTTTAAGCAATCTTTGATTGTTAATACGATTAAGGAAGAAAATTATAAATTTAAAGAAGAGTAGAAAAACATATTGGAAGAAGTTTATTATTATTATTAATTTAAATCTTTTTATTAATATATTATTGTTTTAGTAATGTTTTTATAAATATTATTATTCAACCCAATATTTGTTTACCTTGTATTATGATATTTATTTTTTTTGAAAAACTGATCAATATAGTATAGGATTTAAACTGCCTTGAAAATTAATAATATATTCCTTGAGATTCAAACATTTCATTAATATTAATAAAGTGTGATGCAATTATAGAATTCTAATTACAAAATACTCTCCAACATAGGGTCTGGCTCTGGGCACCAAGTCTTTAAAGTTCAGAATAATTAATCTTCTCGAATTTTAGCCTTAAAAATTGAAAAAATTCCTAGTTTGGGATAATTAGAAGGAGAAATCCAAAGGCTGTAAGAGCTTGAAGGAGTTAAGGGCATTCCATAATTGATTGATTTTGGGAAAACTAAAGATTCTAAGTAAAATTATGATAATATTGATTAGGAGCTATATAATCACTCCACTTTTAAAAAGAAATCTCTCAGAGATAGCAAAAGAAAGTGTACTTTCTCTACAGAGTACTTTAGCTATTGGACTCAGCATAATTGAAATTTTAGAATAAGTTCATAAAAAAGGCATTTTACATCTTGACATAAAACCAGAAAATATAATGATATCATAACCTTAAATCAATGTCCCAGTTGATTAAATTCTCAGACCTGGTTTCATTCAACTAATTGATTTTGGCCTATCTTAAAAATTTGGACTCAAAACTTTCTTAAATAAAGTTTTCATCGGCTCCTTAAGATATGCAAGTAGATAGGCTCATAGAGGCGGCCAACTTGGTTTCAAGGATGATTTAGAAAGTCTACTGTATGTTTTAGTGTATCTAAGAAATTGTAAGTGTTAATAACTGACTTTTTTAGAGAAGCTGCCTTGGCAATCCTTAAAACAACTACAATCTCAACAATTAGAGATAAAAAAAATTGGTGAAATGAAAGAGGCCGTTTTCACCACTACAGTTCTTTCCTAAAGATTTCCTCCAGAATTTTCATAGTTCAAATCCTATATTGAAACCTTAACTCAATAAACAATGCCGGATTATGAATACATCAAAAATCTATTTAGATCTATGCTTTCAGTTGGGGATCGAAGTTAATCTAGCAAATTGGCCAGTTCAAGCCAGTCTCTTAAAGAAACAAAATAAAATAAGAATAGTGAGCAAATACTGATGTTTTTGTCAAATTTGCCAAATAATGATTCTATTGTAATCCCTGAGGATCAAATAGACATTGAGACTTCAATTGTATTCATCTCAGACCTAATAACCTCATATACGACTTCATCTATTAAATCTATAAATGATATCAAATATTGAGTTACGGTTTATTCTATCTATGATTTATATTTGATGTTATGTTTATAAAATTCATTTATTATAATAGAAATTAAATAAATCATAATTTCATTGTTGAGGTTTGTATATAAAATAGGTTATCCTTCTCTTTCCTTAATACATGTTGCATTAATCAAGTTAAGTTTTAGCATCTTCTATTTTTTCCTTTGAACCTAAATCTAATTTAACAGCCTAGTAGTGATCGATTACCTTTCCTTTCTCTTTTTTTATTTTTTCTTTAATTTCAAACATGTTCTCATGAATTTATGCATTATTTAATATTTTTTAAGACAACCATTATTTAATGTTTTATTGAGGTTCTTTATCAGGGAATCCTTCAACAATTAAGAATTCTTAAACCCAGACTTCTTTCTTTTATTATTATTGTTATTATTATTGTTATTATTATTGTTATTATTATTGTTATTATTATTGTTATTATTATTATTATTCTTTTTGTTGTTGTTGTTGTTGTTGTTGTTATTATTGTTGTTATTGTTATTATTATTGTTGTTATTATTACTATTATTGTTATTGTTATTGTTAAGGTTTTTACTATTATTACTGTTATGGTTATTACTATTACTAAACTTATTATTATTATTGTGGTTTACTTAATAATGGATCTTCTTTCTAAATATCAACTACCTCGTCCTCTGAATCATTGATATCTATAGCATCAATATCAAATGAGATAGGATGACTATTAATTTCGGTATTGTGGAATTAAATGATTTACTGAGCGCATTTTTTATTAAAGGTTATTATGGTTCCTGTCCCTGTTTTGTAAGTTGTGCCAGATTTTAAATCAAATTAAACTGATTTCACATTTTAGGCTCCCAACAATTGTATAATATCTTTATCCTTAGTACTCCATTTATTATGGCTGAATCTGATTTTAATTTCTTCCTAATCTCCGTAATGTCTCAGTCTCTTGAGAAGTTTATCCATATGTGCTTTATTATGGTACTCTCTAGAATAAATCTTATCAATCACCTTTCAAAATCATCATCATTATCATCTTCACTATCGGTACCCCCGTCATATTGATTTAATAAATCATCTATGTCATCTTAAGAATCTATAACTGTTCAATAAAGATTATTACATTTATGTTTGATTGAATCCCAAAATCTCAAGCTAGCTTAACTTGGTCTAACTGATTCACCATTCGAATTATAGTAATTGCCATATTCATCAAACCAACCCTTGAATTAGTCATAATAGAAATCTATATAATCTCCATCCTCTTAGATAGTAAAACCAGAATGATCTTTAAATTCTTCGTACTCTAAGAAGCGATCTGGATCAGCCCTTTTGCGTGCCATTAATTAATTTATATTACACAATAAATTATTTAATATTTTATTAGGTATTATCTCAAACATAACTTTATTAATCTTCATTTTAACTCCCTAAATTAAAGTGAATCTTTAATTACTACTTTGACACCTTTTATAGATAATATGGTACTCATAAAGGGTTATTACGATTTAAGGATTCATAGTTCGTAATTCTTTCAAAATTTATCCAATAATCCGAATCCCAACCTACAATCCCATTCCATACTCTTCTTCTAATCATTGATCTGTTAATTATTAATGGAAAAATTGGATTATGTAAGTTATAATTAAGTTGATATTATGATATTGTGACTAATTTGTTGAGATAACAAGAATGTTCCTTTAACAATTCCTATAAATTTAATCATCTTTCTTTAATCGATTCTTTAAAATCAAACCAAACTATTTTTTTTAGGAATAATATTTAAATGTTAATCTTTAAAGTAATTTTTCTCTTTAAATTAATATGCGTAAAATAAATAAAACTTGGAACAGTCCTCTAAAGATGAATAAACTTCTAAAATAAAAAAGTCTGCTGCTAAATTTAATTTTTTGTTTATTATTTAATAAAATAATTTCAAGACAATTTAAATTTCCATAATATTTTATGAATTCTGACATTATTTTCAAGAATATATAATTTTAAATATTAATTTTATATATTTTAATGGGAAATTTGTTCGAAAAATTGAAGAATTTCTTCTCTACTTAAAAGTTGGAGGTTTGTATGGTTGGATTAGAGAATGTTGGAAAAACAACCATGCTGAATTAGCTATCAATGGGAGATCCTTCATTTACAGTACCTACTGTGGGCCTTAATGTGAGGACTGTAAAGAAAGGGGGAGTGACTATGAAGGTAGAAATGTCATTAAAAGTAGATTTGGGATATTGGTGGCTAAATTCAATATAGGCCAGAATGGGGAAATTATGCTCAAGGTTGTGATGCGCTTATTTTCCTTGTTGATACAAGCAATGTAAAGATGATTATTACAATAGTAAGCAACGTTGGGTACATCAAAGAAGGAATTGCATAATTTGTTAGATAATAAATCATTGCGAAATATTCCAATATTGATCATAGGAAATAAGATTGATGTGAATCCTCATCTAAATGAAAAATAATTGATTGAAGGTAATAGATAATTAATGTAGGTTTGAATTTGGATTACATAACATCGAATGGCTGGGCAGTCGCTATGTGTAGTGCATTGACAGGAAACAATATTACTCAAGTGGTAGATTGGTTAATTACTAAATCCAAAAAATAATGAGACTATTAATATATATATATTTGCAAATCATTTTGAGATATTAGATGGGCTGTATAATCGAGTATTATAAGTTAATTCTTTAACTCATTCATTATGTTAAAATAATGTAAAGTTTTAATATTTATATTTTGAATATTTTAGAGTAAAATAATACTTACAGAGATATGAGAATTAAGTGATTTATGGAACCTCATTTTCAATAGTTCTTGATCTAAAAATCTGTCCACCCATTATTAAAATAAGCAAAACAAATATTAAATGTAGAAGATGTACCAAAGGCAACCCATCTAGAATAGTTAATTAAATAATTTGTATCAATTAAATTTCAAGAATATATTTTAATCTTTATCCATTTAGCTTCAATATATAATTTAGATATATTAGTTAAAGTAATATTGCCTATATAATAATTTTCAAACTCTTAAAGTAGAATAGGATTAATGTTCCTTTTCATATCTTCTCTTTAACCATTCGTAATCTACCTACTCTTATTTAAGTTTTTCCACTTCACTTCTTAAATCTACAACCTTAAATATAGAATAGAAATAATTACAATTTTATTAATTCTATTGATTTCATTTTAATAAATGCTACATTATTCTGAATTCTCCTAATTATTTATTTTCTCTAGCTATTATTCTTTAATATATAATTCTTATCTCAGTGCATCTAGTTCTAATTATTATCCTGAACTTGATTGTGTTGTTTTTTATTTGAAATCGTATTTTATTCTTAATGCTTGCAATTCTTATTCCTTTGATTACAATGTTTGTTTTATTTAGTTGAGTTCTTTTAGAGTTTTTGATTCATCGAATTATCTTCTGCTTCTCCACTCTAGGACTTCTTATTCTCTCAAAATCAATAATCCTTTATTATAATCCAAATCGTTCTATGTTTTTCTAAATAATATAAGGAGTAATACATTAATTCAGATTCTAGGTCATCAATTTTTTAGGTCAACACTTGCACTACTTTCACATTATCATTTTATAGTTGATCGATCTATTGGCCATACTTATTTTAATATCCCACCAACTTAGAATATAGGGAATTGACTTCATCCTCTCTGGATTTGGCTGCTTCTTTGAGTTAGTCATTTTCTCTAATTAATTTTTAATTTTGATCGTTATATTCATAATTCTAAGAAGAAATGGTATTGAGTACTTTCGCTTAAGCTGCTTGTAGTTCAAGAGCCATTTTATCATATCTTCTCATTAAGTCTTCCAAGAAAGGTCTGAGTTCGTTAGGATCCAAATGATCTGCTGATTTCTTATTTTGAAACTCGCTTTATGATGTTGGTTTGATTGGAATAACTTTCATTATTTTTTCACTTGATTAATTAATTCGAATAGCCTGTAAGGAGTTCTATCTAGATTTTATCATTTATTATATATATTATCTATAAAATAACAATAAACAACTAATAATATTTATAAAATAAATTTTAATTATCTATAAAAATTGATCAGCAGAAAATAATTTCTTTCTCCCAAATGGTTATTTATTCTTATAATATTTTGCAATTTAGAAATTAGTTTTGAAAATATAAAAATAAAAAAATAATCAGTCATTTTAAACAAGCACATCCAATATGAATTATTAAGCATAGAAAAACAGATATTGAAGAATAAATTTCTGTTGATAATAAATGAGAAAAATTGGAAATCGAGAAATTCATAGTAGAATATAATTTTATATATAAATAATTTTATGCATTACTAAAATAGAGAAGCTTATACCAATTAAATGGATAATCTCAGTTAAGTGGGAATAAAGGACTTCGAATAGAAGGACTTTTATGAGAAATGTGATAATAAAATGTTAGTGCTCCATGAATTAAAGTAATTTGAGAAAATTCAGAAATCATATAATGCTGATCCAAAACTGAAGGCATCTGACTTTTATTCCTCATTTACATTTTTAAATGCTGTTATTGTTGTATAATAGAATATGGGCAATCTAAAAAAAATTTTTGAATCAAATGATGAATTATACGGTGTTTGGCTCTGGAAATAAGGCTTAGAGAAACTAGTGATAGTTGATGATTAAATACCATGTAAATTGAGTGGAAATTATCCTCATTTGGCAACAATTATTTCAGAATACCAATGGCCAATAATATTAGAGAAAGCAATAGGAAAAATGTTAGGTCTTGGATATAATTCTTTTAAGGCTTTAAAAAATGATTCAATTGAATTCTATTTATAAGTATTCTTCCTAAAATTAACAAATTAGATGATAACTGGTTAATTGATACATGAATAAGAGTTTCAATCGTTTGAAGATTTAGAGAAGAAATTGAAAGACAAATCAAATATTTTATTCGTCAAATATTAGTAAGATTCTAAGTCCATAGCTTCTGTAATTACCACACATCCAAGTGATGGTTAAGACTAATTAAAACTAATTAAATTAATTGCTCCAAACTCAGAATCTGTTTACTTTTAAGGTATTCTTAAAATGTTAGGCTGTAGGCAGGTAAAAAGATGATTCAGTTTGTTATTTAAGTTGGGAGGAGTTTAAAACGAATTTTCAAAGTGTTCATGTTTTATAATGGAAGGATGACTATATAATGACTGCAATCTCTTTAGAGAATCCAATTGAAAGAAAAACTGACATCATTGAACACACTTATAGTTATAAATTTAAAATAGAAAATTAGGGCAATTATTAATGCACTTTATGGTAGAAAGATTTTGTAATCGAAGACAATGAGATAATAATAAGGAGTCAAAATAATAAAAAATAAATTGGTTTACTCAGAGTGTTATTATTTTAGGAATTGGAGTCTAATTAATATAAATTTATTGATGGATAATGTGATTTTTAATGCGACATTTCTATAAATGCCCTCCTTGAAAAAGGTGAATACTTAATCCTATGTCAAGCCTACTTTAATAATTTTGGAAATGATTCTTAAGAACCATTATAAAAATATTTTGATCTAAATTTCTCAATTAAAGGAGAAATTGCAAATTCCAAAATATATCCTGATGATTAATTTGAATAAAAAAAGATAAATCTAATTAAAAGTTTAATATAGCATACATTGGCTAAAGATAAAAAAAGATCTATTATTTCCAGTCATTAATAGCAAATAAATGTTTATACCAATCAAATATATGGTTTTCTGTACTTCTACTATGAAAATAGAGGGACAATTGATATTTAGGAATAAATAGAATTTAAGGAATAAGGATACTTAATTCGATATGATTCATTAAAAAAGGAGAACCAAGTTTTAGTAGAAGTTAAGCAAAATTGCTTTTAAATTCTTTTGTATACATTAGATCCAGAAATTATAAACAAATCAGAGAACACTAATTTTCAATATCAATATACACATGCCTTAGTAGGTCAATGTAAACACCAGATTGGATAGTGGAAAATACATGATTAAATTAGAGCAGATTAATATACACAGAAGATAGTGTGTGATTAATTTATTGCATACATAAATCAAAATCATTCAGGTACATAATAATTTATAATAAGGAATTACGATGTAGTTTTAAAATAATCATGAATAAGATGTTAGTTTAGAATTACAATTTACTGAATTGAAGAATCTCAGGCTAGCAGAAAATCCTCAATGTCAAATTGATGGTTCTTCAATCTATATCTAACTTCAAAAAAAAACTGAAATGTAAATTTATTTTTAAACTAATGAACCATAACAATATTATGGCCATAAGATTACATTGGAAATCACTAAATTAAATTGAGAATATTTGTATTAAAATTTAAAATTAATCATACAAAATAGATAATAATAATCATCATTTATTAAATTGATCTATCATTTAAGTAGTTGAAATAACTTTGAAAAGATCTCCGAATCTCTCCTCAAGATTTACTTTCAAAATATAAACAATTTTCTAAATAATATGAAATCATTTACATCTCTACATAAATAACACTCCATTTTTTATTTCCAAATATCAAGTGCACATTAATAGCAAGTTCCTCCGTGTCCACAATTCATAAACACTGCATTCGGTCCACGCTCATAACAAACTATACAAACATTGCTAGTCTAACTGATGTCTAATTTCTAGTTTTGGATAGATTCATCTCTAGCAATCTTAGATATTTTTACTAAATACAGTTATTAATTAAGAATTGCTTCTTTTTTTTTCCACTTAAGATCTTGTTCTATTTGAATTAACTTAATTTATAACACTCTATTGTTTTTCCACTATTTTGAAATCTGATTCTTGAAGCACTTCAGATCCCACACCTTAACTAGAAAATGCTCTTTTGTGTCCTTTTTATGATTGTTTAGGTTCAGGAGAACCATTTATAGAGTCCCTTACATACTTTTCTCTTCCTTTTGGAATACTGAAATAGGCTTTGGAGATTTTCTGCATTACTAGAGGTATTCCAGTTCTTGAAGAAAGTACATTCAAGTTTTATAATGTTTAATTATTTGGTTGAGTGTGTGCAGACAACTGTTATTAGTTGCTTAACGGTTCGTCATCTTAGAGGATACTGAAAATGTATTCATTTATTTAACAATGAAAACAAACTGAATAGAACATTATGATAATGAGTTCAGCTATGATGAAATATTGAAGGATTTTGAAATTCTTCTAATAATTCAGTTACTTTGTTAAGTAATCTAAATAGCCTAAAGAAGTAAGTCCTATGCATATTGTTGCAAAAATAGACAATTGGGTTAGCCATATATAAGAAATTACTATATATATGCAATATGATTACATTTAGATTTTTAAGTCGTCAATTACTCAAATAAATATTAAACTACCATATTGAAAGTTATGATTAGACATCCAACACTAATTACAATCGAACAAAATAAGCCAAACCATAAAGGCCATAATACAGCACTCCATTCCCAGTTTATGAAATTGTCCAATTTTAAACTCACAAATATCGAACAAATCAAAATATATAATCTTAAAATAGTTGATGTTTTGTTCAATTTTTATATTGATTCTTGCATTTTATTGTTAAAATACAATGGATAACAATTGAGTAATACGCTAAAGGTGAGTGGGGCATTGCTATACAAGTAAAACGTGTATCCTGATTTTTCTAAGATTAAAAATGAAGTTATAAATAAGCAGTCTAAAAAGGTTGTAAGTGTGTAGAGGTGTACTCTTTTCTTTTTTCTGAATATTATATAATAATTACAATCGAATATGCTAGTTTTTCATCTAAATGTAATGATAAAGATAATTCAACAAATCAATAAATTGGTATGTTTGGAGTATAATAAACATCATTATTTTGTTGACCTAAAATTAGACTTATAGACTAAGGTTAAGTAATAAAATTGTTGCAAACAAGAATTTAATTATTATTGAATTGAACAAATTTCTAGATCTGATTTGATTTCTTAAACAAATGAATAATTTAGTTACTTAATATCTAATAATGTAGGAGTTTAAATCATTTCATTTTGTGTTTGCATAGTAGAAATGTAAGTATATTAATCTTTAATAATAAATCAAAAAATACATATATTGGTTATTTTATATACAATAATAATTATTAAAAACAACAATACTTAGTTATTTGTATTTCCCTGAAGAATTGCAAGCCATTTCATAATAAATAATTGTATTATCATATTTAATCAACCTCAATTAGTTTTTAAAATTTCAGACCAAGAACGTTTGAAAATAATATCAAATTGCCTTAAAAAAATTTATAATAAGAGTAATTCAATAAATACAAATTCTACTAAATTAAAAATACAAACAAAAAAATGTATAAAAGTTAATCTTTGAAAATTATTTGATATAGAACTGGAAACTTGAACAAAAGAGCCTAATCATGGGTTCTATTAATTTCATATTTTTATTGTCATTATTATTTTATTCAATAATCAATTCTAAATTTATATAATTGTACTTAAAGTGTTAGTAATGTTCAATAATCTTATGAGTCGTACAAACTCCTTTATCATTGAGTCATCTCATTACAATTGTTAACAGTCCATCAAATATAATTGATTTGTAAATTTATATAAAATCCACAATATGCTTATTATTTATCACATTGAAAACGTTAAATAGTGTTTGTATTAATGTTCTTTTTGGGGTTAATTGTTTTATTTATAATTCTTTAAAAATTAATATTATATTTTAGATGATTTCAATAAGTACAAATTAAGAAGGGGAGTTCGTCTTTGATTCAAAAGAGTAGGATTATGTTTTATTAGATCTAAATACATTACAAGAACAATTAGAATTGGGGAGAAAAAATGAAATTTTGGATTTGTTACAATAAGTTATGAAATCTAATGAATATTAATCGTCAACTGAAAAGGTTTAAAGTTAAATTGAATGGGCATTACAGACTGTAAATGAGCACCCTTCAGAATAGTATTATTTATTTTAAGAGGATATTAGTTACGAGTTGGAGTAATAGATAGAAAATTAGAGATACCCTGAAGTTCATTCTGCGAACAAGATGATAGATATGAATATTGGAAAGATAAAGGCAAGAGTTCAATTTATGTCTTAATAAGAGAGGAGGAATCTTATGAAAGTATTCTTATTTAAAGTATTGAGACAAAAAGCTTGGAAAGAAGCATGCAATAAATATATACATGCAAATAAAATAAGTTTTATAAGGAACAGTTGCAATAGAAATACTAGTTGATGTAGAAGGAGATCATTGATAGAAAGAGGAGTGAGATATACTAATAAAGGCAGAAGCATCTCTAGATAATGCAAAGAACAAAGGGGAAGTTGGGCTAAATGTAAATTATGATGCTATTAAGTTTGCAAATAAAGGTCGAGGAGAATAAGCAATTGAAGGAATCAATTCAATTTGGGTTGTATCAGACGATGACTGAGTTGAGATCAGATAATATCAAGGCCTACAGGAGAGTGAAGGTGATGGAGCAGTAACAGTAGGAAAAGTTGTAATTGTTTTGGTAAACCAAATAAGTAATCGCAAAAACGAATTACAAAAGAAAAGTTGAGGATGCTTACTTATTAAATATGCAAGCGTAGGATAGACTGTAGCAATTGGAATAATAGGAAACACAATTAATGCACAGATTGCGTTAGACAGAACAATAATATTAGATGAGTTCTATAAAGTTGGAGAAAATGAAGTCGAAATCATACAAGGATCTGGGGAATATGTGGAGTTGAGTGATTTTTAGTTTGTATTTATTTATTTGAAAAGTTGATTCGGTATGTTTGTGTGGAAATTAAAAAATTTAAAATAAAGATTTTTAATAAATGGGCGTGAGAGTGACTTACAGAAGAAGAACAAGCTACAATACAAGATCAAATAAGATCAGAAAGGTGAAGACTCCAGGTAAAGAGTGAATTAATTGAAGGTGGCAACGTTGTTGTTTAATATCCAAATAAGAAGACAACTGCATCCACATGTGCAGATTCTAATTTGAGTGTTGTTTTAAATGGATTAAAGAGAATCAGACCCACAAAACTAAAGCAACTCGCAAGAAGATAGAGAACAGTTTCAAGACCATATGGCGGAGTATTGAGTGCTGGAGCTCTTAAAAACAGAATCATCAGAGCATTTTTAGTAGAGGAAGTTAAAATCGTAAAGTAAATTAAGAAATGATACATTTATACAACAATCAAAAATAATAACAATCAATGTTCTGAATGCAAAGGTTCGATCTAATGATCAATGATCTAATCCGAGGGGTATTGATCTTCAATCAAACTTTCTATGATGAAGCCTTCAATACTTCTGTTAATTGAAGACAAGGTGACTTTTGTGTGGAAAGTAAAAGAGTACTTGTCTTCATAATCCTGCTATAGCAATTGTTTAGTTGCTGCACTCACATGCACTTGCCCTTTTTTCCCATTCGATTCCATTTTGTTGGCTATGAGAACATCTGGACCATAAATATCATATCTCACAATGTCAGTCCCCATCACTCCTCCAAAAACACAGCCTGTGTGAATGCCTATCCTCATATCCAACCCATCAAAATCAATTTATTTCCTAACTATTTCAATTATTCTAATCATTTCAAATGCCAAATCCACAATGTTCTTGGCTTCTTCAGTAGGATTCCTATCATTGAAGTCTATCATTCCAATCGCAACATAGCAATCCCCTATAGTATACAGTTTGTAAACATTTAATTCATAACACTTCCTATCGAATTCAACAAATAGATTTTTCAGCATCAATAACACCTACTCAGCAGTCACTTTACTTGAATACTCAGTGAATCCAGCGATGTCAGCAAATAAAATGGTGACATCTTCGATTTTATCACTCAAACATCTTGCTCTGGTATTATCATCAAAAAATGTTTATAAAATCTAAATTTATCAAATATTTTTACATGTCTCGGAAGCAAATATTGTAACAGTTGGGATTCTTTGGCTTGCTGACTCTAGAATATATTTTTTTAATTAAAACAAGCCACTTGTTGTTCCTCCAAAAAGTACGAGTAATTGATATTGTAGATTACTGCAGCAAAGACGAAAAATAGAGAAATCCTGTATTCATCAATAAATATTAAAATGAGTGCCTCAAATAGGAAACTAAGTATGCAAAATAATATTTTAATCCAAAAGTGAAGTAATTGAATATTACTAAAGAAAGATTGTATAAAAATCATCTCAACAATGTGTAAGTAACTTAAGAAGCTATTCACATCAAAAATAATAAAGAGTCCTCCAATAATCAATTAAAAACTCAATTCCAAATAGATCAGCATTATCCAATAAGATATAATCTTCTTCCTATATATCATCAGAGATATCAAATTTAGGGCACACCCTATCCACTACAGTATAATCAATGGGACTGATATCACATGATAGTCACCAATCAAACAAAACTATTTGATCAAATAATACAAGGAATATATTTGTATTATTTTATTAGTAAGAGTCTACGATTGCTGATATATATAATCATGATACTCTAAATAATTATTCTAATTTTAATAGTAGGATTTTTGAAGTAATTCCGTAAAGGAACTCTCCAAAATAGTGGTTTCTTCAACTCCAGTTTCATTTTTCAATAAAATTACATTCTAAACAATAATTATAATAATAATTACAAGCAGTTAATCGTAATCAATATAATGATCTACCTCTGGTTGATACTTTTCAAAATGAAGTTTACGTTGCATCATACTCTCTAAGTTTTGCAATTGGCCAGTTTTAGAAGCATTTGGAATCAAACTAATTTTTTCATCATTTTCAGTTTCCCCAATGTTTAAATTGTTGACTTGATTTAAATTACAATTTGAGAGCTACTTTTATAATCCTTTAACATTTTGATCATCTGTTAAAGATTGTGAATTCTGCCATAATTGTGATTATTATTGTTATTGTTATTAGAAATTCCAAGATAATTAAAATTACAAAATAGGTCTTGAACGTTACGCTAAGTGATCCTATAGAGCAACTGTTCTTTTCTTCAGACCATTTCTTTAAAAGGATTAACTTTTCACTCTGTTTGTGATATTAATTGTATTTTATTTGCTCGAATTATTACTGATATCAGCTTTTGAAATACTATTCTTGAGATTTAGTTTTTGAAGGTACACATATGTAGGCCTCAAACCTAAACCCTTCATCTCGACATACCTGACCTCAAACTCTATTTTATCATTATTCAGCTATTCAAAGGCCTTCTCCGATAAGGTAATTTTATCTTCTTATCCAGTTGAACACACTCTACTCGTGGTATTGATAGTGTCTCCAATCAATGAAAATTGAGGCTTATGAAATCCAATTACTCCGGATATTGCTCTTCCATAATGTATCCCGATTTTACCCACCAATGGCTAACTATTAATACCCCATCTAATTCGTATAATAAACTTACAGTTTGGATCTGATATAAATCATCATCATTTCAGCCAGATTCAAGGCTCTTTAAACTGGTTAAATTTCAGACAAGTAGACCAACTCTTGTTCGCATGCCTTGAGACCAGCTGAAGCCATGTAAGTCTTACCCACAGTTTCTATTTTCTAAACTCCACAAAATTCGCAATATTTGTCAAAGGTTCTGAATAAATCATCTAAGAATTGTACGATGTTCTCCTGTTCTTCCATTATTACTTGATCAAAATTGCATATGTCACAAAAAACAATGGCCACTTCCCCTTGATTCTAATGGATATTGTACTCATCAGCTATAACATATGTGAAGAAGTCTTACTCTCATTTAAGCGATGTCTAATAAACTTGGGTAGGAGTATGCCCAGGATATCGTGGATTTTGTTGTTCTCCTCAATAAAGTTGATCTAATTGGTGGCTTGATCTTCCTCCAACAAAATAAACTAAAATACTGAAACACTTCTTACGTAACTCTTAATGACGTACTGCTAGACAGAGAACAACAAGATCAGGACAATCTTGATGATTATGAAGTAGGGAGCTATCTCTATTTTCACGATTAATCTATTTGGAAATACATAATAGCTACATAATGAAGTAGGCAATCAATACAACCACAGTGGGAATCAAGTATAATCTATGGTCATATATGGGGTGCAATTTGCTTGATAATTAAAAGGTCACCAGCAACTCAGTAAAAGGATGATATATGGAATTCATATTGGTGATCGATAAGCCCATTATTGTTATCAGAGTAGCAGCTCCGCAAATCATAAACTTAACGACTTCTAAATATTGCAATTGTCTAGAGTTTAATTTATATATTAATTAGAACCAAAACAACAAAACTTAAATTATGAGGTAAACGATGTAGATTATGAGGAAATAATAGGTGTCACCTGATTGAGAGTAAATTATTATTAGCATCTAACAGTGAAAACAAATTAATTGTAATCCTTAAATCGTTGACTTCTTTCTCCATTTCATAATCGATTAGGCCTTCTGGAACACTTGAGATTGCCATGTTCCCAACGACTAAGGCAACGTCTTCCTATTTAGTAATACTACAATGCGAATAGAACATACTCATACATTTTTGGAGGTTCAGATCGACTTGTTCGAAATTCTCAAACACCCTATTGATTTCTCTTTGTAATAATAGAAGGAAGTGATGTCTGTAATAGCTTTCGCTTTTGTAGAGATTGAACTAGTTATAGATTCTCTAAAACCTTCCGTCCATGTCAGGCACCTATAACATAGCGAAGTACTACAACCATGACTCAGAGATTTGCAACACGAATATGGTTAATAGGATTTCGAAGAGATTTGATATCTCAAAGGTGAATTAGGAGTTGGGAGCCATAATTGTAAAGTGAATCAAAATGTAAAAGGAAAAGCATATTACATATGCGATACTCGACATCACAATTAGTCCCATGTTGACAATCGTATTTATTGCATCGTTGACAGTAATCGATAGAAATGTATACACTATTACTACATCAGCAGTCTGGAGTTTCGATTGATGGGAGAATATTAATTAAGTCAGGAGTCCTTGGAGGATGGCTAATGATAAATGAAAGGACTTACATTTAATTCCGAAGTAAAAGTAATAACGCTACTTCTTTGACATGTTGATGTAACTCTCTATTACCTTTTATTGGTGGACATCTGTTTTGTAATTCTTGTAAATTGAAATGAACTCAATTGTTGCCAAAATGTAGATGATTAAAGTGTAGAAGAAGGAGTAAAATATGAATTCCAGAATGATATTGAATTGCGGATTAAATTGGACAACATTCACTATATAAAATGTTACAGCAAAACAAGAGGAGAACAAAGTTCTTTCAAAAGCAATTCTAATCTAATATTTCGATAGCACATTCAACAAGGGCACATAGTAGAACAGAAATTCATTCAATTCATTAAATCCTTACAGTATGGCATCTGAATTGTGGAATATCAATAATTCATTAAATAAACCTTAAATGTTACTATTATAATATGTACATCCTTCGTATACTAGTCTCACTTTCAATGATTGTACCATTTTCTTAAAGAAGGTTTACTTGTTCACGTTGTCGTATTTGAATTGCTGAAAGTAACTAAATTCTTATAACAAGGCAACTTAAAGATGATATCCCTAGTAACTCTTCAGTAAACTTTGATTTTCAAATATCAGATTCAGAGTCATGTTGGGACCATCAAAGCATTTTTAGAGATGTTCTAATGATGATGGATTAGCATCATATAGAAGAGTAACTTTAGAGAAGCTAAGCAGTAGTTTAAGATGATTGATCATGTAACTATTATTTTCAATAATTTTAAACGCCTAGCTGCTCAGAATCACAACTAGAGAAGAAGTATTATGAAAATCTTCAGAGGTTTTCTTATTTGAGAGCATTGAAGGATTAGCATTGGTTAATTGCAATTGCTTGAGAGAATGCATCTATGAACCAAACATAGGTTGCTGCTCTTAAAAGATCTATGAAAATTATTGTAAAGATTTCTTAAAATACGCTCTAAGATCTTCCTCATTGTCTTACTCAAACACAAATTTATTATGATGTTGTATATCAGTCTAAGAAAGTATCGAATTAGCAAATGCAAAGTATTATTCAGTGTATAAGAATAATTGTTATTAAGATTTTTCAACACTCTTGATAAAGTCAGAGGCTTATGGTTTTAAATTATATTTGAATCCCAATACGATATTGAGTTATAATGACTCTAATGAATTATAAATAATTTCCTCTGTCTCAAGTGTGTTTTACGGGGACGTCGCCTATTAACTAACATATGCCTCAGCATCTTGATGATTGAGTAAACAATAAAAGTAATGGATTTAGTGTATTTACTCATTATCATGATTTGGTATAATAGGGAGTGAGGATCTTAATCCAGTCTTCAACTCATCAATCATTTCTGGTACTTTGTTATTAGATTCCCTAATGAATAAGATGTAAGGAGCATCTAGTAGTTTTTCGTGTTCAGGATCCAATTCAAATAACATGTATAATCTCTAGTGATGACGGTGCATTTACATATCAATCAACTTGAAAGAGTACAACTACAGATTCTATTTAATAATGTAAGTGAGGGTGTTTCTAAATTATATTAATTAATTACTAAACTTTGTTTACACAAACTAATTCAACCCCAAAGGATTTTGCAATTTAAATTTACTTCTCATCTAAAATATTAACGTGAGTATTCTTAAGCTTTTCCTCTCCTGTTGCTGTGGTTATTAACTTGGTATAAGAGACTTGATTCAAACTTAGTTAGAGCAACGACAGATTTTCATTGTTGGTGTTGATAGATTTTATCATCTCATTTACATTTATCGACTTTCTATCTATTCTACTATCCTTCATAGCAATTTGCCTAAGACTCCTGATATGAATGGATTGGTGAATTCTATTCGTTGATTTTGGGTGGAATTCGCTTCTTTCAGAGGCGTTCAGTGGTTAAACCACAATATTTACATCTTACTGAGTTAGGTTAGTAAAATTGCTGATTAATCTAAATTCAATGGATTAAGGCATATTTGCTCCGATGTCATCTTCATCTTCACCTACACTGATTATTTCATCTTCTTAATATTTTCCAGCATTATAAGTATTATTTTGTATATTTTTGGATAGCTAGATCTCAGGCTTAGAGTCTTCCTTCGAGTAGGCAGTCTTAAATAGATTTTGACTATTGAGGGATGAAGCCACCTCCTAAGCTTGAAGCATCAATTCTGACTCTTTACAGTAGCAGATTTGGTTCTTGTATATTATATTTTTGATTTCAAAACTCCCATCAAGTAGACTGTCTAGATTCATGGATATTCTCTTTATATTGTAATATTGCTCTGGATGAAAGTCCTTAATTTATTTGATGTCCAAGCGACTGATTTTCTGGATCATTTATTATTGATAGAGAGCGGCAATCGAATAATAGAAGGCAAAACTGCTCGGCAGGAGAAATGTCAAATGCATGAGGCTTTCAAAAATCAGCTGCATTAGATCTAGATTATAATTCACGTTGTCAATCTGAGAGATTATGATGTACATTATCTAAATTCTTAAACTAAAATTCTTACAATTAGGAGTGCTATTTAAATAAACACAAGAGTAAGCAACAGATCTTAAGGGTAATTGGGTACTTGAGGTTTAATTTGAAAGTGCCTATAACAATGACACTTCAATCCGACCTTAATTACCACTCCAATCACCCATGGTGTATTGAGCAATTTCTCCTATGCGAATATGAAATTATCGTCTTGCACTATGTAGGATTGTGGGTCTTTCTTTAGTTACAAGTAGCCCTGCATACTGTTTGAGGTTTCGGTTATATGTATCGTTCCAGTAAAAGACTTTTTGAATAGAACTAAATTATGTGAGTCAACTAGCAATCAATACTAAGAGTTACATTTGTTCTGAATTAATGGCTTTCTTATAGTCTTGTCTGAGTAGCCACAGAGTTGGTTTTAGACAGTATAAATTTCATCACTGCAATATAACACCAGAATGTCGCAGGAGGCAATTTAATTTCTTTCCACAATAATCACGTCTCCGATTTGGATTTCTGAAGAGTTGATCGATTTGATCAGATCCATTTTGTCAGTGTTTTTTGCACTTTTGTTTTCTAGGGGTCTTTTGATTTTTGAATTGTTTTTGCCGAACATGCTTGGCATTTATTACATGAAATTGCTGATTGCTGGGTCCTAAACAAATTTGATTTTTGATTGGTTTTTTATTTGCATATCTTGAAGGATCAAGGGACTCATTGCTGAAAATCTGGAGCCTATTTTATCGATGCGATCTAAGTGTTGATTTGATGGACTCTTGGCTCTGCCTTGATTTAATGATAATCGAGAAAGTTGGGATTGCACTAAATAAAAACAACTGCGATACATCCTGATGATCTACTCCTTTGACTTGGTTAGCGTTGCAAATTGTCACTATTTTTAAAAGAGATCTTTCGATCCCTTTCTTTTACATCATCCATTTTATGCTTTGTGGCTGCCTTCTACTTGATTCTTTTTAATATTTCTTTATTGCTAATACATTCGTCCCATTATTTCAGTATTTTATTTTCTTGATTGTTTAATTTTTTGTCTAGCCCATTAATTTTGAATTTATTATACAGCTCCACACCTACATGGGCGAGCAGTTAAAACGAGAAAATGAAATAAAATTCATATTGTGGATAATCTCTACAATATCATAATTCTAATTACATTGACCATATGGATGTCAACAATATCAAAGACAGAATACTTAAACTGTAATACAATATGTTGTTCTTAACAACTCGAAGGGGTGCGAATATTAAAATCGATATAATAGATGAGCTCCTATCAATACGATTGCAGTAGGTGGAATAACCATCGAGTTTTATAACTTCGCCATTCTTGAAATGGAGCTATAAATTGTAAATCAATTATTTGCACTTGATATGTGTGTCTTTTGAATTCATCATAATAATGCAGTAAGTTCTTCATCTGATAAATAAATAATAATTCCTATCAAATTTTTATCAATTTAGAAATAACATGTTTGAATAAAAACTTGCACTATAAAATCTCAAAACCACAATACATTTTACCTATTAAAGTGCTCAATAGCTCGATCTCCAAATGCGTGCTCCTGTGTGATGGATTTCCCACTCCATATCCTTTAAGGCACTTGTGACTTGCCATAATAACAGCTACAGCTTGATAAAAATAAAAAAGTTGTTATTTGAGAGCCCGAAATTTTAGAATGGCTCAGGGGCAAAAGTTAATTTAATCATTAAGTTGTGTTTCAGTAAGATATGATTATTTATTATTAAGATATCTTTTTTCCTTTTTATAATTAAAATTTTAATATATGAGTAAAAATTCGTACTTTAAAAAAAATTATATTAAATAGATTTTTAAGATTAAAACGAAATTCATTAATGAAATGGTTCAAAAACACGCCCTCATTATAGGTGATACAATTTAATTTGATTTTATTCTCAAGTTTAGTAGAATAAATTTAGAACCATTCTAATTTTAGATGAGTAATAATTTAAATTGCCTTAATATTAAAGAAGGATTACAAAAATTTATAGTTTAATTTTAAAGGAAGAATCAAATTTGTATAAGAATACCCAGATTTATTTAATCTGCTTAAATTTGAAAAAAAGAATAGATAGATAATGTAATTAAAATGAAATAGAAATCATAATGATTGAAAATATATTTAAAAAATGTAAAGAATGGTGATAGTATAATAATAATTGATAATTAATATAATTTATGAATAACAATAAATTGAATCTCTTAGAGGTTCTAAGAAAGAAACGATTAGAATAGCAAAATGAGTAGGTTCCAAAGACTCCTCCGATTTTGAAATAAAAATCTAAGGAGGACATCCGAAAATATTTGCTCTAGAATCCAAAAACTAATCTGATCAGTCTTTTCAAAAAAAAGAGGGATGATGATAATACCCCTTGTACTCGTCAGAAACTACTTAAATTTTATGACAGTTAAGGTCGGAGTTCGATTCTGTCTCCGATTTGTGCCGCCAATCATATACAATAAAAAAGTGTATCGGATGAGAGTACCAATGCTCTATAGGTATTATGCCAATCATAAAACCGATAGATCACCATTCCAAAGAGGATGTCACTAGTATCTTCTAGATTACAGCATTTAAATTCATAGACATCAATATTAGAATCACCAAATGAAATTGAAAGTTTCATTGTGGGTGGGTCCAATGCCTCTAAATTAGACTTAGATGAACATTTCTTAAGGATTGAGAATGTGGATAATCCACGGATCATGCGATCACAATCTTAATGTTAAGAAGAAGCTTAGATGGCAATAATACCAAACACTCTAAGTGTTCCAATGGGCAAAGGACCAAGGAGATTGCAATCATTTTCAGTAGGTGATCCATTTAGGAATGTAATAAATGCAGCAGAGCAGAGGAGATCGGTAAGATTAATGAGAGGATTAAGTGGGATCCACCAACCAAAGGAAACATAGATCTTGGAGAGGTCTCGGGATGAAGCAGGAAGGAAGAAAATGAATAACTTTGTAATCTTGCATGAATTGGGAAGAGGGGCCTTTGGAAAGGTGCGTTTAGTTTACAATGAAATAGATTAATCATATTATGCAATGAAGATAGCTGATAAAAACAAGTTGAAACGGAAGTTACTAACAAAAGAGACTTCAGCATATTCATTATTAGAATAGGAAGTGGCAATACTAAAGAAAGTGGATCATTAAAATGTAGTTAGATTGGTGGAGGTAATAGATGATCCAGAAGAGAGGAAGTTATATCTCATAATGGAACATGTGAAGAAGGGATCCATCAATTCAAAGCAGTATTGGAAATCTGAAGGTGTGAATATTGATTGGGATGAAGGAGAAAAACCACCTAAAATCACTTGTGAAAAGATCAGGAAGTATCTGAGACATTTCCTACTTGGATTAGATTATTGTATTAATACACAGTTATCTATTAAGTACACAACTTTGCCAGAATTGTACATAGAGATATTAAACCAGATAATTTATTGATTGATGAGTTTGATAACTTAAAGATTGCTGATTTTGGTGTCGCATAAATGTATGATAGTTCATCTGCTGATTTGATTCAAGGAGATGTGGGAACCAAGGCCTTCTTGCCTCCAGAAGCATTCAAGACTTCTTAGGTTAAGGGGAAACCAGCAGATATCTGGGCTGCTGGTATCACATTCTTCATGCTCACTTAAGGAGGACATCCTTTCCCAGCTAAAAATGTTTAGTAACTCAAGGAGGCTGTTTCATATAATGAAATTAATTTCTCTAAAGATACTGATCCAGATTTGGCTGATTTCCTAAGCTGTTGTCTGAAGAAGGATGCAAGGTAACGTCACACACTTGAGTAACTTATGGTACATTTAGCAATCTATTTAGGATCATCCATTTATTACAATGAATGGAGAGGAACCATTGATCGAACAGGAGTTTTCAGATGAGAATTTCTTCATTTCTGAAAATGAAATAAGTAAGGCACTCTCCAAAGTTACTATAAGAGCTACTGTAAGAGTTTTTGCTAAACTTAAACAGAAGCTTAATCAGTCTAGACAGAGGATAAAGAAATAGTAATGAATATATAAACAACATACTAATATATTACGTATTTAAGTTTTATCATTTGAAATTATTATATATCACAAAATCTAATGTAAAAAATCAGTTAAATTATCTTCATTTGTTCAACTCTATTTGCAATTTTTGATTAATTAATTTATGTCTTACTAGCAACAACGCATTTAGAACATTTAAGAATATAAGTACACCTCTGAAACTAAGACTGTGCGTTCTAACACTCCTTAAACACGTGAAACAAGATATCAAATACATGAAACTTCAATTGATAATATCAGATCCACTCCTGAAAGTAGATAGTAAAAATCGAGTCCACAGATATGCCAATTTTTGATGGCTTGTGAAATTGAGAGATTGGGATCAGAAAATGAAAAGTTGCGTTTCAGAATTAAAGAGATGCAAGATAATACCTAAGATAGACATCATTTGGAATTAATAAATAATAGATCTGACTAATAAATTGAATGAAATGATCAACGTCGTGGAGACTCACAAAATTGAGAAATATGAACTCATCATCCAAATCACCACGTTATAGGAGGAAATTCAAGAGCAGAAGGAACTCTAGACCAATTATTACGAGAGTAGAGTTGTCAACCTCTCCAATCAAATTGATAATCTCACTCTACAATTAAGAGAATTTGAGACTATCAAATTGGATGAAATGCAAGTTCTGAGGAATCAATTGGAATCTGAAATGAAAACTGAAATTGTAATACAATAATATTTATATTTCATAGGAAAAGGCACTTCAAACCTAAGAACTCAATTCTTCATATTAGAGAGAATTCCTAGAGGGCGAATTGAAGAAGTGGAAGGATTTATGCAATCAAAAATAGAAGGAGAACGACGATCTGAAGAATGTTATCCTCCAGAAAGAAATAAATAAGTAAAGGGAATTGGAGAATCAATTGTTATCCTACAAAAATGAGACAGAAAGAGTGAACAAGTTGTTGGTTTCAAAGTCAGAAGAAACAGAGAGTTGGAAATAAAAGTATCTTAAATTATAGTTGATAAATGATGATCATAAACGAATCCAACAGGAGAATCAGTAATTGAATGACACAATACTTGCCTTGGAGGGTTAATTGAAATAAAGATAGGAATAATTGAATTAAGTGAAATCCTAAGTGGAAAATGCCAATAATTGTATTTACTAAATTCATATTAGAGTTCCTTACTGAAAAGAGCAAAGTAAATTAACTCTTAACTGAATTGCAGGACGTTTAAAAGAAGAAATCTGAATTGGAAGGCAGATATCAGAATCTCCTGCTTGAAGTGGACAAATTGAATCAGTTGATCAAGTAGAAGGAGTAGATTACTATCACTTAAACTACCAAGTATTATCTAATAGTATTCTGCAAGAATTGAAGAATTCCAAAGCACTGTTGTGTCATACCGAAATACAATAGAAGACAAATCATAAGAAATCGAAAATCTTAGGAGATTGCTCACTAAATTGCAATAACAAATTCTCCAATTGGAGGACCAAGTAGAATAGTTAAAGAAATTCTAAGAAAATGTATTTGAGTGTATTGAAATATTTAGTGTCGAGTGCTTTCTGCTGAGATCGATCGACTGAATGATGAAATTAAGGTGTAAGACGATGAATTGAGACAATGGAGAATGTAATATGCGGACGAGGGTTCTATAATAAAAAGGCTTTAAGATCAATTATCGATTATTGTAGTGTTGGCTAGTGAAGTAGAGAGTCTGCGCATGAGATTGCATGACAAGGAGTAGGAAGTGGAAGAGGTGAGAAGATCAAGTTTGGCACCTTATAAAATTTGAATTAGTTATGATTTATTAATTTGAGACACATTTATATATATAAAGAGATAGATTTAGAGGTATTTCAAAAATTGAAAATAAATAAGTTTTATTTTTGACTATTGTTTAATTTATTTTATGAAAGTTTTATAGGCACTCAAATCAACAAAATTCCCATTTGCTTCATTCACGAACAGGGATGTCAAATCAGATTTTCAATAGCTCAAACCTCATTTCGAAACTCTAGTGCCTGATCTCTATTTACAAAAGAGACTCAAATTGCCATCCGATAAAATCATGAGATAAAGAAGAATGATGAATTATCAAATTGAGTTTGACAAGGATGGCAATATGACGAGGTTCCATGAAGAATATCGTCTAGACAATTACGATGAAACCAAATGTCTCCAATATGCGAATGTCTACGAAGAACTAACAAAAGAGATGAAGCACGATCAGATCTACAAAGATTTCCTTTACAATACTCTTCAAATCACTTGGCAATTAAAATAATACAAAAAGGCTCAAATCTCTGTGCATGCCGTCAGAACAGTATGTTTCCATATATAATATCATTAGATATCCTACGCCGACTAACCTGCTCAGTCGACTCCAGAAGGACCCAATCGAGATGGAAATGATTTAGAAATCATCGGAGTAGTTAATAAGATCAATTGTCAAGGAGCTGATAGTCAAATATATAGTCCTGACAAAACTAAGCTACTATTTGAAATGAGTCTCGAACCCGGAGAAGGATACATTATCGATGATAAATCACTCTGGAATTATTCCACTTCCCATAAACCAGTCGATCAAAGCCAAGTAGGAATTCGAGACATTTTGGGGTTTGTACTTAAAATTGATGAATGAATATACACAACCACAATTATATATAATAAAGCAATTAAATTAATATTAATTGTGCTTATTAAAAAGCAGAAATATTTAGGAATAATCATGTGAATTTTAAATTAATTCAAATTTATTTACCATCATCAAAAGCCTTAATACATTATATAGAAGATGAATTAATTCATTTTCGTCAATAAATTCTGTTTATTAGTTTGATTAAAAAATTGATTAAATTATTAGTTTAGTTACAATTTGTAAATAAAATACAAAATTTAAGAAACTGTTTGCATAAATATGAATAACAATAATTCAGTGAAAATCATTTTTTGGGTTTTCTGAGTTTAGCATCTTGTCTCTATTGCATTTCCAGATCATCCTTCTCTTTCTGAGCCTCTTGTACTTTATTGCGTTTAAGTTATCTTAAATCTACATGGATATAACAATTGGATACCTGGTCTGAAGGAAGCATCACTCAAAAGAAATTGATTAGGTTTAAAGACTTTGCATTCGTATGGACGTATGTAATTGACATCCCAATATCTGACTTCTCCAAATTCTATGTAGCCCATATAGGATCCATAGATTTTACAGACTTTTTTGCCTTTCTGTTTGATTTCTCCAGACAAGTAATCTGATGCCTTCCACCTTACACTATCCAATTCAACACAAGCTGAAATGTCGTTCTTTTTATCCAAAAATGTAATCTTGCCTTTGCATTCGACTTTCATGGGACCCCAGAAACTACCACTATATTCTTCTCCGGCGAAGTTGTACTCAATTAATTCTCCATCAGCAAATTACAAAAACCTTTTGCCTTTATTCCTCAAGGAGAGTGAGTTGACTCCTGCTTTGGCCTCGTAATTGTAATAACCATAAAATTTATAACTATTTTTGGGACCTATGGTTAAAAAGTAACTAATGGGAGGGTGGTGTGAGATCTGTTCAGCATATGCGGTAGTGCCATCTTGATAGAGACCAGAGATGGTTTCTCCAAGGATGGGATTTAAGGGTTTGAGAAAGGAGCAATTCAAATAGAAATTACCTAAGGTGGCACAAATAATTAGCTTCATCTAATAATAGGGTTGATACTTTACTCTTTCGATGGGATCTTTCTCCAGAACAGCTCTGTTGATGTAGAGTGGGAAGAGACAACTAGACATCAAGACCTTCTCAAGTGCTGATTTGGGTATCATGGCCTTGATAGGGAATGACACAGTTGTTAAATTTAAATTTCCAGATAAAATTTGTTTACCAATTTATTTGATCAACTCTTTGCCAATGGCTCTCAAGGTTCTAATTAATTTTTTATTTTTGCACACTTTACCTCCATCCTTATGTGCTAAGGTGGACCTTGATTCCTCCTTTGATTGAAGTGGTTTAAAATTAGAGACAGCCTTCGAAATCAATTCTTCAGTATTGTCTGTATTGTAATCATGTATTTCTTTGGCCCATTTGAAGATGGCTGCATTCTTGGCCTCCTCCTCTGACATCTCTCGATCGTCATCTTCCTCATCCTCCTCCTAGATCACTTCAGGCTGATCAGGAATGTCTACAAGTTATGATTTGTCTTTTTCGTTATTCTTAACTTCAGCCTCTATTTGGGGGTAACTGACAATCACACTCAAATCTTCCTAAAAGTCGATCTTCATTTCCTCCTGTTATTGAGACTCCTTTTTCATGTTTTATTATTTCTCAAGGAGACTCATAACGAAAAGAGTAAACGGAGTTTTGCCAACCACAAATGAGGGACATATTGATGCTGAGACATTTTCATCTTACACTTGATACCCCACTGAATTTTTCTTAGGTCGTTCTTCCATTTCCAACTCTACCTCTTGCTATTGATTGGTTCTACAGGATCTATGTTCAAATTTATAACTGATTAGTTTACTTATCTCCTTATTGATTCTCAGGTGCGATTTGTTCTAATATCTCAATTGGTTTTTTGTTATCATCTTTCTTCTTTGATGATGAGCAGCAAATCATTATTTTATAATATATTTATTTTTTTATCATTCTTGCTTTAATCTTGCGAATTTCAGTTTAATGTGATTTGACTATTTGATAAATAAGATATCTTTAGATTTAATTTAAGAATAAAAAAACATTAATTATCACACTCTATAACTGAGTAATAAAAATAAATAATTATGCTAGTTGTTAAAATTCACGTGACCATCAAAATTGTTTCAGAACAACAAGAACACTTAAGAATTTAAAATATTCCAATATAATCATCTTCAAAACATTAATCTTAAATTCTTGTTTATAAACTTAATATGTAAAAAATTGAATTCAATTGTACTATTTGTTTGAATCATTTAAGCGATCCGACCTGCTTGTCTTGTGGACACTCCTTCTGCGAAAAATGCATCAATCATCATTTGAAACTAAATCACTCCTGTCCCCTATGTAGAAAACCTACATTACCAGAATGGCCAGTCAACGAAATGCTAAAGGAAGTATTGTTGATACTCTTCGAACAAGGACCAGAAGGTAACTTTTATGCCCCTATCCGAAATTTAGTTCTCCAAACAGAATTTCCATAAATAGTTTTATGTTTGGATTGTGGCCTTACTCCCATTAATCCTGTCGTATTGCCCTGCCAACACCTCTTTTGCTCTCAATGTTTCCAAAACGACTTGGTCGAACAGTACTGTCCCGTTTGTCTCCAATAGTGTATGATCACAGACCCCAACATCAATCTTCTTTTTAATCAATTTTTACAATGGTACTGCGAAACCGAAGAGAAATTCGTCCTTCAAGATTAACAAGTACATTCCATGCCCATATTTCTATTTGATAAGCAAATTTGCTACAAACGGAATTTCTCCCTCAGAATTGTCGAAGATAGATATAAATAGCTTATAAAACTAGCTTCTCATGGATCAGGGAAATTCCCTGTGGTTCCCTTTACTGACTAGTTGCCTGTGTGTGCCGACATGGTAGAAATTGTTAGCATTACAGATCAAATATAAATCATTGGTTCCGATAGATTAATAATAGATGCAATTTATTGTTTTATAAACAACGAAAAAATACCATTCACTCGAAATACTTTTAAAGCCCTACCAAATCAATTATGGCTATGCAATTACACCGTCATCAAAGACAATCAAGATAAATCACCTATCTGGAACAAAATCAAACAGTTTATTCAATACACTTTCACAGAATTGACAGAAGAAATGAAATCCTTATTTGAAAAACCGTATCATTTAATGAGTATATTTGGAACCAAGTTTCATTAAGTCAATTCAAGTCTTATCATGATCTAATTATTGAAGATCAACAACCAGCAATTCTAAAAACTCTATTATTCTAATGATGAACAATTAAGAAATTTATTCATCTGGAATTTCATTAATCAAATTTAATAAAAAATTATTTAAATTATTGGCACCCAAAATCAAAGTGCTAAACTGAAACAGCAAACCATCGATTAGGAAATACAATTACCTAATTTGCAGTTCCACAACATTTACGAAGAAGATGATGAAGATTTTAATGAAGATCTGAATGACTCATTCTCAAATATGACAATCACTCAATAAATAATTCTCAACCTTTTTCATCTTCACAAAGTACCAATTTTTTAATGATTTTTTATTACCTACATTGTTTATTATATACTCCTAATAATAAATGATGATATAATATTTTTTAATTTTGATTCAATCCATATATTAAACTGTCAAATTATTTGCCAGTAATATCTAAACAAACAAGGACACCAAGCACACCATGCGCGCCAATAATAACAGGATTATAAGGGAGAACAGAAACAGCAAGAACAATGATGTATAGTCTTGACATATTCATTAGGCTAATTTATTAAATAATGTTCATGTCTGCCACTTAATTACTCATTCTTATACTTTCCTATACTAAAAGTTCTTTTATTTTCAATAAAGTGATAATAAAAAGTTTTGATTTAATCTCCTTCCAAAATATTATTCTTAAAAGTTCCACTTACTTTATATACATCTCCAATTTTAAGAGTTGTTTAATCAGATTCTAGTATTTCTCTAATGCCTTTCCCTTAAAAAATGATATCTCGATTATCTTCGTCAAAATCACATTCCCCTTTATATTTTATTTTTTTGTTGTAATCTATTAATTCTGCTAATTGCTTTTGCTTTTTCAATAAAACTAAAGGTGTATAATATTTAAATTTTTTTATTAATTTAAACACTACAGTAGGCGTAGGTTAAAAATGTCTATTTAGTTTCACAACTTTTAGATGCTTGATATAATTGATATGATCAACACAAACCTCATGAATAATCTTCTCGTCTTCATTATTTTTTTTAATATGTAAAATTGTTTGGTCCCCCTTATTTCTTTATTTTATAATAATCGTATCTTTCTTTATCGTTTCATCTTGATTGATATCAAACTAGATTTCAATTTTAATGTGAATATTTATATATTCCTTTAGAATTTCATTTTATTCAAAAGTCTCTGGATGAATGTATAATTGGTTCCTATATTATTTCTAAAATGCTTGATTTACCATAAATTAATCCTTTGATTCTCTGTTTATTTAATCATAAAATTCTATTAATTAATATTTTAAAGAATAATTATATAATAATTTCTCTATTTTCTAAGTTTGATCTCTATTTTTTGAAATCTCAAAGGTTTCAAATTATTCATCCAAATAAGCTAAACAGAATAATTTATCATCTAATGATTCTAATTTTTCAAAATCTTTCTTTTAAAATATTTAATTATCAATCATATTAAGAATTGCTAAAATTCTAGATATTTCTTTTCTTAATTTGCAATCGAATTCTTTACCTGATTACTCTACCTAAGTTTCTAATTCAAGTAGTTTACAAGTAGTAAAGCAGTATAATAATCCTAAATCAAATTCGAAATCTTTATTTTTAAAGTAATCTTCAACCAATTCCAAATTCTTATTATTTAATACTCGCTATTTGTCGATTTTCTTTAACATAGGCTCTAAACGTCTAGGAAATTCTAGGGTCAATTAATTTTCCTTTTAAAACCTAAAATTTAGTATTTATTCTATTATGACAATGGCATAATCTTGTAAATCTAAATTGTTGATTTTTATGTATCCTATTTTCTGACTGAAAGAAAAATCTTTTAAATATGAAAGATCACAATTATTCCATTCCAATGGAGAAAATATTTCTACCATTAAAGATGTTAATACATGCTAATCATATTGCATTATTTCTATAGGTTCTCTCTTTTCTAATTTTTATTTTAATTACCTTTCATTGTAAGTAATTATTGCTTCCATCAAACCTTTTGTTAAATATGGATAAATTTATTTTTTTTAGTTTAGATTGAGATTTATAAAATTTAATTTATTCCTAAATATATTTAGATCGGGTTATCCTGCAATATATCCAAAGTCTGTAAGATACAATTTATTATGATCAATAATTAGATTATTTTTTTTAATATTATTATGTAAAATTTTATTCTTTTCTAAAAACTCTGCAATCTCAATTAGCTAATCAAATATTCTAAATTTTTCTTCCTAAGTTTTAAACTATACTTCAGTTAAGGATTTTGCATATTTGCTGCAATTATAGGTAATTTGTAATAAAGTTTTATCTTCAAAAAAATCATAGCCATTTATTGCTAGAATGTATTAGGGATACTTCTTTTGCAATTTTAATTATTCATTAATTAAGCTTACATAATGCATATCTTTCTGAGGAAGTATTGCTTTTACTAACACAAATCTCTAGCTTTAATCCATTTATAATTAATATAAATATTTTACTGCACATAAATGTGTTAGATAATATTAAAAATTCTAATATTTGGGCATCATAAGTATGATCAAAATTAATGTTAAAATTGAGACCAAAACTTTTTGTAGCTTTACTTGGTATAGATTTTGGAGAATGCATTTTAATAATTTGATTTATAATAGACAGGTATTTTATTAGTAATATTGAATTCTCCTTTTTTATAGTTTAATTAATTAGTATTTAAGGGATTAGCTTTTTAATTAGAAATTTTTTTATATAATTAAAAAAAAGAAATCAATGGCCACAACTAAGGTAAAAAAATCAAAGAGAGTTGAAGAAGTTGAATAAGTTTAAGACGAGGATGTGATAAGAACTAGTCATTAGGGACCCAAAATTGATTCCTCCAATTGGCCATTGTTATTGAAGAATTATGAAAGGATGAACATATTGACCTCACATTATACACCAATTCCAAGTGGATCAGTAAGGATAGATTATTAATATAATAGACTCCATTAAAGAGACCACTAATTGAACATTTGAAATACGGTGTTATAAATCTTGACAAGCCATCAAATCCATCATCTCACGAAGTTGTATCATGGATCAAGAGAATATTAAAAGTTGATAAGACAGGCCATTCAGGGACTCTTGACCCAAAGGTTACAGGAGCATTGATTGTGTGTCTAAATAGAGCAACAAGACTAGTGAAGGCATAGTAATCAGCTGGTAAGGAGTACGTCGGAATAATAAGGTAATAAAGATATAATAATATTTTAGATTACATGATGCAATATCATCAGCAGCTAAGTTAGAGAAGGCTATTTAAGATTTGACAGGTGCTGTATTTTAGAAGCCACCTGCGATTTCAGCAGTGAAAAGAGAATTAAGAGTTAGAACAATTTATGAGAGTAAATTGTTTGAGTATGACCCTGAAAAGAGATTGGGAATCTTTTGGATGAGTTGTGAAGCAGGAACATACGTAAGAACTCTATGTGTTCATTTGGGTTTGTTATTGGGAGTAGGAGGTCACATGGAAGAGTTGAGAAGAGTAAGATCAGGAATATTGGATGAAAACAAGTACATGGTCTCAATGCATGACGTATTGGATGCCTAATATCGATATGAAAAATTTAAGGATGAATCATATTTAAGACATGTGATCATCCCATTGGAGGTTCTCTTGACAAACTATAAGAGAGTTGTCGTTAAGGATTCCACTGTTAATGCTATTTGTTATGGAGCAAAACTAATGGTTCCAGGAGTTCTTAGATTTGATGATAAGATCGATATTGGTGATGAAATTGTGTTGATCACAACCAAAGGAGAAGCCATTGCTGTAGCTATTGCGTAATTTATTCAGTTTTATATGTTAGTTAAATGACAACAGGTGAGATTGCATCATGTGATCATGGAGTCGTTTGCAAATCCAAGAGAGTCATTATGGACAGAGAGACCTATCCAAGAAAGTATATTATTGTCTTATCCTTTTTAGATGGGGTACTGGACCAAGAGCACTTAGAAAGAAGGCTTTGATTAAAGAGGGATTGCTTGACCCACATGGAAAACCAAATGCCAATACTCCCTAAGATTGGTAGTAATTCTACGTTACTGAAGAAAACAATAACATTCTTAAAGACGAATAATAACCAAAAGTGTCAAAGGAAGAGGAAGTAGAAGTACCTGAAGTCGTTGAAAAACCAAAGAAAAAGAAAAAGTAAGTCGTTTAAGAGGAGGAAGAATGATTTAATATGTTTAACATTAACAATATAAAAAAGTATAATAAATGATGAAACTAATTAATACTGAATAGAATTTAATCGATATTTAAACAATTATGCTCATTGTTGTGAATGGGAAGTCATAAAACTTTGCTAAGCCAAATCTATTATACTTTCAAACTTTTAAAATTCCTCTTCAGGTATCACACCAATAATCTAATTTTCAAGATGTTGTTTTGAGCTAAACACAATAAGGAATTGATATTACAATTATTGCAAATCTTCCAAGTATGATTTGTAAGGAGGAAGTTCAGTTTTGGCTCTAATTAAAAGCATTATCAACTAATCTACAATTGGCTTGAAGACTTATGTTTTTGGATTGTCCTTATTTTCTAAGATGATATCTTGCATCAAATAGAATCTTTGCATTAGATCAACAACTAATTAAATTCTGTTTCCTTATTTAATTTAAGGTGGTCCTTTGTTTATTCTATCAATTCCAAATTTGCAATCTTCGAGTCCGTATTCCTAATCAATAGAATTATCATGTGTACCTTTATGAATTAGTTGAGATCGTATTTATCGATTTTTGATGTAAAATTTTTGTACCTTTCAATCAACTTTGTGATTTCTTAAGAATGTTTTTCTGGTGTTATTTTATCATCAGCTAATTATGCACACTTTTCTACCATATCAATTAATCTGATTGTAATGAATATTTCCTTTTATAATTCAAATTTTTACTAAAAATATTAAGTAGATCTACTTACTTTATCATCAATTGTTAATTTCTATACTTAGCGAGTCTGTGGTTAATTCATTTTATAAAATTATTAATATAAAAAATATTAACTTAACCTTAACAACATACACTAGTATCTAATCTACCTTAAAAAAACTAGAATATAATTTGTGGTTAGAGATATCAATGTGGAGAAGAAACATTATATTTTAAAAAATTGATTAATTAAAGAAAAATAATCCTTCAAACACCCCTATTTCAATTTAAATTACAAATTAAAATCATCATGAATGCAATACTCATATGTTTAAAATATAAAAGTCCCTGGAAGTTAGGACATAATTTAACTTATTTTTTACTTTTGACACCTATGTAAATATGATCAATAGTAAAGAGAATTATATGTATTCTTATATGATATTTAATTCAGTAATGCTGTGCTGAATCATAGTTTGCAATTCAATCCCAATAACACTAAAATTCCCCTATTTAAGCGAATATCTATTTTGATTTATTATTTACTTCGGAGATTAAAAGATCGATAAAAGTTCTATTTCTAAATCAAGAACATAATATATGAAAGATGAGCAATTGAATTTGTATCCCAAAGATTACATAATTAACAGAAGTACAAAAAAACCATGATACGACTCCAATTTATTTTATTCAATCTATCCAAAATTATTTAAGAAGAATAATATTAACTATAAGAATGAGAACATATAACTATTGAAAAAAATGATATCTTGTTTTGTCAAAAACTCAGGCATACTCTTAATCTATCTAATCTTTTTGTTAACCACTTATTTGACTTAGGTAAATTAAAGATTAAAACTGAAATTATATTAAGCTTATTCGAAATTTTTATATCTTTTTAAGAATTTTTTCAATATTAAAAAGTCCGACATATAGGAAATTTCGAGAAAAAAGAAATTCAATTAAGATAAATCTACATTTGACACTTTTCAAAGTAGGCTTATTATTTTTTTAACTATGATTTTGAAATAAAAATAATATTAATTTTGATGTTACAAAAATAAAATCAAATCATGATTATCTTTTTGATTCCATTCGTTAATACTCTGTTATTCTAATATATTTCTAAAGTGATCATATATTAATCGCATGGATTTTATCTAATGTGTAGTATTTATATAATTAAAATGATAATAAAAAATATATTTATTTCTATGAGGAAATTTTTATTGATGTTCAGAACTATTGCAGCTCTCTTTTTCAAATATGAGTTTAAAATACTAAATTAATTGTTCAGTTAAGAAAAAGAAATAATTTTGAAAAACAAATTTGTTATGTGATAGTTTAAGGATATCTAATTTTGCGTATTTAAATGTAGGTTTGGGAGTGAGTAATTTCATAAATGATTGAAGAATAAACAAATTGGTTGTTAATTTTATATTGTCTGAAATTTATGATGTAAATAATGGGAATTGTATTTGGGAGTTAATTAAATACGTGTAGGGCAATTAAAAAAAATATCTATATTTTTAAAAAATTTATATGGACCCCACACCATAGCCAGAAGTCTAAAAGGAGGAGAAAAAGCCAAACTAGAGCAGAGGAGAGAACAGAAAGAGAGAGCCTAAGCAAAAGTAACAGCAAGTTCAATACGTCGTAAAGGGAGAGGAAGGTATGGAATTAAATTTGATGCATTTTAGGTGCTGCAACTGAAGCAAAGAAGGAGACCTAAGAATAGTAGGGTGAATAGGGAGAGAAGCAATAAAAGAAGAAGCAAAGAGAGGACAGAAAGCGACCTGAATTCGACTGGGATAAGACCAAGATCACTCTTGAAAGTAAAGTACCAGAATTGCCTGCTCATCCTCCTTAAAAGCCAAGCAAAGATGATCATTACAAATAATTGGATAAGATTAATGAAGACATCAGAAAGCAATGGAATCATTTCGTAAGAGTTTGTTGTTAACATCCTAGAATGATTTTGTTAAAAATGTTAAGGAGCAATAAAATTTGGCTAGACAAGGCAATCAAGATAAGTTCTAAAACGAAGTGAAACCATTAGGATAAGTGATTGGAGAAAAGATTAAATTAGCCACCGAGAAATCATCAGAATTGTAGAAAATGAAGAGTGAGAATGATGAAATCAAAATTCAAATCAACAAACTCTTTAATTAATCATAAGAATACAGATAAAAGATGAAGAGTTTAGATGATCCCGACAGAATCATCGATGAATTGGCTAGATTGAAGGAATCACTCTAATAAGATAAGTTGAGTGCAAATGAAGAAAAGAGAATTGTACAATAAATAAGTGCTTTGGAAAGATCACTTCCATACATTGAGCCATTGTAAAAGTTGGAGAAGGAATAGAAAGTTCTTAGAACTAAATCAGCAGCTATTGGAAAGGCTATGAGTGTTCTATATTAAAGCATTCAAGAGTTGAATGGAGAAATTGGCAAATACAAGTCTGATTATGACAAGTTGAAGGATAGTACAAAGGATTCTGTTGTTGCTAAATAAAATCCTCTTATTGACAAGGAAAGACAAATCATTGAAACCAAAGTTTAGGAATTGAAAGACAGAAAGGAAAAATTGAAGAAGGATTACAATAATGCTTGGGATAAATATGAAGATTTTGAAGATTTGGAAAGGTACAGAGAATGGTTCTTAAAACAACTCAACAGAATCAAGAAAGATTCTGAGAGAAAGAAGAGGGAAGAAGAAAGAAAGAAAAGAGAAGAAGCTAGAGCAAAAAGAGAAGCTGACAGAGAAGCAGAAGAGAAGGCTGAAGCTGAAGCCAAGGCAAAAGAATTAGAAAATGTCAATCCATTCTAATATTAAGTTGGTATGTATATATTCTAAATTCTTTAATAGATCTTTGCGATACATTGATCACCTATTTGAATAAACTTAAACCCACTGCTGCCTAATAACAAGCCCAATAATAAAAATAAATAGATGTTGAATAAGTTTTAAAGAGTGACGATTGGAAGAAAGAGAAATGCACTGTCATTAAAAAGGAAGCTGAAGACAATCTCTATAACTTTAGTCAATTGAAATCCAAAAAGAAGAACAAGGTATATTCTATATTTAAATTTAGCAACCACAATAATAAAAGGATGCTAAAGAAGAGAAAAAAGATGAAAAGCCAAGCATCTTGCAACATGATTTGTAAACTCTCTAATTCTTCGATACAGTCAAAGTGGCAACTCCATTCTACATCACTGAGCTTGACAATGTTGTCAAGAGCATCTAAGAGCGTAAGGAGTATTATTTGAACCGGGAAAACTGGGGCAAAAAAGATGAAGAAGAGACACATACAGAAGTATTCAATCATTTAAATATGCTTTAGAAATCAAAAGCCAAGAAATAATAGAAGGCCTAGAACTAAGATGAGTTCCCAGCCTTATAATGAAGCGCGTATATATATATTACATAAATGGTACATATCTAATAGAATCTCCTCTCTTAACAAGTATAATAAATAAGCATAATCAACTATTCACTTCTTCTCTAAGTTTTCCTAAGAGGGATTTCATCACTGAGAATTTCTGATTTGGTTCTATCTTATGATTCTTCTTCACCTCTTCTAATTATTTATTCACAAGTTGCAATTCTTCATTCAAGCCAACAATCATTTAATTCAACTTTTAATTATCTAGTACTTAGATACTGTAAGCTGATTATAGATCAGATAAGTTCTATATACTAAATATATATTTCTTACATTTTCTAATAACGATATTTATTCCAAAAAGTAATCCTTATTATTCATTTATTATTAGGGTTGCTTTACTGAAATAACATTATTATTCAATTGATCTAATAGTTTAATCCTTTCCTCTTCATAAGCTATTATCTGATTATTTTAATCCGCAATTTGATATTTAAGTTACTATACATCTTTTTCCATATTACGGATTTATTGTTGCATTTTTAATTTTTCCTCATTTATCTTTTCATTTTCTTCTATTACTGATATCATTTGTTATTCCTAATTTAAAATATATAATACCATTTATTCTATTGAATTACTTCTTTGGTCTTACTCACATACTTCTTTATATTTTTTTTTCCATTCCTCTATCTCATCGCTCTACTAATCTATAACTGATTCGAGTCTTTCAACTCTTTGTTTAATGAGGATTAAATCAGTATTCTTGTCTCCAATTGTCAATTATTATTTCTCTCTGGTCAATTTTTGGATTAAATCATTTAACTTTTTGTTCTCCTACAAAACATGTCTAAGTTGGATCTCTATTTGAGATGTCTCCACTCGATTGCTAATGTTCTCTTTATTAACAGATGGGCTCTCCTGAGTGTTGATACGCTTACTATTGCTTTGCCTAAAGCTACTCTCAGTTTGTTATGATGGAGCATTTAGCACTTTTAAGTTCTTGACGATGCTAAACTTTTAGGGAGTAGAAGGATTTAGCTCTCCAAATATTGGTTGCTAAAATTATTTCTACTACAATGTATTTTATAGCAATTGTTATGAAGCGTATGATTTGAGTTTTGGAGTTGATTAAAACATCTAGCTGTTAAATATTATAATTATTATTGATTAATTTAATCACTTAATTTCATTTATTAGAATAATTACATTGTAATAATCAAATATAAGGCAATTCATTCGTTTATGAATCATTCCTGTAAAATGCAACTTTAATTTGATATTAGAATTCTAATAAATAGTATTCCATATCAATTCAAAAATCAGTTCATTCAAAGTGTTTAATAAATTATAATTGTCAATTTTATCAGAAACTCAAATATTATTCTATTTTAATGAACTAAAACCTTTTAAATAATTTGTTATTAATAAAAATTCTTGTACATTTTTCTAGTTCTTATTATTTAATTAAAGTGTTTAAAATATATAACATTTTTTTTATCTAGATTCTTAGATCCTTATTAAATAATTGCCATATATAACAATCGATTATAGTATTTCAATTACATATCTATTTAATTTTAAGAGATTTAAAAAATGTTCTAATTTTAAAAAGGTAGAAATAAAATTTCAAGTATTAGATTCTTAGGATATAGTCTCAAATTATCAACCCCCATAGACGTTCTGTTATTTCATAACTCATAAAAGGAATAAATAAGTAAGTATTATTTTGATCTCCTTAGACCTAGATATGCTCATGTTGCTTATAAATAAATGATAAACCATTTACTCTATTAAAATATATTTTAATTAAGCATTTTCCATTTCTTTTTTTTACATCTAAGGAGGTATTTTAATTACTCAATTTTTCATACATATATTTATAAAATAAAATAATATAAATGAGGACACTGAAGAATAAAACGAATTTATATTGTTCTTAATAGATGGTCAATATTAATTAGAAGGTGCTTATTTCGAAAAATTTAAAAAGTCTATAATGTAAATATTTTAAAAAACGTATTACAAAATCAGTCAGGATTCTTTTTAATCTTAGCAATTTTTTTGGCCAATTGAACTTTATATTTGATTAAATTTGCAATTTATTGTTTTCGAAACCTCAATAGCTAAAGTTTATGAGGAAAATTCTTAATAAGTGTAGTTTCTTAAGGTTTATTCATTTTTAAATAAATTTTATTAATCAAAAATTACTGGTTTTGACATGGGTCATTGATTTATATTGAAATACTATAAATTTCAGAAAATTATAAATAATTTACCAGATTCAGTTTTTGACTTTTCAATTTAGGTATATTTTGAGACTTTTCATTACGGCCTAATTTTGAAAGGTATTACTTTCTTTATTAAATCGTCAATTATTTGGTTCAGATGTTTATTACTTTTAATTTAATCCTACCTTATTAAGTTTACTTATTTGAATCGTTTAATATCATAGATAGTGTCGATTACATCTTAATCCTTTTTAATATAAAGATTTTTTGTAAATTTTATTATGAAAATCAATTTCTTATAAAAGGCTATGGTTATTTATTTAACGATGAATTTCAATAAAGGCATGATAAAATTAATGAATTTAACAACAACCAAAAAAAATAAATTAAATGTTGCATTCTAATTAGATTTATAAAAAAATTTGAATTTACTAATCATTAAATAGTTAAAAGGCATAATAAAAACCGTAGGAAATTTTTTAAAGTTTTGTGGCTTGTGAATTGATAGTATTTTTTCTTAAGTTAATTCAAACATTTGCTCTTTTTATTATGATCATATTAAACCAACATAATAAAGATCATTTAATAGTAGAGAAATTCAAAATCATATTGTTAAATTTTGATGATACTGAATTTAAGTATAACGCTGATGATAATTGTTTAATTTTAAATATTAAAGTCTTCTGAAAATTTTAATCTTTTGTTATATGCAGAATTGTAGAGACTTTAAATAATTAGATTATTTTTGCCTAAGAATTCAACTTTTTAAAGCTTAATTTTATTTTTAATCTTATGGATCAAATTTTTATTATTTATCAATTTTCTACTATTGCTTATTTCTAAATACACTAATAAATAAACAATTTGATTATATTATCAGAATGGTCTTTTGTTAAATGTGATATTGCTACATTTAGATTATTTAGAAATTAACTATTCTATGTAGGACTTGTAGAATTATTTAGATTTGATGATCTCTATGCTAATGCAATCCTAATAAATGATGTTTGTCAATGAATACTTTAAGTTATTGAAATTACTGTCCTTTAAAATAACCCATTTTATTATGGAAGTCAAAAATAAGATCCAAAAAACTGATAATTGAAATCTAAATGATATTTTTAAGATTCTGTAGAAAGAGTTCTCAAAGATTTGGTTAAATAGGATTTGATAATTGAATTAAAATCAAATTATCAAGTGAACCAAGAGAAATCAGAATAAAGCCCATAACAATGATTCGATACATATTGGAACATAATTATTAATATCCGTTAAAAATATTAAATATGAATTCAAGTTAGAGGCAACCAAGAAGTCGCATCTTTGATGTTGACTCATAAAGGCCATCTGATAGATCTAATACTCCTACAAGAGCCTTATCACCACTTCAACCCTCTTAACATATTTAACCGTAATAATAACCACAATAATAATAACCAATCCCAACATTTCAACCATAAAAGTTAAAGCATATTCTATACAATGCATAACAAAGTACTCCCATCGTTAGTTGCCATTACCATCCAGACCAATTCATATAAAACTTTTGCAAAAATTCGTATCTATTTAAAATTATCATATAAGTGATTGCTTATTACCACTTTGTCCTATGTGTGTTACCATCCATTAGGATGATCATTTGGGATAAGACTATGCTCCCCATTTTGATTTACTTGGCTATTGTCTTGGTGAGCAATATAATAAAATCGTTGACATCTGCAATATGTTGGGAGAAGACATTGAGGATGTAGTAGAATTAAGGAATCTAGTTAAAAATCATAGAGAAGCTTAGAAAAAAAAATTCTTAGATGCAAAAGAACAATTTTATAAGGCAATCGATACCTTTATGTAAAATCTAGAAAACAATCTCAATTCTCAATCAATCAAGCAAACTGATCAATTACTCAATGAAATCAATCAATTTCATAGGTTAGCCTATGATAGATGGAATAATATGTAAGGAAGACTATAGAAATTGAATTCTGAGAAATGCTTAAAAACACTCATAAAATCTTACAAATAAAGCAGACCAGAAGATATCTATTCACGATAACATGAAATGACTATATCATTTGTAGATTAAGTCAAAAATGAGTTAGATCAAGTGGAAATAAGACCATCTTAATTACAAATCATTCTAGATTAATTACAATCCTATATATTCATATCAAGAGATTAAGTTAAATAGCCCAAATAAGTTTCACCAATCAAACAACAATAACAATAATAACCAATCATTAGAAGAGTTGTGCATGAGAGACCAAGCAGTCAACAAAATCATCATGCTTCTAACTCTCCCATTCCAACTAGAGTTCTCCAAGGGTTCCCAATACTCTAAAAGTTCAATCCTATAACTGCAATTGAAACTATGAATATGCCTTAGTTACCACCACTTCCTTCAGGATTTCCTTCCTTATTGCCATTCCCAAACCAACAATTCAACTTCCAACCATAATATGCTTAATCAATGATGTTGCCTAATTAATAGTTCCTCCCATAACAACTTCATACTATGCCCTTGCCCTTCCAATCATAACATCCTTATCAAAATCCCCCTTAGTTACTTAAGCAATAATAGTTACAACCCCCTCCTTAGCAATTTATATAGCCACTCTAATAATAAACAGCACTTCCAGTTCAATAATAAAATCAACCTCTTGCTTAAATCAATCTTAACCAACAGGATAAACCAGGAGAAGTTATTGACTTAAAAACTACCAAAAATCCCCTCAAAATGGCAGAATAATACCACAATAAATTGTTCAATTCAGGCGAATGATCTAATTTTATTTTTATATTAAGATATTAATAAACTGTTTAATTACTAAGTATTAATAATAATCTCAACTGATCATTGATATTTACTATTCCTTGAGGGAGTAATCATACCTATTCTATAATTCTTTTTAGATACAATTATTCACAGCCTTAATCTATGAATTCTTACGATTAATATTTTAACCTATTTATACTAAAGTAAGAGAGTAGAATCAAGTGTAAAAATAGATTTTTATCCAAATACTAGGCAAAAAAAGTGTGAAGTTAATCATATCTCTTGTAAAAATTATTGTTTATGCTTGGCTCAAATAAATAACAATATTATTAAAATTTCATTAATATAAAATGAAAGATTAATAAATTTTATTAAATAAAGTGAGATTTGCTATTCTATTCTCTACCTTTTATAATTAATTCTCATTTATAAATATATAATATAAGAATGTTTCCCTATAGTTTGCTATTTTAAGGGGTTAGAATATCTATAAATAATTATTATTATATTACCAAATATGAATAATTCCAAAAATTTCATACATATTGTAGATAACATGTATTCATTCGATGGGGAAGTAATTATGAGATTAGAAAATGTGGATCTGCAAAAAATGAAGAGAATTTCTAAAATTGCAGAGGAGTAGAATTAAATGGCTATGTAATATGGTGGCTTCATTTTGGAGATAGAAAAAATACTCTATGATCCTTATAAATATATCATGTGTATAAAATATAAGGACCATATTTGTTTAAAAAAATTGGAGTACAACTAATTTATGGATGAATAAACAAAATACTTGCTTATCAATTAAGCTTGTGTATTACTTAAGATCTTATCTCAAATATCATCTTAATAATAAATAAGCCAGAAATCATCCGAATAAGAAATATCTTAACACTTGGGCTAACTCTTATTCAATAGCTAAAACTTTTTTCTGAATGGTGCAAACGAAATATTAGCCATCACCTTTATTTCGGATAACTTATGGACTAACTCAGAATAAACTCACACCTATAGAAAGGCAATTGCAAGGTTAATGGAAATTATAATTGAGCATCCATAAGGAAATTTGGGCGAAGACATCTAAGCCTTTTTCAACGAACAAATCTAAGAATTAAAATAAGATAATTTCAATATCTATTATTTTTTCTCGAACTACTGTGAAATGTATGATGAACTTCAATAAAATTCTTAATAAACAATGTAACAAATTTACATATCTTAATTTTAGGCCTACTTTACCAAAAGAATTACTCAACGAGGCATGGTTTAATCAAGCTAGCGCTATCCTTACTGAATAGCCATTATAATTTATATTTAAAAATAAAATGATTGACTAAAAAAAATATTAATAACAAGCCCGATTGTGTTGCTCTTAAGAAAATTTTGACCCCAATTATTTTTATTATTTTGATTAGCGAAGGTTGGTACTTTATAGAGAATAAAATCGTAATAAAAATAGCATTGATAGAGTAAACAAGTTGGATAAAGTACTTAACCTATATAATTTGATTTCTGACTTGATTGAAGGATTTTAATTAGATAAAATTCCAACTTTAGAAAAATATGATCCTACAGAATAATATTTCGTATTATATCATGTTGAAAACCATTTTAGTTAAAATGGAAATAAAGATTAAGTGAGAGACTTCAGGATATATTTCTCATAAATAATTCATAGATTAAATAAAATAGATCCAAAAGAGTTTGAATTTAATTAAATTAAAAAGGAGATTGACACTGGCTATATTAACAAAGAAAGAAATAAAATGCTATTTTGGCTTGAGCTAGAGAATAATAAGATTATAGACCAGTTTATATAATATTAAACTCTGAAGTAATAAGGTTAGATGATGGCACTAAAAGACCTAAACAAAGTTATAGGAGTAGACTAGTTCAAAATTAGTTACTTTATTAAAGCTCAAGATCATTCTGGGGGAGTTCAGATAGGATATGCAATTGATGATTTAGGCAATTATTATAAAGGGATTTTTTAGAATGGGTAACTTTATTTTGGAGATATCTTATAAGTTTCGTAGAATCAATAATAGATCACATGGTACGAGAATGTAAGTTATTAAAATAAAATAATTTTTGGGGATAATTGCAAAAAGACAGTCTATAATTTGAAAAGCAGAGGTTATTAAGAATTAGAGTTTTTTCGTGGTAATTTGAGGAATGGATAATATCATGAATAGGGATATCTAAAATAATAAAGCAAAAATTAAAAGTATGAAGGTAAATGGGTTAATGGGTTATTTGAGGGATAAGGAACTTTGACCATACTTAATTGTGACAACAACAAATTAGGTTACACAAAGTATGTAGGGAATTTTCATAAAGGGGAATTCCATGATCAACAAGGAATATTTTATCTTGATGATAAATTCACCTAATCGGAAAAAAGAAACTTCTAAAATGGCTAACAAATAGGCAAAGCTATTAGATAGGGAAAGAGAAGTATAAGTTTTTAATAGATCTTTAATTGATTAAATATTAATCTATTTACAAATTTAATTATAAAATAAAAGGTATTCGATGGCTACAACTCGACATTAGAAGCGTACAAAGACCTATACTTATGTGAGAAACGTAGATGAAAATTAAAGAAGCTTAAGAACTCAATCAAGACTGGATATTTTGGAGAGTGACTATTATGATTCACCAAATAAATTGGCGGAAGAAGAACTCTCTGATGCATCAGCAAATAGAAAGAAAAGCAAAATGTTGAGGATTGCAAAGAAGAAATAGAATAACTCACTACGAAAGAATGTTAATCTAAAGAAGATGCTTAAAAATACACCTTTGGAGTCTGAGTTCCTAAATTTCCAGAATATAACTCCGAAAGCGAAGCCGCAGTAGACAAAATAATGTAGTATTTGCAGATCACAAGCCAAGTACACATGTCCGAGATGTTTGGAAAGGTATTGCAGTTTGGATTGCCATCAAACTCATAAAGAGATACAATGTTTGCGGATGGATTATTGATTTAATAATTATTATATAAAGGGTTTAAGTTTAACATATTTAAATGCTGAGCTAACAAAATTTGCAGAGCAGTCAAAAATATATGGAGAACGGTTCAAGTTCCTAGTTGTAGAAGTTCCAGGAACATGGACTTTATTAATTTATACTCAATAGGAACAGAGTCAAAGCCAAAATCGTAAAAACATAATAATAAATTACACCTTTAAAGTAAAAGCGTCCTTCGACTGCATTAGTAGAATCTTAAGGGAAGTAGAAATTGCATATGAGTTTGGGGTTGTAATTGGAAAGCTTCAGCACTATTTAACCGAAACAGTAAATTTTCGAAGAACACAATAAAAATAACTCATTGCATCAGGCAATATTTAATCCCAATCAAAAACCATACGCAAATGATCAGAAGATCATGAGGGCCATGTCGACATTGAGTAAAATCAAAAATTAACGGGCTTTTCGGCCTTGTCCATTTACTATGGGGTTTAATATTGAGTAATGTGCAATAAAACCAAAATCAATCAAGGAGAGATCAATTAGTCAATTACAACAAATAAAAAGTTTAAATAGAACAGATGTCATAAAATATAAAAGATTTGAATCCCCTTAGATTCTCATAAAAGCTAAATAATAAGGGTAACTCACGAAATGGGAGCAATATGATGATAGCAATCTATTTGATCTAAATTTCTTGAACAATAATCTCTTCAAGTACGAACTTTGATGACATATTTTTACGCTATTTTTTGAAATTTAAATCTGTGTATATTTAGTGTGCTTGTTTATATCGATTTGAAATTTTTTAATTAATAAAAATCTTTTTTTCTCTTTCACAATGGGTGCATATAAATATTTACAAGAGCTTTGGAAAAAGAAATAATCTGATGTCCTCAGCTTCATCATGAGAATCAGAACATGGGAATACAGATAATTGCCAGTCATTCATAGAGCAACTAGACCCAGCAGACCAGATAAAGCCAGAAGATTAGGTTACAAGGCCAAATAAGGTTAGATTTTAAAATGATCTTTTAAAGGTTATGTTATCTACAGAGTCAGAGTCAGAAGAGGTGGAAGAAAATTGTTGATCAGAAAGGGTCTTGTTAAGGGTAAACCCAAGAGTCAAGGAGTTAATCAATTGAAGCCCACCAGAAATCTCAGATCAGTTGCTGAAGAGAGAGTTGGCAGAAAAATTGGAGCATTGAGAGTTTTGAATTCATATTGGGTGGCTCAAGACGGAACATATAAATATTATGAGGTCATCACAGTTGATCCATTCCATCCAGCCATCAGAGGAGATTCAAGAATCAATTGGATTACCAAGCCTGTTCACAAGCACAGAGAATTAAGAGGTATAGTCTGCAAATTCTATTATTTTAGGCTTAACATCTGCTGGCAGAAAGAGCAGAGGTCTCAGAGTAAAGGGTCACAGAAACAACCAAACAAGACCATCAAGAAGAGCCAATTACGCTAGAAGAAACAGAATTTCCCTCAGAAGGTACAGATGATGATATATTTTGCATATACTCAAGTACAATTAAAAACAACAAAAACATCCCCCAAATTTATTTTATCATTTTTGAAAATATTAGAAAATAATTTATTTATGAACCAGATTTTCTATCCTCTGACTTAAGTCTATAGAACCTCAACCAGACAAATTAATAAAGTGGTTTACTATAGCAATCCCTTGCCAGAAATAAAACTAAAATCTAACGATCTAAAATAATCCATATTCGATTGGTATCAATCACTCTAATTTCAAGGTTGAGACAACTAAATTAGGAACAATTGGAAGAAGTGCTCTCCTTTACATCCTACTTTAGAGTTTATTTATATCTCAAAATGTTCAAGATAGATCAAATTGGGCTACATGAATATTAGGAATTATTATGTAGTCCTTTTGAAGTTAATGTTGCTGAGGAACTCAGCAGATATTATTCTATTTAAAATTGTAAGCGTTTAAATAAGATTGATTTAAATGCACATAAGGTATTTCATAAATTTCATTAAATTAAAGTACATCCTTGATCACATCTATGTGTCTGATTATGAATGGTTATTTGATACCATTACATTAAGAGGGGATGTTGAACAGATTATAAATTCATTTGAAACAATATCCAATGGAACCATATTTACAAGTTTGGGAGAATTGGAATCTCATGAGACTGAAGGCTATTATGAAATTAACTTAAAAAAACAGAAGGTCTATTAGACATTGCCTGAGTTATTGGTAGAAGAATTCTAAATTGCAGTTCTATTAAAGTACTCATTCAATCAAATATTGTAGATATCGTTAATCTCATGAGGGGAGCAATTACACTTAACATAAAAATTTATTGAATTTGAATCTTGTAAGATTTAATTATGCTTCCTTAAACTTAAATTAAGCTTTCCTTGAGTTTTAATAACTGTTTACCTAACAATCGAATCAGAAGTAATTCATCAATGAACTGAACCTAATTCATTCTTGGAATGAAGAGATCAAAATGAACCCATTGTAGTGTCAAATTCTTTGCAAAGAAGTTTAGTACTATTTTAACCAACCAAAAGAATTGTTTTCAGTTCCTGTCAAGTAAGTACTCAATGAATATGTGTTATTTTGCAAATTTTTGATTTCCAAAACATTACTGAAAGAATTTCCTTTAACTTAAGCACCTGAAATTAAAAGAGTTAAACCTGAATAAGATAAACAGAAATAATAATAATAATTGCAGCAGGTAGGCAAGCTATTTAAAAACCCTTCAAAATCGAAAATATTGCCTGAAAATGATTAAAGATTATTTAGCACAAGTAATGAGGAAGTAGAAAGTATTTTCTATGAATTCGCTACTTCATTTATGAAAAGAGTGGTGGATGAGTCATTTATAGAATTGGAAAATCAGAAGAAATTCAAAAAGTAAAAATAGAAAAAGGCTAAAAATCAGAAAAAACAATATATGAGTGAATGTACATCAAATTGTACTGAGTATCAATAGATACAGTAGTAACAAGAGATTCAATTCGGAGATGAAGAATGGATTAATGATACGTAAACAAAGAATCAAAAGAAAAAACAGAGAAGAAAGGAGTAATTATTCATTGTTATATTAGGAATCAAGAAAAGAAGAAACTCAAAAAACTTCCTGAAATTTAATAGGTAGAATCAAGTGAAAGTGTTCAAACCTAATAATTTGAACCTTCAGTCCAAATTGAAATCTAAAAAGATGAAGAAGTATAAGAATAAGTCTAAGAGACTTTTCTTTGTACAACTACCTCTACGCATGATGACGATGGAGAATTTATTGAAGTTACTAAGAAGAAATTTAATGGGAAAAAAAAAAAATAAAATAGCAAAAAGGAAAAAGAATAAAAGGAAGACCAAGTTGAAAAACAAGCAATCTTGATGAAAAAATCAAATTCTTCATAGCAAAATTATCTATCTGATGATTACAAAATGGGTAATACCACTCCCCCTAAGATTCTTTCTTAGAAAAAAGAGTAGGATAGTACACTTCAGAGACCTGGCTTAGTGAAAAGCGCAAGCAAAGAATAAAAAACATATAAATATGATTTGGAGAAAGAGACTCTTGAAAAGATATATTAGGAAATTTTGGAACATAAGATTTCAAGGGATATTTAATCAATCTATCAGAAAGAATAGGATAATTTACTCAAGTTTAGAACTGCAAGAGAAGTTGCCATACTAAGAGTGTAACATATTATTAAGGCTCATTTTTTCTAATTTTAAGTTGAACCTGTTATTTTTGGCTCTTCAAGAACAGGTCTAGCCCTTCATGATAGTGATGTTGATATGGTAGTTTTTGGATTACCTGTGTTCACAAAAGCCTAACTATTTGATCCTATGAGGAAACTGTTGGAAGTATTCTCATAAATGAAATGGGCTATAAGTTACAAGTATTTATCCTAACACAACTTTTAGACATATATTTCAAGCAACAATTCCTTTAATCAAAATTACAATTGATCCTTCAACTGGATTTCTAGAGTTTGTAGGAAACCCACTTTATTATGTGATGAATCATCGAAATATCGATTAATTTAATCTGAAATACGGAGAATTATGTATTGATTTGATTTTTAAGTAAAGCTTAAAACATCTAAATTGACATCACGTTTGAATTACAACAACCATATCCAATGTATGGATATTAAGGCTACCATGTTGGACTTCTCTCAACAGATTATCAACGTTAGGTAGGAAATTCAGTAAAAGGCTTTACTGAAGTAGCCATAGTCTTGAAAAAACTCTTGAAGCATCGAGGATTGAATGACTCCTATACAGGTGGAGTGAGCTCATTTTGTTTAACTGTTATGTTAGCCGCTATAGGTGAAAATATTACTTTGGGTGATAAATTGCTGCAATTCTTGTTGAGATATGGGTGGAATTTTGATCCTGAGAAATAATACATCTCATTGCATTCAGAGGAAACATTTATGCCTATATTGGATTAAGGAGATAGATTGCCCTTGAATATCATTTCACCAATAAATGACGAGAAAATTCAGATCTACGTCTCAAAGATACAAGAAATTCTATAGGTTTTCAAAGAACTTTATTTGGAATTGAAGGAAAACATGAATCAAATAGCAATAAGTCTGCAAAAGAAATTAGATTAAAAGGAATTACTATAATTACATTAAACAAATATTGAGAAGCTTGTTGATCTGATCTAATGGCAGAATACAAATCTTCTTGATAGTCATTTCTGATATCTATTTATATATTTTGTTTATAAACCAATCTAATTATAAAGTGGACGTCTAAGATACGATTAGAAAAAATTAGTTTTATTATTAATTTTTCAGTTATTCATTTAATTCTGATTAATTTAAATTGAAATCTTTTCTATTTGAATTCAGCTTTTCTTCTTTCCAAATCTTTGATGTAAGGAAGTAGAGGAGCAGTATTCTTAATGAGTGTGAAGCCATGCACAATATTATTAAGTTGATTGTTGATAATAAGATTGATTAGACTTTCTAATTTTTGTTATTTGATTCTCTGCATGAGGTCGGATTATGCATTGTTTTTTGAATTTGTTAGAGGAGTGAAACATTGAAATTAAGAGACTGTTTTATTGAGTATCGGAGTCGAGGTATTATTGTTATTGGTAGATTTCGAATGATTATGATTTCTTTTTTGTGTGCTCGCTAATTATGCTGAGTGCTGAACCATTGTAATTTTTTATTAGGTTCTAGGACATTCCTGACTGACAGTTTTGACCTTTTGTTTGACATCGTTCATTTCAACAACTGATGTGAAGATCTCTGGGTTCCTTTTAACTATAAGAGAGGATTCAGCTTATCTTCTTCTTTGAATCGGTGTCCTATTAGCTTGAATGATTGATTATAATTACTTTATCTTAAGCTTAGCAAATCGTAGAGTTTAGTTTTAGCAGATGTATATTATTCAAATTTGTATTGATCATAATAGTGAATAGTTTTCTGTTTCTTTTGATAATTGGTGGGCTAGGGAATCGGTTTAATTTCAATAGCTGATTTTGATTGGATTGTTACAGGTATTTATGGTCTATGATAATAGGCGAAATCTTTATTCAAAAAATAATTTCCATTTTGAAGCCTCGATTTCATATTTAATTAATAACGTAATTTTGTTTAAATTATTTAATTATTAGTTTTGAAGTACTCTTTAAAAGAAAAAAAAGAAATGGAAGAATTATTGATGTTCTCTGCTTAGAACAAACTCACATTTGCTTATAATAGGAACACAATGCTAATTCAGACAGAATTAAAAATAAAAAATATCTCATAGAATATACTTGAAATTCAAATAGAATTGTCGAATCCTCAAAATTATAAGATAAAACCGAATAACTTTTACATCAAAAAACAAGAAACAAGGGTAGTAGAGATAACTCAATTAAATTATGTAGATTAAATATATTTAGAATATAGGTTCCTATGAGATTGGATGAAAGAGCAAAAATCATGTACAGAACCATATTAGAGAATTCTACAACTTCTAGAAAAAACACATAGACGGTTTATCATTTTTACAAATACTTTTTCTTTGAGTTGTCTAGTCGTAAAAAGAGCTCTTTAAACGATGAGAGTAGCAATTTTACTTAAGTGAGATAACCAGAACAGAGACAACTTTAGAGTGTGATTGAGGTGAATGATTCTCTAAATTATTGGCAATTAGTCACTCTCACGGTGTCTATTATTGTAATAATATTTGCAGTATTTAATTGGCTGTATAAAAAATTTATAAAGAGGGATTATTGACTTAATTTTAATTTTGGTTTAAATAAAAATTATTATATAAATGTTTTTGGGCTTTAGAAGGGTGAGATTCAATTTTGGAGCAGTGTTAGAGTAATATCAACTCTTAGTAAGACAAGAGGAAATAGCCAGAGATGAGAGGTAAGTGAATACGGTATGATTAAATAATTAAGACTAAAAGATTGTTTAATTCGATAGAGTCAACGATCAATTGGTCTAAACGCATCAACAATGGCTGCAATACTCGAAATTCCTGGATGATTTTATTAAAAGAAACCATAAGCCCCAGTAAAGCTAAGTGTAATAACCATCTGCAAAGTAGTCATCATTCTTTAGCTCTTTGTTCGGGGGTTCACAGACTATAAGCATAAACGAGACTAAATTATAATCGACACAATAAGATCATAACCGTCCATTTGTATAGTAGATCTAAGGGTTATATGTTTTCGGATCGCCAGGATGTGGGAAGACTTATATAATGGATTTATTTTATGAATAATGTCAAATCCCCCAAAAGAAAAGGATCCACTTTAATGAATTCATGCTGGACATTCAGAAGGATATGCATAATTGTTCTAGTAAAGAAGATCCTGTGACCAAAGTGGGTATAGCAAAAGCCAAAGAGTTAAGATTATTATGTCTAGATGAATTCTAAGTCACAGACATAGGAGATGCTCTAATTTTGAAGAGATTGTTTGAGACAATGATCAATAACCATATGGTTTTAGTGGCAACATCCAACCGACCACCAGAAGACTTGTATAAGGGAGGATTGTAAAGACATCTATTTTTACCATTTATTCCATTTTTAAAACAGTCATGCATTATTCACAATATGGACTCACAGGTTGATTATAGATACTCTTATGTATGAATATTCTGTATATATCAATAGTCAGCAGCTCAAACAGAAAGATTGTTAACATTTACTAGTCCTTTGGATGAAAGTGCTGAATAGACTATGAAAGGAATTTTCAAAAGAATAAGTGGAACAGACAAATTGTAAATAATGAGAGTCTAATTTTTATTAGTCATGAGAAGGAAATCGAGGTTATTGAAGGAAGGAACTTCAAAGTAAAAAGACAAGCGAATGGAGTAGCATTGTTTGATTACGAAGAGTTATGTGAGGATGTAGTGGGAGCCTCAGATTTCATAGCTTTATGTAGGAATTATCACACTATTTGTCTAAAGGGAGTGAAATAGATCAGTATGAGTAATCGAAATGCTGCTCGAAGATTTATCTTACTAATTGATGAAATGTACAATCATAAAACTAAGTTGTATTGTTCTGCAGAAAGAGACTTGATGAATCTCTTCGTTGTAAAAAGCTAAGGGGAACAATACGATGAAGAGTTTGCTCTTGAAAGATGTAGATCTAGATTGAAAGAAATGCAATCAAAAGAATATCTAGAGACTCCATCCTATTATGATTAGTAAAAATAATGATTTAATTTAAGTATATATATATATATTAAATTTTCATTGTATTATAATCAATTGTTATTAATTGTGTAGAGATTATTTCATATTATTTTATCCTTTAATTGATTCGAAGGTAACTTTCTTAAAAATCGATGACTTCATTGATTTGTATTTACTGCTGTTCTCTCCATTGCTACTCTCACTACAAACAGACTTGCTCTTTAATATGCTTTTTGGCTACGATGCAGTCAGTAAAAAATGGTTCGTGTTTCTGTACATTTATCCAATTTTGTTGTCATTCAAAGAATATCTATTCAACTGACCGATAGTAATTTTTTCTTAGATTGGATTCTAAAATTAATCAACATGATGGTTCAATTGATTGGTTCTCTATTATACTCTTATTGGTTGATGGTCCAAAGTATGTCCAATCTTCTTTTCTTAAGAATTGTACATTCCTTTTTTAGGTAGATTAACTGTTGAGCTTTTGCTGATAGATTTTTGAGACTTTTTTGATGATGTTTCCTATAATTAATTTTACTAGTTCTTGTTAGAAATTGGAGATTGAGATTAACTTTGTATAGAGTAGAGAGATCCCTTCTTACTTTTTTTCTTTCTTGTTTTATCTTTACCCAAAATATTATCAAAATTTTAGTTTATGAATTGGTTATTTCTATATTTCTCCTCATTCGACTCTTATAATTAACAATCACTAAACTTCCTAACACATCCATATTGTTTTGTTGATGGAACAGCCTCATGACATGTCTTGAATTTATATTCACTCGAACTAGACTTAATCTCCATTATCCTTTTATAAACAGAGGTACTAGTTTCTGTTTGATACGTATCGTAATCAGGCTGTTTAAACTTCGGTTTCATTATCCTGCAATCTAAATCCAACGATTGTTCGTCACTTCTGATAGACACTGAATCTTCCCTGCTTTTCATTTTTATTTTACGTAGTATATAAAACTAAAAAATACAATAAAATAAAATTATTTTCAAATTTTGATATAAGAGTAGCAGATGTTCCTTTTTGGAACACTAAAATAACTATTATTTTGTATTTTTTAATTTAGTTTCTATTTTTAATCCTATTAGTTATCACTCTTATTTATCGAATTTAAGTGTTGTGGATATTGAATCGCAGTAAATCCTTTGATTTTATTATTGCGAGCAAAGACTTTCTTCGATACAAACAGTTAAAGAAAGGGTAGAGATTTACTACAAACGAGACAAGATTTCACATTCGACAGATCTTTAGCGCTATTCACTTGTTCTGAGATCTGTCTCTTCTTTATGGATTACAAGGCCTACTTGGTTTAGCTGTATAATTATTATATTTTTCTATCCAAATCATTTTCTTCTTCAGATGAAATATCCGCTGCAGAAGAATTTACTCCAAGAAAATGGGTTTGTTACTCAACCTCAATGTCATTTTGATTTTGTAGACTGAAAGAGAAATCTGCCAAATTGCATTACTGCATTTTCAAAGTTTATAATTCCAATATAATTTAATTGAAATACCTCAATAAGAATTATAATGCCCAATCATATATTCAGCAAAATTAATTAATTATTCCATAAATATCACTACAAGAATTCTTCAATCAATTAATCAATAGGTTTGTCTTAGTTCTGCTGTTGGACAAACTTTACAATCTATTGCTTCCCAATTTGTGGAAAGATGCTCTACAATTTCGATATCTTTTATTCTTCTGGTGACAATTAGATATTTTCTGGAGCCTTTACTATGATTGGAATCTCACCATATACCTCACACAATTATCCTTTCTCATTTTCAGCATAGATCTAATGTTAGACAATATGATTTACTTTGAATCTATATGTATATTGTGGATTGCCCTAAAAGTGATTTGGGATGTAGGGAATGGAAACAATAACTTATGTATATTCACCTGGAGCCAAGTCGCTAAATTTCTAATGTAATCTTATTCCTGTGTTTGTTAAATATGGATTAAACCACTTCTTATTACCATTATTATTGAAGCATAAGGAAACCTTAAGGTCTGAATCTATATTGGCAGTGTATTTGGTGTTTTTTTTGGTCAACGAAAATTTATAATCAGAGGGGTCAATTTTATCATCATTGCTTTTTATCAACCCTAATTCTTTTAACTTTTAATCGATAATTTCATCGATCAGCTCTTTTAGCTATTAATTATTTCGATAGTCAATAGTATTAGTATTTGATGCATTATCAATTTATTACGCTTTTGCTTAGGTTCTAAACACAATTATTTAAATACATTTACCCTATATTTCCCAACTAGGGTGCACTTTATTGGCACTAATCTTAATTACTAGGTTAAAAGTAGGTTGAAGCATCTTGGCTCTTCTTTTCTGTTGCCACTGTGCTTTGATTTAACAGATTCCATGAATCCTTTAAGACTTCTTAATAATTCTGGTTCTCTGTGACCAATATTTTAATGGAGGACAATCCTTATTATTGACTCGTTGATTTCAATGATTAAAAGGTAACATCAGAGTTAATTTCCCATACTGCTTCTCCATTCTCTATTGTGGTATTTTAAATGTTTACATGAATTAATGATTGCAAAAAGATAAATGTCCTTCAACTATTTATAAGTCATCTTGATGGTTTCAACGAGACTGTAATAACTATTAACAGTGAACGGCACTTTGTGGATTTTCTTTAAATAAATATACTTGATATTCGACATTTAATTATTTAATAATATATGAATTTATCTATTTCAGCCCTTATGAAAGACTGAATGAAAAATGAATTTTATTCCATGAAAGCACTTCACATTTAGGTATTGAATATGCAAAATCAGACTTTCTGCTATTTATTTAAGTGATTATTAATGAAAATTTATAACAATATATTTATTTCTGTTAGATTAATAGATGGGAAACCAGATTCAAAAAATCAATCGTAAAATCGATTAGTTGTTGTTTAAGGCTTATGATTATTTAATAAAGGATGATGAGTTATCAGACAAAACTGTAGATGTGCTTTCGAATGATGAAAACATCAATGAGAATTTTGATGAGACTTAGCAACAAAGGGAAACTTAAAGTGAGGATCAACCTCAAAGCCTGAATCTTTATAAGAATAAATCGAAACTTATTAATAAATCAACTGAGCCTGATCCTAATTTGGGAAGCAAAAGAAAGGCCAAATCGTAATTGCTTTCGGATAGGAAGAGCAATAAGAAAATTTGTGAGGACAAAGAAAACTACAATTATATATGAAGTATATTTATAAGTATATATCACTTTAAATATTATATTTTTCATTTGTACCTGGGGAATGGGGTCAATGATGAATGTTTAAATTATCCTATCTAATGATAATCAATTGAATAAAATGAGTTAAAATAAATAAAAATACAATTCAATCTTAATTAATAATAATGTATTCTTCCAAATATTGTCTGGCTTGACATTTGAGTTTCTATTTTCTTTTATAATCCGATTGATATCGACTTTGTCGGTTCTGCAATCCAGATAAGGTTGGCATAAATGGCTAGTTTTGTTGGGGTAAAATTGCATTGGTTTGTGATTATGAAACTACATTATAGAAATGTTGATATGATGTTTATAAATATGGATTTGGAGATTGATTGGTGTGTCTTTTGTAGTGAGCTTCTCTAACATAATGGTCATTTTCTAGTTGAGAACTGCATGCTCTAAAGTGATTCTTGTAAGTGGTCTTCTAAGACATAGGCAAATTGACAGAATGATCAACTTCAATTGGCCTCAGCATAGGTGTGATATCTAATGTAACTTTTATATTTTACTATTTGGTTGTTATTTGAAATTCGTTCGATACGATGTTATTTCGACGACTGGTGAGTCATTTCTCCAATCTTGGGGTGAAGGTTTGAAATTTTGAGTTTTCTAAATGTTGAATTATTGAAAATTTCTTTAGTAAGTAGAGGATCTAAAAACTCGTTCAAAATTTGGCTAGTATTCAACTTATTAGACTGGCTTAGGAGGTGAGGAACATTTCCAAGGATACTCTCTTTTATAATTTGACAGTAAAAGTTTGGGATAATCATAATGTTGTTACATCACTTGGCATTTGCATTAACCACACAAACAATCAGAGCATACGCATGTTCCTTCAACGTGGGAATAATTTCGAGACCTTTGCATTCTGACATCTTTGATTCTCTATTCAATCGTGCTTGTTGATCTAGGCTTTGACATTAAATAAGAATAATTTTTATTAAAAGATTAATAACCTCAATAATTAATGCAGATTAACTAAGAACTTTATTACTTGAGTTGAAAAAAGTGCTTTTGAGAAGAATTGGATTACTTTCTTCGTTTTCATAGATTACAATCAATTAATAATATTAAATATTAATTTATTTTTAAAGAGGAATTAATACTTGAAATTATAAATAAATTTATATCATTACCGATGATAGGTCCAAAATAGGTATTTCTGATTCCCTTAGGACTCTACCAAAATCATGAAGATCAAAGTGTACAGTGTTTAGATGATTTTGAAGTCAAGTCCAAATCCAAAGAGGAATTCTCTACCACTCATATCAATTAAACTTAATATTCGAACAAAAAGCTGGGGAAGAACCACAACAAAGTCAAATTCAATCCCAATGTCATTCGTTATAACTTCTTTAAGAACGAACCAGCTATTGTTATCTCTAGATAGATCAAGAAATTGATTCTGCAGCAACCAAGTTTAAAATGGATCAATCCTACCCTTGAACATGAAATAAAGATGATTCTATTTAATTTTCACTCTCCATAGATTAAAATTATTTAAAATTTCATACCTCTTATGTATTTTACTAAAAATAGTTCAAGTTTTATTGTTGAAAATGGAATTTACAAATCTTTATAATTAGCATTTTTATGAAAATATAGAAGTAAATAATTATATATCATTTTTTTTTGAATGAAAAATATGAAATGCCAATAGTTTTTATAATATATGATTTTGAAAAAGTACTCGATCACGTCTGAATTTAATTTTATTATATTATTTATTATAACTAATTTCAAATGTCAATGCAAAATTCAAATTTCTAATAAGAGAATGTCGCATCAAGTGACTTTTTATCTGAATCTTAATACAAATAGAATCAATCATAATAGAATGAATATTCAGGCAGGAATAGCTAACTCAAAAAAAATAGCATATAGAAAGAATAAACACCAATATAACTTTAAAGCAAAAAAGAAAATTAAGTGATTGCATCAATTCAAGTTCAAGAAAATGATACAAATTATTTTTATATTTCTAAAAGATAATCTGCAAAATCTTCTTCTTTAGAAAAAAAATAAACGATTTAACCTAATATAATTTAAACAGAAGAGCCATAGCAATAAACTCATTTATAAGTTCGTAAAAATTCACAACTAAAAATTTAGCCTGTTTTCTAAGTAAAAATTTAAATTACTTAATACAATAATAATTATGAATAGGTAACTGAATAATTATTAACACCTTAAAATGCTGCTCAATAAATGAAGGATATTTTCAAGAAGGAATAAAACGAATTAAAACCCGTGCAATTAATTTAATCAAATATCTTCTAATCTTAAAGTAGAGAAATTATTAACAGAAGATCAACAAATCAAAGAAGTGCCTCCGAGTTTAATCAAGAAAACTCAGATATCAGTTATTAAGAGCAAAAGTTGTCAAGCTATGAAATAAAAATGGGAGTGAAAGATGACCCAATGATGAAGGAAAAACAGGATATATTATAAGATATCCATGAGATGCTCAAACAATTGACAATTAAATCAACTAATAAACGTCATTCAATTTTAGAAGATTCTCTCTAATTGTGTTTATTATTTTTACCGGAAATCAGACAATCCGACCATCAAGTGCATTCATAAGGATTTTATGAAGAAATAAAGCTGCGTTACTAGTTAGATAGGAGTTATTAGGCATTTAAAAGAAGGTATTTACCAAATAATACTTAGATTTTATCATATGTAACTATTTGCAGATAGTTGGACTATATAAAATTTACAGAAGATGCACTCAATTTTAAAGAACTCTCATGATGTTCAACTAGACTCATATCATATAAATTATAGTATTATAAACAAAACGATTGATTTTCCTGATTAGAATTATAAGAAGAGATCACCAGAGAAACCAAAGGTTGTCCAACAAATAATAGCAAATTCATAGAATAAAAAGATTGTGTTGTCATGTATGTCCTATTTATGATAATAATTAGTAACAACCAAGACTCTGTGTCAGTATGTGAATCTGACTGCTAAGGAAATTGACGAGGACATTCAAGAGTTTGATGATGAACTGAGATTCATCGATATGATTCTGAAATTAATTCCTCTCGCATTGTGATTTTAATAATTGATATCTTAAATTTTTATATATATACAAATGTTATTGCATAGTTTCGGTTAAATTTATATTAGGCGTGTGTTTTGTATTAGATCAAAATAAAATTTAAATAAAATTCTTGCAAATCCATTATACCTAGAGTTCTTCAATTTATCAATTCGTACTAATCAGAAGATATAAATGATCAATTATTTAAGTTATATAACTACTTTTTGAATGTATTTAAATTCGAATATTTTAACATTTACTTTCATTATTATTTTTTCAAATGTCTTAAGCATATCAATAGATGAATGATGAACACCCTAATGAAATCGAGATTCCTGTTATTAAACCGCCCAATTAACAGGATAACGTAGCTCAACAAAGCAACCAAGAAAAAGCTACAAAGTAAAAAAATATTTGAATTTATAGAGTGCAAAAAAATAAGAAGAAGGTAGCTGATTCAGAATCATCCTCCTCTTCGGATGATGACAATAAACCCATAGTTAAGAAATCCGACTCTGGTGCTAAGAAGCATGGGGATAAAACGTAATTTTGATTTGTCACCACTATTTTAGGAAGTCTCTTTAGTTATAATAAATGGAGTTAGAAGAACATAACAAACAAGCACTAAAATGGGCAATCCGTCTAAGATCCTTCATTCGAATTATATTTTTAATCATAACAACAACAGTTTTGTTTACAGGCTTCTATGTAATATTCGAATTCTTTGCCTTTTATGACGGTATTTAAAAAATACCAGCAAACTCAAGATTGACTATGAATGTTACAAATTGCAGAATGCATATTATAGATAGCGTATTAACAATAACTAATTTTAGGAATACCAAATCACTAAATCAATGTCCTCAATCAAATATCTAGGTGCAAGCATAACCACCTTAAAAAAGAGAAACTCACATACCCAAAGTCTAAATTAAACGACCTTAGAGGGACCAAAATTAGGTGATGCGATTGATGAAAGTTCAAGCTTACTCATACCAGATTTTGCACTTGAATATTCAATCCCAGGAAGATTCAATATCGATCCAAATGCAAACACTTCGACGATCTCAGAAGATATTTAAGGTAGTAATTATAGTTACGAATTTACTAACTTATTGTCTGAATAAAGTTGTTAAATTGATCTCCACGTCTACAAACAAGCAGTTCTTGATGATTTATCAATAAATTGTTTTGGATCTTGTTTTATAGTGATGAACTCCAACAATATATCGTATAACACAATCAATATTGTAATTATTATCCTATAACCTTTCATTAGACAGGAGAATTAGTTGAGTTGAATGCGGTAAAATTAGTAACCAAGAATTTGACCTTCAACAGTATTTAAGGAAGATTCTAAGGAAATTATTTATAATTTGAATAGTTCTCTGATGTTCGACTAGAAAATGGCGATATCGTATTTTAAACTGATAATGAAATGATGGTTAACTGGACTCATGCCAATCCACATTATTGTTATGCAGCTCCAGTTATTGCAAATCCAATTGTCGTTGGTTGTCAAGAGGCACCAGCATCTGAAGTAAAGGCCTTTATTCAAGGAGTTGGTACTGGAAAGAAGAAGAAGAAGAAGGATGAAGACAAAGATAAGGATGATGATGATAAAGATAAAGATAAGAAGGATGAGAAAAAAGAAAAAAAAGATAAAGGAGGCGAAACAGAGTTTTTAAGTTTAGAGGATGAAATTTATGAAAGCTTTTTTGCTGATGAACATGAAAACTTATAAGGAAACATCATCTTATTACCATTTGTAGATACTTATAATGATTCCAAACAATTTCAAGTAGAATTAGATTCAATCACTCACGAAGAAGAAAAAGCTGCTGCTGTTCCTAAAAAGGATGCTGACCCCAAACAGGATGATAAAACTAATCCCAAAGCCAATATGTAGAGTAAAACAAAAGATGTAAAAGAAAAACAGGCTATCCTATTCCAACCATCTTGTTTTGGTAATTCAATCTTCTGCTAATCTTTGGAATGCTAAAGTATCAAAGATGCCTTAAAAAAAACTAACAACACAATTAAACCAACCAATTCAACTGACTAAAATCAAGGAAAACCTTCAGGATCATAATTAAGATTCTTGAAAGAAGGGGATGAAATAGCAAAGGATGATAAAAATGAGACTGGCAAGGACGCCAACAAAACAGAAGCTAAAATTGATTACAAAGGAATCTATGCAGAAGCATAAAAGAAATTACCTCACACAGTACCAGCAGGTTTGAGATTCTTAAACGTTACTGGAAGATTTGGAAATGTTTATGTGAACATTATCAAAAGATAAAATAAGACTGTTACAACCAAGGATACTGTTATTCATGGATTAAGTTATGCATCAGGAAGTGTCGACTTTGATTTACCTAGTTAAAAAACTCTTAGACATTATCTCAAAATGGCTGAAGATCCTCATAACTTTGATCCCAATTTTGTCCTTAAGGTCGGATCCAAAATCACTAGATCTGATAATTATCAATAATGGTCATTGACTTACAATCCTGCTTACTCATATGTAAAACCTTGGTGGATGGGTACTTTCTCATTTACTTTGATGAGTACAGCATCATGGACTTTGGATTTGAATTTGAGTCCAGGATTCTGTCCCTATCATCCTGCTTTAGATTTGGATGATATTTACAATACTAGATTCTTGATCGGAAAGTACTTTGAAAAAGCTGAACACTCTATTACAACAATTTCATGGTAAAATTCAGTTAAATTTCCAACTGAAAACTATCCAAAGGAAGCCACAGGTTTACGTAAATACATTGAATCTAATAATGAATTTGAAAGATGGATTGAAATTGTTAAATTGAATGAAACAAGCTATTAATTAACAAACATCAACTTAGATTAAAGTCCAGCAACTCAATGGGCTGTCTATGTATCAGTCCTCATCTCAATATTAACAGCCTTCTTTTTAATGTTGGGAGTACTTTACATGATAAATTCAGTTTACAAATAAATTCTAGAGTAGGTCGCTGCAACCAATAAATATAGTGGTATTGAAAAAAAGAATGATGCTGATGGAGCCTAACCTTTAATGAAAATTGCTCCAGAAAAGGAAGATAAAGATGACAAAAAGAAGGATGATGGTTCTGATAAAAAAGATGATACAGACAAAAAGAAATAATCTTCATAAGATATGGAAATGTAATTAATCTTTATATATATTTTAGTGTTTTAAACATGAATTTAGGTAGATTACTATTTCAATTGTTTGTTTTGGCCCCTCCTCTATCAGCCTTCATAGATTATCTATGTGTATTGATAAGCAAAAAGTACATCAACTCAGCTGAGGAATTCTATACTCACTTGTTTTAAAAGAAATAAAAAAGTAATACAGATTCAGAATTACATAATTTGACAACAGAGTCAATTCTAGGAAATGAGATGAAAACATTGTATGAAAAGTTTTGTTTCCTCAATGGTTTCCTTGAGTAAAAGTTGGATGACGAGAAGAATCTCAAATTACTCAAGCAAAAGGGCTTTAAGATTACCCTTAAGGAAGATGCCCAAACTGAATCTTACATTAGAGTACTTCTTAATGGTATGATGCCTAAATTACCAGTAATCACACCAGATAAAAATCCATTAGAATTATTTATCAACAATTGTTGTAAATTAACTAACTTCGAGGAGGACAACATTGTTGTGCAAACCTTCAACGAATAATATTAGGAATTTTGTGTTTTGAATCATTTACCCTATGAACAACCATCAGCTTCAGAATTACAAAAGAGTTACAATATCACCAGCAAATATATTCCATAACAGTGGGTTGAAAGAGATGAGGAAGAAGTCCATAAAGAGGATGATGCTCCTCCTTCATTTATGATGAAAGTGCAGAACTGCTTAACAGATTGCCTTAAGAAATGTCTACCAGAATAATAGACCTACATTATTAACAGATAGAAGATGTAGAATCACTATTCGTTGATTTTGAATAATCCTGAATTGATAAAAACTTAGGCTGAATTAGCAGAAGCAAATAGAGAACTTATTCTGTTTGGAGGATGGTGGATGGTTGATTTCTTCACAGTACTGGCTCACTTCATAACAACAGTTATTTTAATTATTCCTCTTTTCTCGTTTACAATCTTAGAAAAAATATTATATGCTCAATACTCTCTGATTCCAATCTAATATTTGATTACCTTAGAGGATATATTATAGAACTATTGGGTTGTGCCATTAAAGTTATATAACGAAAGTACTTGGATTAAGAATGTCTTAATTTTGGTTGGTATCTATTGGGTCTATTCAATTATTGATTTGCTCTACTATTACATCTCAATGTAATTCCCATAGGAAAACTTCTTTAGAAAGGTGTCCCCTAAGACAGCAAATAGAATTCAACTGATTTTCAGACAAATTATGTGGGCATTGGTATTGTATTCAGCATATCAATTATGTGTTTTTATCACTCTGGCATTGGTATGGTTACTCTTAGGTGCTATTGTGAATCCCACTGCATTTTTGCCATATGCAACTGCAGCTGCAACCTTCATTACAGTCGTCAGTTCAAAGGCTGCTCAATTCAAGGAGATAGCAACTGATGGATTTGAAACTGTTATAGCATACGTGTAGAAGATTGCCAAAGATCAAATGGGCGGTATGATTGCTAAGATGGACTTAAAAGGTAAGATGCACGACATGATGGACAGTGACGCATTCAAGTCTGTGGCAGGATAAGCTGCCAGTTTGGGATTGGTTGATTAGAGCACTCTTGCTCACATTGAAGAGAATGCTGATGCTTTATTAAGTAATCCAGACAAGGCTTTAGAGGCTGCATCCAATGCTGCCAGTGAGTTGTAGGCAATAGCAGCAAATCCTTAAGCTTTCGTTGCCAAAATGATGAAGGAGTTGGAGGAGAAGGCCATTTAGATGTTGAAGGAGTAGATGGCGAAATAGATTGAAGGATATGGATAAGAATTAGCTAATATTGCTTTGGCTCTTTTTAAGAAGGATAAAAACATGTTCAAAAATAATCTCACTTAGTTAATTTACACTGCAGCGAACACTTTGAAACTTGATAGTCTTAAGAAGATTGGTCAACCAATAATGTCTTTTGTTTGGGAATTTGCTTATCCCAGTGGAAACACAGCTCAGATGAGTCCAGAAGACTATTTGGAAGCATTGATACAACCATGTGCAGAATGCTTTGCTTAATTGATTCAATAAGAGAGTGCCATCTTATTCCAAGATTAGGATATGTAGATGTTTGAGCCAAGAATATTGTCCTTGGTTTTAAAGAAGGCTATTTCATTACAAAAGCATTTATAATAAGAAAACTTCTTGGGAGTTTTTAATGATCTAGATTAAATCATCAAATAATTGAAGGATGAACCGTAATTCACTTAAATTAAGTACTTGTCAAAGTATTCAGGATTGTTGAAGATTGCCATGTCACTTTTCGAAGGTAGAAAGGGTAATTAAATTACTTTCCACAAAATATTCGGAATTATTTCAGGTTTCTTTGATGAAATTCCATAGTTGAAGGACATGAAAGATTTATTGGGTTTGATTGAATTGTTAGTTAACTCATTCAATAAATAACACAAGGCATTACCAACCAAATTGGTTAGATAAAGAATATCAAAGGCATTAGATGTTATTAATGGTATGATTAAAGGTAGAAAGTCTAATATGGATAAAATATTGGAAAATCCCTCTTTAATAACTTTGTTGTTTAATTTCATGTAGCATAACTTTGAGAAGATTCCAAAGGAAGTGATTAGAGATGTTTTTAAATTTATTTTTGAGAATTTCCATGATGAGAGTGTGAAATCAATTAGAGATTTGGTAGTCAGTGAAAGAGAATTCAAAAAGCTTATTCCATTAATGACAGGCGTTTTTGAAATGGTTAGTCTGTTCATGGAAGATTCTAGAGAATTGACTTCAAATTTGCATTTATAAGCAAATGCATTCTCTATTGATGAGAAGAAAGCTCAATAATTATAAGCCGTTGCTTCTATAAAATATTACAAGTATACTACTTATGAAGGTTCAGAGAATGAGGAGAAACTCTTTGAAAAGTTGCAAACCAATCCATTATTGATGAACTTGGCTACCTCTTTGAGATTGGATACCAAGACATTGCTTGCCATCATAGCTGTGCTTCTATAATTGTACTCCAAATAGGGCTTGTAAGACTTGTTTTAGATTATTTCTAAAATCCATAAGACTGAAGTCAATAGAGTTAAACAGTTCTTTTCACTCTTGATCTTATTCAAATGCAACAATGCAACTCATTTATCTAATGCATGTGTAGACCTAGATATACCTAGGGAATACGTTATATTGGTATTATTGGGAAAGAAAGTGCTCGACATTGCATATGCAGATGAAAGCAACTTGGAGAAATTGGGAGCTAGTAATGAAACCATAGATGCTATTAAAAGTCCTGACTTTGAACTCAAGGCATGGATGCAAAAACTCAAAAAGGATGTGGTTGCCAAAGAGGATAACTCAGTTCAGGGAGGAAACTCTGGCAGATTGAAGACCTTTTTAATTGAAACTATATCAGATCCTGCTTGTTAAATTACAGCTTAAAAGGTAAAGGATATTCTAATGGACGTCGGAAACAATAACAACCAGTTTGCTCAAATCACTTAAAGAGAAATCGATTTACTCACCAACATCTTATTGTTGAAGAATATTGATTTGTTCACTTCTCCATAAGCATTAACTAGTGACACCAAGTAAAGTGTATATGCATTTGCATCAATTTTGAATGTTAACAAGTAATTCTTTGAAGATTTCATCAACATTATCTTTTTGACTAATTCAGATAGAGTAATTCAATCTATTCAAAATTCCCAGCCTAAAATTGATTCAACTAAGGGTGATGAATTCATTTCAAAAGAGAATCAAAAAGATTATGAGAGTTATTTGGAATTCATGTATTCTAAGATGGAAATGATCCAAAAGAAACATCAATTCATTTATTCCAAAATGTAAAACTTATTCCCCATGATCAAATTGCCATTGCCATTAATTGAAAAGTTGTTATTCAATAAGGATAAAGGAATGGATGTAAATTCCTTTTATTAATTGGCTTACTTGATCATCGAGAAAGATGAGAATGGAAAATTACCAAAGGGAACACTCAATTAATTGAATAAATCAGTTTCATTTTTGACATCCACTTTAAATAGTCAAAATGCTAAGGATTTGAAGTAGGCTTTGGATAAGAAAGACTTAAATGATGGGTAGGTGTTGGTCATTTAAATGCTTAATGAAAATTCAAAGTAGAGATCCATTACATTGTTATTGAATTTCTTGATTCAAAATAGCAAGAGAAGTAAGAACGATGAGAAAAGACCACTTCCATAGATTTATCACATTTTCGCTTGTCTTTATCTCTACTTCACAGGGTAATGGTGTGATTTAACATTGACATTCGAGGATCTAGAAACAAAGCAAATCCAGAAATAAAATATTTTGTAATATTTGACTAAAAAATTGGACATCAAATAGGAATTCTTTGAAGCAATTCATACATTCTTTTTGAATGACAATCAGAAGTTCACATAAACAATGGTTAAATTTATGAGAAGATAATAAGCATGTAAATTCGAGAAGGAGAACCCAGGAATTAAGATACCATTGTAATCTTTGGTTAAAATTCCTGATCAATTTGTCTTGAACTTTATCAATCTGATCACAGGTCAAGGATATCAAACTTCATTCTTCTCTAAAGAACTCTCCATGGATTCTGGAGTAGTTGAAATGATCAGTACATTAACAACCATCAAAAATGCTAAGGTGTCTTCATAGAGAATACAAAATTATCAATACTTGTCAACATCCTCTAAAAAGTTGGGACCATTGCTAGATAAAGTTGGAGTAAAGGGAGATGAATTTGTGTTGATTTTGTAGATAATCTTCCAAGATTATGAAATAAATAATATTTAGGCTTTGATAAATGGATTGAAATTGGAGTAGAAATTAAAAGTTTAGGGAGTTTAAAATTTATTGCAATTAGATAAAACTGTATCCAATTATGACAAAGATTGGTTGAAGCAGATTTCGTCAATAAAGGACAATTAATTAATCAAAGACATGAAAGTTAATCCTGAAATAGCAGTAATGACTAAAGGGTTGGTTAGAGGAAAGTATACAGGATTGGAAGCATACATTAAGAAGCTTCCCCAATTTGATTACGCTTAATGTGATGGTAGAGCTGAGTACTTTGGATTATTGTAAGGTTTGATAGGTTGCATAAGTGGCCCAATCCCAGACTAGTTTAATGTGAAGGGATTCTTGGCTAATCTTTACAAATTACTGGAAGACCCTAAAACTAAGGATATTCCTTAGGAATTGACTCCAACAAACAATTCAGTCGAATATGCCATTTATAAATTGGTTTAGATAATTCAGATTGATCCAATAGTGTTAATGCTTACTCAAGGAATGATTCCTGCTTGGAGATTGATTTAAGAGACTTACATCAATGAGGAAAAGAAATGGATAAACCCAGTTTTGGTCTTGTCCACCTTTTTGACATTCTAAGCTATTCCAACACTGTTGAAAGAAATGTTTGGAGAGGTTGAGTGGTTTAGATAAATGGATGAACTATTTTAGAAGATTTATTACAATGACTAAGTAGAAGTGCCAGATTTTGAGCCTTTTTGGGGTGAACCTGATTGGATCTAAGAGTAGGAAGAATGCATTGAAGAAGTAAAGAAGAAGCTCTTCTCCGACACTATTGACTCAATTGAGGAATTATAAGATATGGTGGATATATGCAATTTCAATCCACAAGTCATTTCATTTTTGAATATTGGCAAAAATGATATCAAAAATGCCTAATTGGATGTATTGGCAGATTCAGTGGAGATGTATGGAAACTTAACTGGTGATGATGATTTATTAGGAATTGCAAATATAATTAGAAATACACCATCAACTGATCCACAATTCAATAGAATTTCTTATGATCAAGCTGTGGAAATGTTGAAAGACGATCCTGAAGAATAGCAAAAATTAAAAGCCTTATATCCTTTGATATTGTATCAATAAATGATTAAGGTTTATCAAGAAACTTGCTCATTGTTCATTGATCCAAGAAGAAACATGGAATAGAAAGTGTTGACTGATTCATGGATAATGAAAGATATTGAATGTTAATAGACTCCTATTTTTACAATGGGAATTACCTCTACTTTAGCCAGCTTGAGAAGATCATTTTGGAATCCTCATGAGAATCAATAGCCTAGAGATGAAGAGCATTATAAAATCACTGTCCAATAGATAGACTTCATCTTGACTTCAGTCGAAAGAATGTACTATTTCAAGAATTTCACAGACTATTTCTCAAAAACAAAGGCAGCCATACTGATAGGATTGTCTTGTGGATTTGCAATTTCTGCTGAAAATATGATTTCAGCCAATTGTACTGCTAGTTTGGTCACTTATTAAAGAGCCTTGAAACATAAATCCTTACAAGCAAACCAATAACAAAAGGTGTTACACAAGTTTGACTTCTTAAAGGATCTAATTGAAAAGAGATAGGAGGAATATTGTTCTATGTAAAATAGATTCTTTAAGTCCTATCAATTTAATAAAATACTCAAGTATGGCTTAGATATTATTTCAGAGCCTGAAAATTATCTTAAGTTCTCAATTCAAAATATCGAAACTACGCCAGATTAAGGTATCAATTGGGATGACTACTTCTTTGATATCGGATTCTTACAAGGCAGTTCTCAAATAACTAAATGGATTAGGGCAGAAGGTGTTGATAAAAAGGTCAGTGCATAAACTCGATTACCCATTTTGAAAGAGAGACTTAAATAATTGATGGACAAAGAAATTCACGAATAACAAGACGCTATGAAAAAGGCATGGGTCAATTAACAAAAGTTAAACATTGATCCGAAATAGAATTCTTCTCAGGAACCTACCTTAGAAGAAGCAGTGCTTGAAGTTGTAGATGTGAGAACTGGTAAGAAGTGGCTAAGTGTTTTGAGTTCATAGGAACAATGGTCATAAGCATGTTATCAATACAATGACAATATAAGATTATTAATTGATATTTGGAAAGGCAATTACTAATCAATAATTGAACCAGATACCTATTTCACAGATGAGGAACCTGCTGCTGCCATGGCATATTATGGATTAGCTGCTTTGTCTGGAGCCTTTTATAAGGTTAAGAATGGATGGAAATAAAACACTCCTCAATAGTTATCAGCCTATTTAAATGCTTGTTGTTGGAATACTTCATCAAATAAGAAGAATTTGCAAGAAATTTTATCAGTCTTCTTGAAATCTTTCGAAGGATTCACAGTGTTGGCTCAATCATTGCAATAGAATGTCTAATTGGTTAACAGCTTTGTTAATTTGTCTATGTAATTATATGAGACTGACATTCAATAATCTGAAGATCAATTGACTTTGATCAAATCAATGAATCTCTCCTCTAATGACACTGAAGTCTTGAATTCATTGATAGATGCCTATTTGGGCAAAATGGATGTATATTATCAATTGGCTGATTACTCCCAAGTCATTAATCCTAACACTGCTACCAAATTTAAGCCAGTCTAGATGAATAATCTAATTAAAAAAAAGAGAGGAGATGCATAGACATAACAGAAATAGGAGCAATAATTAAATGAACAAAAGAAAGCAGAAGATACTAAACCTGAAGAGATTAAATAAAATCCCCCAGAAGAACAATAAAAATAATAATAACAATAATAATAAGGAAATGGATAGAATCAAGGCCCAGTTCCACCTGAATTATAAAATGCTTAATCAAAAGAATAAAAATAGAAGAAAGCACCTGAAAGGAAAGGAAAATCTAAATTATAATCTTCATTTGGTAGTTCTGGAGATAGATACTTTTCAATCAAAACAATTTTGTTAAAACTACTTTATGGATTTGACCAATCATAATTACATTAAATAGAGAAGATTGATGCCGTTAGATTTGATTTTAGCAAATATTCAGCCCTATCTTCTGATCCAAAAAAGACAGAGGAATACTTTGTATTGTTGTTATGGTAATTGGCCTAAGCAATCACCAAAGAAACATTGCCCAATGACCTTAGATTACCAATCCTAACTGATTTTGAAATAGGATAATCAAACGATTTAGCAAATGAATACAAGAATAATCTGACAACCATAAGATTAATCACCTAATTCATAATATAGATAGTAAATGACGATTATTCATTCTTTTTCTAAAAAGATGATGATGTCTCTGTGGTTTTGCAAAAACTGTCCTTTACTAAAGAGGATCCTCAAGTGGAATTGCAATTCCTAAGAGCCATGATAGGTTTGAAATCCAATAAGATGATGCTTATTTAAAATAAACGAGCACTTCAAAAGAATAAACGAAATAGTCAAAATGCAAATAAACCTGAATTGTAACTTGATATTCAAAAACAAGTTGAAAATTTAATTGAATCCAAAATTATTAATATTAAACTTGAGAATAAGAGTGACTAAGAGAATGAAGATCTTTCAAAGAACATTGCTCTATTATTTTTAGCAATATCAAGTGGTAACATTGAGAAAATGTACACGGCTATTTTACCACATGATTCCATGAGTGCTGGATTCATTTTGACTATGTTCATGTGGAAAAACATATCCACTATTATTGGTAATGAAGAATTCTTAAAGCCAGATAATGCTATGAGAATCATCCCACCTTTACAATTATTGCCATTGTTGATCTATTCTTAAATTAATGAACAATAAGATAAGAAGAATGGAACTCTCAGAAATAACCAAAGATAAAAGGTTATTACATCCTTCCAAATAATCTTAAATGCAATTAAAAAGAAATAAAACAAACCTGGACATAGTGACCAGGAATTCTACAACAAAATCGAAAAAATGTCGTAAAGCAGAAAAAATCAATCTTTTTCATGGAGTTTATGGCTATTGAAAATGCCTGATTTCTTGAGAGTTTAAACATAAATTCAAATGGAAATGGAAAAGGAAGTAGACAAATCAAAGAAAACAGCATTTTCAAGGAGAGAATGTGATTTCATATTCAAAATTATGACAGGATCATACTTTGTTGAAAAGATTGAGTAAGTTAAATTCATTGGTCCCATCTTTAACTTGTATAAGATTTGTAATCAAATCATTAACTATCCTGAAACTGTAAAAATCTAGAATATTGATTTCAAAAAGATTATTCCAAATACAATAATTACAATAAGTGATTATGTACCAGATGCTATCAGAACCTATTTAGGTGTATTCGACAAGTTTGTTTAATTGTTTGTTTTCATCTAAATACCAGAGAGATCATTGAAAGCAATGAAGGACTCTTCGGACAAGTTAGAATAATAAAAAAATTTAGTTGGATCTCAAGTTCACTCTTAAAGAGATGAAGAAGAGTAGGATTATGAAGATGAAGACGAAGATAGAGATGATGAAGTAGATGAAGATGATGATGAACAGGAGGATGAAGATGAAGATGATGAAGAAGCAAATGATAATGAAGAAAAAAAATAATAGGATGATGCTCCTGCTGATGGATTAGCTTAGATTACTGAGACTATTAATGAGTTCATTTTAGATGTGTTAGGATAGACTGTTAATTCCCTATGGTTAAGCTTTAAGGAAGAAAATAGGTAGTCTTTAAGTGATTAAATCGATAAACTCAACAAAGAGATCAATGAAAAGAAAGCAAACCAATTAAGATAAGATTAATCTAAAAGATTAAGCACCAACCTCCCCCTTTTAGGCCAAGGATAATTGTTGTAACCACAGATATAACAAGGATAATAACTACCCATGCAATAACAATTAGGAGGACCTATTGTGGGACAAACTTAAATAGTAATGTAATAATAAATAACAATGCAATCATAAATCCAACAATAAATTCCTTTGTAATAGTAAATACCTTTGTAATAATAAATACCCTTATAATAATAATTACCCTTGCAATAGTTAAACCAACAAATGGGAAATTAATAACAAATTATGCCACCTTTGGCTATGGTTCCCTAAGGATACAATTTCTAAGAAAAAGCAAAGAAATTGTCAGAGTTGTAAGTTTAGTTGACTAAGATTGATGAACAATCGACTTAAGTGAAACGATTAATATCTGGTATCATTTTATTGCTGACTGGATACAATATTGATGATTTGAAAGCTTAAAATGATGGTGAGAAGAAACTTCAGGTTTTGTGTTTCATTATTGATTCAGTTCTCTTTAAGAATCTCAATCTATTGCAATACGTGAACACAGTGATTATTAGAGAACTATTCTAAGAAATACAGAATATCAACAATTGCCCATTGAAGTCCATTACTAATTAAGACTTTTTATTCCAAATTGAATCCTTATTGTACACCTTGACTGGTCAAGATCCTAGCAATGAGGTTAAGGATAAGAAATAAAAGGGTGGAGTTGTTTAATAGAAGGAGAAGCAAGCATCAAAGTCTGATCAATGGACTATTGTATTACCTAAACGAGCTAAAATAATTGAATTACCTATGGGAGTGATCAAATGCATCTTTGGATTGGCTAGTTACAATTTCGAATATGTACCTAAATTGTTGAAGGAATTGTCAGTTAGTGACAGTGCAATAAAGATTGTTGAATAAATTATTAAGTAAGTTTAAGAAATGGGAGTATTCGGAGGTAAATAGTTGAGCATTGGTGGAGGACAGTAAGATTCAAAGAAAGCCAAAGAAATATAGGAATTGATGAAGAAGATTCAAGAGGGAACAGCCACCAATCAAGATATGTTTAAAGCTATTGATGGTAAAATATATTAAATATATTATTTTAGAGGATGGAACTAAAACTATCAGTAAGTCAGAATATGGAACACTAGCAAAGAGATTAGGTATGAATCTGTCTGAGCACAGAATCAATGAAATCTTTGCTAACATCAAGAAGGGTTCTTCTTCAGCCAATTAAGATTCATTAAATGAAAAAGAATTTGACTAAGCTATGAAATATCTATAACAGAAGAACACAGACATGGCTTTAGATTTTCTGGGAATTTCTCCAGGATTATTAACAATGCTCTTAATACAAGGAGCAATCATCCTATTGTTGATATTTATCTTTATCTTCTTGGGAATTCAGGCCTTTGCTCTTGGTGGTACATTTGGTGCAGTAGTTAACAGTATTCTACCAATGGGTATTTATAATATATTAATTATTTAGCTGCTGGAGGTGGAGCAGGAAGCAAGGCGGAGAAAGTTAGTGAAAAGAAAGGAGATGATGATTAAATTGGAGACTCTGTTGATAAAACCCAAAAGATCATCTAATCAGATACAATTTGATTATTTATAAATATATAATATAGTAATTCTAATTTATTGAGTTGTTATTTTAAAATATTCATAACATATTAAAAGAAATATTCTATTAAAATCTAAAATAAAATAAATAATAATTTATGAAATGTGAATTTTGAGCATCCCCATAAATTCAATTCAACATTATAATATTTTGATTGATGTTACAATTGAAAACTAGTATATTTAAATAACATTCAATATAATTTCAATTAGTAACCATATACATCATTGAGTAATTGCTGAGCAAAACTTACACAGTCTTGATAATCTTTGTCATTAAACTAACTCAGTTTTCGTATTAACTCAATAACGAAATCACTTGTAATAAACTCTTTGATTTTTTATTTCATGTCAGTTATATTTTAAAAGAAATGAGAGCAATCAAAGATGCAACAAAGAGTTAACCTTACGTATTCCTAAATTGATATTTAATATATTTACAATAGTAGGTTTTAATTTTAAGTTGCACATTTCTTAACAAAATATGATAAACCATTAAACTGTGTCTCCCAACTCATAAATAGGAGTTTTCGGATCACAATATGCGTGTAACATACAAGTATAGAATGCTGTCATTGTTTCTTTCAACCTTTCGGCATAATCCTGATCAACACTTAGTTTGCTCTTTGTTAAATCTATGCTAGCTGCGAAACCTAATTTAAGAATATCTTTGAGATCATTCACAAACGGAGCTGACTTCTCTTTCAAACCTAATATGATATCTGCAATTGCATTATAAACTTAGATCTTCAATTCCCTATTGAAATTGCCATTCTAATTAAAATAACAATCTTAAATACCTTTATTAATCCAAAGAAATAATTTAAAATATTCATATAGGGTACAAACTCCTCTTCCATGGCTCTGGCAATGTCTGATAAACAGAAGAGTGCAGTTTTGAAACTGTCCATGTCATCTGGTTCTGAAAGTGGTTTATTCAATTCAGAGATGATTTAAGTAGAATATTTGGTTAACTTCTTTTTGAAGGCATAAGCAATCCCAGAAAGTACGTAAAAGTAGTCATTCTTAACTCTAGGATCGACTTTTGATAGAGTTTTCATGATGTCTTCAAATTACTTCTCCGAAGTTGTGGAATCATCTAATCTAACAACACATCCATGCATGGCACTCATTAATCCCATTTCAAGATGATATTTGATCTCAACAGGATACTAATTTTTACTCTCTAGAAACTGAATTTATTGATAAAATTGCACCAAGTAATCATTACATAACTTAGTTTCAGTCACACTGTAAATGATATTTAAAATTGCCATAAATGCAGTATCAATGAGTGCGATCTCTGAATTTTTGATGTCTGATCTAATTGATGTACTGGCTAGATGTTAGAGAATGGCGAATTTCTCTTTTGTGAATACACTATTTTGAAAATTGGCTAATCCTTCAGTTAAGTAGACAAACACCCAAACCAAATTTTGTACTATTGGTATTTTATTAGATAATTAATCCAGGAGAGTGAGGAGCATTTAGTTGGCTTAATCATGTTCGTGAAAGCACTGAGGATAATTTTCAGCTATTCTACTTAGAGTTTGAGTAGTGGCTTTTTTTACTTTGATATTTTAATCAACAAGACAACCAAATAGACTAGTTAAAGCAGATTTAATCAAAAGCCCAATTTCTTCAGTTTATACTTCAGCCAAAGCTCCAAAAGCCATAACACTTGCCTTCCTATATTCCCATTGTTAGTTTGTCATAGTATTTTATATAAAGTTTTTAACAGAATCATAAGTACTACTGCCAGCAAATTCAATTATGTAAGCTAGTCCTTTAACTGAAGAATTTGAAACCGACAATTATTGATATTCGTCTTCTGCATCTCCATCATCCAATAACAGATTGCGCATAAATGGAATGATGAATCCTTCATAGTTTTTCTTAAAAAATGAAACACAGCAATCAACAGAATTGGTTTCTGGAGTTTATTGATTAGAATTCTCGGAGATGATTTCTTTAATTTCAGCACAAATTGTATTCCAAATTTCTATGGCTGCAATAGTGATTTCTCCTTAATTCTCAAATGCTGCTTGAGTAGTTTAATAGAGATCTGAAATGAATACAGGCAAGAAGGCAAACAACTATTTAACATAATCAATTAGACATTGTAGAGACTTAAGTTTAATCTCTTATATGTTAGACACGGCATTTTATAAAATTAAGTTTTTTACAAAAGTAAATATTTCCTACAATAGAATATTGCAATCTTACTTATTTAGTGAATAGATTATTCATAAAGTAAAGTGAATCTTATAGGGCTTTGATTGCAGTGATTCTAATCTCCAGGTTCTACTCATTCGTATCCATCCCAACGCAAATTCCCATCAGAATCAACGTAGCATCTGCCTCTGAAATACCTGAGGATTGATTGTTTTTCTATCTATTATATATCTATATACCAGTGATTCACATATATATCCCAAAGTCATGATGGCTGACACTTTCACTAAGACATTACTGTGCTTTGAGTTGGTAGTCAATCTTTAGATAAGATCTGGCCATTCCTAGCGTGGTAACTCTATAGCACAAATCTCACTGATAGTCTAGTGTATAGAATTGATTTATTACATTAGCAGCTGATCTTCTAATCTCATGTTCAGGATCTATTAATTATTCCATGAACTTAATTTTTACTTCATTTTTAGTGTTTTGAGAACAAGCCAACCACATGATCTAATTCGAAGGATGCTTAAATATATTAACTAAAAAACATACAATCAATCCAACCAATCGTTTTATTAAGGTACTGCATGCAATTCGGAGACGATTCTGAATTGCGCGATTTGCAAATGCAGATACACAATACATAAGAAATTCGTCTGTGAATTCGTCCTTATACTTCAGGAGTACTTGTTCAGCCTATCCACGCTGGTTGTTACTATCAAAAAAGGCACATTGCACTAAGTCTAAAAATTGTTGTGGCTACATTTTGTGTTTAATTTTAAAATAATTAGTATTTTAATTAAATTATGTTTACATTATGTTAGAATCAATTTAAGTTGGGTAATAATAATAATTGAAGAAATCAATTGATTCCTTTATTTTATATAACTAGAAAGATATTAACAATGGTTTTGTATATCTATATTGTTATATCATAATTCTCATTCTACTAGTTAATGTCTAAGTTTCGACTTATGCTTAGACTAAATCTTTTTATCATCCTTTTTGAGATCCACTTACTTCTCGACTTTTTTCTCCATTAACTTTAGCTTCCTTCCAAATTGTTGCACTTTCTTAAATTATTTCTCTCTTTCTGAATCACTAGTCCATTTCTTATCTTTATGTGTTTATTCTTGCCTTTTTTATGTCTTACAAGTTCTCTCATAGTTTTCACTTTAATTATTTCTCTTATTATAGTTATTTATATTACGACATTAGATATGTCGATTATCACCTACTTATAAAAAGGCATTCTCCACTTCTTCAAAATCCATGAATATTAATTTATGTTACAAAAACACAAAGATCAATCAAAGCAGTTAATCATGAATATATCACAACAATACACTATACTGCTCAAGATATGAAATTGAAATATTCTTTAATAATTAATTTTTCAATATTTAAACACCGTCATTAGAAAATAAAATAGCAACATTAGTATGTATTAAGGGTACAAATTTATTTATTAGCCTCATTAATTCTAATTGTCTTTCTTTACCATCAATTTCTAAAGTAGCCAAATTGATAATAATAAATCTATATACACCTATCATAATTCCATAGAAGGATAAATTTATTAAATATAAACGCAAAGTTTTTTCTTATTGTCTCAAGAATTTGCATCAATTAAATTATTAAACTATTCAACACAAAATCTTTGCAATTTTTTAACTTGACATAGAAAAGTGGCTTGAAAATAAGAGATACTTGAAAAATCCTTAAAATTATAAAATCTCTGTAAAATTGAGAAGATACAATTTAAAATTAATCTCTTTCAATATATTGGCTCAATAAGTTCATATTCTATTTATAATATTATTTCTAAGTTACTATTTATATCCACTCAAGGATTGTATTTTTTAATTATTCTAGGGATTTTTTAAACAATTAATAGTATTACTATTATCAGTCAAAATACAAAATTATCATAAACTTTCTATTAAATTCAATATTATTAAATTATTATTTTATAGGAATAAAAGAAGAATATTTTATAAACAACATAAGTATTACCCATTTATAATATTTATACTAAATAGAGTTTATATAAAATATTGATTGAGTTTAAATTATGGATAATTAAAGAGCTTTAACAATTAAAACGTTATAATTTCTAAAAAAAACGATTTATAATCTTGAAGGGGAATGCGAGCGGAGAGTAAAATAAGTTAGACATAGTGATTAAATATGGATTCAGAACAGTAAAGGTTACTTTGAAAGATGCTTTCTAATAATCTTATCTATAAATCAATGAACAATAGAGGATTTTTAGGGTTAAGCAGCTTTATTCCGATACAATTATTCTTGCAAGGCATCCTTCACATTAGATTTGAGCTTAATTTATTTTCTAATAGTTTTTGTTTATTTATATTGATCTAGGACCAAGTGTGCCTTCATGCGTTATTCCTTTTCCCTTTATTCATTTTTAAAAGTTGATTCCAACATGATAGTTTTTTGTAGGTTGACTTTTTGAGAAGTAATTGTGCATCCCATTTTAATAAATATTATTTATAAATAAATGGCTGTAGAGACAATATATTATAGAATTTAAACATCAAATTAATTCTTTCACATTAATATTGAAATTTATTAAATTATTCAAATTCTACGGGTAGAATTATTCATCACCTTGAAAATCAGTAAGAAATAATTATAAAAATACAAAAAATGATAAAAACTAAGTTCAATTCATACCAACAGAATTCTCCTATAATGTGGGTAATACAATCAAATGATGAAGAATTAACAGATATTATGTCTAAATTCTTTAAAGATTTATCAATAAATAATAGAGAGATATAAACTTCAATTTTTATATTGCTCATAGCACTATTAATTTAGATATATTCTATTATACATATGGATCGATTAATTAGTGAAGACTTCATTCAATACAACAGAGTTAGCAGGAATAACCCAATGATAAATAGATATAATTATTAAATGAGGAATTTAAAATAATTTAAGTCAAAGGATTCATGATTATTTTGATTAATCAAAGACAAAGATCTTCTCGTTGTTTGATTGATACTCATACCCAGCAAATTATTATTGAGCATTGGGATCTCGTAACAACTAAATGTTTTGAGCAATGAGATCGGCGTTTTCCTCATCTTCGATGACAATTTGTCTTTAATCAAAATTGTCATCACTGGGATTGGGAATAAAGGGAGCCTTCAATTCCCTGTTTTAGAGCTTTGACCAAGGAAAGTTTTTGAACCACGGATGCAGTTTGATCTCGTGGCCACCATTGAAACCGAGACGACTTGCTGGTTTGCGTTGGAGCAGTCGGTTAACAAAATCGACAGCTTCTGCGCTCCAGTTTGGGGGTACTTCACTAGCCTTGATTTGGACTTGTCGAGCAAGAATTTAATCACGGATCTCTTGACGAGACCTGCCAACATAGGGACGCTAAGAATATTGACATAATGATATATTACCCTTCCTAACATAAATTCATAGGCAATGACTCCAAGTGCATAATAGTCGACAGCAAATGTATGATTTTGTCGACACATGACTTCAGGTGCTTGTTAATGAATTTATATAAATCAATAAATACCCATATAGCCAGGAGTTCCAGAGGTGTCGCTTGAATTTTCTTATTTCATGACACGAGCGATTCCTAGATCAGTGATATGGACAAATCCCTTTTCATCGAGGACTAAGTTTTCTGGTTTGATGTCTCTATGAATGATGTTATTTGTATGTAGATACTCGAGACCAATGAAGATAGATGCCACAAAGAACTCTGAAATGTTATATGATACTTACTAGTCTGTTCTTCATTGAAGCGACGCATTCTGCCAATGTGAAAGCGCAGATCACCGCCACACATGTAATCCATGACTAGGTAGAGGTTCTCACGATCTTAGAAGGCGTAATACATGTTTATGAGGAATGTATGTTTAAGTTAACTAAGTAGCATTCGCTCATTCATAACAGAATTCACGCTTTTCTTAGTGATAACAAGTGCTTTGGACATCTCTTTCATTGCGAACTGTTGACCTGTTCTTTTGACCTTCCACACCTTCCCAAACCCTCCAATACCGATTACATATTCAAAAGTGAAGGCTGCCTTATTTATTTATTTTAAATCGGTGGCTTTTGGACTCACCACTTCGGCATCCTTGTTTCCTTTGCGCACTTGTGCAGAGTCATTGCGGATATGAATGGGTCCTGATGGAGTTTTGGCTGAGATGGCAATGGCACGAGCTTTGGCTATCAGTTGAGTCATCGAGTCTTTGGATCCCTCCGAAGATGATTATTTGACTTTCTGTTGTTTCATCAATGTTGCCAATTTCATTAGATCGATTGAAGAGTTTTTGTGAGGATAGAGGGCTTTAGGCAAACTCACTTGGGTTGGAGACACAGCAGGACTTTAGATCGTGTACTAAGAAGGACTTTTGGACTTTAACAACAAAGTGTTGATGAGTTTATTATTGGGACTGATAGCCTAACTCATCTTAGGAGTTTGCTTCATTATATTAATTAATGAGTATAATTGAATTGAGAGTTTGTGGAAGGTAAACAGCAGCTATATGAGCATAGGTATAAACTGGGCCCAAAGATAGGAGTTGGCAGCTTTGGTTAAATCTACCTTGCGAAGAATGTCCAATCCAACCAAGATGTAGCAATTAAAATCGAGGAAGTCAAATCCAAACATCCCTAGTTATTATATGAAGGCAAGATTCTGTAAAATTTGCAAGGAGGAGTGGGTATCCCATCTATGCTATGGTTAATTTGTTTGTTTCATACTTTTTTAGGTGCGGTTAGGAAAATGATTTCAATTTCCTCGTTATGGATCTTTTGGGACAAAATCTGGAAGAATTACTCGTCTTATGCAAAAGGGCATTCACACTCAAAACAGTGCTCATGCTTGCAGATTAACTGATATCCAATCTAGAATACATACATTTTAAAAATTATGTTCATCGAGACATTAAACCTGAGAATTTTCTTATGGGATGTGCTAAGAAATCTCATATAGTTTACACAATAGATTTCGGACTTTCCAAACGATACAGAGATGCTCGAACTCATGACCACATTCCTCAGAAAGAAGGAAAGCCTCTTATTGGAACAGCCCGTTATGCCAGTATCAATACTCACAAGGGAACTGAACAATCAAGAAGAGATGACTTAGAGGCTCTAGGCTACATGCTCATCTACTTTTTAAAAGGAACATTGCCTTGGTAAGGAATTCGAGCCAACAGGAAGGAAGAGAAGTACTAGAAAATTATGGAAAAGAAAATATCCACTCCAATTGATCAATTATGCAAGGGTATTTTGTTGTTCATTTAACAATAATTAGGTGTTCCTAATGAATTTCAATAATTCATGAACTATGTCAGAAATCTTAAATATGATGAAAAACCAGACTATTCTTTTTTGAAAAAGATCTTCAAAGAGAGATTTGTCAAGGAAGGTTATGAATATGATTATGTCTACGACTGGATTTTAATCCCAATGAGTACTCGCAGTCCATTTTATAGCAGTAAAATACCATTAACCATTGAATTACTTTAGAATGAAGAGAAGTAAATTTACTAACATAATCCTTAGATTTTTAATCAAAGAATACGACAAAGATAGGTTTGGAGAATCCAATTTTAGTAACTGGAATATGGTTGACGATTTGGATCATAATTTAGAAGAATTAGATCAATAACCAGATTAAAATACTAAACCTGTTGAACAATAAAAACCAAAGAAATAAGAAGTGTAACAACCAGTATAGCAATAAAAGAAAGACAAAGATTGTTCAATATTCTGAAATAAATATTGCTATTAAATAAACAATTATTTATATAATTCATTGATCTAAGATTCGAAAGCCTTCATTTTAACTGTAGATTAGTTTTTTAATCTCTTTTGGAATCTGAGGCTTAATTAATTTGTTCAACTCCAAATCATTCCAATTTATGATGCCTTACTCCTAATCTAAATTATTTGATATCTTCGACTGTCTATCTTGATGATCTGTGATACTCCTCTTTTGATCCTGACTCACATAAACAAAGAAACACCCATTTTGTTATGCATCCTTCCTCACTACTTCATCTGACTCCACTCTTACATCAGTATCGTTATATCTATACCATTGATTCAGCATAAAATTGTAAATATAAGCATAATAATGTGACTTATCGTCTTTACCTATTTAAATAACTACTGCATGTAAGTAATACTAATAATCTTAATTTTATTCAGTCTATATTTAACTATCATTCTACAAGAAATATTTCTACAGTTCACTTTACACTTTCTTTCTTTCTATTCTCAATTAATCTATCACATTTATTGGAATTATTTTATTCTATTCATAACTCTATTCAACTATGATCAAAGAGTTCAATAATATCTATTCTTAAACATATTTATTGCATTTATACTTTAGTTGATTTCTTCAATTGTTTAAGCATTCACTACACTTAATAATCTACTACCCAGTTACTTGCACAACTTTTCATTAGTCAGAAATTCCAAATTTATTGTCAAAGGTAACCAATAATCCACATTTGATTGATTTATTGATGCCTAAAGATTAGTATTCTGATTTGATTGCAAACTGAAACTGAATGTTTTAGGAAGCTTCGAAAACCTATTGAATTAATCTTAACAAACTAATTTCAAAAGGGATATGTATAGATATCTATCTTCTCTTACAAAGTTGAGAATAATTTCATTAACCTACAGTTATTACTATTGTTATTAAATGATTTGAAATTGAGGTTATAATATTAGATCTAATAGTTTCTTTTACTGCTTTATCTCATAGACTTTATTGCATAAAATTACATCTAAAGTTATGATGAATATTTCGAAAAATTCATGAGGCTTTAGATTTCTATTAGAAATTTTTGTTTGTGTAATGATATCAATTACTTCAGTTGTTTATTAAATAAACTTCGAAGGATTCAAGAACCTTTAGTTAGTAAAAGTCAGCATTCTCACTATTGTTTAGAATTCTTACATAAAGGAGATCTATGTTTAATTCTAAATTTACATTTTTATCTTCATGATTATTGGGTTTTAATCCTGTTTACCAAGCCAATACTTTCTCTAAGAAAGCAGGATTCTAAACCAGAATTTAAATTATGCAATTAAAATACCCCTTCTCTCCTACATTAGCTAAGCCAACTGGGTATTGATAAATTCTTCTAAGAGCATGATCTACATTCTTGTTCAAGGATTTTTAGAGCATTTGATTTTTTACTTGGATTATTTCAGAGGTATCCTTTACTTGATCCTAAATCAAACTTAACTGTTCCTCTATTTTTTAGATATCACTCTTTTCTATCTTTAGTTTAGAGTTTTATTTATCTCCTTAATATGGATTGCTACTTTTTTTAGATTATAAAGGATTGATATTATTCTACCCAGGATTTTAACTGTAATTAACAATAGGCTTTACGTTTTAATTAGGATTTGGATCCGAAATGTACCCTCCTGCATTGGTTAAAAAATCAATAGCTTTTTCTACTTACCAGTTATTTCCTATTAAAACTTAAATAACCTTTTCTTTAGTTTGATTAGAGAATTCTGAGACCTATTAAATTTTCCCTTATTATTCTGGAGTAAATAGAATTGAACTCATTTAGATGCTATATTGGGTATTATATTTATTATTATATAATTCAATTTATTTGGGAAAAAAATTCACAATAATTATATGAATGCTTAAATTAAGGGTTTTATCAAATAATTAAATCTGTTGTATTCGAAAAAGTCTATAAATTAATGACATTAAAAATTTGAATTAAAGAATGTCAAATTAAACCAAAGAGGGAATCATTCGTATGTATGATAAAATAATAATAATAGATCGGAGAAAAAGTTATATAATTAAGATTAATTGATATTATGAATAGAATGACATAAAATATAAATGGAAGATGCAATTTTTTATTTATTAGAAAGTGACAATTGTAAAGGGTATGATTATGATTGAATTTAGATTAAAATTAAATGACAAAAGAAATTTCTGAAAAAAATGTATCAGAAAGGCTTGAATCAAACCTATTATCTTAAATAATGATTGATTATCTGAATTAAACTGAGAAATCATCATAAAAATGTAATTTTACAAAGAAAACTAAGAAAGTATTTATGGACATCGAATCTAAGAAATTCATGAATAAATTAAATTATTTAAGATATTTATTACCAGATTTATTTCATTTGGAAATGTAATAATTTAAAAATAAATTAATTAAATTTGATTCCATATTAAAATCAAAATATATTTATAAATAATAGTAATATAAAGTACCAACATACAAATTAGTACCCAAGATAATTAATATTACTAAACGTAATAATTAAGAATACTAATTCTATTAATTCAACTAATGCCTACTTTATAACTGTCCTCTTAAATCTAAAATAATCAAAATTTAATAGGAAAAAGTGATTCCTCAATATTAGGTAATTTCCTTTCCTAAATCATCATAGATATCCCTCCAATAAAAGAGAGCTTGTTCGGAGAGAATTGATTGATAATATTAAACAAATTTTTAATTCTTTAAGAATTACAGAATATTTTGGAAGATTTAAATTTATTATTAACAAAGATATATAATATTAATATATGTTTATGAGATGAGGTAATAAATGAAGAAAATTGGCAAAGACAATTATTTTTACCATAAATTGTAAAAACTATTCATGTACTAAAGTTTCTGGTATATAAAGTTTAATTTATGAAATTACAACCATGCTCTAATGGAAATTCTTAGAAGAGAAATCGAATTTGATTTGAATATTATATTTAATAATTTGAGTAAAAATAAATTGAAAAAGAGAACTGAAAGTAGAATAGAAAGCAGAAAATCGAAAAAAAGTTGAAATGAATAATGTTTTTACAATTTTATGATCTAAGGCTTCTTTTATTAATTTTATGTTTAATAAACTTTAATACATTATTAATAATTAAATCTAATTCTAAAATATCTTAGTATTTATTTCATTTAAATAGAAGGTGAGATATTTAGATGGATTACTTTTCACTTTTATTGATACTCTTTCTATTACAAACTACATTAGGAGGTAGTGTGATAGAATTTTGGGATTATCCTATTATATAAACTTATACAAAATGTAATTAGAGCAGCTTATTTCCTTTTAATATTTGTGACAATTTTTAATGGGAATGTACTGTAAAAATAAAAGGGAAATGTATTTTTTTCATGTAGGATTCAGGCGAATCGTTATCTTAGGAACGAAATTTTCTAGATTCTGTCATTATTGGTTCATTTATCTAATAAGAATATGAAATGTCAATACAATCATAAGTGCTGGAATTAAATAAAAATTCTTTATCTATATGTGGAGATAGTATAGTTTCTGATGATGAGGAATGTGAAGACAATAATAATTTCCCTTTTGATGGATGTTTTAATTGCAAATTTTAATGCGAAGAATAATGTTTAATATGTGTAAAAGGATTATGTATTTAGAAAGGTATATAAGTATCTTATGATATCCCCCTTATTCAACAAATCATTACAAAGGCTAGTTTTGAAGTATCATATAATTCTCGCTTATTTGAAAAAGATGAAATTTCATGTATTTTTAAATGTAGAATTTGCATTGAGAATTAATGTACTTTATGTGAGGATGGTTATTAATTGAATGACGTAACAAAATTATGTGAAACAACTTGTGGAGATTCTATTCTTTAGGGACTAGAAGAATGCGATGACGGTAATCAAGAGAATTATGATGGATGTTCTGAATGCAAGATAATTAAATATGATGATTGTAATCATGACGAGTATTAGTTTTGTTCGTTCTGCCATTATGGATAATGCCTAATGTGCATGAGTGGTTACATCTTACAAGATTCGATTTGCTAAACATAATGTGGAGATGGCTTAGTAAATCAAGCTGAAAATGAAGAATGTGATAACCCTAATGATGTAGGGTGCATCAACTGTTAGGTAGTTCCTGGTTATCTTTGTTATGGGCCAACTTTTTCTCTTTGTTAAACATGTGACTAAAACTGTGATAACTGTTCAAGCAATAACCAGAAGCTTATTTGCGAAAAGTGCAAGGAGGGATACTTTCCTGTTGGCAAAAACTGTGAGTTATGTGATTCTAATTGCATAACTTGTTAGGAATCTTCGTTCCTTTGTACATCCTGCTATAGAAATGATTGCGACTTTTGCGAATCTTATGAAGGATTTTACACTGATACAGAAGCGAAGGCCTGTGTATCCATATGTGGTGATGGAATATTAGTTGCTACCTTAGAGCAATGCGATGATGGAAATGAGGAGGATGAGGATGGATGTGATTCTGCTTGTCACTTAGAAGGATAGGCTATTGATTATTCAAACTATAAGCAAATCAAATCTTCTGGGTTTCATTCATTTGATTTTCAGATGGAGAGTGAAAATCGAAAGTTCTCTTTAGATTGTGAAGAGGTAGTGGTTAATATAGATTCATATGATTCTAGTTAATTTGAATTTACTTCAACAAACAACTAAGGTAATTGTAGACTTCAATTTAAATTCTATTAGTCCATATATAAATTCAATAAGATTCATGTTTAATTCACCTTTGAAGAAGCTAAGTTAAGATTATTAAATCAATCAGAAAACATAATTTAATTTGAAATCGAACCAGAAGAACTCATTATCTAGACTGATAATCAATAAAATTAAGCTGATTCAATATCATCTGCTCAATAATCATTCGGTTTGGTATTCATAATTTTGATTCCCATTTCAATTATTACAAACTTATTCGATTATTTATGGGCCGTTTTAGAAATTTTAAGTTGGATCAATAACTTTTATTTTTTAAATGTTCATTATCCATTTAATGTAGAAATATTCTTCTTAAATTCAGATTGGACTTCGATAATTAACTTTCCAACATACCAAGGTCTAAATTAACCTGGTTGTATTTACTATTTCCAAGCCCCCTAAAGATTTGAGAGTAAAGGCATTAACCCTTTATTTTTAAATAATGCTTAGATACCATTCATGTTCATTTTCTCTGCCACTGCAATTTATGTAATGATGAAATCTCTTTTTCTATTATTGTTATTGATAAGATCAAAATTGAATGAAAAAAATAACCCAAAAGAAAAGCGCTTTAGTATTTTTCATTTGGAAGGTATAAAACATATTGAAAATAAGAAGACGGAAAAAAATGGATAGATGATGAAAAATAAAGACCATAAATTATTAAATTCTTTGATAATCCAACTTAATTCAATTTAAAAGGAACTTAAAAAAAAAGTAAAATAAACTATTTCATTGTGCTTGTTAGATATAACTCTGGCAATTATGCTATAAATAAATTATGCCGAAAACTTAGATCATATCGTAGTCGGTATTAATTAGCTACTTGCAGTTGTTTCTATAAGTCTAATTTTATTCCATTTGCATTAGTCTTATAATACAATAAATATTCACAAATTATTAGCAGAGAATGAATATTTCAAAGAAAAGTATGAGATATACTATGAGAATGTTAATACAGATTCCGCCTTTGGAGCTAAATACAAGTTTTTTGGATTGTTAAGAAAAATATTTTATATATTCTTTACAGTATACTTTTATAATTAGCCACTATTGTAAACTTTGTTTTGTTTTGTTGCAAGTAATTTTGGACTTGCTTTGATTTTATATGAGAATCCTTACAAGACTAAAGCATAATTTACATTTTAAATTATCTCGGATCTCAGCTTAAGCTCAATATTGCTTATAATTGTACTATTTGCTTTTAATGATCAAACCCAAATTTAGTTTATTGAAACTCATAAAATAACTTTTGGATGGATAATCATTGCTTTTGTAATATTAACTCTATTTGTTGAAATAAGTGTACTATTTTACTAATTAGTGAAATCGTTCTATTCAATTTTCAAATTATTGAGAGGATGTATTCCCAAATTGTTACAAAAAAGAGAAGAAACCAATCCAAATGTTATAGAGTAGGAGAGTTAAGTTGGAAATTAAAAATTGGATAAATTACAGAAGAGTGTGCCAGTTCTGTTTTAGTTAGTGCCTTTAGAGAAATCGATCACAACTAGCCAAAAAAACTAAACCAGATGAATGTAACTTATTTTATAGTTTATAAAACTATTCTCATCCATTTAATTAATTTATTATTTTAGTCTTAAAAATCTGAATAATAATTTCAGAGTATCAATATAAATATTTTAATTAAAATTATTGATAAAAGATTTTTGTATAAAAAAGTGTTCTAATATGTAATATGTATTAGACTGATTGCATTCCGATGCCTATCAACCATGAGAAAATAATGAAATTAATCAATCTTGTTAAATTTTGATAATAATAACATAATTTATTTAATTAAAGTATGGCAACATTTTAAGAGAGGTTCAAGGGGAAAACATCAGTGATGGGTAAAAATGGATTAGAATCTGTATTGAATTCATGTCAATAGCCCATCAAGAAGGAACTTGATTGTATGATTATCAAATAATCAAGATCAAAATAGGCCACCTCCTCCAATGTATTAGCCCCTCTAACAACAAACAAATATTTAAATATCTCCAACAAAAATTTAATACAGCAATCATACAAAAAATCAAACCCTATTTTAGTATAACCCCTATAATGGGGAACAATAAATATTGGACTCTCTTCAATACTTAAGTCAATAATACTACTTTTAGCCAAAGGCCAGCTATCAAGTAACTACAGAACCACAGAAGAAAGAAGACAATCGATCAAAATCAGCTAAATAAAAAGTGGAGTCAGCAGATGAAACAAAACGCTACAAGCCATACACTATACAGGATTATGAAATTATGAAGAAGACTGCAAATGCAAAATTGGGAGGCTTGGGTCCAAATCTGAGTGGAGAGGAATGGGCAAAAGAAAGAGAAAAGGTATTAAAGCGTTAAGAATTTGCAGAATAAGTTAGATAATTCAATACAACCAACATTGTAAGTACAAGAATAAAAGAGCCTAAGTAATCTGAACCTAATGCAAGGTAGAAATAGTATATATTCAAGAACTAAAGCTATGGATTTTGCTAGAAATATCCCTAAACCCTAAACAAGGAAAAAAGATGAATAGCCTTTTAGAAGTACTCCAAATAAACCTTCAGATAACAATAATGTTAGCAAAGATCCTTTTGATGATGAAATTGCTCGTCTTGAGAAAGAACACTTAAAATATTTGAACTAATTGGATAAAATGAAATGAATTTTATTTATATATAAATAACTAATGAGTCTTGAAGAATTCGATGCATTCACATCCTTGAAAGTTTTGAGAGACTTAAAAAAGTAGATAGAAGCAAAGGCCCAAGTAGATCAGAAATCTAGAGTTGCATTACAGTACATACAGAAAGCATAGCCATTGAGTCAATATGATTTAAGAATTCAATTTCAACATTGGCTAGCAAAGTTAGACGATCTAAGCACTAGGCAAATTGCTTATTCTAATATATTTTAATTGGTCTAATAAAATCAATCCTAAGCGAATCTATAATTATTGATTACTTGTCTGCAAACTCCAATTAATGGTAAAGGAAGTGAGAGCATTGTCAAAACTATCAACATTATTATAGGTATTTATGGAGATACAATTACTGTTACAGATATTTACAAATTTATAGAAATAATACTCAAATACTTCAATGTACATAAAATGATCATTCTTAGGATTCTAACAATAATGTCCAAGTGGCAATCAGTGAATGTTGGTCAAATATTTACATTAAGAACATCTCTAAAAAGCCTGTTCAATAAAGGGTATTATTGATGTATTCCACTCTCAGTTAATTGATTGGTTCAGGCGGTAGTAGATAGACATAAGAGACTGCTACCATAGTTTTGGCATAATTATTTGAAACATTAACCACTGCTTAGGATTTGGCATTCATAAAGGATGTTGTCAAAGATTATCTAGGGATTTATTTGGTATTTATTAATCTAACAAGAAATAATAAATAGATCACTCTGGATTTTATACCATTATGTTCTTTATTTTAATGACATTATAAATTTAAAGTTTTACAAGTCAGTAAATTCAAGTTATTGATAAGACACTTTAAGGAATTAATAATCTAAAACTCAATTACAGAGTAATCAATTTTATTTGATAATATTGTAGACAAGAGTAGGAGCATTAAATCTAATGAAATTAATAGCTTCTTAGTATTAAAACTCTAATTTCAAAATTGCCTTAGGAAATTTACATGAATAAGTTATCATCGTTTTAGAAGATTCTACTAAGGATAGAGTAATCGCAGTTTAAAATGCAGCTCGAGCTGCCTTAAAGGAATGGATGAGACTAATACTCTAAATTGATTGTGATCTAATACCTAATCCTGTTTCTCTTGATTAATCTCCTGGATTCTTGAAAAAATAAAGTGGTACTGGAGGAGGACAAGTTTATGTAAATCAGAAAATACAAACTTAATAACAATTTAAATAAGATATCAAATCAGCCTTGATTGAGGATCAATTTGAAAACACTGTTGATTATTCTAATATTATTCATGAACCTAATCTGAATGTATGGCAAAAGGCTATGAGACTATAATAGGATGGGTTGTTGGAGGATGCTGTTGAATTACTACTTCATGAAGGTGATGATCTATATTTAATCAGATTTTTGATGAGCTACAAAAATTACTCTTAATTATTTGATCTTCTCCCAAATCCCTTGGCATTGAGACTTATTGACACCTTGATACTAATCTTAGAATCTGATTTTCTCAACATCTTGTGTTTAGATTTCATTCAGTAATTTATTGATTGCGGATTGGCCGATTGGTTTAAGGATACTGACTTTACAGATTACTTAGAATATAATACAGAGCAAAACTTACCCTCTACTCCCTTGTGTAAGAAAGTTCGAGACTAATTGAAATGATTATTAATCAATATTAAATTAATTTTCCTTTCAATGGAATAGTAAAACCAGTCAAGCAAAAATTCTCAAATCAACGATATCTTATAAGTATTATTTCATCTTCTACAGGAACCAATATCGATTTCCTCCTCTGATGACTGTATTGAAATGAATCCACAAGCATATAAAGGTTATAAATTTACTATTTAGTGAGCATTCTAAAACATAAATTAAAAAAAAAGTAGCAAAACTATTCGCTAGCCAAAATTTTATTCGGATTTCGATTTGATTTTCAAAAAGCCACATGTTTACACTGCAAATAAGAAGGCCATATCAATTGTTGTCAGATAAATTTCCCAATTGATAATATTTATAAAAATAAGTGACCCTTTAGCCTATATAATTATTTAGAGTAGCTTTATCATCTCACATTCACTGCCTTAACTTTTTTATTATTTAATTTGTTTTAGTCTTTAAATATTATCAAAAAATTTTTTGTAAACAATTTAGTAAAAATTCATCAAAAATTTCTACAACACAATTGTCTAAAAATTCCAGAGCAATGTGCATTACTAATTCTACGGATTTAATTGAAGATGTTAGGGCTAGATCAAATCAAAAAGAATAATTCTAGAATCATAATTTAATTTGGTATTGGCAATTGCTATTTGTATGGTATGCTCAAAAATGCTATCATTTTCTATAAATAAGATGATTCATCATAGGAATAGGAAGGAATTATATTAAATTCTTAGTTGTTGTCAATTCTGCAAATACTAATTATTTAACTTCAAGTTGATATGCAACTAAGTATATTATTAAATTTAATTTAGAATATCTCACTTAAATTGTTAATTGTTTGGCTAGTTTAGATAGTAGAGCGAATCTATTTGAATAAATTATTCACCCTTTAATAATTAGTCTTAAGGATTATGTTTTAAGTAAAATCAAACTATAGACTATCTAGATGATTGACTTTTCGAACCAAAACTATCAATAGTGAAGAAAAAATACTGATAATTGGAAAGGAATTTGCAGAATAAATTTTGATAAAAAGGGGTTTATCTATAAAATAAAAATATTAAATTAAAGATTTATTCTAAATATAGATGAAAATCAAAAAGAGTATTCACATATTCACAAATTTAGACTTTTAAAAATGAACCTTCTTTTTTTGTCTTTATTAAACCTATTTTTGACTTATCGTTTTTAAAGAATGAGGTTTTCTGAGAATACCTTTTTTATGAAATTCTGTTTTATTTATTGAGAAATCTAAACTATTTCTTTATGTGTTTTAAGATTCTGTTCTTTTGTGAGTATCTTCTAGAAAGGACTCACCAGAATCGGATGGCTGTTCTTCATCAATAAACTCCTTAGATTATTAAACTAAAATTTTAGAAATTTCCTGTCTAGTAGGGCAATGAGTATAGAGTTTAGCATTGCATTAAAAAGGGTAGGCTCTAAGTTCAAAGCGATCTAATATTATTTAAGGTGATAATTCTATAGATTATTGATTCAAAGAGCAGGCAGTTCCCATTTTGAGTTTATGATTTAAATATAATAAAATATCTGAAAAACCTGATTTTAGTTTTATAGAATAAAGATTATCATACTGGTGATTTCAAATTTCATAATGGAAAATCATTTTCAAAATGCTCATTTGATTTAATGTTATTTGGGTTCTGTGATATTTTGGAGGTTTATTAAATATAAAATTAAGAATTGCAATAAGTATTAATACTGAAAAAGTATAAAAATACACTATTTTATTTTCTTGTAGAGAATTAATTACAAAAATTATTGTAAGTTGTTGAAATTATGACCGCATCTGTTGGAACAGATTAGTTAAATGATGATGTGATACTTATTATCATAACAAAAAGATAATTTTCCTTTGATTATTTAATATGATTCATATCAATGATGATGGTGATGAGCTTCAACTTATCCATGTCTTCTAGCTACGGCTTGTCTAGATTCAGCTTCAACTCTTTCAATATATGTCTTGCCTTCCAAATTCATGAGTTGAATGTGTTTATTTTATTCTTCATAAGTCTCCAATAGTTCAGTTGCGAAACTCTTTTCCCCTGGATTCATTCTTTACATGCCCATATCACCTGTAATACCTAAGATAATAATAATGAAGAAAGTCCTTACTTAAGTCTAAGAAATGCTTAACTAAGAAAGATCTCTCTTATTACACCTTTCTCGGGTAGTTGACTATAGGGTTTTTCAAATAATCTGGTTGGATGTTCCAGAATCTTGCTTCATAGAATACTTCATATGTGAAAAAAATCGCTGCAAAAGCTGCAAATATATATTTCGAATCTAGTATCAAATATTTAATGGCATTTTAAGCAGAATTCAAATATCCCTCATCTACAGTTCAGATTAATTAATTACTCTAATTGATAAAGTATTCAGGCATCACTCCACAATAAAACCATAAATTTGTATCAAAAACATCCATCTATAAAGCAATATAAATAGATGCATACTCTCCTTTTATGTTGATATGCAATTGTCAGAGGTACGTCTGGTCTATCCCATCCATGACCGCCTCTAATTGCAATACTTTTTGAGGCGCTTCTTCTTAAAATCACACTCAACATTTTGATAAATAATTTAATATATATTTTTGATTGCCCAACCCAATATAATATAGTACTATCTATAAAAAACTCACTTATATAAATATCTAGTCAATAATCAATATATCTTTATGGTTAATTATTGAAGATTAGTTAATGCTATCCTACAGGCTTTCCATTTCTATATTTTCCTTGAACTACCAAATCTAGTCCTGTTTAATGATGATGTATGGCCTTAATATCCTGTCCATGTTAAAAATCATTTTAGAACTCTCCTTCATATGTAATTGTTTTCTATCCTTTCTTCTTTAAAGTGTACCTTCCTTGCCCTTCTCTCTTATTCTTCTTCCAATCTCCCTCATACTCAGACTAATCTTTATAAATCTTCTTTCCCTTTCCATGAATATAGCCCAATACAAAGTGACCTACATATTGGTCATGATCACTAAACTGATAATCTCCACAGAATCCTTCTCTTTATGGCTAATACCACTTCAATCTTGCCTTTCCATGTTTGACATTATGTTGCAAATGATAATATCCGACATATTCGGTTAGCAAGCCTTCGTCATTCATCTCCAAAACTTATCCCCAATAGAATTTGCCTTCCTTAAAAATACCCTTGTATATGGATGAAACTCCCTCCTTTCTTAATATTCCCAATCCATCAGGCATATCATTAAGGGTTTATCCTTTATATTTTTAACCTTTAAAATCATAATACTTGGTTTTTCTATTTTTGCTCTATTGTTAATACTATTAGCAATCATCAGGTATTATATCAGTAATTTGTGAAATCGTTTTGTTTTATTAAAATCCTCTTATATATTTATTTTTTGAGAGAACCTCCCCATCCTCTTCTTCTCCCAACTCTTTCATGACATGCATATATGCATCTTAAAATTGCTATTCATTTTGTGGATTTTTCTACCTTTCTAAGATAGAAATTTCAATCTTTTTGCTTTCGTGCTTTTTTTTATTGTCCTTTTTTAAGAGATCTATCTATTGTTGAATTGATTTTTTTTATCTTTATGGAACTTTAAGCAATAAATCTTCAAGGGCTGCTTGGTATTTCTTTTTTTCATCATCAGTCAACTGCATTAACTCATTATTTGATAATAATTTATCATACTATGGATCTAGTAAAAATGCAGCAAATCTTTTTTTAATTGCTTCCTCTTTTTCCTGTTTTTAGAGTTCATCTAGTCTACGTTAAATTTCCCGTTGTTAAATTAATATTTTATCCCCTTATCTTTTATCTTTGGGCATAATTTCTAATAAACGCTGGTATATTTTAAGTTCCTCTTTATTCAGTAAATCAAGCTGTTGTTTTTTTAATAGATTTTGCATATTTGGATTCTATTTGAATTTTTTCAGATCATCCTTTACTTCTAGCAGTTTATCTATCTATTCTGTAAGAATTTTATTACCCTAGTTTCTCTCCTTTACTCTTTTTAGTTCATCCTCATTTAATAGATTAAGAAGAAGAGGGTTTTTCTCAATTTCCTTATTATCAATATTTTGAACAACTTTTTACTTTTGTTCAATTATTTCTACGGTTTCATTTACATCTTCAATTAATTTTAGCATATCTTTTTCATTTTGCTTATTTATTTCAACTAGAAATTATTGTACTTGAATTTTTTCTTCAGGTTATAGGTCATCATTATCAAAAATTTCATCAGGATCAGTTATATGTTATACAACTTTAGCCAGAACTTTTTAGACCTATTTCAATTTTTCTGTTACCCCAGATTACTCTGGATCTTATAATTGTGTCACTCCTTCTTATAGTATTTTCTTGATTACATCTAAGGAATAGGGATTAGTTGGTATTTTAACATTATCCGGTTTTTGTTGAATGGGATCGTCAATTTAACTGACTGGCTAAAATTGTCTATCATTTTTTCCAAATTAGATTAAGCTTGTCCTTTTTCCTCCATCTAAAAAGTCATTATCATCATTTTCAGAAATTTGAATCAACTTGAAATCTTCGTTATTTAAGTTCTCATAATCATCTTGCTGTACTATAGGCACTGTTGGTTTTGTGATTTCGGATTTATCTCTAATTTCCATAATCGGAATTTGATTTTAGTTGGCATTAAGAATAATTAAGCTCCCTTTTTAAGGGACAATTTAGCTTGGCGAGTATTATTTCGATGGTTCTATTTTTATTAAATTAGATTCTTGCTGATCAGGTTTAAATATTTCCTAATACGGTTGATTTTAAATTGGAGGGTTTGGAACTTAACCATTTAAATCATCTATTTCCAATAAATCAATAAATTTTTTATTTGGTTATAACTAATTCTGGGTCCCAATAAATCTTCCAGTATTATTTGGATCTATATCTGGATCTTCAAACTATAATAAATTCTCAGGTTGTAAACCAGCAAATTAAAAGTTTTCAAAAGTATTTATAAAATCACCTCCCCCAACTCTTTAGGGAGTACCCTTCTCCTTAAATGTATCGAGCTTTTGAGCCTGTTAAAATTAAAAAGTTGAAGTTTGATTTTGCTCAAAGCCTGGTGATGAAATCTCACCATCGTTTTCATTAAAATTATCAGCCAATGAAATAATTTATAATGGATTTAATGAATTATTATTGTTTAATTCTAGTTATACATTTGGGTCAATTTTGCCACTAGTACCACCTCCTCCTGTAGCAGGTTTATCTTCGACTTTTTTCAGTGAAAATTAATTTGGATTTTCTTTGTTTCTATACATTTCTGATTGAATTGGATAAAGGGGTACACCGCCATTAATGGGTTGGGGTTCTTAAAAGGAACTTCCCTGATTTTATTGTTGCAAGATATCATAATTGGTTACCATAATTGTTCTCCTTTTATTAGGTTCGCCTGGAGGTGCATCCTTATCTTGAAATCCAAAAATTCTTTGATCATTTTAAGCGACATCATATTTTTAGGTTTATGGCTTCTATCTACCAATGCCCCCTTAACTTCTAACTGGAGGTAATAGATTGGGCACTTGAGTTAGGTTATTAGGTTTATTTTCTGTGAAGCCAATCACATCAATTTGATAATTAGAACTAATAACACTGGAGGCATCATCATCATATTGCTCTTCAATTTATTTGATTTCCTTTTTGTCAAGGAAATAATTTTCAGGTTTATAAGATGGGAAATAGTTATCATCAGGTTCAAGGTCAAAAATCTATTTGATAGTAAATGTAGACTCCATAGAAGAAGATTCTCTTTTAAGCATTTGTTTTTGCTTAATGAACTTCTGATAAACTTATTCTGGTTCTTTCTTTTCGATGACTAGAGATTGGATGACCTCAGAGTAGATACCAGCTGAAAATTGTTTGAGTTTTTCAATTTTCTGGAGCAGTAATTCGTTGTTTAATCCGTAATAATTGGTTAATTTGTTTGGCAAGATTTGGTTGTTTTCAAAGACTTGCATCATCATCATCGACAAAGCCCAAATGTCAATCCTTTTTCTAAAGGTTTTATTGGACATTTCAGCTTTTAGTTTCTCCCAACTCTCCTCTCTAAAGTCTACATTGTCTTCTGTCATGATGAACTAATATTCTTGGGGGTAAAAGAATATTAAATTATTCTACCAATCTTTTTCAGCAGAAGATGAATACTATTTTAGAAAGTTTTGGTAGTTAGTCCTTGCGCTTCCGAAATCCGTGATTAGAACTTATTTATTCGTATATAATATATTGTTCGGCTTAAGGTTCGTGTGTTCAAATTGAGACTTGTACAAGATACAAGTGATTTGTAATAATTATTCGAATATCTGGGTCTGTTCTTGAAAACTAACTGAGTTGTTGTTCAAATATTGAAATAGGGGTTCGACATCGTCCCCACAATCATACGTAATGTAGAGATTTCTTTGATGGTTGGTAGTTTCGACTGTGTAATTCAGGATGGTTAGAACTTTCCCAGGGTACATTGCGGAGAGAGTTCTTTAATGTATTAGTTCTCGTGTTATGCTTTCCTTCCAAGTTAGCCATGCTTTTTTTGTTTGAAATATTTTTTTCTTGGTTATCTTATTGTCCTTGGTTTTATATAATTCAGTGAAGAGACAAGTCCGTGGCAATTTCTAAAGGGGTTCATGAAGTTATTTGAAGGTCTAAGTAGTTATTTGGAAATTAGTATTCATCACAATTTAATATAAATATGATAAATGAATAGTAAATTACTTATTCAGTTGAAGAAATACTATTTAAAAATGCCAGAACAATCGTCTATCGAGCATCGGATAAGTAGAAGAACAACTTCGTAGTCAAGAAGATTTCCTTGGAATACAAGAACGAAGTCGAAGTTTGGAAAACATTAAAGGAGAAGCAATACTTTGCCAAACTGTTAACCTCCTTCACTAGTGAGCATGAAAATTCAATAAGTTTGATCTTTGAGTATTTGCCGAATACTTTGGCATCCAAAACAGAGATGAACCATCAAGAATTCAAAAAGTACATTTATTAATTGTTGATTGCTATTAACTCATTGCATAAACAGGGATTCGTCCATTGTAATATAAACCCATAGAACTGTTTGATAAGAGATAACGAATTAAAGCTATATGATTTTAGTATGACACAAAGGTTGAACGAATAAGGCAAATTTGAAATTATTAACTGCTACACTCCTCCCGAAGTGATTCTAGGAAATTGGCACATTTCAGAGTATTTGGACATCTGGTCAACTGGTTGTGTGATATCCGAAGTGCTTTTGGGTTAGCCTCTATTCAAAGGAACTAAGAGTGCTGATATTCTGCTCTCAATAATTAAGATTCTTGGGACTCCTTCAAATCATGAGATCCAACAAATGAGTAATTTCGCAATCACAGAGGCTAATCTCATAAAAGTTAAAAAGGTCTCGTTCCCAGAACTCTTCAAATTCAAATTCGACTATTACATACTAGATTTGATTAGTAGAATGCTGATTTACACACCCAAAGATAGAATTAAGATAGAGGATGCAATCAATCATCCTTTCTTTTAGTCTGATCCAGTTGCTTAGATGGCACATCATTCGGATTTATTGTAAACATCTGATTAAAAAGAATAGAAAAAGGAGATAATTGATTATGGTGAATACGGAACCTTTAAACAAGTAAATAGTTCCACTTGAGTTTTAATTTGACTAAATTCTGATAATTTATAATGATATAATAAACTCGAGGAGCACCCCAAAAAAAATATACTCTCAATCTACTCAACTCAGCCACAGACTACATTGATCGAATTCTGTCGGAGGTGTCAGGTAGATATATATACAAGTATCATCGAAGGAATGAAATGCCTCATTTTGGATTAGGAAACTATTGGCATCATTTCTCTCATCTACTCTCAATCGTAAATTCTGAAGAAGGACGTCTATTTGATGGAAAAGATAGAGGCAGATGCTTCTACCAAATAAAAGCTTTAGCATATGAAGGTTATCTTTTTGATTCGACCGACTCAAGTATGGAATGCATTTTAAATCTTTAGGAAAATTAAACATTGCTGCTCTAAGAAATTAAGGACAAGAGATTTTGCGAATACTACATCTTCTTCACCAATACTCTAAGCAATTTTTACATAGAATAATTGGCAGAAGCAGATGGTTCTGATCTCATCAAACAACTACAAGAAATCTATTTGGATTATTACATAGTGCAACCCGATACATTTACATTAAATCTACCCTCTACCATTTCATTAACCAAAAGTGTTTCACAATGGAATTCCAAAGATGAACAACTATTTCAAAGAGTTCTCGAGGGATTGAGTGCTGCCATTTACAGTCTACGACGAATTCCGATGATCCGATATCAGGGGTCAAGTGAAATTTGTGCTAAATTGGCTTAAAGGCTAAGTTAAACAATGAGAGAAGAGTATGAACAATCCTAGTCTTAATTTATGCTTTCAAATTGTCTACTCTTGATCTTGGATAGAAGGGAAGATCCAGCCACTCTATTATTGAATTAATGGACCTATTAGGCTATGCTCCATGAGTTGATTGGAATCCAGAATAATAGAATCGATATTCGTTAAGGCTAAAAGGCATTGAATTAGGCAGCTGTATAATTATGCATTCATATGATTAGAGTATCAATAAAACTGATTCAGAAAATGAGTTTGTTATATCTTCTGCTTTGGATGACTTCTTTGCTGAGAATGAGTACTCTAATTTTGGAGAATTAGCATAGAACATCAAAGATTTCATCGATAAAGTTACCTAACAAAAGAAGGAAACAGTCTAAATAAATTCATTAGAAGATATGCAAAAGGCTGTGGATAAGATTCCAGAAATAAGGAAGATGAGTGGTAATTTGTCCAAACATGTTGCTTTGAGTTGTGAATTGTCTAAATTAGTTGAAGAGAGACAATTACTCAAAGTATCGAAAATTGAACAAGACATTGTTTGTAATGAAGCAAAGTCTGAGCATTAAAAAGCTGTATTTTAGATGCTTGAAGATAGAACCATTTAGACATATGAGAAATTAAAGTTGGTTATGTTATATGCTTTGAGATATGAAAATTGTGATAAGATCTCAAGGATGAAGGACGTATTGAGAGATTTAGGTGTCAAGAACAACAGTTTAAATTTGATCAATCACCTATTGGATTACTCTGGTAAGGCTAGACGTCAAGGTGATTTATTCAGTGATAAGAATATATTTTCTAAGGCATAACAAAAGTTTAAGTCTGTTTTCAAGGATGTTCCAAATATCTACACTCAACATCAACCGTATTTCCTAACTATCCTAGAACAAATCCTAACCAACAAAATCAAGGAGAACGAATTCCCATCCACCAACTTGAATTAGTTCAGAGATAGACCCAGTGAGATTATTATATTTTATGTTGGGGGAACATCTTTTGAAGAAGTCAAGGAAATTGGATTATTGAATAAATAACGTATTTAATTGAGAATAATGTGTTAGCCAATTAGCCAAACATTTTGTTAGGTGGTACTTACATCCATAATTCAAGAACCTTTCTTGCTGAGATTTGCCAATTAGCATACGAAAACAATATCGAAGTAGTTGTAGATAAGTCCAATCCTAGGAATGATAATAAATTTCATAAATTTTGATCGGGATATAATTGATATTATTTTAAATACACATTTAAACTCATCAATAAGTATTATTATAATTAAACAGATAAAAGGGTTACTTACTTTTGAAGTGGCTATTCAAATGATTGTTTTTTGATTGCTAAATCATTTGTTTCAATATGCAACAAACGGGTTTGTTATATCTGGAGAAGAAACAAGGTTGCTCACACTTCTTGGCATTCAGGATTGCACTATATCCAAAACTAAGAGCATTCTATTCATTCATTTACTGATATCAACATACCTTAATATTCTTAATCTTGAAAGTGCTACTGGCGATGTTGTTGCTTTTATTGTGGAGATCCAAAATAATCAATTCTTAATATCCTTGATCACTAACTATATACTAGAGATGCATACAATTAAAAATATTGCTATTAATAAATATTCGGTTCATCAATTTGCATATTCTCAGATGAGGAAGGCACTATGTTGATTATTTTGTTGTAAAAGTCTATGTCTTGACTGAAGAGATCAAAGAAGTCCAAAAAGGTTTTGCCGATCTCCTCATTCTCGTTGTCTCTGATTCTTTTGATCTACAACAGAGCCAGAATCATAGTCAATACACAATAACTATTCAGACCACCCTTATTAAAGTACTCAATACTTGATACGCATTCAACAAATTTATTGACTTGAAGTAGAACTTCAACATCAAAGCCAAACTCTTGAACTATTTAAACTCTTTCTAGAACTCCATCATGGAATTGGCAGTCTTCCTCCCGAAATGATCATTCCTACTAATCGTGATATCAATTAGTTTCTCTTAAAACTCCTTTGAACATTGCATCTTCAACACAGGTTTCTTCGCATTATCAATTACTTTGACATCCTTGATAAAGCTTGTCCTCTAAAACTAAATTCTATGATACTTTGAATTGATCTGCTAATTTGAACAACAAGATGATCTCTTCTTGCTCAACTGTCTCAATAACTATATCGATATCCGAATCCAGCAGATTCAGTCCGGTTTAACAAGATCCATAGAGAAAAGCACGAGATTTGGGTTGCACATTTTGAACAGTCTGAGAATCAATTAATAACAATTACCTCATCCACCAATTAGACTACCTTATCAATGATTGGTTTCTGTTCATCCAAGTATTTACTGAGCTCTTGAGTAAACGTGTTGATTTCAAAGGTAAGTTGCCTATTAAATCACCCAAATTTGTATACTTAACTATATCATCCAAACTTATTTTGTGTTGCGGTAATGTGAATTGGGACTCAGAAATCAATTGATTATAGAAGGGTTAATTTATGCATGTAGGTTCTGGACACTACACTTCCAATTCCTTTTTTTCCTTCACATCAGTCTAAGTCTCTTATTCTCTCTATTAAATGATTTTAACCACCTTTGGTAGAATATCAGGCTGTTCTTCCTATTTTCCTGTTTTCTGAGTATTCTCTTGAAATTTCCTCTTGCTTCTTTTTTCGATTGGGAGATTTTGTAAATTGAGTCTCTTCCAAAATTAACAATTCTTTTGTTTTTTCATTGCAAGCTACATCCAGAGGAATTTGATTCTATTTATTTTTCTTTTGAAATAGGTATTCCTTTTGACAGATCTATTTGATGATATTTAATTCTCCTTTGCGAGATGCCACATGTAAGGCGGTGTCACCACTTTCATCTTAACCAGATGCTCCATATTTCTCAATTATTTTTGCAGCTGTCTTGTAATTGCCCTTGTGTAGGGATTTAATTAAATGTTATGGTTTATCGAGAGATGTAATTTATAAGAGAGTTTCAACAATATCCCAATTATCCTATTCGGATTGGATTGCAATGTCAAGTGCGAGCTTAATTTATTTAGTTTCTATTTTCTCTTTATATTTGATTAATTCATTCAGAATACTAATCTTGGCTGTTCTCGCTGCATAAACTATTGCCGTGTTGCCCTAATTGTCTTTATAATTAAAATCAATAGATTGTCTTAAAGTTTGAAAAATAATTACTTTAGAATTTGTTGGATGCATTGGAAGTGATCCTCACTATCCCTCGTATACTGTATGCACTCCAAGAAGGCTTACGAGTAACTTTGTTGTGTTATTTGATTCGTTCTGATGTACTCCTCCAATTAAACATACAAACCTAAGAATAAGCAACTTTATGAATACCTTAATTCGTAAGTTCGACTATTTTTTGTTGATGAATAGATTATTATAGCATTTAGTGCATTTACTTAATTTTAATTATAGCAAAATCTCAAAATGAAAGGATTAATATATAATAAGTAACAAATTTATAATTTTTATTTATTATCATCAAAATTGTATTCAGGATTCTTATAAAATAAGAGTCCTTTATCCATTGATCAGGATATGAGCAAGTTCAAAGAGTTTCATATTCCCATCCAATTTCTGTGTCTTTACTCTGCCTATCAAGATTGACAAATATGGCGATTTCAATTTAACTCTGTCTGCACATGTTTCATTTATCAGAATGCCCAATTCCCTGACTCTTAGGAAACATGAAAGATGACTGATATCAAATGTGAACTCAAACTCACTTTGATTCTTCAACACTATGATCTCAACTGAATAAACTGATTGCTTGTATATTCGTGTTTTATACCAACTATTGTTTTCTTAAAGCCCTCCACACTTTGGTCTGCAGTTCATTCATCTCAATATAGAGAGAGGGACTTCTATTTTAAATTGGTAATTACTTGATCCAATTAATGTTACTGATCGCTAGTTTTTCATCCTAATTCTAGAGATGTTTCGATATGGCTGAATTATTAACTTCCTCTTTTGTAGACGCCCTTCTATAAATCATCATGTCCAAATTGCGACAAAATTAGCTTGATTCATAACTAGTAGTTCGCCCCAAAGTTAAACTCGAGTCTTTGGTTTGAGCATGCGAATGGAGCATTTAAACCTTTTTCATCGTGTAGTACTCATTACTTGCCACTACTTATTTCATTAAATTAAAAAAAATATGCTTTGATGCATTGTTACTGAATTAAGAAAAATAAAATTATTATGCAATATAGAAATGCCATTTGAATAAACAAACAAAATTTGTAAGACTATGATCACTAATACTTCAAAAGGGTATCAAAATTTTATTATTTTATTCCCAAATCCAAAAGTATTAGGAATAGTTCAAATACATACTTACTTGCTCCTATTAATGAGTTAAGTTTTGATTGCTAATCCAAAAATAGGAGGTTTAGAGGATAACCTAATAAGTTAGATAGGATTTGTGATTAATTTATTTGTTCATTTAATATATTAAATAAATTAAAAAAGATTTAAAAATGGTATTCATATACTTCTATTGAATTAGGGAGCCCATAAATCCTTGAGAATGAAGAAAAGATTGATTAAGGCTAACAAACAAAACAGACCCCTACCAAATTGGTTCAGATACAGAACAGACAACACAATTAGGTATTTGCATTACACAATAGTAAAGGTATAATTCAAAGAGAAGACACTGGAGAAGAACTAAGCTTAACATCAATTGAGTCTTGAATAATATAAATTCCATGTATAGAATAAACATGATTGTTAAGAAATTAAATTCAAATACACCTTTACAAGATTGTAGAAAATACTCATTTGAATTCTACACTTAACTCTTATTAAAACTCCAAAGTTGATGGGCATTTAGTGAGCTCTCTTATTAGCATAGTTGCATAACTACTTTTCTTTAACTTGAACCTGAAAAGCAAACCTTAATATGTCCCTTGGTCGACGATTAGTTCTCCAAAGGAATCAACCACATCTTGATCTTTGTTCTAATACTTGAATAATTGATGATCCACTTCAGTTGGAATTTAAACCTAAATAAATAGAAGGGTGTACAAAATATCTGAAATTGCCATCAATAAAAAACTTATTGGAAGCATCCTCGAAATCTTATTTAGTAATTTGTTCCTCCTAAAATATTTCCTTCAATAAACTCGAAGCTATAGATTCTTCAGGAATGGTGATTTTGTGTCCATAGATTGGCAAAACTATTTGGTCAAAGGTATATTGTGAAATATTCTATTCAGTCACAAGAACACAAGCCGAAATTGTTTGATTTTTCTATTGTTCTTCATCTTCTGCAACCTGTTAAACGATTTCCTCTCCTTCTTCTGCAACTCCTTCATCCAGAATAGTGGCACTTACAATATCACCTACAACGATCTTGTTTCCAAATTATTTGATTCTCATCGATGCCATTCTATTCCAAATATAACTCTGATAAGCATGGAGGTAGAGTTCTCTTGCATTTCTAGGCAGACTCTGTAATGCTGTAAAGTAATTATGCACTCCATTTTACAATAAACTGTCTACCAATTATTTGTCAATCCTTAACTTTGGATTAATAAGAGTGGACATCGTTACAAAATCATCAAGTTCAAATAATTAATTGATTCTCTCCTCGTCTTCTTGTTGCGATGACAATAGGATCAATCGAATGCATTCCTTCCAATTCTTCTTGATTATTTCCTTGCCTATCTGATGAGTCTTAATTTTGGATTTGGATCCGAATCTTTATAGACCAAAATAATTCACAAATCCATATGATTTTAAATTTTCAATGTTCTTTGCTAATTCCCATTATTGATTTTGTGTCAACTCACTCAGAAACCTCAAGGTGACACAAAACTTGTTTCCTTATAAGTCTCCTAATCTAATTCCTGAATCCTAATATGAGTAATCAGACATCAAGATGTTCGAATTCCAAAACTTTCTTTCCTATATTTCTATCAACTAACCTATTTCCATTCCTTAAAGTGTAGCCCATTAAGTCGTAATGCCTCTTTTATCCTTTGTGCCTGCAATAGCAAAGTGCTTATTCGATAATCCAAGTTACTTCGATATAAACATTCCTGCATTGATCGAATCAATGTTTCTTTTCATCAACAAAAATTTGACAAATTTCTTACTTTCTCCATAGGCTTTGCTTGTAGTCTGACTAGCCACATATTTTTTGAAGTTTATGGTACTAGTCTTGATGAGAATGTGATCTTAGAGGACTTGTTCTTAAAGTTTTTCATTTGCTTTGTCTTCCTTCTTTTCTGCTTTGCTCTTTTAATTGTGGACATTTTTAGTGAAGGATTCAAGGATTGGAATATTTTACCTAATCAATTGATGCACCTTAATTCTATCTTCTTTTGATTCAGGCAAAGGGACTTTAGTCTCAAATTATACACATTTGCCAGTGGTCTTCACCTTCTCAACAAATTATTTGAATTATTCGGTGACCTCTTGTCCAAATAGTTGAGTGGATTGCTATAGAAATTCTTCAGACAGAGTCAAATTTGCAAAGGGTAATGCCTTGTCTTTTTTTTGGAATGGTTGATCCTGCTTCTGATCGGTATTGTTCCATTTGGTTTTATCGGATATCACTGCCACTTAATTCTTGAGATCGATTTCCTATACAATGAAATCGGTAAAGCGATGTTTGAAGATACACTTAAATGGATATCCTTCTTGCAGGAATGATTCAATTCCAACTGCAGCTTCCATAAATAATAATTTTTAAATTAATTTATCTTCTGCAATAGCATTAAATATTAAATGGGATACGCAAAATGAAGGTGAAGGAAGAAGAACGAAAGAATGAATGAAAATAAAATAAATAAATTGCAAACTATATATTATTATATTGCACAAAATAATGCCTAATTTTATATTTCCCTTGCTCTACAGAAACAGGACCCTTCAGAATCATGTTGTCTAAACCATAATTGCGAATGATAATGTTTTGGTGACTGCTGGCCAGCATGGAGACATTGTAATTTGGATGCAGGATCTGAATCCCAGGATTGTGATTTACCCAAACCTTTCAAATGCCTATGGAAAACTATTGACCATGAATTTAGTTCGAATGTCATTCCTCAACATTTTGGATAGAGCAGAAGAATGCATACTCACAATTCATGAGGACAAGAGAATAAGAATCTTTGATTGTAATGATGGTCGCTGTGTCGCAATATCAGCACATGAGAGTGCAGGACCTGTACAATACTGTATTCCTTTAAGTTCCAATAATTGTAGGTTCTTGATGTTGGGAATGTAGAATGGTGTGAGTCTTTTCGATCTTTGGAAAATGAGAAGTGTTAAACAATATGACTGTAAATTACGTTCCTCCTGTTAAATCGATCCAAATACTGTGTGCATATTGGATAAGGATAACTGCTTGCATCTTATCAATTTGTCCCCTCTGAACAACGAAAGATATTTGAACTATAAGTTATACAAAAAGAAGAGAGATTCAATTAAGCAAGATTTCAAGGAACTTAAATTATGTGATGGATTGAGGAAACTTAAAATCGAAGGCCTCTTAAGCAATCGCATCAGACACATGAGTTTTAATCAGCAATTTCAGCATCTGACCATCTTGATGCATCGATAACTTTACTTGGTTTTTGAGATCTATGACACTCCTTGGATTATGTGTATTAGTCAATCGAAAAACAATCAAAAGTTTTCTATGGTTCATTATTCATAAGACCATCTCTACATAACTACCAGGAATGGGAGTGTCCTTGGATTAGAATACAAAGATATCATCTATTTGTTGTCCATCCTGAAGGAACAATCTGATTTTGTCTATGGCTTTAAAGAGTTTCAGTTTACTAAAATTGCAGGTTCTCGGTTCAGTAGACTTCAAATTAATTTCTAGGAATTGATATCCGGTTCTGAAGTTCAGAAAGAGCTCAACGGTATTTTCATATTAAATCACCTTGTGTACCAATATAAAAATTAGTGTTTGTGTAAATACAATTTGAAGGATGCGACTTTGGATATGTCTTTGATTCGCATCGAACAACCTGATTCAGACATCAAATTCAATGGGTTTTAATGGTCATTCAACACATTTTCTGACTTGATTAAGATCGAAACCTTGAGACTAGGATGCAAACAAAAGGAGGCATTTGATTTCACAAAATCCTACAATGAGGATTTGGTTTGGAATCTAGGTCAAATGACTTCCTCATAGTTCAAGACTAAATATCTGCCATATATAAATATTGAAACATAAATCACAAGTGCATTTATTAGTGTAAGTGAGGAGAGCCAAATTTATTGGTTTGGTTGCAGTAATAGTACCATATTTGGATTTCCAACTACATATAGTAGTAAATCATATTTTATTTACAGAATCAAATTGGATGAAAAAGCAGTCACATTTATATACTAGAAAGGGAAGTGTCTGATTGCCAGTTCTGAGAGTGGATAGTTTATAATATTGGATTATAGTTAAGTATTTAATGAGAGGATGGGAGAACAATAAGTAGAATTCATAGATTTGGAACCATCGCAGAGGATTTATTTCCCAAGTTATGCAAAGAAAACAATAAGAATTCATAAATTGGAGAATGAATCATATGAAGAAGTTTAAACAACTAATTAGTCATAAAAATTCTAAAAGATTGCCATTTTGATGGAGAATAATGTTATTCTAATTATAAATTTACAAGATGGAGGAGTGTAATTGAAATTGCATGGGATAAATCAATAGGTTTTGGGGTTGTATTATGAGGATCAAGGAGATTAGTGGTTTGTGGTAGTTTAAGGAGGGGAGTCTTTGGTATTTGATTACAAGGGGAGATATTTGAGAACATTGATGATAGAATAGTACCATTCACTATTTCAAGTGGAAAAGAAGTTGAATAAAGTTAAAGAAAAGATGATTAGCCATCATCATTTAAGTGAGTTCAAGAAAGAATTCAATAAATCAATCAGTAAAGTGTATCAATTTTTGGAGTTTCAATAACGGAATAATTACATTAAGATGCAGTCTCCTTATCCTAGTTTGTATGAAGTAGGAGGCTAATTTAAACAGTGGTAATTCGAGGCTGAATAAGCAGCGAAGATGCTGTATTTGATAGATCACAATTCAGTTAAAAACAACATGAGGATGTGTAAGTTTGTAGAAACCAGTATAGGGGAATTGGAGTGGTGGGACCTGAAGAAATCAGGAGATAACCATAATTAGAATAGATTATTTTTAATCTTGCATCCTTGGGAGGCTGATGCTCAATTAAGTACATAGTTAGACTAGATATTGAACTATTAGAAACCGACATTCTCTCCTTTGATTGGAGTGCAATCAATGGGTTATTGTGTTAGTTTTGCATTGTCTCGTGGCTGGGATGTGTCACCTCATTTCACTACATAAAGAGCGATGTCATTGATGCATTTCTATCTGTCTTGTTTATCCAAGGAGGCTTAAGTATTCAATTAATTGATGATACAAACTGTTGAGTTGCTGACAAAGAAAAAACAATCGCTGGATGTAAATTTTAAGCCCTTGGATTTATTTCTGTTAGCCTAATACACAATAGATGAATCCAATGAAGTCATGAATGCCGCATGTAATTTAATACTTTCATAAATTAGAAAGTCTGATTAAGATATGCATGAATAGCATAAATTAATTAGAGAGCTGCTAGATCTAAATAAGGAGCAGCAAGGACATACTTTTTCAAATGTGGAGGTAATCCTTCTTATTTTAGAATCCTATTTAACAGGGATGTGTTAGACTCTCGCATAAAGTGAAGATTAAAAACGAAGAGTGATTTAAGGATTACATCTCAAAAATTGTATTGTAAATCCTCACCTTTGTGCACCTCTTCTAAAGGTATTTGTTGATGTTTAACAGCATTTTCGAAATTCTTATAATCCATCTGATATTTTCAAAAATCTATTCTTCATCTTTTTTCATTACAATACTGTGATAGATTACTCAGAGATTCTCACTTAAGGTGGTCAACAAATGCAGTTGATTAACTTATTAAAAGAAATTAGTAAGTAGTCAGAAGAAATGAAAAAAAGAATGAGACAACTCACTGCCAAAAGTATCATTTAAGTTGCCATTGCAGCTCCTTTAGAATTTACCAAGATCTTGAACAAGGATATTGTGAATTTAGAAACACATTTTTTGTATCCTTCCTCCATCATTGAAATCATAAGATACTACATTAAATCCTAACATAATAACATCCACAAACTATTACCATCCCTTATGGATATCATTCTAAAAAGTCTTGATCCAAACAATCCCAATCTGCGGAAAGTGTGTCATAGATCTGCTACTTATGCCTTGCAAACTATTTGCAAAACCTTTAAGTGTGTTTGTTTCCATCAACAAACTTAAAAGATCGCAATTGGAGATACTCAAATTATTATCTACGACTTGAGAACTGCTGTTAAATGGAGAGTCTTGGATGGACACAGTGGTTAAGTTAATTGTCTGGAATTCGACCATACAGGTAAACAGTTGGCAAGTTTTAGTGATGCTGATTGGAAGGTCAAAATTTGGAAGGTTGGATCAACAGGGTATGGAGATTAAACTATCTAATTAGATTCTTCGGAGCCATCATCGGTATACAAGGGAAAGCAGCTAAAGATACTTCTGTTAAGTATTAGCCTTTAAATCATCCCTAAATGTAATGGTCGCAAGACGATAGTAAAGTCTACTTAATGTCAAATGGACAATCAATTGTATAACTTCAGGTATGATTAACAAAATAATTAACGTATTAGATATATATATATAATAAAATCTACTATTTCTCAATATTATTATTGCTATGAATATTAATTCCTAATACATGGAACCTCTTTTATTACAAAATCCTTTTTTGTCATACTCACAAATTATTTCTAATAAGCTGGAATTGTTTAGATTGGCTACTGTAACATTGATTTGATTACCTCTTAATAGTTCTTCAATTAGAAACATTTTTCTACAACTTTTAAATCATAAGTAGTTTTATTTTATGATTATCCTAAAAATAAGTCAATCGTCGGAAAAGGCTTACCATTAGGTGGCTTTTGACTCTCTAATGACATATGTATCAATTACAGTTGTGTCTACTTATTTGGGTGTCTTGAATTCGCTACCATACGTTGTTGACGAATTAAACTTTAATTCTGGAATCACAGTCTTATAATGACTTTGTTTAAATTATTCATGGTGTAAGTCCCCATAATCCATATAGAATTTCTAAATTAAGAATATTTTTATACATTATATGATGTCATTGGAGTGGATCCATAATTAGCTTAGTATTTAGGTTTCTCAATCACATGATTTGGATAGGCATCACATTATTTATAATCAGATGCCATAGTTGTTTTAAATTCATTTAAATCTAAAGTTTAATATCGACCAATAGAATTCAAGTTCATTTTGAGTTCTTAATCCTTAATTGGGGATTCCTTGTACTCCTAATTGTAATGAGATTTCCATGAGATATTAGGTTTAAATGGTTAATACTCGTATTTGCATTTACATTTTCCACATGGACATTAAACACAAATACATTTCCCTATCTTTTATCTTTTAATAGTATACCTGCCAAATGCATAACAAAAGCTTAATAATCCGATAAGTGCTATTCAACCATGCATTATATGTGATCATTATTATTTTCTTCAGTAGGGGTTATTTGTATTTGTTCTAATGGTTCGATTTATTCTGTTTATATATTTTAATTTTATTATTCAAGTTGATTGTGTGTATCTTATTAAGTGTTCAATTGGAGTTCTGGTTCCTTTCTTAAAGTGGTATTGTAATTCCCCTCTGACTCCAATTTTGGCTAGGATTAGGATAATGATAACGATTAATAGTGTTTACGAGCAATATTAGATAATGGTGTAGGAGGAATGGGAGTGGAGTTAGTTTATTAATATAGTTCTAATGGAATGGCTTGACTGCATCCCATAATTTTAATCATAATTCTTTTGCCTGGCTTAGACAATTTGGAATTGGATGAAGAGAATGTTTATCTAAACAGTTGCATTTCTTTGTGTTTTTTTTGAAGAACAGTTTGTCGTTCAATTTCACTGAGACGGCGTTGTTTATCTATGAAGGATTCCTTAACATCGATTGAATAATGGCCTTTTTTTGGTTTGAGTTTTTAGATTATATGTTCGGGAATCATTGTTTTAATAATAAAAAATTAAAATAATCTTTTATTTCTTGATTTTTAAGCTATGGTGAAGATGAATGTTTTGAATGATTGTTTACGTTCAATCGTAAATGCTGAAAGGTATATAATGAATCGAAATGTGATTTTAGATAAGGAAGAAAGCAAGTGTTGATCAGACCTACATCAAAATTGGTAGTGAAATTCTTGTAAGTGATGCAAAGACATGGCTATATTGGAGAATTTGAAATCGTGAGGATGATCACAGAAGTGGCAAAATAGTTGTTGAATTATTAGGTAATTGCATAGACTATTAAAACCAGGTCGTATCAACAAATGCGGAGTGATCTCCCCTCGTTATGATGTTACCTTGGGAGAATTCGAAAGATGGGCCAATAACATTCTTCCAGCCAGACAATTTGGATGCGTAGTCCTCACAACCAATGTTGGCATCCTCACCCACGAAGAAGCAAGATAAAGACACATAGGAGGTAAAATCCTTGGGTTCTTTTATTGACACATTTGCATCAGTACATTATATATTTAATATGTCTTCGATGAATAATAGAAATTACTCATTATCCCTTTCTTTACGAAACAGATTGCTATTTGCTTACAACGTTTTCTTCAATCAAAGAATCTCCAACATATTCATTCACTCTCTTCTTCAGATATTCATTAACTGTTGCTATCCTTTCTCTGTATATCAATAGAGATTCCTCCAACAATTGGTTCTCCTCGTGTCTCTTGGCCTTCTCTTCAGTATACAACTTCTTCTTGTAATTGTACTCCTCTACATCTCATTCCAAATCATTACCTTATGTTAGACTCAAAATTCTCATGCTCTACTCCTGCAATTCCTTCTTCTTTATTAAAATGTCAGATGCCAACTCCTTGTCATTTTGTAAGGAATTTAAGAACTTAGCCTTAGCATCATACTCCTATTTCAAAGACTCTTGTTCAGCCAATAGATTGGTCTTGAAATCTGCGAAATCATTAGCTGATTAAATCTCCTACTCTTCCAATCCCTTTATTGTCTCTCTCAATTTCTCTATCAACTATTTTACCACACCTACTACATCCTTTGTCATCAACTATACCAATTCTGCCCCATTTTCTCTTTACCCTTCAATTTTATATTTAATGCTTTACTTGATTATGAAAATGTATTTTCATCATCACCCAACTTCACGAAATCTTGCACTGCCTACTCTTCAAATAAATTTGCGTATTTGCTCAACTTCTCTGCATAATCACCAACGTGACTCTTCTCTACCAAATTTGTTTATTTGCTTTGTGCATCACTTTTGACCCAATCTAACACTGAAAGGGCATTCTTATATTCTCTTAATGTATCAATAAACAATGCATTAGCCTCACAACGTTATCTAAATAATTAAGGATTACTATCATACTCTGCCAAATTCTCCAACTTTACTTCGTTTCCCTTGTATCTCTTGTTATTCCAATTCAAATAATCTGTTGTCTGTTAAATCTTAAGACTTAATTATCATATAAACCCTTACTCTACAGCTTCCAAGTCCTATTGAGCAGCAGCTGCACTCTTTGAATTCACATTCACTATTCCTGAAAACTCATTGATATCCTGTAATATAGCATTATCGAATCTCTTAAATGTTAAATCTGCCTTATCTTGGGCTTCTAAATTCGCTCCTTATAAGTCTTCCAAAAGTATCAAAACAGATTGAATTGCATCCTAAGAACTCAATACATTTGTTTTTGAACTCAATAAATTTAAAAAATCTGTGTTGATCTTTTTTGGACTGCACAAAACGTTCTGATTCAACAACAGAATCAATATCACTCCTGTTATGCTTCTCATATTTTATTTTATTATTGCTCTCAATACCGTTTTTATCGATTTTATAATGAAACTCAATTCTCAAGAAACCTCCTTAAAACTTATATAGAAACACCATAACAGATAATTTATCCTATTATATTGTATCCAGAATTTGAAATAAATCAATAATATATAAAAATCAATGCCATTCACTTCATAAATGTAGAGCTATCGCTAGCGTTAAACAACTTGTAATTACTCTTCTTTAATTTTAATTTCTCTTTTAATTATTTTTCAAGCTATTATTTTGTATACTTATTAATTCCTGCTATTTAATTACTTTGTTATTTAATAATAATTCATTAATTAAATTATGATAAAAAATATGCCTAGAGAAAATCTCTGAATTTTAGTTACCATACTACATCAGAAATCCAAGCTAGGCCAGATTAACATCCCATATACCAATATTGTAAAAATTAATCATATTTTTTCAATACCGGACTTGGGATAACAAAATTAGTTCGAATAATAAATCATCTTTTTGTTAGTATTCAAATATCTTGCCAAAGCGCAATCTTATTTCTAGTACTTCACAGTAATCACTAATAAAGATTAACTATAATAATGTTAGTGTATGGTCATATATATTAAATATATACAATAAGAATGCAATTATCATTTGCAAAAAGTAATGATATTGGCTAATCTAATATTGTTTTAATCATCTACTCTAAATTGTATCTTATGAAGAAATGCCATTTAGTTATATATATATATTCTAATGGATCTCATAGGTTTCGTTGTTATGAATCTTTATAAGATTATATTACAATTCCTTGTAAATTGATGTTTCTAATAAAATAGTCGATAATTTGAATGCGAATTATGCTATAAAATACTTATTGCAAACTAAAAATACATAAAGAAAAGGGTATTATTTACACAATTATATAATTATTTTATAAGAATTTCTATTGTTGTAGTAAATTAATAATGCTATTTTTATAAATTCTCTAAGGTTACTTTCTATTCAAATAGTGGATTTCATATGAAATCATATAATGTGATATATTTAGCTTTTGTTTATTAAATATTAAATGAGTAGTTAAGAAGAAGATAATCAATTTGATCAAGAATATGAACAAAATAATTAACAAATTGATGAGTTTGAATAAAGGTATAAGCAAAATTAGACATCTTCCGAGGATGAAGATCAACATTAGCACAAAAGCCATTCTTAAAATAGCAAGGTTGAACAATTGCCGTAAATACAGTATTAATGATCATATTGCAATAGACCATAGAATAAAATAGAAGCCATATAAAAACAATTATAGTTTTATAAGAAACAGCCTCCTAAGACATTGGCAGAGGAATGCGAAGACGTGATAAATTCAAAAAATGAAACTTTGAAGGATAGAAAAATTAGAGAATTAGTCTAGAAGAATAGACAATTGTTGCTTAGTTATGAGAAGGAAAAACAATCAAGAAAGAAACTTGAGGAACAAGTAAACAAGGCATTAAAAGAAACTGATGAAGGAATAAAGGCTTTGGATAAAAGTATTCCAAAGGCTCCGATTCCTAAACCAGATCCACTGGCAAAAGCATTGAAAGGATAGGAATCATAGAAGGACGACATTGGAATAGCAGATGATTTTAAGAGTAAGTTCAAAGATGCAGACAAGAAAGTGTAAGAGTAGCGTGTAAAGTTATAATAAGTTAAAACAGAATTAAATAAAGCAATGAGGATAATACAAAGAGAAATAGGAGAGAATGTAAACTTGGATTAAGTGTTGATGGATGAAAACGGATGGAAAGGCAGAGCATAATAGATTGAAATCTTGAAATCAAAAGTGAAAGATTTGAATGCGAAGTTAGGTTCATCTTCTTAATATTCTGATGTTTCTTAGATGTCTAAGTAATCTAAATAGGAAGCCAGGAATAACAATGAAAAATAGCAATATGAATTATTGAAATCTCAATATGATGCAGTTAAATAGGAGAATGAGAATTTATAATAGAAGATAAAAGCAGTATCAAGTAGGAGATAAATATTGGAGGATCAGATAAAAGATGTCAAAGTAGAGTATGAGAAAAATAAAAAGGTATTTGTTATTGCGATCATATTTTAGATTTTATTGGAGAAGAGCGAAAATGATGACAAGTACATATTTGCATTGAAAACAGAATTAGAAAAATTGAAGAAAAATTAGCCTTAATAAGAAACTAAAATAGTATATAAGCCAGCAGATGATGAGGAGACTAGAAAATTAAGATAGGAGTTAAAGTATTGTAAAGAAGAAATTAGTCGCAATGAATAGATGATCAAAGAATTAATAGCAGAGGTATAGAATTCATATGATTTTAGAAAGTCAATAGAGGTAAATAGGAATTGCCGCAATAATAATAATAACAGGAAAAAGTGCAGGCAAAGCCAGGTCAAACAGATGAAAGAGTAAAGAAGTTGGAGGAGGAGATAAAGGCTTTAAAGAGAGAGAGGGATGAATTCTTTAAGACACTGACTAAGGATGTTGAAACTTAGAAGATGATAAAAGATTTAACTATGTAAAATGTAAAATTGCGTAATAAGATTGATGATTTAACTAAAAAATGAATTCTGTTCTTTATTTATTAATATTTTCAAAAATTATGATTTGACATACTTGGCTTAACTCTAGATTTTTTTGTTTTCTTTTGATTTGTAGGAAATACTTTTCTAATGAAATATTCATCACCTAATAACATGACCAATCCTACTATTATTGTCAAAATAAATTGCATAAAATTATAAGATCTACCATGTTATTCATTTGTGTCATAGAGTTTTAATACAGTATATTGCCATCCTTAAAAAGTGAAGAAGATCCATAAAGTAAAACATAAACTTATGCTTATAAAGAATATCATAATTTTGTGGGCATAGATCTTTTACTTGAATGGTTTAGAAGTGTAAATAGCAATCACAGCCATGATGAAATAGATTTACAAACTTTTGAATTGAGTTGTTTGCAGAGTTCCTTCTTTTGAAAATTTCCCATCATAAACTCCAGGTTCATTCTCCCAATCTAAACTATTCCAATACAGAAAATTAATGACCAAACCAAGGGAGGCTACTAAAATTTAGAAACTTAAAACAGCCACATTTGAAAGAGCCATCATACTTTCGTTTGGAAGATCTTTAGTTAAGGTGATTGAGGGCTTGGAAAGTGAGATCGATTTGAGATAAGGCAAGGAACCCACATAATTAATAACAATATATTGTAAGTCTCCAAAATTTTATCCAAAAGCCATAGTTATCATAGCTGCTATGTATTTTATAACACTGGCTCCAACATAAAACTAAAACACTTCTAAAGCATTCTAAAGTGCGCATCTTCCATCTAAAAGTACCTATCTAACACAATCAATGCTGTCATCTGCACTAGAATAAGGAGCTGAATAGGCAGCATCGCTTTAGGCAAACGAGACTCCAACATTTGCTTATTTGATAGCTGCACAATCATTAGCTCCATCTCCTATCATCAAAACCATTTTTTTTAGATCTTAAAGCTTTTCTATCACCATAGACTTTTGTTCTGGTCTCATTCTTGCAAAAACTCTTGCATTTAAACAGATTGATGCAAACAATTTAATATGAAGTTCTTCTTCGGTTAACCCCTATATTTTAATCTATTCGACATTATCTAGTGGCTCCTCAAATCCTGCAAAGGATTATTTGGTTTACTTTTTGATATCATCATGAGGTAATTGACCCCAAAAGTAATCAAATGCTTTTCCACTCATTGCAAAACAGTGACTTGCATTAAGACTATCATTTTCAGAGATAATAGATCTTTTGATATTTTAAGCAGTCAATAAATGATGAATCAATTTATTCATAATTTGTTGATGATCTACAATTTATTCATTTAGATCTTCTACATCCTCTACGAGTATTTCAATTTCACTGTTTTATTTTTATTGATTGGCATTAAGGTTATCATCAAAAACGCTAATTTCATCTAAGGACAATTATTACTGATTTAATAAATAATATAAATACTTCTTTTTCATTGTAATCTAATAATAATACTGGTTTATCACGGGGTATTATTCCACATTCTCGAGCACATTATACAGTAGTCAAAGGATTATCTCCTGAGATGATTTTAAGATCGACACTTGCATTGTTTAATAAATTAATAACCTATGAAGTATCATGTTTTAATTTGTTTTCCATAGCCAATAATCCAAGAAATTGAATATCCTATTCGCATTCTTATCTACTGGCATTCATTAACCTTTCGCTTTCTTCCTGAGTTATTTTTCTGTATCCAAATCCTAATATTCTGAGTCCTTTCATCGTCAATAAATTAAGGTTCTTCTTAAAATCCACAGGTATGGTATTCTAATTAGATAGTTCTGCCATCTTTTCAGGAGATCCTTTCACAAATATGTAATAATCATCTTTATCTTTTACTATTACACTCATCCTTTATAAAGCAGATTCAAACTCATAAAGTTTAAGCACATCCAAAACAATTCCTTCTCTATTTGAAACTCTGGATTTTATATTTTGAGGAGGGTTTTTCTCAATTTTAAACTCTGTAAACTTAAATAATTCTACATCAAGACTATCACCCATTAAATCACCTTCTATCTCATATGTTCCATGACAAGTAGCAAATAACTTAAACTCTAAACTATTCTTAAAATTCACTTGATTTTTTTGAATGAACTTCCCAAATTTGGTCTAGTTTCTCATTTGATATCCAAACATATCAATTCCAATTGTTGTCAATGTTCCTGTCTTATCAAAACAAACTGTATTGATCTTACCAGCAACCAGTGATTTGTTTGGGTCAATTCCAAAAATGCCTTTCTATCTTAATCTAACCAAAGAATACGTCTAGCACATAGAAACAAAAATTGGCAAAGCTGGAGGCACTATCCAAGTCAAAGCATCCCAAAATCTTAAGAATATTATCATGAAACTGAATCCAACAGAAATCAATCTTGGTAGCAATGCAAAATACACAATCAAAACATAAATGGCCAAGCAAATTAAATATTTTATTCCTTAACTATAAAATGGAAAAGGCTACACTTTTGGATACAAAACACTTCTAAAAATCTACCCCTTAAACGAGCTAAATCCTGTTCTTCCAACAATTGCTATAACGTATTAATAAGCAGGTCTTGCAAGTAAGACTTTTGTGCCTTCATATAAACAATGTCTCCTGTCAGTCATGAATGAAACTGGTTGATCCTAATCTTCGATTGGAATCTTTGGGATAGGTATTGATTCCCCTGTCAATGAGGCTTCGTTCATCAATAAATCTCCAGAAACCAATACGCAATCACAAGGCAACGTCATTTTGTTTTCAATTGCAATCACATCTCCTGGGACTAAATCTTGACTATCAATCTTTCTAAATTGAATTCCCTGTTAATTAAAGGTGTCCTCTCCTCTGTATACTTGAACCTATGCCAAACTCTTTGCCATATCTCTCAATTTTTTGGCTGAATTCTGAAGAAGCAAAAAGTTTATTGTTGTGAATATCAATGAAACCGATATCATGATAATAGACAATATAGCCAAGTCTATTTAAACTTAGTTAATTATTACCTTCTAATACCCAAAGAAAACATGATAGGTACTATAATATATAGAATGGGGCAGTCAATTCCTTCAACAAATATACAAACAAATTGGGCTTGGGGATATCAATTATGCATTTCCCGAACTCTTCTTGGAAATACTTCGGTTCTATGGTGATTAATCTTAGGCTTACATAACACTCCTCTCGATTTTAGCAATTCTCTTTTGGTCTTCAAATCATATTCTAGAGCTTTAAATGTATTCATTGCGCTATCATAGATGTACTTTAGTTTTCTATTGATGAAATAAACTTAATTTTGCTTCTTTACTAACTTTGAGATGTTATTTGAATTATCATTATTTGTGATCCACATATGGGTAGCCTTCTCTAATTATGATTCTTTAAAGAAGAACTTTCTAACAAGTTTCTTTGACCAACTACAAGCTAAAGTAAACAAAAAGCTTGTGATGACGGAAAGAAACACGCCGAGTACGATTCTCCTCTTTTATAATCTTATTGGTTCTATATTCGTTATTTTTGTAGTCCCCTCTATTTCACTATCTACGACTACTGCACTCTCTGCTTTAGGTAATAGGCTTATAGGATCCATTAAATATATTATTAATAATTGTATGCAAAAGTACAAATTCAGATGTTTAAAAATGGTGTAACATTTGAATTTAATATAATTGATTATTGCATATTAATAACCTTAAGATAATAAGTGAATTCTTGCTAATAGGCTTTAGATTATAATAAATAAATTAATGTACATCAATTCTTTCCTAAAATAATAAAACTTGGTGGACCCACACATCTCTTGTACCAACCTAGACTTAGGATAAGGTGACTTCATTGGTGAATGGAGTGGGAAGCTTTTAGAATAAGGCATCTCTAATTTCGACATATTTGAGTTTAGAGGCAGTCAATCGTATCCCAGTTGCTAAGAAGTTGGCAATTTATTTCAAGGCAGGAATTGTCGGTGCAGTATTTTTGGGGTCAAGGTAATTTGATCACAATTCAAATTAGAATAGCAGCAGCATCGATTTATTAGAGAAATGTTCAAGGAGAGATTGGGAAGGTACTTGATGGAGCACCCATTTGGGAGAATAAGTTCGACGTTCCCGAGTTGGACAAGAAGTTCTTCTTCATTGATGATGATAATAATTTTGAACCCTCATTATGGCATCATGGAATGTATGCATTCATAAATAGAAAAGCAACTCAATTGAGAAGCCCAAGGTATTCTACAAACATGAGTGAATTTTAATCATTTAATGGATAAAATTTAAAATAAAATTAAATCTTTAAATTATTAATGGGACGTATGTAAGCCAAGGGAAAGGGAAAGGGTATCTCTGGATCGGCCCTTCCATACAAGAGAAAAGCTCCAAAATGGTTGACTCTTTCATCAAAGTCAATTGTTGATCAAATCGTCAATTTGGCCAAGAAGGGTAGCGAAATCATAGTAATTTGAGGTTTGAATGGATCACAAATTGGTGTTTACTTGAGAGATCAACAAGGAATTCCATAAACCAGATTCTTGACTGGACAAAAGATCTTGAGAATCTTAAAGAAGAGAGGTAATCAAAGGTAGAATAACCTAAAGGTTGTGCACCAAAGATTCCAGAGGACTTGTACGCTTTGATCAAGAAGGCTGTGCAAATTAGAAAGCATTTGGAAAAGAATAGAGGTGATATTACAAGCAAATTCAGATTGATTTTGGTTGAGAGCAGAATTCACAGATTGAGTAGATATTACAGAAGAACATAAAAATTGCCATCAAATTGGAAATAGTAAGCAATATTAATAAATGTTTAGTGTTTCAAAGACAGCATCAGCCTTAATTGGTCAATGAAAAATATTTTATACATATAGTACATTGTATAATAATTATATAAATGATTAATAATGTTGTCCCTTATTAATGTTTAATATTTATGATAAAATCTCAGAATCTGCCACCAAGATATTGGGAGGTAGCAGTTAATTTTTCAGTTAAATGTTCCAAGATTCTATCAACAACTTCTTATTGTCTTTATCTTTCGGTGGTTTAAGTTTCATAAGTGGATTCTTGGAGAGCACACCATTCATGTTCAGCATCAAGAGTCTCTTGAGCTTATTCTAATTCCAACTATTTAAGACATAAATAATAAAACTTACTTGATGGACTTCGTAGAAATGAGTGGCAGTGTCAATGTTGGTCTTGAAAGTTTGGATGGATTATTCCAATTGATTCTTTCTATCGACCAATCTATTGTGTTCGTTGCTCAAGTGAGTGGAGAATTCAGCCCATCTTTAAGCTTATCTGTTTTCAGTATCCTAGAATATTATATAAAATTTAATAGTTACTTCTAAGACTGATCTGGCTTCAACTAATTGTTATCTGAGTTATGAAAGCAATTGAAGAATTCTTTAGATGGCTTTTTGATCGACTTTAGTAGCTAATTCAGTCAAGGCGGTGACATTTGGTTAAAAGAAGCCCCCGTGACTTTTCTTTCCAATCATTCTCTTTTTAACAGCTTCAATTTTTGGTTTAAGTTCAGCAAAAGTAGCACCAAGAGAAAGATGTTACACTAATTTAGTTGCTTCATCAACAGCAGCAATAGCATCATCATGCTCTCCATTCTTTCTAACCCAGGTTTCGTGAGCCTTGTTTCTGTTGGCTTCTTCTTAAGCGAAGGTTCTTTCATTACTTTCGATATCCTAATTGATTACTTTATATGCATATATTTACTTGGATTGTTTATCTTACATCAGTTTCAGCTTCTGCCAATGCCTTTTCGTTGTCTTCTCTCATTTGAGCATTAGCAGCTACTTAGGCTGTGTGATAGGCAATTGAGTTTTCTAAATCTGTGACTATACGAGTGCAAGCAGATCTATCAACTCTGATAACATTATCATGTTTGTTTTAATCATCAACCAAACCAGCCAAAACTTAATTCAATAAAACCAATATCTCTTCTGCATTTCCTTTTGCTTGTAAATACATTTGAACTGTTGATAGAATTGTGTTTCCGAAGTTGTCAGCATCAATCTCTGCCAACACTGTCTTTGTATCCTTCTGAATACCCATTGCACATGAAACAATCAAGGCCAAAGCGATGAATTTGTACATTATTAAAAAATTAACGAAAACGGATTACTAAATTAATATATTAATCAAAGGTATCTGTAGCCGTAGCCCGTTGCTCCTGGACGATATCCACTCACTCTACTTGGACTGTATCTATAATTTGAATATGATGTAGGAGCAGGTGGTGGTGGTGGTAAATATTATGATTAACTTCCATAACCAACTCTACTTTAAGGTCCTTTCACAACATGGCTATTCTAAACTGGCACATAATCCACATGCTCATCGTATCGGTCAACTGGAATATATTCCACTCTTTTTTCCAATCTTGGAACTGGTACATAATCTGTCTCATGCTTTACTAAATATTATAAGTTAATTCTCAAACCTTCAATATAATCTGTGTATTGTTTCTCTACAGGTCTATATTCAATCTTTGTCTCTGGTACATAATCAGTGTATCTCTGCTCCACAGGAATATATTCTGACCATTACTCACCTCTCATTGGAGCTCTTGATTGATATGAGTATGGACGATCGTAAGGACCGTAGTATGAAGGACCATATTAACTTGGTGGATAAACTGGAGCTGTGCGGTCATAGGCACTTTGGTAAAAAGGTTTGTAGTATGACATGGAAATACTTAAAATTATTTATATTTTATTTTTTTAACAGAACTTTATTTTAATGTTAAATTTTATTTGTTTTATTCAATTTTATTCAGCATTCCTTTATTAATGATACATATTTAAAATCATATTCCTATTTCAACATAATCTTTAAACACCTTTTCCATTTCCACTTCTTCTTTATAAACAAGTTTTCAAATAATAACCAATAAATACAAGGTTATATATAAAAATGAAAATAACATAACACATTTTATTTGAAGCATTAAGATTTTTTTTGGAAAGTCCGCTAGCAAATCGAAAATTGACTTAAATTAAAACACTGTGTTTCGTATATTTACATTTTAAAGTGAATTTGCTTTGATAATCGAGGTTGTTAAACTTGCTCTATAAAAAGAAAACTGATATAATTGCTGAAACTTTGTAAACTTAAAGTCAAAATTGCTTTAGAGAATGTAAATTCACTTGTAGAAGAATATAAATCTCATGAAGAACAATTACATTTTTGATATAGATAATTAAATCAGTCATATAGTTATTATTTTTGTAATGAAAATTAAAATATCTGTTGAAATAATTGTTATTTTTTAAGACATATTACATTTATTTCAAAAGTTAGTTAATACTGTATAAATATCTAATTATTCACAACAGTGAAAATAAATTCTTTTTTAGCAACCTAAATTTCAAGCAGCAAAATCACCTCCATCTTCTCATATCTATCCATTAAGACCATAAGATTAGATTATAGATCTTTATTCAATTTGCCTTAGTTCAATAAAAATACACACACTTCAAATACATATTGATTATTTAATATACTCTGAGAAATCTCTACATTAAAACTGATTTCCGAAGGATGACGTTCATATTAAATATAATGATTTAATTGTTAGTTCCATATGATTGAACTAATTTAAATGAAGGTGTATGACTTTTGTAATTGGTATTGAGATTTATTAAACTGTAATATTTTAATTAAAAGAATTCTGAAATGCATAGAAAGAATTCTATTTTTAAATTAGAATCTAAGCATTCTAAATAGAATCTTTAAATAATTTTTTTTCAATTATACTGAATGGTATTGTTTTTATTGAATAGTTTAAGCTATCAAAATCAATAATTTAATTTAATAGATTTTTCTACTAACAAACGAATTATTTTTGTTAGCAGTAAAGGAGATTGCTCTCACAATAGATGGAATGAAATTTTGGTGTTGAGACTATTAAATTTCTTTTAAAATGAATAGTAATAAATATTTTTGTCTAATAAAATCAAAATCATATTAGAAATTTTTCTTGATTATATTAATTTATCATTTTTATAAACTTTACAAAATTATATCCCTTATATAATGACATATTCATAGGGCTGTGGTTATTATTAAATTTATTGAAAATAGTATTATATGTTTAAATGAATTCTATAAAATAAAGTCAAATATAAAATGTATGATAAATGGAAAGTTTATAAAAAGTGATTTAATAGCCATAAAAATGATTAACATATTTTAACAAGAAGAAATGGAATTCAGAAGAATTATAGTTTGTATTTAAGATTTTTCTATTTGCACAATTTATATAATTTATATATTTATTAAATTTAATAATATTTAGTGATTATCCTTTTCTATTATTTTGATTAAAATGTACCAAGGAATAAATTTATGTATTATTTGTCAGAATAATCAAGAACAGGAATGGGAATAAATATTAAGGAAGGAACAAACCTACTTACTAAACAGAGAAAAAATAATCTACAATTAAAGAGGGCTTAGGATTATCATATTCCAGATTGATTCATTATTAGATAATTTTATTAGCCAAAACTTTGAGTGTATTTGATAGTAATATGAGAACAGTTGTATTAATATCAATTTAGTAGTTTAATCAACATACTATAATAAAAAAAGGGGTTTAATATTATATTTGAGAATAGATTTGACATAATTATTTACTGTTACACATATAAGAAAACTAAAGATTAGGAATTAGAAGTAATGCAACTCTAAAGATGATATGGTAGATAACCAAATTATTCATCGTACAAATAAATTTTTATTAATCTCTTTCATCTTAATTGTTTCAACCTAAATAATTTAAATGATATTTATTAGATAGAAATTCTACTCTAGTGTTTAATATTGAAGCTAATTAATGATAAAATCAACGTTCTTATGATTGTTCAGTATATTTAATAGAGTCACAAGCTTCACATCATGGGGAGTGAATATATTCTACAATCTCTGCTCGTTGAGAATTGTAGATTAATTATGAATAATATTATTATCTTTACTTTTATTCAATTTTGTAGCCTACATTTTGGTAAATCTTTTGGTCATCTTGACCAATAAAAGGCTTGAAAAATGAAGAAATTGAAATATTTAGAGAAATATAAATATTTAAATGTTAAAGATCATCCTATATATGTTAAATGACGTGATATAATTAAATAAATATTAAATGATTTATTTTTTTGTTCTTCTAGCAGCAGTAAGATCAGTTTATGTTGGAGAAACACCTTGCGCCTCCCTGGCCGTAGCGAGTGATTGTGACAATTCAGGATATTGTAAGGTAGATACAGGTGTTTGTGTTGCATTACCTTGTTATATGGTAAATGAAGTAGCAGCTTGCAGGTCTGGACCTTCAGGAAGTGGAATCCCAACAGGTGCTCTATCATCCAAATGTGACTCATTGGAGTAGTTTAGTTTACAATATGACAATGTTTGTGTGGATAAGGGAGATGGAAAATTGAATTTTGCTTTTGTTCGTTTCTCTAAAACCACTGATGGATCAGCCCTTTCAACAACTGGTTCAACCTCAACACTAGTTGGGGCATTGACTGCTGTAGAGGCCAATATGTTTTCATTATACACAATAAACCCATGGAAATCCCCAGAAGCAAGTCAAACTGCGGCAACATTGAAAACAGAGTTAGAGGCAATATTGGATAAATATATTTTATTTTATTAAGTATTAATAGATACTTCAAATTCTCATCCATTCTATTTAGAGAGAACTACATATTAAGCATTACAATTAATTAGGGTACTTTAAATAAAATTAATGATAGGATTATGTAGGATTTGATTATACAATGAGGAAAGCAATTCTACCTAAGATTTGGTAAGTAGCTGAAATAGCCCTTTTTAGAATTGCCAAGTTTTCCCCTTCTTATTATCAAACCAATTATTATTTCATTAATTTTGCATCATGCCCATATTCCAGAAGAGAATTGAAGGTCAATGGGTAATTGCACACAGTTAGAATTGATTGGATTGGTTATACTTATTCAACAAATGGATATATGCAAGTCTATTCATATGCTGCTGAATAGTTCGGTATTAGAAATGCTCTTTCAGACATTATCGCTTTGAGACCTACTACTTCTTTGACCACAGCTGCAACCATCAATTTAGATACTTTATTTACAGGTTTCTTTTTAGAATGGACTTGGACTGACACAAATTTGGTTGTTGTTGAAAAGGATATCAAATTATATTAATTTGATGAAAGTGCTGCAGTAGCAACTGATGTTGTTAAGTAAGTTACAACAACAATCACTTGCGTATCTGCTACAAAAACATGTAAGACCGCAAATATAGTAACACCAATAACAACAGCAACAACTAGAATCAATTATTTTTTTAGTTATGGTCCCGGTAAATGTGTTGATAAAACTGAAGTGTAATGCAAATTATCAATAGAATAAGGAGCACAGTGTACTTATAACGCAGCTATTACAACTGATTATAAATGCTCCTGATATAATTATTAATAAATATAAAATATTCCAATGATAAGTTTTCAGGATCGATTTAAAGGTAAAATGTCATACATCTCAAAATATGGAATTAACCAATCCCCTGATCTCAAATAAAATAGCTATATTCTGGTATTCTTTTTATTACTATTAAGCAATAAGATTAATCAAACAATAAAAGTCCTTAAAAAATCATTAATCTGAACTCTAAATCTCCTATCAAAAATTCCTATTATTATAAGTTACCTCCCATTAAAAATAAAATAGTAGATAGAACTTAAAATTTTAATTAACAGAAATAATAAATATAAACCAAGAAAATGTATTAATCATGGCATATTTAGTTATTCTGCTGACCATTCAAAGATTAGCCTGAAGAAATACGACAGCGATATTGAAGAAACTTAATTGAAACACTTGTAATATTTAGATAAGATTGAATAATTATATATGCTTTAAAAAAATTGATTAAAATATTATTAAATTGAATGAATTCTTTCACTCTTACATTCAATTCAACAGATCTAGAATTAAAATACTAAGAAACTAGAAGAGGATTCATGCTACCTGTTTTCAAAGGTATCAGTATTATTAGCCTGATAATTTGTGTGATTCGAGCGATTATCTCCAGTGTTGCTTAATAGTTTAGCTTTGCCCTTGTATTTCTTGGTCTGGGAATAGCCATAATTATTTCGCACTTCATCATTAATAAACTTTAAAAATAATGGATCGACTTTTATTTGTTTACAATAAACCATATCTTAATGATGTATTAGATTGCTGTCAATCAGAGTTATGATTTTTAAGAATCCTTTATTTTTGGATAAGTTATGATGACCTTACATATCATTATAATATTAATATCTGATTATAAATACGCTGTAATTTAAATTATTAATAACCTAATAATTAAAATCTTAATAGCTGAGTTAAGTAATGGTGATTTATCTTTAATAACTTATTTGTATACTATTTTAATAGCCTGCATGGCCATATTTGTAATTTAAGGGATCAATAAGAAATATCGACAGTCGTTCTTATTTGTCATCTAGGATTACTCTAAAGGTATAAGTAACATATCTATGGTTTTTTGTAGAAAAATTCATCCCATTATTATTTGATAATCCATTTGCCATCTTCACCTTCGACCAAAATACTCTTGCTTTCCAGGTTGTATAATCCAATTTTAATTAATTTCCTCAGTTCAATCCTTTAAACAATAACCAAAATAATTTAAAAGCGTTTCTGCGAAACTACAAACTCAATGATATGAAATTTGAAGACTTTTTATTCAAGAGAACTAAAGAGTATTCAATAGATAACTCTATGAACAATTAGGAATTAGTGTTAAATCATCAAAAATTTGCAAATTAGAATGTTATTGTAAAACTCTCTGAAGTTCAAGTTACTGAATTGACTTTTGTAATTATAATGGATTAAAAATCTAAACTCATTAAATCTCAAATAGAAAAAATTGAGTAACTCTGTACTTGGATTTAAATTTGCTCTAAGAGTTTCTCGAAATTCTTGAAATCTTAAATGGCCTTAACTTACTAGGCCTAGCTTGACTAAAGTAAATATGGTAGAATATAAATTAAATACATTTAAATGATTAATAAACTTTCTCATCAAACTAAAAAGACACTTTCATCTTGTTCAATTTAAAAGAAGATGAAACAAATATTTCAATTTTATGAATCATCTTATAATATTAAAATCAAATGTGACTATCGCATTGAGCCTGATTATACTATAGTTACCAATCAGTAAATTCTTAATAAATTATTGTTTGGTTTAATGCAAATTCTAGTAAAACTCAACTAAAAAGATGTTAATTTCAAATTATAAGAAGAATTAGGATTTTTAGATATTTTCATATCTTTAAATTAATTAACTACATTCGATTTAGAGTTAAAGAAAAATAATTAATTTAGAAGAGCATTAAAAATACTGGGTCCTTAAGATTAGCCAATATTTAATTAAGAGAGTAAGAATACATTTAATCATAGATGTCCTTGTACGCATATATACAAATATGGAGATCTTGTCTGACTTGTAACCATTTAAACCTTAGTGATTTTGAATAAAATATTTATTTCTATTAAAATTATTCTACATCAATTTCAAAAAAATATTGCAAAATAGATAATTTAGATTATTAATGTTATTGAATAATATATTCAGATAAATAAAGGTTGATTTATCATAAAAAAAAGAAAGGATGTTTTTTTTTATAACTCTATATTGAAATATAGTAGATTATACTTTATATCTACCATGTTTTATATGGGATTTAGTTATTAGATAGGTTACGTTTAACTTTTGACTTAAATTGAAATTTCTAATTTTCAATAATCTAAAATATATTGTATTTGGGTGAGATGGTTTGATTGGATTTGCAACTTTACAATTTAAATTCTTAATTATTTCACATTTATAAATAAGAATCTAATATTATAAATTAATATATCCTTAAGAAACTATAGAGCTAGTTGAAATTCAAGATTAATGGGAATTCTGATTTGTTGAGTTTTAAATATTATAAAATTGAATTTTGATTTATACTTTTCTATATGCTTTTATATTATCATACAGGTCTGGAATGATTACTAAATATATTATTTATGGGTTTCTGTATTCGCCTTCATCAAATTAAATCTTTTAAGAGAATTGAAAATACTTAATTAGAATTTGTTATTCTATTTCATTTATATATTAGAAAATTAATAAATTTTGATTGACCCTTTTTTTGTTGAATATATCTGAGTTTTTCAATAATTTTTGATGGAATGTATTCTTTTTATTTACATCTTTAGAATGTATATTTCTGAAAAGGTTAAGAAGTGTTGGGAGGAAACAGAAAAGTGACTTTGTTAATTCAGAGATGTTTAACGTTATATAATTTAAATATAAAAATGAAATTGTAAAATATTGGAACTATTGATTTCAGCAAGGCTAATCGACAGATTAAGGATCTATCTCATAAATTTTTGCAGAGCAAGCTGCTCAGAAAGAACAAAGAGAATTTTAATCCAAATTAGAGTCATTAGGATGCTGCAGCAAAATTATTATTAGAAGCTTTGCAAAAACCTCTATTAAGAAGTTTGAGAGACTTGATTATGATTAAGGAGTCAGTAGTTTGTGAGAGGAATATTTTTGACGAGGTTTGTTCGATGGGTGTAAGTGAGAATAGTGACATCGGTGAAGGGTTCAAGATTTCCTTTGCTAATTTAAGCATCAAATAGGAAATAATAGTTGATTGCGAGAGTATTCAACCTACTAATGCACCGATATTATTGTTTATGGTGATTCAGAATATTAGGAAGAAGAAAATGATCATCTCATTCTAAGAAATCAAATATTTCATACTATAAAGAAACCTGAGCTCAGTAAACAAAAGACTTGAATATGCAAAGTAAGAATAATTGCGTAAGATTATTGTTAACAAAACGAAGTAGGAATAAATATTGCTTTAAGTGTATTTGAAGTATTGGTCACAACAAACACAACTTCTGATATTTTTTGATCATTTTGGTTCAAAAATAGAGAAAATCTACAAAAATAGATTGAATGAATATTTAATTGCGATGAAACAGCAATTAACTAAAAGAGAGGCAGCGTAACATTTGGTGAGGGTAATAAATACAAAATTATTTGAATATGGACAAAATTTGAATAGAGTGAAAAACAATTTGCATTTGCAACATTGCTTGAGGAAGGTGGTGATACGATAGTTGAAAGGTCCATTCTAATAAATGCAATTGAGTAGGCCTCGATCTCCAGTTATTTTTGAATTGATGAATAAATTTCAAAGTAACTTGTTGAGAGAGAGTCTAAAAATTTTGTAGTTGAATGTCTTGAGATAGAAGAGGAGGATCAAGTCGTTTTCATATGGCTTTGAAGATCTCAATAAAATAATGAATAAATTAGATTATAAATTGGGTTTTGTTAAGCTGCAAAACAAAAACTAAAAATAATAAAGGATGTTGCCAACAAAATATTTAGTAATGATTCTTAAAAGAATAGAGGACAGGCAAAAACATTGGGTTTTGCGGAAATTAAATTAATGAAATATAATAATTAAAATTAATGTAAATTTAACTATTGCTGCTAGAGTGATTTGATTTGAATTTCCTATAATTGCAATAATTCTGAATTGTATTAAGTGTCCCTTCATCCATTAATTAATAAATATATATATAAAAGATTTAATTTGCATCAATGGTTCGACTTGAGAAGCTTGTCTATGAACAATTAGTCAATATCCGTGCTTTGAAGAGAGAGAGAATAATCGGATCACCAAGAAAATGGTACTCTGAACCACGTACTCCAGCAATGACTCTATAAGCCGTCAAATTATTCACATAAGGATGGACTGGATTAATCTACAAGTTTGTTGAGCCTCTGTTTGCAAGGTAAAGGGATTTGGAATACAATCAATAGATTCTTGTACCGATGGATGAGAAATATCGGATTAGATCGAGGAGTGGCCATGGAAGACTTAGTGTTATTCTAAGATAGAGAATTGAGAAGAGACCCCTTATTTGAACACATTTAGAGAGAGGGATTCCATCCATACACTTGGATTTTGTTCAATAAGAGAAGAGCAAGATTTTCAAAAGTAGAAAGAGGTGTAAGAGGCTCTACTGCTCCTGAATGGTTATAAGCTGAAGCAAGAGAACGTACATTGGCTGATAGTGTTGAAAATATTTATGAATGGGACAATTACGTATATCAAAATTACATGAGTGACATGACACCAACTGCAAGAGGAACTATATTGTAGAAGTTATTACCATTGGAATGGTTCCTCTTTTTCGGTCTTTTGAGAGTTGATTCATGGGATAGATACTTCTATAATGAAGTCATGTACAAGGGATTGGAATACTCAAAAGAATAATTGGCTAACATTCCTAAACCATTCAAGGCTCAATTAAGTACTTATTCAATATTAATCTATCTCTATAGCCACTTGAGGAAGGCAGAAGACAATTTGAAGTCAATGTCAACAGATTTATTGATCTATATCCAGGAGCAATCGTTAGAGAGGGGTAATACTATTACATTAAGATTTTAGTGAAAAATTTGATTTCTAAAGATTCTATGCTCTTGAAGCAATCAATAATAATAGAGACCTCAGCAAATTTGATTCATCTTTGATTGCCTAATTGAAATCAGAACTCACTCAATAGGTTGCTTTAAAGACAAGCACTAAAGTTAAGAAACAAAGAGCTTCCTTCCCAAGTTGGTTATAGTAAGATGGAAAGGGACTCTTGGCATGATCTATGACATAAAATATATAATACAAACAAAATTTAACCTCATTTAAAATATTATAATAATAGGATTAAAATTTTTGTACAATTAATTGAAGAAAGGTTTTCTAATTTTTAGCATTCATTATATAAATGAAAAAATCAGAAGTCAAATAGCATCAAAAATTTGCTTAATTTCATTAACTCTTAGAAATTGATAGTGTTAAAGATCAGATGTTGGTGTCCTATTAATAAGACTTCTAATAATTGAAAAACTTTTATGCGAACATTGATTTTAATTACCTCCAGTGGCTGAACGACGTCTATAAGACCAACTTTGAACCAATTTATAACACAGAGGAAATTTTAAGGAATGTCAAAAATGGGTTGAGAAGTGGAGAAGACACCTTAAAATAGAATATAAGGAAGAACCTCATCTAATTGTTATATCTCTAGAGACCAGTGCCAGCTATTTTCGTATTTCTGAAGATCTCCTCAATGTCATTCGAAATAGTTTACAAGGAGGACTTCTTGGTAATTTTGGATACCATGTTATAAAAAGCCAATTTGGATTAAAAGTCTGAGCTCTATCAAAAGATGTACGATAGTTTGATTGAAACCACTGATGAAGAAATCATATTGTAGACTATAAAACTCTTAAATAAGAAATTTGAACTAGCCAGCCAATTGAATCAGAAATAATTCGAAGTCTTTGATAAGATATCTAGCCAATTCAACAAAATTGATTTCTCAGAATCCAAAGAAGTTATAATCTAAATTGTCAAAAATTTTCAGGAATTCTAAGAGAAACTCAAAAACAAAAGATAAAGTTTGGATCAAGTGAAATCCGAAAAATTCCCTTAATTTGTACTCAAGGTTGTGTTGATGTTACTAAAGGAATAATAAATCGTTGTTCCTGAACTTCTATTGTTCTTATGCTTCAAAGAAACACACGAAAAGAAAAGATCAATTGCAATAAAAGCGCAAGTGAAGGAAATATTAAAGATGTTTGCGATCCCTCGTTTGAAACCATGTCTGGATCACTTAAAAATTGAGGATAGCATATTCACCAAAGGAGCCATCGGTTATGATTAATTGTATTCATTGTGCCAAAGAGAATACCCAGTATTCCTGAATCTAAAACTTAATGGAGCCCTTATATCATATATCGAATATCTACATTAAGTTACTCATGTAAACACTTAGCAATTCTTAAATGTATTTGAAAATCCAGAATTTAATGATTTCTTAGAATAGATTTGGAATACTTGTGGAAAAGAGATCCAACAATTGTTATAGAATATCTTAATCGAAGATCTGGAATATGCAAAATACGGTTCAAACATTCTGAGGATTGGGACATATTTGTATCGAATCAAATTCAAATTGGAGAAGAAGAAGATGAATATTATGGAGAAGGGGTATGATGTGGATGAGCAATCATTAGAAAGACGGACATATGGAGTAACCGAAAGAAGTATGAATCCCTTATTCAAAACATTTGTGACAGATTTGGTACATCGAAAGAAGCCATTCCCATTATTGCTCAAGACTTTGAAAATGGATCTCTATAATTTGAAGGTGGGGTATAGGATAACTGAGATGAGAGAATTGGTGGTGGATCCAAAATTCAAAAAACACATGAAAGAAAAACACGGAGTTGTTTGGAATAGGGAAGATCCCGATGAGAATCTGGATCACATTATTGCGAGACAATACCCAATTAAGGTGAGTAACAATGGTAAGAAATATGAACTTAATTGGCCGAGATTAATCAAGAAATAGGCTAAACTTATCTATGATAGTAGAGAACAATTGAAGGCTTAATTATTGGATGTTTATGCGAATTAGAATTTCATTAAGGTATACAATGAATTGATTAAATTAAATGATAATAATAAAAAAAAAATGCAAACAAAAGAAATCTTAATGAACTTGGTTGCATACATTAAATCTATAAAAGAAGAATGATTGAATTTATTATTTATTTAGATATTTTATAAATGGATAGGTGGCTTATTTGATCTTAATTATGTGTAATTAATTTATCTTAATTATATGTCATTATATTATTAAATTTTAAAAAGCTCCTATATCGGCAACCTTTATGTATTTGATCATCTACTTTCTCTTCCACGAAATATATTGCTAGTGCTACTAGAAGTATAAGGATTAGACGATATATTTATCTCCTGGAGAAACTTTAAAATTAGATTTGTAAAATTACATATACGGTAAGTAACTTCAATATTCATCCTCTAATGATTGTCTGGAGAATAAGATACGCTACAACAATATCAGCTTCTTGAACTAAACTTCATCAGAGTACTCAGAATATAGTTTATGCTATGACCCTAAGAGTGGAGTTTGTAATAAAATGAAATTTATTATTATTATTCTAGAACTCGGACAGATAGTGTAAATGCATGTCTTAAATTATCAAGCCACAATACAATTTTATAATATCAGCGATACTCTTTCCATCTTAATCTACAATACCACCTTTAGAATCGATATAGTATTAATATTGACTTATCATGTAGAACATGATGTGCTACAATGTTCTCTGCATGAGATTGAATATGGGTTTGGTCGAATGTAACCACAAAACCAGGAAGCAATCAAATATCTTTCTGATTAATGCAACTTCGCAATAAACTTAAATCCATTTTCTACAAACAAATGAATTGGGTTCAATCTAGTAATTGATATCATAATTCATAGAGCAGGAATTATAAATTACATCAACGAGGACCTATTGAGTTTTTATAAAATGATCAATGTTCTGAATGATAGTCGAATTGACATCTACACCATAAACATTACATCCAAAGAACTGATTGTTTCTACGAGAATTGACAAACAAGTCTATCAAATCGAGTCATTAAATCTATTCGATTTCCTCATTTACAACTCTGCTCTCTACTTCCTATCAAAAGAACTCGGCTTGTGTTTAATTAAGAATTACATCAATCAATACTGTTGGAATATGAATGATATCTTCGATGTCTTCAGTGTGTACATTGAACAAAATGGATATCATAGTGTACTCTTGGGCTCTACCATTACCTTAGACATCTTCAAAGTGAACTTGTTTGATGATTAAACCTACAAAATCATTCAGATGTACAAACTATAAAAAAACATGACTTTTTCTAAAATATTCCACAATGATAAATACAGTTTTATCATAGGAACCAAAAATAATAACACTAAGAAGTATTTTATGGATATCTACTCTCAGATGGATGATTAAACATCCAATCTATATAAAACTATTGAAATCACATCCTAAAACGAACTCTTCTATTTCGATAGTCTAAACAGTATGATGAATTATTAATTTAGATCACGTCTATGCAATTAACAACAAGTCCATCTTCATCATAACACCACAAGTTTCATATATAACTATTGATGATGGTTAATGTTTTGGTGATGTCATTGAGATTTAAGCCTCATTTCCTTCTCTGGAGATGGAATCCCTATGCAATTTCACATTCTAAGTTAATAAATTGGAAGAGGGAACCTAAGATATTTATGACAAATAGGAACTCGATGCCTCCGTAATTGTATTAAATAAAAGTATCAATAATTTATACCTGAATAACTTTGTGATTGGTCCTAATGTTGACTATTACCTATATAATACATCATCCACGGAGACAAACAGGAAATCTAATGAGGATGATTTTGAGAGGATCAAATTCAAAGACCATTTTAGGATCTCCTATGCCTAAACGATGGACATCTATTCTATTATTTTTAATCGAGCCTTCAGGATTGCTGCTGAGAATCAGTATATTCAAATAGTCTAATGGAAAGACTTGACTCTACAAATTTTCAATTGCGTCATCTTTGATAGCGACAAAGAAATTAATTGCAACTACAGACAAAGCATCAAATATGCCAATCCAATCTTGCAAATTGTCACAGGGTTGACATGTTCAACTGAATGCTTTGTTATAAGATAGGATAAGAGAGCAGATCTCTATATTGAGAATAATGCCAGATTCATTGCAACCAATTGTTTCATCGACTCCCAGTATAATATCTAGACCATCAAATTGCACTTAGAGAAATACTTAGTAGAATTGGAGAATAATAAGATTCAGGTATGAACACATTTAATCTAGATATTCTTGCCAGTGTTTAAATCATCCATCACTTGTAGTCTAGAGAAGGTGTTTGAGATTACTTCGCTTGAATTAGAGGATCTTATAAATAGTAGCAGATCCATCAACATATTTAATGTTAAAACGAATATCAACATTTACAACCTCTACATTTCCACTAATTTAGGTTTAATCGTCATAGACCCAGGTTTAAAGAGATTCCAACAAATCCAATTAAATTGCATTCGTAAAATTTAATTAATAATTTGACACTGTCTTATAAGTGATCAGAAATCGGATCATTACATTACAGTACAACTAGATCATGATTATCAATTTAGTCTAATAAAATTTCTATTATAACGAAAAAGTATTACCTAAATATGATTTCACGATCACAAACACAACAAATTCATAAGTGGCATTTTCTCAAAACTATTTTTATTTATAAGCAAAGGATTCCAATTACTCCGATGTTATTATTGTTTATAAAGTGGATGAACCCTAGATTGCATCCTTTCATACATACTTCTTAAAAACTAACAATCTTGATTTTAGTATTATATAAAATCAGGATGATGAAATATTTTTGGTTCAACTGTTTGAGGCATAAAAACTGTATAGTTCAGTCATTTTGTAATTCAAGTCATCTCAATCAAAAATAATTAAAGTGCTCTTCTAAGGATTTACAAGTTATGCAAAGTTAATGGATGTAAATGTCAATGTGAAAACCGCAGAAAAGCAATACAACCTTTCATTGTTAATCAATGAAACATAAACAATAGTCTACGAGGATTTAGCTCAAGATTTCATCTATTTGGATGGATACAATGATTACATTGATGGAAGTGTGAGCGAATGGTCCATCAATTGTTATTCTTGTAAAAAGGAATTAGAACTTATCAATAACATCAATTATGACCAATATTTAACATAAATTCCTAATACTACTCAGATTAAACACACTTATGATTATGTCTTAATACAGTAAGAATAGAGTATTATCGCTATTGATAATTTTGGTATGGTCAAATTTTATATCCCATTGCCTCTGCCTGAAAAATCGACTAAATGCACATCAATCACTGGCAATACTTAAGAAACCAAGACCAAATTAGTAGTTTCAGTATGCAATACGACATCCTCAGCTTAGTTCTACATTACTTCATTTATAGGTTCATTGCCTGTCCCAATGGGTCCTTTCTATTCTCCATTAGTAATCAATCAAATCACTCATATAAGAATGTTAAATGAAATTCTGTTTATTTTGGATGTTGTTACTGAATATGTTTACATGTTCAATCTAACTATTGAGGATTACTATACGGATAATTTGAGAGTCATAAATTCACTCAATGCGAGAGAATTCACAGCTGATAAAGGTTAGGTCTTTGTTAGTTTCGATGTAGCCTATAATGATAATACTTATCTGCTATTTTTGCTGACTAATTCCTCATGTAACCAATATAAATTATAATAGAATTTATCATATACACCTATCCTTAGGATGATGCTTATACATCTGATCTGATATCCTTTTTCTATGAACTAGGATTCGCAGACATACCCTCTAACATAGTGCCACAATCATTGATAGTAGCCGAGGCAGGCCAAAAGGAAAAGAAGTAATTTTACAGGATCATTGTGGCCAATCAGAATTTTCATCACTATGAATTAGAAATAACGATTGAGTATTTTAATAAGGACACTCTTATTAATTTAGAATTCATTAGAGCTTATATGCAATACGGATATTTCTACGCTAATGGTAAGATCAGAGTCTCTGAGGAGTCACAGGGATTCTTCGGATTGGTGTACTAAAATCCATTGGACGAAAAATAAAAACTATTGGTTGTGTATGATAGGTTTAGTTAAGGTAAGGAAAAGCTGAGAAAGATACTAGGGGGATTCAAGATATTTTCGAACAACATTAAATGTAATTATCTGTTATTTTCAAGACTATTTGATTTTCTTCATTTTAAGAGGATGAATGATGAGTTTTCATATGGTATCATTTTGTAAGATGGACCTCTGTTAAGTTCTTTGACTCTTTCTAGATATCTGGCAATAAAGGTTAAAGACAAGGAATTTCAAACACAAAATATGACCTTCAATGCTTCAAATGACTTTGGGAAATGGGTTAGTTTTCAAGCAAATATTTATAATAGATCTGGATAGGTAATAGAATTATAAATTCATTATTTAGACTAAGTTACTTTTAATAATGGTATCTTTGGGAGTTGTTGTATTTATTGTAGTATCTTCATCATTACTTTATATTCGGAACAAATTAAATAAGCTTGAAGTAAAACATTTGGGAGAGATAGAGGAGGAAGAAGCCATAGTTAAAGAAGATCAATGATTATTTAGTTTATAAGTATATTTGCTTAGGGATTGTGATCTAATTTGATAATTGTTAGATTAATATCAATTTTTCTTCTTTGGAGGATTCCACATTTAAGTCAATGTATCTTAGACTAACAGAGTAATCATAGCGTGAGGTCCGACTCTTGTGTAAAAGACTGGCAATCCAACCCATAGTCCAGTGACACCTTCTCTTTAGATAGTCTAGAATTTAAGATTGGTGATACTTTCAAGAAGCAGTCTCCTATATTTTTGTATGGGAATTGTCCAGTGGTGGGGTCTTTCTTCATTCTTTAAAGTTTAGTTTTGAGATTGTCAGGAGGCAAAGAGGCGATGGCACACCCGATACCAGCTGCAGCAGAGGATCTATGCGATTAGAGGGGAATAGATACAGTAATTTGTCCATGTAATCTTCCTTTCCTTTGCCATGGAGTGATACGATGATGTCTTTGATTTGATCGTAGGTTGTTAACATGCCTAATAAAATGAGATGTAGAATTACTTAAGTTCATGGCAATGGCTCTGATAACTGTTGGCAAGGATCCTCTCCAGAGAGTGATGAGTCCCTCCTCACTAACTATCCTATAGAGAGCGTCAAAAACATTTTTATAGTTTCTTCTTTGGGCTTCTGGCAAGAGGGTGTCAGCTTGAAATCTGACCAAACACAAATCTGCTGGATTTCCAACAATGGATCCAACAAAACCAGAAAATGAGGATGCTAAACATCTTTCCCAGAAGATCATGCTTCTCCCATGTGTTCTTTTATAATGATCATCGATGGCTCTATATAATCCCAAACGAGTTGTAGCATAAGTGACTTGTCTCAACAAGGCAGCTCCAATTCTAGTGATATAATATTATATCTAACCCTTTGTAAAATCCGAATGGCCCTTCAGTTTTGATGATGTCTTTTACGATATCAATTGTGCTGACATTGACACTATGGCCTTGTCCTTTGAGTTCGCTTCGAACTTGAATGCGCACTTTCACAGTGTCCATAGGTTGGACAAAGGTTGTGGCTGTGCATCCTGATATACCTCCGATTAAGAAAGGAGATATTAATTCAAACCATGTTGGCATATCTATTTTTATTTATATTAAATAATTCTTAGGGAGTAAAGGATAAATCACAAAATTGTGCATGGGGTACAAATATTCACAAGCATTATTCAATGAAGAGCGAATTGCTGTGTATTTGGTTGATTAGACAAATTATTTTAAGGATGTAGAAATTGGAAATTCAGAGGATAGTTGGGAAGAGAGTAAAGAACAGCAAATTGGAGTATTTGGCTCTATGCAATTAAGGATATGTTTGGCTGTCGATTAAATTATTAAAATATAATTTGAGATTGGTGGCTGATTATGAATATATTTCACTTCAGAAACAGAAGGAGATCATCCAGAATGTGGAGACCTTTGAAATTAAGTTGACTTTTGATCAGAAATCCGAGTGGAATCAAATGAAGGAGGACGAAGAATAAGCTGATAAGTCTTTGAATCAAATACATAAGCAAGATATTTCGGAGTTGGAAGTTCGGAGAAGAAAGAGGTTTGATTAATTTATTTGATCCTTTGATATATATATCTATCATTATTATAAGGCACTCTCTATGATTTTGGTGAAATTCTCGATCAGATCTGGACTTTGTTCTAGAATGACATTTTGATTGTTTCCAACTTTTTGAAGGATCTCCTTTTGGACTCCAATCAACTCATCGATGATAGGGTCGTTGTTCAAGTATTGGTCAGTCTCTTGTGCTTCCTAATAATCTGTGTAGAGTATTTCATATTCTCCATCATCGTAATATTTGACGCATTCAATGATATCCCTTTTGTTTTGGTTGTTCCTAAATTGCATGATAATCATTGCAAGAGAGAGATCATAATACCATTAGTTTAGGGGGTCTTGTTAATGGTGAATAATGCTTACATTTCTATTTGCAGTTTAAACATGTTCCATCCTCCTTGTAATCTCCCATTGACAAAGTGCACAAAGGTTGACCGCCCTCATGATTGACTGGATCGAAAAATAATTCTCCCTTTGTGGGTTGATTCCTGAACATGTTATTATTAGAAGCAGGGGGTTTAGGTTTCCTCAAGGGGTAGATGATGGACTTAAGATTGTTTTGATTCAAATATTTAACAGCAGCCAAAGGTCTTAGGTTGTTGAAAATCAGTCTTCCAGGACCTGTTTATTATTGATAGTTATACATTTTCTATTATTTATTTTATTTAGTATAATTTGCAAGCCAATAATAACTTAATAATATCCTATTTAAATAAATATAATGCATATTATATGTATAAATCATTCCTATAGTTTTTGGTTAATATATTCTATTAATCTATCAACGATGTCGATTTCAGTTTATCTATTTATTAATTACAATATTGTACCTGCTAACTTTTTGATTGCTGTATTCTTGATCTTCTAATTCATTGATTCTGGTAGCATCTTGGATGTTGAGTTAAGTCACTTCAACGATGGCATTTGAAATATTAATCAATCCATCCAATTCATTTAATCTTGATTAGATCTCCTTCAATCTATTGTTAGCAGTGGCCAAAGACACTTATAAGGTTTGTTTCTCGTTTCTCAAATCATCCCCCAATCTACTGAGATTATCGACTTGAGTCTTGTGATTGGATTCCAATTGATCTTGGCCTTCTTGTAAAGCAGTGATCAACCTAGCGACAAGACTAAGAACATTGTTCAAAGTTTCAGGATTGACCTTGGTAGTCATTTCTGCTAATCCTTCAATGATGGGTTAAAACAAGGTGAGAGAACTCTTCTTGGTGTGAGCTTCAAGAATCTCCTTGATTTTTTGGAAGTTCTCTTTGGTTTAAATTAAATTGGATTTAGTGTCTTGTCTAAGTTGATAATCACATTAATTACGTCAATTAAATGAGGGAAGCTCCTTCTCCTCTTAAATTTAATAGCAATCTCTAAGCTTCTTTGCATGCTAATATGGCATCACTGTAATCTTAGAATTTTGTAGCGAAATCTGCATTTTCTGAATCTAATCTAGCCTAAGCATCATTGGAGCCTCTGCCATTTCTGTCTAATGCAGCTTAATCCTCTTTAACTCTAGTCTAGAGTGTAGTTAATTCATTGGAGAGACTGGCTTATTCTTGTCTCTAATTATCAAGGTCTGATTGTGCTTATTCTAATGTGGCTTGGAGTTTGGCTAAATCAACTTATGATCTTCTGGTGAAAGTGGCATTCTCTTGGTCTTACAATTAGGTGAGTGCAATTAATTCATCTTTAATTTGCTATAACAGTTGTTTGAGTTCATTGAGAGATCCACCTGTCTTCATGTTGACACTCACTAAATTGATCATTGAAGATCCAAAGGGATGATCAGCATAATTGGATAATCTCTATGTGATGTCTGCAACTGTAGAGGCTGAGGCCACTACTATGAGTAAAACAACTAATGTTGATTTCATTAATATAATTAAAACAAAAAACGAATCTCTTCAGCCAATATTAAATATGAACAATCATATGATATTTTAGATTCTAGATCATCATCTCTCATCTCCTCCTTCTATTTTATTAAAAAGTTCTGTAATTCAAGTCTTGTTTAGGAGTGTTCTCAAAAATCATCTCCAATCTCTCATCCAATTTCTCGTCAAATCTCTTTAACAATTCAACACTCCCCAAAGATTCCTCCAATTGTGCCACTGTTCGTGCACCTGTTATGGCCACATTAATGTCCTTATTTCTCATCGTCCAAGCCAGCACCAATTGGGCTGGTGTCACATTCAACTCTTTTGCCAACTCCACTATCTTCTTGACTCCTTCCACATTCTTAGGATTCTTGACTATTCATTATATTTATTCTTACTGTATTTCAATAACCATCTATTCTGAGCTCTCTCCTTAGTCATCCATCCATTATCCTTAGCACATCTACTATCCTCTGGTATTCCATCCAAGTATTTCCCTGTCAAGAATCCACCACACAGAGGACTGTAAATGGTTGTACCATAATTGTATTTCTCATACAAACCTACCAAATCAAATTCAAACTAACTCCTCTGTAACATATGATATTCTCCTTATTCTGCTATTGGTCTAATAAGTCCATGTAAATCAGCATAATTAATTGCTTCCTAAATCTATGCTGAATTCCAATTGCTCGTCGCCCAATAGAAAGCCTTCCCATCTTCTATCAATTAATTAAATCCCCTAACAATCTCATCTGTTGGTGTGTCTGTATCAAATTAATGTGCAAAAACAACATCCACATAATCCAATTACAAATTTTGTAAACTTGTATTCACTGCCTCAATAATATGTTTCCTGCTCAAAGTGCACATTCTATTAACATTCAATCCTACACAATAACTACCTAATCAATTACCTCCTGGTGTCTGATTAATGAACACCTTTGTTGTGATCACCAGTCTCTCCCGTGGTAAATTAAGTTTCTTTATTGATCTACCTAATTACTTCTCTGCTTCCCCATGTTGATAACTATCATACTCATCACAACTCATACAATTCTGCAGTATCAAAAAAGTTGATTCCAGCCTCAAATGCTCTTTTGATTATTGCAATATTCACTTCTTCGTCCTCTGGCTAAAAGTTAATCATGTTCCCAAACCCCAAACAAGATACAAGCAATCCTGTGTTTCCTAATCTATTATATTACATATTATTAAATTTATAATTTTATTTAACATTACTTGTAAGAAATCACCAAATAAAATAAATCACTTCCTGTAAATGCATCTAGAATTTTATTGTCTACAAAATTAAGGTAAAACTGTTACTGGTAGTAGAAATTAATGCCTTGACTAAATAGAGTATTGTAGAATCAACTTAAACTCTCTTGGATATTAATACTCTCACTCCTTAATCAAATTTTTCAGATTAAAGGATCATCAAAATTAATTTCAATTTTATTTATCCCCCTTTAGCTCTAAATTCATATTATCCTACTCATTTATATTTCTAATTTTATGAATAAAACGTTGTTAAATTATTCAAAAAAAATTAATTTATTTGTAATTTTTACCTAGATATAGGAATAATCATCATTCAATGTATCATCTAAATTTTCCATTATTAAACAAATATCAATTAACCTAAGCTTGTCGTCTTATTCTGTTCATCTTGAGTTGGTTATCAATCAGTATTCAAGCATTTTTTATAACTCAAGATCTAATACTTAAAATCTTAATGTTAGATTGCTCAAACTATAGGAATAGGAAAACAATATAATACTTCCATCGATATAATTACTATACATACTATAATGAGAATTATATAGAAAGTATTTTCTAGTTAGAATTCAACACTAAATAATACATCAGATAGCATATACTTACTGTCATTGAATATAATGATAGATGTTTTTAGCATAAAAAGATATAGAAGTAGTTAAATATAATCAAAAATTATCATCTTCATCGGTTTCTTCCTCAATCAAGCACAGGACTTTCTATATCGAACATCCTTGTTTGACTTAGTTTCTAAGAACCAAAATATTTCGAAGAAGTAAAACTGACATCTAATCCTAAGAAGCATTGAGTTAAGGATTAGACCAATTAATTATCATGTCTTTGAGGTATGACTTCTCCTCATCACTTACTAATCCCATAGAGTGGAAATTCGAAAGTGTCTGGAATGCTAATTTGTAAAATGAGTGCATTTAAATATATTAATCATTAAACCAATTGATTTTGGTAATAAATCCGCAACGTATAGTTTGTTTTGATATCTAAATGTATGAGAATTTTATTAGAATTCTTGGAAGTAATCATTATATAAACTTCAATATTATTAAAATGCCATAAAATTTAATTCATATATATTGGATTTAATTATATATAATTTCATTAGATTTTGAATCCAAATTATTTACTTCACTAACCTTAGTAGTTTTCTTATTCTTATAGGTTCTATATAGGCTAATTTAATTGCGTAACGTGATTATTGTTATTTTGAGTGAGTTTTTCAAACTCTTTTTATAACTCATTGTTAAATTTGAAGCTCGCCTAAATCAACTCAATCAATTTCTTTTCACTATCTTCTTTATCCTTAAGTTTCTTGTTCAGACCTTTAATTACCTCATCTTTCATTTCAAGAGATTTAAGTAATTCTTAAGTTTCTTTTTAAAGTTGTTATTATAGATATTCAATTTATTCATCATGCTATAATGAGCATGTTCTATATTGTTAATCCGATTCCCAATGTATAATGTATTATATCTCTTAATCAAGCTTTCTCTTTGCTTACTCCTTTATCAGTATATTATTTAACCCGACTTATAAGGGTTAAATGGTGGTATATTCTTTTGACTATCTCATTTGCTCATTTATAAAGTCTACCAAATGACCCACATTTTGACTTTGAGGATTGAGCTTTATATAAGTGTTAAAGAATTCTTCCTTGGGTATGCTTAAGAAATATGTTTAACATAACATATTAGCACACTAATCTAATCCACTATAACTTAGCTGTTCTTTCATTTCATCTACATTAAAATATCCACTTTTTTAGTCATAATTTGTTTAGAAGCATTTAACAAACCAAGTTTCAGACTTCTTAAACGTTTGAATTATATCATTAATCTCTTTTTAAGTAGTATCAGCCACTGTTTGGTTTTAAAATTATTGAGTAAATGACTTTATGATTTAATTTTAACTCAATTGGTTGATATTCTATATTTCCTGACTAACCATGTACTTGTTACTTGAAAGGAAACAATCAAGTTAATAATAGATTTCACCTCCAGTGTGTCTGATACCAAGAATATTAGATTAAAATTTGTGAGTAATTTAGCTTTATGTTAATGATCCTTATTTTTTTTTCAATGAACTTTCATCAATCAAAATATCCTAAACCCCCTTTTCTGGAATACTTTTTCTAATTGCATCCTTAAAATAGTCAGTTTTTCTTGACAATAGGTTGCTATCCTTTAAATTTTTGAAAATCACATCCTCTATCGCAAAGATAATTCTATCATTTTTTTGAAAATCTGGTGGAATAATAGTCAAACCTTCAGAATTGAATTTTTCTATTGATGTAATAATATATATTTACTTTGTGCATTATCAACAATCTATTAATAAAACAAGTTCTATAACTTCTCATTTATATAGTTTAGCGTCAACTATTCGAATAGATTTTGTTAAACTTACTCCTAATTCTTAAATATTTCAAATCCAAAACTATCGAAAATATTTAAGATGTATTTCTTATTAGGATCAAAATCTTGGGAGATATTGCTATTTACTCTATTTTAGATCCACATGAATAATTTATAGTAGAAATCCATAATAATCCCATTGATGATCGATTCTGCACACAGTTTCCTGCTCTATCCAGTTTCAATATTTTTATCTATGGTCTACTTTAGATTTGGAATCTACAACAATTCTTCAGCTTTTTAATAGTTATCTTCTTTCAAATGAATGAGTCCAGCAACACATTAAAATATGCTTACCACTTCTTCCAGAGTAAAATCAAGATCACCAAAAGCTTACAAGAGTTTCATAAACTTGTAAAAATCTTCATCAGCCTACGCTTAATCCTCTTCTTATTTACCATATTAATCATCCTAGCTGGACATGAATTAATTTTGAGTTCCAAGAAGCATAAACTCAGTATCAAGTGCTAACTTCTCTATTTCCTTTATCAATTAATCAAGATCATATTTAAATTCGATATCTTCCTCATGCTATTATGCAAAGTTTTCTAGTGTGATAAATTTAATAAGTACTTATTTCTTCAGTTTTATGAAAAGCTTCAAATAATTAGTAAAAGATATGAAAGTTTCTATCCATAAATCCTTTTTGATTTAATCTGGTCCTTTCAAAAAGTGTTGTTACTATTTTACCACTAATTATCTTTTGGTTCTTTGGGTTCTTTTGGTTCTCGAATTAAATTGAAACAACCTTTCCAAATCTCGATGAATTTGAGTTCTTTTATGTTTTTGCATTTCCAAAAGCCTCAAAAATAATATCTGAAGCAATAATCCTTTACTCAATTTCAACTTTGTTAAGGGTAGTGGAGGTAAATAATCCACTGCTAGAAAGTGCTGCTACGTAGTGCAATATACCCTTAGCTGATACTGTCTTGCCAGATCCACTAATTCCCTAGGTCAGTATAGAACATGTGTTGTTTATGTTTGATGAAGAAAAGCAAGCTTATTTAGCTAGTTCGGCCAATTTATAGAGATGAGGTTTAGACAAGCTTAATTGTGAATTGGCTATTAAAATTAATAAACATTCTTACTTAATTTCAGGTAATCCTTCTTATGATTTTGGATATTCGAGTCACTCAAATGCTTTGTATCTTGAAAAGGGTTGAGCGATATCAAATTTGAGTATCCTTAATCTATGTAGATTTATCCACTTTTGAAGGTTTATTCCAACAAAGGTATGATTTTATCTGGATGATCAATATCCTAATTAAATAACTCAATTTTTTACAGCTATATTGGTGATTGATACTTCCTTGTTTTCTACATTTGGAACAAAAGATTGGTCCATACTATATTTAAGAGCTTATGAATATGGGTTTTGTGACATATCATTCTGGTACTAGGTTGATTTAAATAGGGATGATTCACTGCTATTTTGAAGTATCATTCGATAATTGATACAGAATAAAAAAATTTATGTTTTTTGGAAATTAATATAACTCAATTATCAAGATTGGTAATAGAAATAAGATCTTATTATGAATAATTCTTTATTAATAAATTACGTCTTAATATATGAAGCAAACTGAAATTTTATGATAAATTTAAATAATTACCAAGGCTTAATCTATAGAATTGTATATGCTATCATTTATTAATCCTAAAAACAAAGGGGCCCATTTCTTTGATCTCTAATCTATCTATGTTTGGTATACTTTAATCCAATCAAACAATCCCTTATTTCATTCCCATCATTCTTACAAATGTATACTATCAAATTGAAGAAATTGATTATTAATTAAACTTCAATAACTAAAAGATTACATAATTATAATTAATAATAAAATATTCGGTACATCTTTGTGCTATGATATTTCAAGCTCTTATGATGAGTTTTTCATATTTTATAGTACAGTTCCTTGATCATAATTTCTAGAGATTTTGAGATTATAAAATAGTTCTATAATCACTAGAAATAATTAGTGGACATCTTTTTTAACAATTTTCACTTGTCTAAGTATCTCCCAAATCTCCTTTTTATACACAGATATTAATTAATTGATATAAGAAAGAATTAACCTTAATTTTTTCTATTGGCTATTCTATTCCTCCCCATATCAATTAATTGCATCAATACAAATGATTATAATCATTTTCTATTTAAACTGAAATAACTATATCTATAAGGTAATAAATCTATTAGAATAGTATTTTCTTAATTAATTTTTATCTGTATTTTTTGAAACATTTGATTAAGGATTCTCTAAAATCAAGTTCCTATGGAATAGCTAAGGTTATGGAAATACTATTTTATGTTATTTCAAATAGAATTGCTTTATTCAAAACAATCGACTAAAACTTAATAAATCTAATTTAGCATATTTCATCAAGGATTAGAATTTAAAAACAACATAGGTAGACCTTAGTTAAGAAATGCTAGAAGCTAGTGGATATTAAATCTCCATTTAATTTAAATCATACAATTATAATTTAAATATATATATAATACAAAGTAATCTATTTTACTAAATTATTTTCTCTCATAATTTCACTCAATTTGATAACCACTCAAATTAAATGACTTGTAGATAGTATTCAAAGATATAACTTAGATTATGATCCAGTATGAATATTATAGAGGATCAAATTTGTTTTAAATCCTAAATTTTATTGTACTATTATAGATAATAAATCTCATTTTTTTGCTTATTATGCTGCTAAATCTTCGTCCATTTGTTTGAGTTAAGCACCACCTCTAAGAAGACCTGATCTTCTGGCAGCAACCAAACCGACCTTTTGTCCTGGTGGGGCATATCTGGAAAGAGTTGATGGATGACCAATATGTTATTAGTTACCACCACCATGAGGATGGTCGACTGGATTCATTGCCACACCTCTAACCTTTGGCCAGCATTTTCTAAGTCTTCTGTATTTATGGAATTGTCTACCTGCCTTGAGAATTGGCTTTTCAGTTCTTCCTCCTCCAGCAATCAATCCTAAAATAAATTCAAACAAAGTACCAACTGTAGCTCTGCAAAGAGCACTGAGTGTTTTTCTGGTACCAGATGGTAATCTAACTCTTGTGGTTGTTCCATCATCTGAATGACCAATAATGGTGGCATAACAACCAGTTGCTCTTCCCAAAGCTCCTTTGTCTCCTGGGTGTTCCTCCAAATTGCAAACTACTGTACCCTCTGGGATTTATCCGATGGGGAGAACATTTCCTGTTGCCAATTAAGCTAGGATTCAAAATATTAATGTTACCTTTTGCTCCGCAATAAATGTATTAGCCAGTGTATGATCCTTCAGGAGCAATGAAGAGTTTGGTGACCTTCTTGTATTTGTATGGATCGTTGAATTCAACCTCAGCAAGTGGAGCTCCTCGTCCTGGATCGTGACGAATAGCAGAAATCACACCTCTTACATAGCCGTGTCTCTCAGCGTAATCAAGATGTCTGTATTAGGGAGATCCGATTCTTTAATTTTGATGAGCCTTGAAGACACTGTTGGACTTTCCTTTTCTCTATGCTCTAATTCTCTTGCCCATATTTAAAAGATTTTAAATTTTGTTTTTCGAGAGTAAATTTTTTTAATAACATCACTAATTCCTATTCCTAATCGACCCAATGATTCAAATCTGTTTTTAATTCTTTATTCTGCTCAAGGCACTCAAGAAATCAGACACAAAAAGCTAAATTTGAGCATAATAAATATAGATATCAAAAAATCATAAATATTTAAATTTGAATTTCACTTTTTATTTCAATCCAGAGAGTCTTCCACTGTATCTTCCAATTGAATTTTAGTATTTTGTGTGATCTTTCAAAATACACCCTCCTTTTCGGCATCATCATTTTAATTAACAATTTTAGTTTTGTACTTATTAAAAATGAATGAATGCAAACTGTATGAAACAATTATTATTAACATCTTTTGTCTTTTTTATCATTCACTAATGAGTACTAATAGAATAGGAATTCAAAGAATAAGTTTTCTTCCAGCAATATAATTTCTAGTATAATATTTTACCTTCAATTTAGGTCTCTAAGATTCAATAAATTTTAATATTAGTAATCTGATATATCTAACATATTATTTAAAATAAAGTAATAATCAAATTATATAGTATCTTCAAATAACATTAGTACTCCAATAATAATTATTCTCCCTTGTATAATTTTATACTATATTATTAGAGATTTCTAAAGATAAAAAATTGCGAATTTCAAAATGATTTAGTCATTCTACTGTTTTCAAAAATCTATAGAACTTATATTAGTATAGCATTTGAAGAAAAAGGATCAATAATTGATATTATACTTTAGTATTTACTATAAATTTCTCTTAAATTATATAGAAAATGTTTGAAGATACCTGTTTAAATACATCCTTCCTTATTAGTTAACCCTTTTATAAATTCCTCAGTATACTTAAGCAGGTGTGTTTTGAATTTATGTTGATAATTTTCAATTATTTTTTGATAAATTTAAATTACTTCCAGAATATGTTATTTTTATATACTAGGAATTTTAATAATATAATGAATTAAATTTTTGTTCCTTTGGCATTGCTTTTATTCTAATAAATGTTATCTAATCCTAAGTTGGATGTTAAATCAAATGTAAATTTTAGTATTGTCATAATAAATATTAGAAATATAAATCTAACACTAATTAATTAAACCATTCTCCACAATTAAAAATCTTATAGAAATCTTCTATTGTAAGGCTGAAATTGACAAAATGATTTTATAAGTAAATTTTTATATTTTCCTTTTAGATGTCTTACACTCAGCTTCTAATTCTCTCGGATGAAATAAGCCAATCAATTCTCTCACAAGACAGAAGACAGAATACAACGACTTGGGATGGTTAAATTAAATCTTATAATATTTATTAATTAAAGGGAATCCATGATGGAAATTAAAGCATCATAAATTTTGGCTTTATGTTAAAAATGAAGGATTATATTCATTAATTGTGCATGGCAAGATTATTCAATACCATTCATATTCTGTTATTAAAAAATAAAAATTATTATATGTTCTGTCTTTGTGGTATAAGAAATGAAAAAAATGAATAGGAACGTGTATAAAATTCACATGGAACTTCACTTTAATCGAATATGAGATTAGAGAAGTATGGAAGTCTAAATAGTTTGTTTAATGCTTAAGACTCCAATAGAGTCAGTCAAGAATACACAGATTTTTTATGTGAGTACGATAAGAATTACTAAGAAAAGTCATAATTATTTGAAGTTAATGTATATTCACCTTGCTAAAAATTGGAGGTAGCATATTAAATAATTAAGCGAAGGAATCAAAAACTAATTCTGAAGAATCTGTGTTAATGCACTAAGGAGATGGATTGTTAGTTAAATTAAGCAATGTTAATTAATAATCGATCGTTAAATTGAAAGATACGTTTACAGCGTTTATTATGAGGATTCTCTATGATATAAAATTTTATTTTGAAGTACTCAAATTCCATGTATAGATAATAGATTACTCCTCAACAGGAAGTCAAGTTTGTGAAATAGCTTGTGCCCAATATCATAACTGAGTTGACTTATAGGAGAATCAAGAATGATAAACTATTGATTGTTCATGATCCGACTGGAAGCTTTTTGTTTAAACACCTTTCCTCTAGTCAGCAAGTATATTTCATTGAAGAAACTCAAGTCTACAGGCCAATCATCGATAAGGGAATAGATATTTTGAATTGTCATAACAAGATACACTTTGTAGCTAATTCTGATATCAGAGTTAAATAAGACACTGCCATTGTGAGTAAAATAAGCTATGTATGTTTTTAGATTTGCTATTCTTGCACGACGTTCCAATATTCAGTATAATTTAAGAGTACCTGACTTTGGCACACGATCTAATCTTAATCCTGTCTCCCAAATTAGAGTATCATGAAATGATATCATAGTTGAGACAGGGAATCAAGAACAGTGAATAATCCCGTATCTACTGCAGTGTGGAAATACAATCTGTCTATGAATCCAATAAGATAGTAGCTTTTATTGTGTATTATGGGGAGATTTCATAAATCAACCAAAATCAATAATTGCATTTCCTCTATAAATGCATATCCAAAGCGATTCAGAAAACATTTAAATACAAGGTGTTCTTAAAAAATCTAAGGACTCAAATTGGATTGATGAAATTAGTAGATTTGTTTTCACTTTATGGGTTATTATTTGATAGTTCTGATGTGAACTTTAAGAAGTTCTATAAACAGGTGAAGAAATAGTACTTCCCTAAAATAAAATCAGAGAAATTCATTTAAATGGATAGTAGCAAATCATCTACAGAATCTGAAAGCGAAGGAATTCAAGAAGTAGAATCTGCAAATTCACTTTTTACTGAAATCAAATCGTATAGTAAAAGTGAATCTATCTCTATGTCCAAATATGTTTATGTTCACTTTCATTCACAAAACAGTCAGAAATCAACTCAATATGAAGAACAAATCTAATTCAGTCAATGATTTTTGTTTTTATTATTTATAACTAAATTACTTTGTATAATACAAAATAGATCAAAATAATTCAGTATTGATAATATTATTTAATCATCTATCCATTTAGCTACTCTTATTGATATGGTCAGTAGTTAATTGTAATTGAATAAACATCAACATGCAAGGGATTGAGTCTAGATTTGTATTAATTTCAATAAAATTTTTATATTTGATAATGAAGACGAAACCAAAAATCTCCACACAACCAACATCCGCAAAGAAACTGACCTCATTGCTTCCCTCAGATTCTTTAAAGGCCAGTCAAATTCAAGAACTAATTCATGATGATTAGACATCTTGGGAGAGCAGATTCCAATCGACTATTATAGAATACTCTTTTACTAAATTTATGAATCCAAATAAATTAACAAAATATGCAATGCAAGAAAATAAACCCAAGAGAGGAATCCCTGATACAAGCAGAGAGTAGGGTGCAAAGTTAAAGAAATCTTATACTAATTCTACTCTTATTTCTAGTCCTAGAATGATGTCTCCAAAAGAATAAGTGGAAGTGATTCATTATCTTGAATTTAAAAATAAGACTTTAATTGAAGAAAACAAGAGGAAGACAAATCTTATAGCCAAACTCTTGCATACTAAGTCACCCTCAAAATCAAATAATATTCCATAGCAACCTCCTAAATCTGCTGAACTCTATTCTCCTTCTACTCGATTCCCATTAATAACCACTCCTCAAACAAATGAAATTCAAGTTCCCTCGAATTCAAAATTAAATTAACCTAAAGTGACAAGAATTGACCAAAATTGGAGCTTTGGAAAGTTGTCAGAGGAGGATCGAGATGCCAAAATTAAATCTTAATTTTCTAGAATAACAAATGCTACTCATTAGAAATCATCCATTAAAACCAACTTTTAAAAGCCTCTCCTTAAATTACCCAAAGAGTTTCACCCTCAATCATGGAATTCAATTAAAAAATGATGAAAATAATAAGATATTATTGTTATATCATATTTATTTTCTGACTCTAATTGTTAATACGATCTATATGTTAAAATTTAATTCTGGATCGTGTTGTCTAAAATGATAAATAGTTTAAAATATTGGTTTATTCTATTTTTTAAAATACCAATTAAAAAACATTTAGTTTTGAGATAATTATTGAAACCTTTAAGGAAATCTATAAATTAGTAGTTTACTATATCACTCACATTGATTTAGATGCCCTTCTATATCAATAATGGTCATAGTATATTGATTTGATAATTATAAAATAAATAATTGATGGATTAAAATAAAAGCATTCCAGAAGAGAGGTATTAGTTAGAGATCTTTGTGAAAGCCAAAAATCTGAAAGATATGGACACCTTCTCAAAAAGTGATCCTTTCTGTCGACTTTTACATACAATTTAAGGGGAAAAGGAAAAGTGTGAAGGAGATACCGAGTTTTTGAAGAATAATCTGAACCCTTGTTGGGAAAAGAGCTTTGTCATTGATTACATCTTTGAGTTGAACTAGAAGCTGGTGTTTTAGGTTTGGGACAAGAACTAATCAGCTGGATCTGAGGATACTGAGATGGGACAAGTTGAGACAACAGTAGCAGATATTGTGGGAGCAAAGGACATGAAGTGTGAATTTGAATTGAAGGATAAGAAAGGCAAGTCCGTTGGTACTTTGGTAGTAAATATTGACAAACAGCCAGAGGATAATCAATTTTTGTAGTTGACTTGGATAGGAAAAGATTTGATGAAGTAAGAAGTTCAATATTGATAATTTAGTACAGATGGCTTCTTTGGCAAGAGTGATCCATTCCTTAAATTCTTTAAGAAAGTTGGAGATGATTGGCTGCCCGTTCATAAAACAGAGATGATAAAGGATAATTTAAATCCTGAATGGAAGCCATTTTAAATATCTTTTAGAAGATTATGCGGAGGCAAATTGGAAGAGAAGTTCAAGGTTGAATGTTGGGATGTTCATGAAAAGGGTACAAATAATCAATACATGGGGCATTTTGAAACTTCAATCCATGAATTAATCAATGATAATAAAAGTGAATTCAATTTGGAATTTCAAGCCAATAAGTCTGGAGGCAAGATCATTTTGAAGGAGAAGAAAGTCACAAAGAGACCTACATTTATGGACTTCTTGAGAGATGGAGAATAGATCAATTTAATCATAGGAGTAGATTATACAGCTTAGAATGGTAATCCCAATTTCCCAGATTCATTACATGCTTTCAAGACTTAAAATGGAAATCAATATGAAACTGCCATTAGAGCATGTGCATAAATCTTGTTGAATTACGATTATGATAAGAAAGTGGCAATGTATGGATTTGGCGCTGTTCCTCATCTGCCAAATTACAATGTTAATGAAACTGAACAATGGTATTTATAATTATAATACAATTAGTTTCCCATTAACAGGCGACTTTTAAAAACCTGAGGTCTATGGTTTGGAAGGACTGGTAAATTTATACAAATAGACTCTACCCAATTTACAGTTCTCTGGACCTGGTTGTCTCGGGGAACTTTTGAATTACTCTAAGCAAATAGCTGAATTTAATGCTAAAAAGAAGATTTACACTGTTCTCTTAATATTGACATGTGGATAAATACACGATTTACATCAAACTACAGAAATTATATCTTAATGTATGTGATAATCATTCATAGCAATAGGTGCCAATGTTCCAATATCAATTATTTTGGTAGGAGTAGGAGATTTTGATTTCAAAAAGCTTGAATTCTTAGATCAAGATTAGAAGCAATTACAAAAGGAAGTCTTGACAAGGAATGTTGTTTAATTTGTTCCATTTGCTCCTTTTTCTCATAGTTTACCTATTTTACAAAGGGAATTGCTTGCAGAACTTCCTCATCAATTGACAAACTATAAATCCCTTTTAGGTTTAGTACCAAGCAAATGATCAAAAATGTATCATTATAAACATTAATATAAACAATAATGAGTAATTCATCTCTATAATCCTCATCATCACTTCCTTAAATTAAAAATAAGTTGCATGTGGGAGAGAACCTCATGTATTAAATACACAAAAAAGCCTTGCAGGAATATCTAAAAAGTGGCAATATCGATCAAAGGATTGTTTCAATGAATTTACTAAATGTAAGTTAATTGAACAATGAAGAACTTGATGTACTGCAAAAATCTCTAAGTGCCAAAAACTAAAAATTAGAAGGTGATGCAGGCAAGATATTGTCCAAAGTATTTTCAATATCTAATACCCTTTAGTTTAGACCAAAAGTTAAATCTAATGGATTACCACTCTATTTCAAAAAACCCGATTATTCACACGAAGATCAAGAACTCAATTAATTGGAAGATCATCTGTATAGAATAAAATTATGAAAATAGCAAAATCGTGCTCAAATCTAAATTGAATACCTGCAAAGTCTTTAATGGGACCTATCTTGTAGATCCATCCATATCAGATCTTTAAAGGACCAATTAAAAATCTAAATAACCCTAATAATAATTTATTTACTTTCCTGCCATTAAGCGATAACCAAGTTAAGCTAATTTAAGGGATGGCTAATAAATTAATTAAAAAGTAGTCAATTAAAGATTGCATGACTCTGAATTAACTTTGTAAGAATTAAGGGAAAGATATAAGGAATCAAAACTAAGTGACTTCTAAAAGTATTTTTTTTAATTGATTGATGAGGGGGATCTTGGGGAACTGCAATCTTTATTCAAACAAAAGGAAATAACTCAAAACATTCTGAACAGTCCAAATCATAAAGGGTACTACCCTATTCATTTAGCCATCAAATATAAGAATCCACTATTATTTAAGTTGTTTTAATAAAATGGAGCTGATATGGGTGTGTTAACTAGGAAGAAGAAATCAATATAATAATTATTAGAAATATATTATAATGATGAAATCTACGAGTTAATTAATGGTAAAAAGAAAGGGAAATTATAATTATGAAGTAATTTTATAATTTAATTTAATTAACATGTAATTCTCTGACATTACAAACCTTGAAAATTCATCTCATAATCTGAAGACTAAGTCTTAAGTTTCTCAGAAAACTATTCCCGCTAGTCCCAAGAAAAAACCGTCTGTGAATTACATGGATATACATAACTTTAAATTCGAGTGGATCTGCCTAGATGATTTTGAATTGGAAATCATGTATCAAATCGATTGTAATCCATTGTAATACTCTAAAAATGAATAAATGTAATGGTTCCAAAATTATCATCTTCATTTGTCTTATCCACTCAAATTGGATCACATTAATGTATGAATACAATCTTAATTCTCATAGACCTAAGAATCTCTCAAACATCATTCAATTTGTGAGTTTGGAAGAAATAAAATAATATGTTGGATAGGCTAAGTTTTGGGCTCATTTGAAAGCACATCAAATGAGACTTATTTTTTAGCCATTTCAATTTTTGATAAATTCCTTCAGCAGTATCCCTACAGTCTCAGCAATTAAGAACTCTTAAGCATTGGGATAAGTTGTTTAAGTTTGGCCTCTAAGCAAAAAGATATATATTGTTTGACTGCCTCATAACTTGTACAAATAAGTGGTGAAATTATGACTGAAGATTAGCTTGCAAAATGTCAATTTCAAATCTTACAAACCCTATAATACCAAATAGAAATACCAAACTACTTTAAGAACTTTGATTACATCATGCGGGACTTGGAGTTTCGATACTTCTAACTAATGAGTTCAAACATTGTTAAGAATTCCTTGATGAAAATGAAAATATCAGCTATATATAAATGCACTCTAAATCTATTAAGATATGTCACATAATATTATGACACAACAATATTTTATTAAAGCACTATTGCTTATTGTTGCATTTATTATACAATAAAAAGGATGGAATTATTGAAATTTAGATAGCTTGATGATTTGACTAAAATTTTGATGTCAATTTAAATTGAATAAAATATTGTTAATACAGAAATAGCTCTAAAATATATTTATAGACTATGCCAAAATGATTTGACATAAACACAATCCGAATTCTTATCATAGACAGATTTCAAATATTGATTATTTAATTAATTTTAGTAATTTATAGTTTATTTTTAAATAGAATAAATTATTAATATTAATAACTAGATCTTCTCCTTACTTTCAATAAATAATTTTATGAAAAGGTATTACTTTAATGATTAGTAGTATTTTTTGATAACCATACTTTTGACTATTTTGAGAGATTTTATTATAAATTTAGTATTGATTATTTTATCTAAAAAGAGAAGGAAGTGGGTTTTAAACACTTATGATATTTGCTAGAATATTGTAAATTTGTAGTTATTAGAAAAATAAACAATTGAAATTTCTATAATAATTTCAAAAATGAAATTTGTAAGGATGATTATTTTACATTTTAGAAAGTTTAATTATAATCAACTCAAGTCTAAAAAAGTTTATCAAAATGCGCTAACAGATGATGAATTAAATTGTTTGCATTCAATCCATATTCGAAATCAACCTTAAACAAAAATATTTCAATATATTCATGATCTAACATCATAAAGCCAAAGCAAAATCATAATCATTTTCAATCCTCTAGATTCTAAAAAGTTGAAGACTTTTTGAAAAGTTGCTGAATACCACTCAATATATTAAGACTCTAAATAAAAATGGTATTATTCTATTAAATTTCTTTTAAAGGTTTAGATGTTAGGTTTCAATATATACAGCAAAGTTTAAAGAGTGGAATATGTAAAATTGTCGATTTAAGGATAATCAATTTGAACAAGGACATTTTCTATTTTTCAGATGAGGATTTATAAAAGTGAAGAAGAGTTTTAAAATTGAAATCAGCTAAACAATTTTTATTTCATTTAAATGAATTAGTATTTATGATAAAATCATTTTGGAAAAGTATGGACACTTCAATCATAGTTACCAGTGGAAGAATTAAATTTAAAATAGAAAGGTATATATTAAAGGTCGAAAAATGCACTAATAAAAAACTAAGTAATAAAAAAAACTATTTTTGAAATGAAATCATATTAATTTCTCACACCAATATTTGTTAGGTTTAGTTGAATATTGTAAATTATTATAATCTTAAGGTTTAGAAGGAGGATACCCTAGAGATTAGACTTAAGGATTCTATGGATACCCTAAGGATTAGACTGTAGGATTTTATGGAATCTTTTAGGGTTAAACTTAAGGTTTCTATTCATACTATTGATAATAGACATAAGGTTTCTATTCATAATTTTGAGGTTTTTAATTATGATAATATGTGGGTTTTTCTGTAGGATTATTTATATATGTTGGAACATAACAGGTTTAAGATTTAGGAAGCAATGGGGGCCCTACAATATCTTTGGGGATTTCATATGAATTTTTGACTTTATTCTGAGAAATCTGTTCGATCCCTACCCGTTATTATTCTTACTTTTTAGGACCAACTTAGTTTCCTAAATTCTTTATATCCTCTGTCAAATTGTTCAATATATTTTTGCAATCAGGATAAGGGGAAAAGGAGGAAAAAAATTTTAATTTTTTTTGAAACTTTGGAATCCAGGATTTATTCAATGTTTTTATTTCTTGAGCTATTTATTCTATTTCCATATTCTATTTGGAATGTATTAGACATTCTATTTCATCATAAAATTAAAATTATTATGATTTGATTGATTTCAAATTTTTAATCCAATTTCTTGAAGCTTCAATCATTTCGTCCATATTTTAGTTTACTATCGTTTTCAAGGTATATGAAGTTGTTTATCAATTATTCAAGTTAATTAATGTTTTTCATAAGGACTACTTCTCTTAATTCCTTTTTCTGTTAATAATGTTATAAAGTCTATATAAATGCTCTCTATATTCCGATTGATTTTTTATTCAAATCTTAATCTCTTAAACATATCTCACATAAAAATCTTTCCTTTTATTATAGGTTTACATCAAGTATAACTATCTAAACAGGTTTTTAATGTTCTGGATGAACACATTATAAATCTGATATTTTAAAAGAATACCTTTTAAATCTTCAAATATTGGTTCAGAAAGACTTAAATTTTAGTCTTACGGAGGATCTTAACTAATATCTTGATTAGAGAATAGATCTTGTTTTACGGAATTTAACATTAAAAATAATTATAGTTTTACAATAGCAATTAATATTCTACTACCTTCAATAGATGATATAGATAATAGATATTATATGAAATGTCTTAGGAATCCTCCGTTATCTCAAATCTATAGCATTGATTGAAACAACCATTGATTTTTTTCTTTGGGCCATTTATTTATTAATATGATGATATCTTCTGTTAACAATAAAAAAAATTAAAATTAATGAATATTGTTCTCCCTAATATATTCCAAACTTGGCATAAATTAACATAGTATTATTTTTCGTTCCAACATCGACATTTTCCCATTCAATTAAGCAAGAAAAGAATTTCATTTTTTTTTTCTATTTCAAACTTTTAAATCAGAAATAAAACATCCTTCAGATTCCTCATTATTGAGTTAGAATAGATTGGAATTATTACAATATAAGCTCTTTTGTGATGGAACTTTTTAATTTTAGTGATAATTTCATTATCAATTATTTACAGTTTATTATATCACTTTGACAAGAACTGCTAATATTCTAACCAAATATTGTCATTTTTTAGGAAGATTAATAAGGTCGAATAATTATTATAAAAGATGCTTGATATAGACGTAATACTCTACAGATTTGCATTTACGGTTCATAAACCTTGGTTGATGACACTTTCTTACTTAATCCATTAATTGTATTCCATCAGTTGAAACTAAAGTAGAACCATTTTGACATTCTATAAATGTTACAAATTTTAAAGTAGTTTATTTCTAATTCAATTTTTATTTAAATTTTCAATTTTACTTTTAAACTTTTTATATTCTACGCCAAACTATTACCTATCACACCAATTTCATATTAAAAACTGTCAACATTTATTTATTTATTCACTATAAATAGGCATTTACTAATTGAGTTCTTCTTTATAATATATGCATCAATGTATGTTTTTAAACCCTAAAATAGAAATAATCCTTATCCAAAATAAACTAATATTTATTTATTTTTTTTGTATGAACTTTTGGCCTATTTTACGACAAACTTTTTATGGTAAATCTTTCCCTATGGCATAAATTATTTTTTTATATTTTTATATAAAATAAAATTTTGTTTTAAATGCTGCACATCCACTTATTGGAAGAATATGCTCTAATTATTGTTTAATAGTATGTAGAATCTTCTGATCCACTACTGAATTGGTCTCTTATATTGAAACAGACATTCTTCTCCTTAATTAATGAATTAATCCAAAATTATTTATTTTGAGATTTAGATTTATATTTAAAATTCATAATTGATATTTTGAAATTAAAATAGATGTCAAATCTTTTCATGCTTTTAATTAATGCATCTTAATAAACACCAAAAGAGAAGATATTAGATATTAATTAAGCTAGCAGTAATGAATACTTCTTCTCAATATTATATTAACTAAAAAATAATTTTTACAGATAGTAAGGTGGGAACGAATTTGTAACGAAACATGGCAGATTATGGAGAGCATTAAATTGGTATGTAAGGTTATTTAGAATTTCCTGAAAAATTGAAAGTTCTTGATTTTGAGGAGGTCCTCGACGTGTGTTAATCAACAACCAAAATTATTTATTTAAACCTAAAATTAAAATTTAGTTAAAAGGCAAATACCACAAAAACATCCTTCCTAAATAGAATTTACTTATCCATCTTATTAAATCTAGTTTACAATTAATGAATGATCATAACATTTCATTAACTACCTAATATGTAATTTCGATGTCAATACAAAGATTAAAAATATTTGTTATAGAAGTGAAAAAAATTAAAATATACCTGGTATTATCCCTTTGAATCCTGATAGATCATTCTATTAGGATCTCTAATATGTTAATTAAGAGAAATCTAAAACTTAAATTCAATATAAAAAAGTATATTATGATTTTTTAATCCAATGAAAAAAAAATATATAAAAACATCAAAAATATGTTTGCAAGATCCTAGTAAAGTATAATGATGAAATGTAGTGTAAAGGTTGATAATAAGTGGATGGGAATACTTCTATTTTTTTCAGCATCTTAACAAATAAATGTCATGGATTGTTCCTAAGAGGATACCGTAAATAGAATTTGCAATATTGAGTTTCAGGTTTGTTTTTGCAATAAGATTTCTCATTAAGGAAAAGATATTCATACAATTTTAATGTTATTTAACTAAAACATTTTGATTTCTTTAGGTAAGAATTTTCATGATATTGCACTATAACTGACTCCTATTAATGGTTTCGCTTTGATCATATTTTCAAGTTGATTCTAAAACAGAAACATAGATTTAATCATAGAACTGTTTCTACAATTCGAAGAGCTTTTAATTCTTGAGTAAACTAAAATAACTTGTATATTTTCCTTATCAATCAAAATATCAATTTTCTATTGACTTCAAATTAATTATTGACACTCACTTGAAGAGACTCCTAATCTGGGTGAGATTGTCAAGTGTGTTTGATCAAATCTTTAAGTAAAAGGACACACTTAGGTAATCTCTACACTGGTTTTATAAGATATGATTCTAGATTGCTTCCTTTAAAAATTTCTGCTTCTTCTTCCGATTATAAAATAAAATCATTCAATTTTGGGAATTCGTTCCTTAAAGTTGAAACAATTTTAATTGAAAAACTAGAAGTATTTTTTCAAAGTATATTTTAAAAATTGGGCATACTTATTAAATATTTTTCCAAAACAAGTATTCTAATTGAAATTGCAGAATTTTTCTAGTTTAATAGGAACGTTAATTCTACCTGAGATTTCAATTAAAAATTGCATATTCAGTAAATATATTGGTTTCAAATTTCTGAATAATTATTTAGATTAAGCTTCTGTCAAAATTCCTTAAAATGGAATGCAGAAGTTCTCGATGATTAGCAACAAATTTTCCAAATAAGTATACTCACTGTCTACTAACTCTTGAATTACACATTATCTATATTGAGCTCATTTCTTCCTTTTTTAGAATTCGATCTTGCAGGAATACATTCTATAATAAGATTAGATCAGAATAATGGACAATCTTTACGAAACCCCTTGGATGTTTGAAAGTAATATGGATTATTCTTGTCCTTAAAGAAATGCCGTCTGATTAAATTATAATATTTCAATGTTTTCTATCTAATCTGAGAGATTACTATTTTTACTCTCAATACTCAAACTCAATTAATGTTGCATTCGTATAATTATAATAATTATAATAGTTTAGTCTAACAAACTGATTCAATGTTATTTAATTTGAGGCAACTTTTTAGACTCTGAACTAAGATTCCAAAATTTCTACAATTCCCCAGATTTCGTTCTATCTCTCGATTGATTAGCACTCTCGTCATATTGTTATTATTTGATTAATGGTCTAATCACTTGTGATTCAAATAGTCTCATCTGATGGTTGTCTGGACTGTGAAGTTCCATGAAGTTGAGCAACCCTTATTCATCAAGACTTTGAGCTCTATTCATTTTTATCGATTACGCCATTGATGCAGGTGATGCCATGTTTAAGAATCTAATAAATTTAGGAATGTACTAATAAAAAGGTTTTTTAATAGACCCATTAATTATAATTGGCAAAGTGCTTGTTTGAGTTTGAGTTTATTTGAATTTTTACAGAATAAGCTGTTCTTTGAGTTTCATCTTATCTTCTATTTTCTTAATTAGATTCGGGGCATAAGTGTGGCAGTAATCATCAATCTAATACAATTTTATGTTTACTTCAAATGCAAAAGCTGTAGTTTTCTTAAAATACTAAGTCTTAGCTGTATATTTGTATAGTCTAGGAACAGAACTTGATAATGCTTCTTCACCAAAACTGTCATTTTCACAAGCAATTGCTATTCTTTAGAGTTTACCATCCTCATTTTCACCATAAATCTTGTATATACTATAATTATACTTCCACTTCCCCAGAGATGATGAAATACACTTTATTGGCAATTTGATTGGATGAATATATTGTAACATTATTCATAAAATTCTCTTTCCTCAATTGCTTTATAAATGGTATAAATTCAATTGGTTTAATATCTGGATATTACGTTCTAAAATAATCTACCTCTTCCCTATGCTTAACAAATTAAAATCCATAAACCGATATCTAAAAATGGCATTCTCATATACTTCATGAATTGAAATAAAGCTTAATGAAATAGCTGAGCAATCTGTGAGGGCAATTATTTTATGTTTTGAATAGGCAGTCTTCTTATAGATTTCTGCTTAAAATAGATGATCTGGTGGTTTTACTTTCTTTACAAGTATTTGTTTCTTTTGATCATTTTTAATCAAAGACAAGGTCCCTTCAAGCAATATTATTACACTTTCAATTGAGTCAGCTATTAATATATTTCTAGTATACTCGGATGCTTATAGACTTATCCTTTTTTCAAATATAGAAGTTGCATATATTTAGACGCACTTTATGTGAATGTATTTGTTTTTAAAACCTATTTATAAAAGCTAAAGAAAGGGAGGCGATTAAGTTGTTACTCGTATTATGAAGCAAACTTTGGATTGCTCAGATTTTTTAGAATCATTATAATCGTTTCATATGAGTTTATTTCTGTCATGAAAATTAATGAAATTTCAGAATAGAAATCAAAAGGAATGATAAAATAGAATTAAATCATAATAAACAGATAATCAAGCAATTAAGAATTAAATGCATATTTCTATTTGAATACAAAAAGTCCACAAGGGTTGCAAAAAAATATATTCAAAAGACAGCTCAAGCAATCTCAACTATTACATTCTAAAACATAAGTCAAGATGGTACACATATTATACATATTTTTATAATTTTATCTGTAATGAATTGGAACATGCAAATCAAATTACTTGTATTCAATTTTGAAAATCTAATAAAAACAAAATAAATTAATCAATTATTCTTTTGAGACAGGAGATTCTTAAACTAAAACATAAATAAATGTATGTGCAGAATATTACGCATTTTCTTCCTTCTCCATGCTTCTTTTTTCGATTTCATGGACTTAATTATTTGAATTATTACATGAACTTCCTTAACTCTTTCTTATTTAGAACTTTTCAGATATTTTCTTTAATTTTTTTTACATATTTTGATTTTATCATGTTATTCTAATTTTTAATATCATCAATTTTAAGAATGTATTTTATGCCATAAGGAAGGAAACCAACCCTTAAATCTAATTTCTTTACTTATTCTCATGATTAGATTTTAAAGGAAAACTACATTGATTTCATCATTTTTTTAATATTACTATCTCTTTCTAATGAGAAAAATAATAATCTTTGGAAAAGACATTTAGTTGAGAAATATAATGATTCTTTTTTATGTTCTTTCTTATAAATAATTATTTAAATCTACTTCTACCTAAGATTATTCTTTAAAAATTATTTGAAGGGAAAGAAATAATTGAATTTCACTGTAATTTGATTCTCAAAAAGCAAATTTCTTGCCACTTAGAGAGATAGATCAGCCTTTGAATGGTGAATTATTTAACTAGAAGTTATTATAGTAAAATCTGCTTAAATAGTTGAAAAAATTATAATTATTCAAACGAATCAAGAGTAACTCTTTTGAAAATGTTGTTTTCACCTTCTCCTAGTTTTACAAAAAAACTGAAAGGGTTAAGTTCCAGAATTGGCATGATTAAAAAGTCCTCCCTATAAGCAAAACTCTAAATGAATTAAATGGATAGAAGCGTTTAATCTAGTGAATATTAATTTGAATCTCAGCAGGAATTTGTATTAGCATTATACAGTTCTCTAATAAAAGGCTCCTATCTGAAAGTTCTCATTTTGAGTATAAAATAGTGAAAATTCAAATTATTTTCAGTTTTTCACTTATTAATAATGATATTACTTTTTCAATATCAACATTAATTTTATTTTATTTTATCATTTTTACTTAAAATACCAGAATTTCTATAGGTTTTACTACTATCAAGTTACTCCTGCTTTGTCTAGTGCTTGTATTTTACTTATTTTTTTATTATATATTAGCTAGTATTTTATTATTATTGAGTGTTACGGGGCTGATTTAAAAACTGGTAATCTCAAATAAAATAAGCAGAAAATGAATGCCGCGAAAAATTGAAATTAGGTTAATTTTATGCTTATATATTTAAATTCAATAATAATTCTAATCCAGAAATTCTTAATAATTAACAGGATAAAAACATAAATGTATTTAATTGTTTTTCTTAAATTTTTTTAAATGCTCAGATGTTGATCAAGATAGATTTTAGTATCTATTTTTGATTCTTTTCTTATGCATTAAATTTTATGTAAATCCTTAATTAATGACATTAACATGAAGTATTAAAAATTGGAAATTGTTTAGGAGTATGATGGCTAACCCATATTAGTATTCCCCAAGAGTATAGAATTAAGAAAGTCCATCCTTAAATCTTATACAATTTATGTAATGATTGTAAATATAGAATTCAAAATAGATTTCCACTTGAGCCTAAAATTTAACTTTACTAACTAGATACAGTAGTCTAATAAAATTGGAACAATTACTAAAAGCCATTCCCAGAAATCTAATATTCCAAATTTAAGTAAGAATTAATAGGCCAGCAATAAAAAACTCAACTAATAGAAGACAGGAAAATCATTATTGAAACTTCCTTGAAGCTGTTCTGCATTTACCACTTATCAAATAACATCCAGAATAAGTACTGAAGTATCTAGAACTGCCTCCTTTATTTTACGAGACACTCAAACCTATTCCTTGTTAGACATAACTAGAAAGAGTAAGTTTAGGATAAACTATTTGAAATTCTAAATGCAAGCAATATTTCAAAAGTTTATATTATAATTTAATTAGAATATATAAGTCTCAACTGAAAACATACTTTATTTTAGTGTTAAGTTCAATTGATTTCTTGATGTGGAAATAAAAATTGAAATCTTATTCAAGGACAGCGTGAATCCTTAACCGTTCTCTTTTTATTTTCTGTTTCAATTGCAGTAGGTTTAAGATGAAAATATTGTATTGAAAACACCTAACGGTTTAGAAATATAGAAACTTTATAAACTTTACTCAAATATCTCCACTAATTTTATGATGTGAATTCTAATAGATAACAAAAAAATATAATTTATCATCAATATCTCATCTTGATATTTTCCTTGCCTTATCTCTACACATAATATTGATCATTCGAATAGATTTTAGAATCCGGAAGAGTCGGAACCGTTTAATTAGTTTTCACTCTTTCGTTGGCTCTGTGACTTTTTTATTTTTGATTGTAATTGTCTGGACAGGAGATGAAACTTGTACTCATGTTTGAATTGTTCATTTGTTCACTTAAACTCAGGTTATTAGACAACTTTAATTTCTGTCCATTTAATGAGTTTTTCTTAATGATTATTGATTGTTTTGAAGATTACGATTAAAATTTCTGTCTCTCCTGTTGCAAAAGAGTGTTCTTCAAAATCATTTCTAATTCTACATTGTCTTGTTGCAATTTCAAAATCTGTTTCTGTTGATTAGATATGATCAGTTGATAATTTTGAGTTTGATCAACTTAATTTTTAAGAGATTAATTTTCATTTCTAACTGTTTCAAACAATTCAGTTAATTTTTACAATTCTTCTGTCAGTTGTTAGATATGATTCTTGTAATAATTTATCTCTTTGTCCTTCTCACTAAGTAGTTCTGTATATTAGTATGAATTTTGGACTGACTCAACCTCTTAACTAATTTAAGAATGCAACAATGATTAAAATTTGGGTTTGGAACGATTCCGTATTTTTTGCAAAGGATTATTTGGCTATTCTATTGCACTGACTATTGGCTTCAATTGAAAATGGTTTATGAGATGTTGATTTACTAATTTCAGATTATTTTCATCAATTCCACTATGCTATGTCTTATATTGAAATATACAATCTCATTCACTTTGTCCACTATCATTTAGGAGGATTTCACATCCTTCGATTAATTTTTAATGATATCCATTATGCCACTCGAAACTTTAAACGATTTCATTAATTTTATTAATTTAATTTCATTATCATTTATTATAAAATCACCGAAGAAATAAAGAAAATTGTTAATTTAAACTGAAAATCAATCAAATCTATTCCTTTTGGAATCATAATAACAACCTTTAATAGACATTGGCTTACAATAAGGTAGAAAAGATTCCTGATGTAACTCAAATTCGATTGCTATATAATAAGTTAATTGTACTTTTTTCATCGTTTGAGATTGATTTTACAATTGCTTAAAGAAAGTATTCAAATTACAGATATCTGACTTTGAAGCTTTAAACATTAAATGTACTATGAATTTTTAGTTGATTCTGCTACCCTGTCTTATTGAGTGTTTTTATGAACAAAACTCTACTAATTGAACTTTCAACTACGATCAATAGAAGGAGCTTCAAAATGCATGGTATTGTTTTCAAATGAACATTATTTTCTAATAATCTTACCATACTATTGGGATAAAAATAATATTTTAAATCTAGTATGATATTTTTTAGATTGCAAATTTTGAATGAAAACCTCTTGGAATGTAATTTAGCTTAGAAATATTAGTATATGAGAATTGTGGCTATTTTTTGGAACTTATCTTTGCTGTAATCTTAATTTCCATTAATTATTCTAATTAAATTAGTCAGTAGTTTAAGATTGATTAAGGTTTTGATGATCAAACTTTATATTTCCTTATTATACTGATGTTTTACTAACTGGATCAAAATTGTTGGTCTTGAACCCTAGAATATTGAATAGGAAACTGATAAATGAAATTTCTCATATTTTAATGAGATAATTTTATTGAACACATCATGATAATTAGTCTGAAATAATTTTATTTAATTGAATAAATAGTTCTCAAGGGTTTCTTAATTTATATATGAGTTTCTTAAAAAATCACCAATTTAATCATTTCTCTGTTCATCTTTAAAAAAGTTTGATAAAATTTTTGAAAACTTTAATTTTTCCACATCAAAGTTTATTAATAAATACTACTCATCATGAATAATTTATTTGAGAATATTCTCCCATTGCTTGTCTGTGCGTGAGAGGATGTACTATGAACGCATGGCACTACGATAAGTGTATATGATGTATAGAAATGAGAGATTTATAATAAATCCAAGTACAAAGTAAGAGATATCAGGTTTATCTCCATAAAGCATTACATGAATTGATCTAGTTGCAAATATAGTCATAGTTATGAGAGCTGATTCTAAAAAGTCGGTAAGCAGGATGTTAATAATATTGAAAACCATCTGGTTAGCTCCCCTATAGTAGGAATTAGTGATTTCATCTTTTGGATCATAATAAACAGTGTAAAAAGTGAAAGATAGATTGATAAAACATAGAGCCATATTTGAGGAAAAGCTAGACGTGATCTTGGCAAAGCACAATACTAGAGTTGTCGCGATTAAAAAGATTAAAATATACATTTATTCTTTCTAATGCTGTAAAATACTTGCTATAAGTTTAAATATTTAAAGAGCTAAGAAAAATACTGAAATAAGTTTTATGTGTTTTTATCTAGTAGGGATTTGATGGATTTATTAAAATTATTCTTCAATTTTTTTGTCTCTGAATTTTAAGGTGTATTTATTCATTTATTAATTTAATCTTCACTCAAATATTGTGATAATTCGTATATTATAATGTAGATTGGGTTATATTATAAATGGGAACTGCGTTATAAATATTTTGAAGATCATAATAGTAAGTCATTGAGAACTGTTTATATTTAAATAACAATTACTATAATAAATAAATCAAATTTCAAAATATTTGGTTTTGTTGAGTTCGTTAAAGTTCATTTGTAGACAAACTAAATGTGACGAAAGCATAATGAAAAAGAAAGGGAATAATTTAAATAAATTAAATTCAGCACTTGAATTGAAGTTGAATAGATCATAGCATCCAAAAATGAATTCAATCAATGAACTTGCCAAGGCACATAAATTGAATAAAAGGTACATTTTGCCATAATTTCTTCTTGATTTTAGAAGCTATATATAGAGATTACATTACCCAAGCCGAGAGAATTACCAAACTAATGATCTATGCTACAGGAAATATCACTAGTTGAGTGATGAATTCAGCCACAAATATTTGATCGCTTTCTAAATCATTCACAATAAATAAGAGTACAGGATAGGCAATGACAAAACACTATCTAATAAGCTAAACAATAATACCCATTAGATTGCAAGGGTTATGCATATTCCAGCAATAAGGAATTACTAATTGACTCTGCTATCTCGATATCGAGTAATCTGACTAAAAAGCCATGTGAAGAATCTTTTAACTACTTGTATTCCTTTCAGTTTATATTGTTTCATTCCATCCATCTTAAAACAATTTATTTTTGATTGCATCTTTTTCTTCTCCTATTAAATCTGATTTTTCAGATCATCTTTGTCCTTATTAACAATGATCTACAATTATTCGTTTATATTGTAGGCCAAGTTATTAAAGCTCTCCAAATTAATAATTCTTTCTTTATTATAATTATTAAAGATAATAGATAATTTGATAGTGAATTCCTCAGGTAAATTCTTCATAACATGAATTTGTTTTAATAGAAATTCTAGTTCTCGTTGATTTGCATTTCCAAGTAAATATACCTAACTTTATGAACAGGGTTAAATGGCTATTATATGGATACAAATATCAACTTATATGAAATGATGCAATCTAAAGATTTCATAATTATATTGGTTTGTGTAATTAACAAGTTCAAGAAATCTTTGAATGAATGAGGATTGCGATTATCTGAAATCTATCTTGACTGCATAATAGTTGAATTCAGTAACAAACTTTTCAAAGAGATTGATGCTTTCCTCATTTGTGTTAAAGCTAAACTACTACCATAATCTCTTAATGAGAGCATCATGAATGTTTATTTAAAATGGGTATGAGAATGTACCATAACCACTTAATACTAAGTAGATTGGTAATTCTAAAGTATTACTCTGTTCTACAATCTTCAAAGCTAAATTGAGTCTATCAATGAATGCTAAGGTCTTATCTTTAGAACATGAGAATTTGAGTTTCATCTTATCTCTATCAGAATCCAATCCATTATAAAGATGCTCCTATTTAACAAATAATTTGGATAGGGTTTTGAACTTGTTTTTTTGGATCAATTGAAGAATCCAAATGTAAAGAGGATAATAATAGAATTTGAAAAATATCAAAGTGTATTTCTCAAAAACAGTAAACAATGCTTTTTAGTTGAATGTTTCAAAGAGAACTTACAATTCCTTATTGTCTCCTTGGTTAAGATCACTATCAACCAAAGTTTCTTAATAAATCTACCATGGATTTTGATACGTATTGCATCCTGCCAGATATATTCTTCGCACATGAAAATGGAGATCCTGACTAATTAAGTAAGTTTTGTTATTTAACTCAGATAGAGAATTAGTCATCTGCTGGAAGCTTGATTCATCATAGGATCCATAAAATTGTCTTGACTTCTTCGAATTCTTATCCCTGCTCGCCCAAACAATAGCAATATTAATCAATAGCAAAATGATAGTAACAAACAGAGCAAATATGACATTTTGACCTCCTAGTTTTTGAGAGAATTCTGCCAATCCAGTCAAACACTAATCTTCTTTTGGTTATTTACCATCATTGCATACAACTTTACAAAAAGGTGTGTTTTCTCCCTCAATTTAGTAACTAGTGTTTTTATTTATAGTGTTAAAACATGGTTTACAAGGTGCTTGTCCAAAAAGCATTTTATAATATCCTTTCCCACATTTTTAACAATAAATACCTTATGTACCTTAAGGACATCCAGTAGGCGTAATCGAACCTTGAAATTTAATAAGACCTTGATTTGACATATTAAGTATATCTTTTTACTGGATTGATAAACCACCAGGATTGGTTTGCATAATACTGTTGCAATTGTTATAATAAGAACTATTAATCATTTCTGTAATGTTGAAGAAGAACAATCTGATTCTTCCTCCTCCTCCAAATCCTCCATAGATTTGGTATGTCTAATAAAATTTCTATCTGGCAAACTAATCCGTATCAAAATCATTACCAGATTAAGAACCACCGCCATCGGCAGTTACTAATCCTTGTCCACTGAAATAGATTATTCTAATCTAAATCGAACCTCCACTTCCACTCCCGAAAAATGGTTCCTGGATATATGCAGATCCATTTGAACTTATTATCCCATCATTATATAAATTCAACACTTCTAAATGCATGACTCCTCCTCCTTGCCCTTAACTTTCAAATTTATAAAACTAATTTCCATATGTTACTCCACCTCCACCACTTCCTGGTAATACTGGATTGAATGAGTAATCATAAATCTGCTTGCTCTGTAGTTGTAAGCACAATTAATTGTAATTAGACTTTGGACTTATTGAGAACCCTCCCATTCCTCCATGACTTCCTCCAGTACCTCCACATTACTATCTCAATCCTATTATTTTATCAGTGTATCCACAACCATATCCCTCATTGGTGGAGTATCCCATTCCATCAGTCAAAATCTAACTAGTTCGATCAATTTCTAAACTATAGGCATAGATTCCAACATAGAACCCTTTGATTTTTGAATGTTATGCCAAACTAAAGTGATTTTTGACTGAAATTAATGAGGTGAAGTAAGTCAGTGTCTTTGGACTGAAAAAACTGCATTGAAACTGTGAAATCCACTACTACTCAATATATTACGAAGATAAGTTAGTATAGTTCTGAGTGATATAGCCCACAAAGCTAAAAATGGTTTTGATATACATCTGATTAGAACAATTTTGATTACTTAAGCATGAGCATTATGATTTGTTTTACATTAGAGTTCTAATGGTTGAATTGCTGACCTACAAGTAATCTGTACAGAGATTTAAACTGTTTGACAATAGATTTGCATGGCTTATACTCATATTAGTAGTAATGAATTAAAATTGTATATTCCCATAAAGCAATATGTTAGAAGATGAAATAATAGTTTAATTTCCCAAGAAGATTAATTATTAAGATAATATGGAATAACAAGCGTCATCTTATATTATATTTGCATTGTTGATTGTTAATTAGCTGAAATTCAATATCGCTTTACCCACTAATTTTTCTAGACATATCGTCACATTGCAATTCTCTATTAAAAGCTCGTCTACTGCATTCCATGTGCTGTTTGAATGGGATATGACTAATGTGCAATTTTAATTTATCAAACATCCATCTGGATATGTCTAATTGCACATACAAGACTGGGCATTAACCTATTGCATAATTAAAATCCATATAAATGTTAACATTATAAAATAATAATAAAAATTGAATTATCAAGGAAAAATCAAAGTTCCATCATTTTCTCTAAAGTGTTGCATTAAACCAACAACATCATCATCAAATCATTCGATTAGATATTATTATTGTGAATTGTGCTGGCTGTCTCCTCATAAGAACTCACATTCTTCTGTCTAGTCGACGAAGCTTCACTATGCAGATTTTCCAGTAAATCCACATTATCATTAAATTAACTAGAACTACTGTGAGCAATCAATTGCTGATTTTTCATGTTGTTCCCAAATTACTATAGAATGTTCATCTTCTATTGAATTGTGCTCCTCTTTCCATTTAAGTCTTTCTATAGCATCACAAGAGTGGTGGGAATGCCATCTGTCTGTTGTCTCTACAGTATATCACTGGCATAAAGAGTCATCTAGCCAAGATACAGGGCTTCGTCAGTAATCAAAGTCTAATTTATTTATAAAATTGATTACAATTATTTTGCTCTGTTCTTGTTGTTGTAACAGTAACTCATTTATTTACTATTATAGGTATTTGGCATCACTTTGATCTTACATTTGAGCATATTGTGCTTAACACTTCTCTTGCAATTTCAAAATTTGTTATTAATAGCCCTTGCATTCAGCCTAATATTAATCTACAATAATACCTCTATTTACTATTGAACCTTCTATAGACACCCATTTTCTTTTATAACTTAATTCAACTATTAAAATTATTTATTGTTCTCTTGTAATAAATCATAATACTTCTATTCTATCTACATATATTGATCAATGCTCTCTTTGTACTTAACATTTTCTTTCTATATTTCTTTATTCTATTAAAGAGCCTCCTCTAAATTTTAATTCATCTCATTAAATATTGAACTCTCCTTTTACAGATTATTTTCCAACTCTATAATAGCTTAGTTTCTTTATTTCAATTCGTCCTACACTTACTTCAATATCTAATCAATTTATTGCTTTTCAGTTTGTAATTTGAATAGTTTCTCCATCAACTATCTATTTGTTACTACTTGTTCATCAAATAATTTCTTATTCATATCCACTTATTATTCTAACTCAAAATTAATTTTCTTCTGATTCCTATTATAAGGAGACTTTGATTTTGAACTAAATTAGGTTTGATTTCTTTCATCCACAGTTTGAGTTTTAAAATTTGATTAATTCACTACTGAAGTATCATTTGTTACTCTCTATTGATAATTGACATCAATTCCACATTTTGCTAATTACTATCCAAATGAAGTTGCATTTTGATGTTACAGTTAATTGGTCGACATATTTTCTTTGATATTTTTCATTTAATTATTCAGCACTTCAACCTAATTGATCAATGTACTTTAATTGTGTTTAGTTTATAAGACATTAATAATATCTTGTATTAATTTTTGAGTATCCACAACCATCTTTTATAATTTCAATTGGTTTTGGAAACTCACCTAATCACTCTTCTAATTATCTAATTACTCTTTAAGCATTTCAATTTACTATTGATACTACATTGAATTGTCTGCCATCTTAAAAGCGTCCTAACTATAAAGAGTGTTAATTTCCTATACGAGCAAATAGATAAAATATTTTAAGGCTATCAAGTCGGTGCATCTATAGAAATCAAAACAATCATTATAATATTCCTAACAAAAACATTTAATTTTTGCCAAAGATGGAGCACATTCATCTTGGTTTTAGTCCTTGATCATTTTAAACTTTCTCAATTTTTTAGTCAACTTTTAAATTCTAACAATACTGTTAGAGTGCAATTTTCCTGAGCATGGACCTAAATTGGATAATTAGCTATGAATGGAATATTTATCTTATTAAGCCACTGTATTATCAGTTTTGATATGCACAGGAGACTAATCCATTTTACTGATGTTTTCCAGTCGTTTATTAATGATGGCTTCATAGTAGCTCTACGAATCCACTTTCTAATTCGAACTACTTGGTTTTTTCTACCTCACAAAGGGTGATAGGGATGCTTCATTTTTTTATGTAGTTGTCGATCTATTTTCTGTTCTGTCTGCATGCTAACTATTGAGGTTCTTAACTCGCTACTCCAATCCCTAAACTTTCTATTGCAGGTAATTGGCACACTATGAAAATTCAGGACAATTGCTGATTACAGCCAAAGGTTGTCGTTACACTCTTAAACTCCCTTGGCGAGAATGCCCAGAATTTGGAGTCTGATAAGGTTTCATATTATTATTTAAATTATTGTTTAACAGCTTTAAATTATCTATAACAAAAAATAAATATTTCTTGTATTTCACTTCTATTGGGGAAGAAATCACGATTGAATAATACTTAATGAATAAGGAATTCAAAAATCAAAATTGTATTACTATCACATCATATACTCAAACCTAAGATTGGTTCTTCTATTTCTTTTTTTGCTAGAATGGAAATCTTTTTTTATTTGCACAATCTTTGCATCTGCAACTTGAAGAGCATTTCTAATTTCTGACAAAACATTCACAATAATTCTTCTGACATTAGGATTTCTGGCATTTGCAGCCCCAAATCTTTGATCTATCAAATAAATCATCATCGTTTTTCTATCTATGCAATTTTTATTTGACTTTCTCTAGAGCATTAAATCTGATCTCAAAATGCTCTGCCTTATTCTTACATTCAAAACATTTGCAAAGATCAGAGCATTTTTGATTTTAATGGAAGCATAAGCAATACAATTTCAAGCAATTCGATTTAGTGCATCTACAAGCAATAATACTCAAATTTTAGGAGGACGAATTATTCTCGGACTGGAAATCCATTAATTGTGAATTAACATTTAATTTCCTTCTATTTCTCTTAGGTCTTTTTGGTTCACTTTAGTTCAAAGTTTAAACTCTCTCATTTTTATCATTATAATTTTAAATTTGCATCTAGTTCTAATTCGAATCGTTTAGTTTCTACTCACTTGGGTTTGCATGAAATTCCTATTCAAATGTATTTTGAATACGTTCATCAGGAGAAGAGTGTGAACTCCTTTAAATTAAACAAACAGAATTACATCATATATTTAAGTTATGGTTAACTTGACTTCTCCATTGAATCTACTACTTAAAGCTCACAAAATAAGTCAACTTCGTTATCATATCCAGCAGAACTCTTTATGCTCTCAAGAGTTTACAAAAAAAATGGTCTCATTTTTTAAAATAGTAATCCTTCTTAAATTTAATACTTTCTTTTTGTCAAAATTTATTAGGTAATGTATTTTTTTTTCATTTAGCATACTGTTTATTCTAAGTAATTAGTTTCTGACTTAAAGATGAAGAATCATCGATTTTTATCTTGTAAATGCTTAAATCAGTTATTATTTATGCTTTCAATGAAATTTTGAATATATCTTAGACTTGTCCTAATTTGAATCGAGGATTAGCAGAAAATAAAATTTATTTTAATTAATTTGAATAATAAGTGCTCATATAAAAAAAAAGTTAGACAATTAAAAATTTATAGTAATATAAATTATGTCTATCTTATATTATAACCCCCTTATATTAAATTTTTACTTTTTAATTTCCTTGATCATGAGAATCAGTAGTGATAAATATTATCAAATCCATATAAATGCACTATTAATCAAAACATGTATTCCTAAGTAACTAAATTTTAGTTTTTCATCATTAAAAAAATATCCTAAAAATATTATATTTTGGAAAGTGACTTGACTTGAATAATTTTCAAACGAGGGATCTTAAAATTTATTTTGGTTAATAGGTTGGGTAAATGAAATGAAAAGATTAAATTTTTTAATTCATGGGTAACATCTGTAAGTCATAAAAAGATACAGAATTTGAAGACACTTAGTAATTGCAGACAGTCACCTTAGAAACTGGAATAAAAAGCATAAACTCAACCATCTAGGCTAACAGTCAACAATTAAATTTGATTAAAGAGTCTACATAGGAGGGTGTCTAAATATCCAATATCCAAATGATTATGATTAAGCCAAGAAGCTAGGAAGAGGGGATTAAAATAATGAGAGATTTACTAAAATTTGGAAACAAAATAATAATCATCCCTAAGGTTAGAGAGGAGAGTTCGAATGTCAGTTCAAGATCCCCAACTAAGAAAGGGAGATTAAAAAACAAAGGAACTTAAGTGACAAATTTTAGACTTCATTCTTATAAATAGTAGAAAGATTGATAAATATCCAAGGTTTGAAAAATATGAAATAATCATTTCTTTTATTAATAAATACTTATAAGAAAAGTCGTATCTATATCTTCATGATTTCATTATCATGAGAATTATCTTAACTATTTTAATATTAACAATATGTCTAAAATGTTAGCTTTATTACTCAAAACTAATTTTTAATTCAGATGATCTTTGCAATAACAAGAATTAAATACTGTGTTGACTTTTAAAAAGACAAATAATTTTATGAAAGTTCTAAATTTAGTATCATCGATTTTATTTGCAATTTATAATACTCAATGGAAATACATACTAATGTGAAATGAGTAAGAATAAATTAATAGAAAACTCTACATTTTGAATTAGAGGAGTTAGTCAAGGTAAAATTAAATTTTGTATAAGTGTGATATGTTCTTATAATTATAGATACTGAGATTTTTGATTGAGAATAATTGAAATATAACATTCTAATGTTTAGAGTACTGTAAAATATCAGCATGACGTTTAAGCTATCATGAAATTAATATATTATTATAAATAAATATAATTATTAATATATTATCCGAAAAAATAAGTAAATCTTTATTTAAGAGAGATTTTTTTAATGTTAGTGAATCTAAACTGGTAAGTTAAGTGGATAGATCAAACTGCATTTTAAATATTTTTGAATAAATTAAAGATCAATGTTTAAGAAATTTTTAAGTCTTCAATACTATATAAATTCAGAAACCAGTTCATTTCGAATGGAATCTAATTTTTTCTGGTTTTTCCATTTGTTATATCTATATTGAATGCAATATGGAAAATCAATTATTAATTCAATATTCAGACTTAAATGTTATGATTGTTTTTTTAAATTCTAATTATTCTTTGGAACTCTTCTAAGACCCAAATATCGAAGTATATTTTAAGACATTGGATTTTTATTTAATTTTTAGCTAATTTTAATGGATTCTTAAACAACTAGGAGAATGATTTCATAGGAGAGTATTTTGGAACCAGCAGAATTCATTTCAGCTAGAACTGACACTAAGATTAAATTAGGATATCTGTTCATTTAAAATCCGAACAAATTGGAAAGTATATGATGCCACTACTATTTCAGTGTTTGGATTAAGATAAGTAAGTTCTAGACTTCCTAAATTCAATCAAGGTAAACCATTTATTGAGTTACCATAAAATGAAAATTAGAAGTCGTTAGTACACCAATCCCAATCTATTGAATGCAGAAAGTATAATAAGAGTCAATCCAAATTGATTTTGAATAAGAGTTCTCAAGAGCAACTGATTTTGTCGAATCCAACCTTTGTACCTGAAGAGAAGAGAGAAAAAACGAAATCGCCTAAAAGGATGTTGTAGAGTCATCATAGTAGATAAAGGAAGGAATTACCTCCTATTTTGGCCCATGCTAATTTATCTCCTCCACCATTTGATACGAATCAATTGAAAAAAGAGAGGAAGCAGAGAATTTCAGGGAAAATATACTTAGGTAGATTAACTAAATTCGATTGTAAATAAAGAGAATCGGACATTTAATAGAAATTCGTTGACTAGTTGAGTTTTGAAAGTTCGAATGCTAAGTTGCTTATGAGACATGTAAGAATATTGTTTTAAGGAAAAGCAAAATGCAAAAAGGGCCAAACAGATCTCATTGAGTTAAGCTGTCAAAGTGTTGAAGAGGAATCAACAACAAGAAAAAAGAACTCGTTTGGAGTATCTCTTCAAATCAAAGGAAAAAGAATTAATATCATTATTTTAAGGGAATGACGAATAATATTAATCTATTGATGAATTGTTATGATCAAATGATGTAAGTTATGATAAATTAAATAATTTATAAAAATGTGATTATTATTAAATTTGATATGCTCTGTAGCTTAATTTATATGAGCTTAGTGTTTGCGGTATATTTATCAGCAACATCGACTGGCCTGAATGTAATGACCCAGATTTTTGAGTAGAAAGGCTTCGATTATTTGGGGAATATTTCGATTTTCACTATCTTCTTTTTTGGAATGATTGGAAATTTTGTCTGTAAATACAAATATTAATATTCTAGGCATTTTATACATCAGGAAATTGCCATATCATCATAGTTTTTTTATTCATTCCCTTGGGTATTTGCTATTTTTGATATCTGGCTTATTGGTTTGTAGTTGTGCAGATAAAGAGGATGGAATCTGCAGTGATTTCTGGATCTACTTAGTGACTATTATATCATCAGCCGTAAGTGGATTCACGTCCTCTGGTCTGTTTATTACACAAAATGATTACGTCGCATAATTGAGTAAGTATTCCAAAAAAGCTGGATTGTATTATGGTATTGCCTGGGCAGTTCTATAACTATCCTAAGTCATAGGTAGTTTATATTCTGCCTTTTTGATTGTTAAAATAAAGCAATTCTATTTTTACTGTTTGATGGTCGCTGTGGCAACTTTAGGTTCTTTATCTTTTCTTTTGGTACCTTAACCGAAGCGTTATACCCACAGTGTTGTTTTACTCCAGGAAGATGAGCAATAATTCAAGAGCACTTAGGAATTGAGAAAGTTGAATCCAATTTCTGTCATTTTGACTATGAAAGAATTTAGAGTATAATGCTTTATTTTCCCGATGATGATCACTGGGTGTCTTTTGAGTTTTCAATGGAATGTTATGCATTATGTCATTGAAAATTCTATTAACACTTCATCTCTTAGTGACGAAGAAATCACCAAATATACTCTATTCGTTATGACAGTCTTAGGATGTTGTGAAGTCTTGGGAGGAGTATAATATTATTCCTATTTTATAGATATTTGTAGGTGTATTCAACTCTTATACGCCTAAATATACAAGCCAACTATTGCAATTTCATTTAATATCCATAGCCTTGTTATTGGCTATAATGAACACTTACGAATAGAATTACGGCCTGTGTTTTTTAATAGCCATTCTTTGGGGATTGGTTGATTGTGGCACTACGTCTACATTATTGGCCATAATTGCCTAGGATTGGAATGATCATATCCAATATTTTGGTCTATTTAACTTTTTATAGTGTTGTGGAGGGATGATATCTACCATTGTTTCAATAATGTTAGCATGTATATATATATGTTCAATTATATAGAAAAACCAATTGAATGGTCGATATTCTTCTTGATGGTGTGTGTGTGTGTCAGTAAGTTCAGTGTTTCTTGTTACTAAAAATTGTACATAAAACAATGATGATATTCATAATTATATCTATATATAAATAATCAAAGAACAGTTATGTTATTAACTCCCACATCTCTTAAGATTTTTTCGGTTGTAGTATTCATAGTGGGTGGTCCACAAATAAAGAAATTGGATACAGAATTGAAGTCCCCAAGGAACGACTTCAAAATCTAGGCATTGAATCTTTGGGGGATGATCTCGCATTCCTTTAATTTAAAGTTTCCTTTGACGATCATTTTGAAATTGGGTGTGTCCAATTGGTTTTGTAACGATAACAAAGTGAAATAGATGTCTTTGCCAATCTAAGAATAATGAATAAGATAAATACCAAATCATCTGCTGAGTTGACAGCTAGAAATAGAGTGATTTTGAAATTCTTAATTGTTCCTGGGTTCATAAATTACACAGCATCTTAGCCGAACTACTTATATAGTATGTTATGATAGGTCATTTTGAGTTGATATTCAAGTAAGTCTAAGAATGGGAACAATCCAGTGCCACCTGCAATGAACACTAAATGACTGCCATTTTCAATAGTGAGATTATTTCCATAAGGTCCTTGAATAAGATACTCTCCATTGCGATTGTCGTCATGAATGAAAGAGGAGAACCCATTTTTTGATTGATACTTCTTAATTATTAAAGGTAACTCAGACAAGTATTCTTCCTCTTTTGGAACTTCCTTCTGTATGTTTTGCAAAGAGAGAATCTTTTTAAAGAGTTCCGATATGTCCTTTCTATACTTGATCCTTTGCTAAGTCATACTTAAGACCATGGTGTACTATCTAGTAGAAATAGCTGAATCCTCTTAGGATGTGATTACAAAGTATTGGCCAAATGTTTGGAGACCAGATAAAGTATTTTTGAATTGATACTTTTCATTAACAAATCCGAAGTAAGCAACTTAATCAGTATAGGGATTAACTGTATTCAATTTCCATGTTTCCTCTAATTATTTGACTACTCTTCTATTAGCTTTATTGACAAAGAATTCTGGATCTGGAATGACATAGATACCTGTAACATATTATTCCAATATCTTGAGAGTGTAGATGCTGTGTTTGTAGGCTTGGAGTTTGAGTTAATCAAGAGAGTAAGCTCCTATAATATATCGAGTAACATCTTGGCCTTAAATAAGTTTCCAAATGTAATTGCCACCTGGATGAATCATCTGTGACAATTCAACGACTTGGTTCTTATAGATGCACCATAATTTTGAAGAATTCTTTTCGAAACTGTCATCTTGCTGACTACTGTTGATATCCAATAAGCGATTTTAACCCTCCTCATACACTTTATTGGAATGCGAGTCTTTTCCAGTCATGACTACACTAACCAAACTACCCTTTTGATACAGGATTTCCAATATAAGGCGAGTGGTGAAAACAGCTCCCAAAATCAACATGAGTCTAACATCGTTGTCCATGAAGAGACCTGCTATGATTTGTAATTTGCCGAGTGTGTATACGACATTGCCTAAAATGGCATGAATGGAGGGTTTGACTGAGACCTTTTGGTTAATCTTCAATGAACTTAACATTAAATTATAGAGAACGCCTCCAATGCTTTATGCAATCATAAATATTGCCACAATCATAAAAATGATAATATGGAATTGATTTTTAATGGATTATTCCTTAAAGTTGCTCCATTCCAAAATAGCCCAATCTGTACTCAACATCATCATGGCTGTTGTGATGGAACTCGTCACTATCAAGATGAACAAGAACCCATGGAGATATGTTCGATATCCCCAGGTCTTGTAATACCTTCCAACAATTATCGCAACATCACTTGCTATGCCCCAACAGGCAAAGTTTGTCCATTTGTGAATGTAATAGGTGTTGTCTCCATCCACTATAATGACATCGTTGCTGCCTCCATCATCGGTGAAATTCAATACCACAGCTCCTCTGTTCACATTCCCATGGTTGGACAATGTGATATTAGCCTCCGTCTTACCGTGAGCCCATATGAACTCCACTGCTTCTCCCTCCACTAAGTCTTTGTCATATTTGTCGCCTAACATATTTAGATTGATGTGGATACCTGTTTTAACTGATCTCTTGAACTTCACACCTGTTTTGCCATTCTAATTGTAGTAGTAACCCAAGAGTTACAAATCGTCTGTCCCTCCTAAGGAAACATCAGTTGGAGGTCTTCCATGTTTCTCACAATAAGAATCGTTAACAGTTATCACATTTTCGTAAACTTCAAATACCCATAAATCTCCATCTGACATGGATTTTCCAAGTCCCAATGAAAAATAACTAATTTTATCTATCTCTATGAACATTATCACTTCCTTCTTATCTTCGCTAAACTCAAAGTAAAAATCGAAATGAGTGTCTACAGATTATTAATTATTCAGTTACCGCTATCAGAGATCTTGGCGTGAGTTCTTGGTTTTGTAATGTCATTACTCGGGTCATGGTAATAAAATCTATTCTAACAGAGTATCAAATCAACGAGACCTAGAATGAAAAGGCTAATCATCTTAAAATAATATATGTGAAAACAAAGTCCCTCATTTTTTAAATTATATCTGATGATGTAATTTATTACATTTTTTTGAAATTGTATAATTTTATTTTAGAAAATTATTTTATAATCTTAAGTAATATACATCTAATTACAATCAATTTTAATTTTATGCGAATTCTTTCATTAAATAAATTTATGTATTAGAAGATTAAAAAAAACAAATAAAAGCCTATCCAATACTAAAATTTAAATCCCTTCAAAGAAACAGAAAAAAAGTACAAATTCTATGCTGGTCTCCAAACCGATTTTAGTGAACTCATCGATGTCAACAATCTAAATGAACAATAAATGGAACAACAAGGAATTCATAAGAATGGATCTGTCCATCGATTCGATTACCCCCAAGGAGTCATCCTAGTCAAGGGTTTCCTCAACCTAGACGATTAAATTAGCATCTCCAAATTGTGCATGAACGAATACATCAATCAACCCTACAGAACCAATCTCTTCATCTACAAAGAAGACGAGAACTTCGACAAATTCATAGTCCACGATGACAAGAAATATCACTTCAATAATAAAATCAGATGGGCAAATGTTGGCTATCAATATGATTGGAACAATAGGTAACTCATCATCTCAATCTAGACACTACCCTCCAGAAAAAACACAAGTGCCTGATCCAATCTAAGAGATATCTCAAAGAGCCAACAACTTCTTATAATTGCAAAATCACTACCAAAGTGAATCAGTCATTATCAACTTTTATTAATCTCATGATTACATGACAGGACATTTAGATGATGCCGAACTAGATCAAGATTCTCCTATCTACTCCTTTAGTTTTGGATTGTCAAGTGTTTTCGTCATCGGAGGACCAACCAAAGATGAAAAACCTGTTGCAATTAAGTTGGACTCCGGAGATTTACTAGTTATGAGTGGCCATGCTCGGAAATGCTATCATGGAGTACCCAGAGTCCTTGAAAATTCATTTCATCCTATATAGTACTCACTCTCATAATACAATTAGAAACCCCTTCCAATAATCAAAGCTTGTTGCTAATTTAAATACTGATTTTCATGTTTTTAATTACTTAACCGAACACAGAATTAACATCAATACAAGATAAGTCTACAAGCCACTATTAGGATAATGAAATATTAATGTGTAATTATGAATGAAGACTAATTGTAAATAATCATATTTATAATTTTATGTAATTTATCTCTTTTTTTATTAAATTATGTATTATTCGTCGATATTTTTATATTCAAGATGATGGAATAGAGGTGTTATGCAAATATAAAGATTATTAGAAAGAAATTACGGGAATATTATCTCATTGGGATGTAAATAATTACTCATCAAATATACTATTAATAGTCTTTGTCTTGTTTGAGTGAATCAATTAAGAACTGATCATCAAAGAATTTCAAAATAGACACATCTTCATTCAAACCCTTTCTTCTCCTAGTTTTGATCATGAATTCTCTGGCCAAATGATTTGAAGGTGCTGGCTCTAAAGGCTTAAGCACTATGGTTTTATCTAAAGGATCTCCTGGTAATAATGACCAATGATCGAAAACACTTAAACAGAAGGCTTATCCTGAAGTGTGTACTCTAAGATCAGTTTCAAATCCAAAGTGATCAATCGTTGGAATGTGGGCTCTCACAACTGAGAATGGTGTGCCTGGCTTTGCCTATTCTGATAAGATGTGTCCTCTTCTTCTTAATAGAACATTGTGGATGGCAGGAATACAGTCTTGGAAACACATAATTTCTGTTAATAACATTGGTTCCATGATTTTTGGGGTTGCCATAAGGAATGAAGAATAGCACACCCTTCTTGTTGTGGGGATTATTTAACCACCTCCTCTATAAATGGGTTCCTACATTAAAATGGAATGATTACATTAGCAATGTTGGCTTCGATGATCTTGAATTTCACATTTCTGATTGGCTCATCACACAAAGGACCTTCTCTGGTTGCCCATTAAAAACCTTAAATCATATAGTCTTTGACTTCAGTTAATAACTATTTGTTTGTTTCAGATGGTAGAGTATCATCTAGAAATACATTGGGTCCCGTTTTCTCTGGACCGAATGCCCACACAGATCTACTCTAAATTATATCCCAATTAAAATTGGATTTAAAATATTCGGTTAATTTATTCTTAGGCCATGATAAATCAATCTCTTCATTCTCAATTCTCTCAGCCAAACCCTTATCTTAAGGTGTCAAACCTTTGTCTAATGGAGTTGCCAATGCTTTAATCTAATTAATACTATATTAATCAAAATACCCTATTCTTTTTATTGGGAGTATCTGCATAACATGTTTTTGATGATGTTTCAATAACAGTTTCACAAAAACGAACTGATGGATCTGATACTTTAATTTCTATTTCTGAATACATTTTTCTTAAATCATGCATAACACAATCCAAATATAATTCACCTGTTCCTAATAGAATATGTTCTCCAGATTCTTCCACTTTAGTTGTCAAAATAGGATAACTCTTAGTTACCTTACGTAGACCTTCTAACATTTTAGGTAATTCACTTGGAACTAATGGTTCTATGGCAATCTTCATAGTCGCTAAAATGTTATGTTAAATAGGTCTCAAGATGTCCATCTGTTAAGAATCCTCTGTAATAGTAGCACTCTTGCTAATAAATTAATCAATGCCCTCAATCAACACCCAATTTCCTGCAGGCACTTTATTCACTTCTACTCTATATCTACCTTGATAGATATATATGTTCTTGATATTCCTGATTGCCATATCCTCTTCATCATCTATATTATATTTTTCTCCTAATAATTTAACATTCTATCCCTTTTTAATAGTTCCACTGACCACTCTCCCCAGAGCATCGAAACTCATGCAATCTGGTCTACTGTACAATTTCACAACATTTATACATAATGGTCCCTTGTGTGAACCTTGAGATGCTTGAATAAATGATTATTTCGATTTGTCACCCTAATAATATAATTCCATTTTCCTTTTACTACCTTCCTGAGAATTAGGGACTTACTCCACTAGTACATCAACTAAAGAAGAGGTATTACCAAAATAGATAGAACAAACCAATTTCAGTAATGGTCTAGTGTCCATTTTGAATTCACTTTTTTTGAGAGATATCCCTTGGCTCAATAAGAACGGTTCTAGATTGTTCCTTATCCTTAGAAACCACTTACCCAAATAACTTATATATGGGTTCTAAAATAAACTCAACAAATGTCCTTTAGGTAGCATATGGTGACATTTTACGAACAAATTTCTTTTCTTTATTATCGTAGTAGATGTCTCCCCATAATAGACGAGTGAATTGTTCTGGATTTAAGAAATTGTTATATCTCCTTGCAAAACTCTAGATTGTAAAAACAAATTAAAATAAACCTGAACCAAATACCACATTATGATTGAGAGGTGATATGATCTAATTACCTCCATTATCGGATATAATGATATTGACTTCATCAAGTATGTTTTTGATCTTCAAATAGGCATCTGAAGGTGGCAACTTCAACTCAATGATTAATCTATCTATTTTGTTTATCACGACTACAATAGGCATCTTCTCCTTGACAGCCGCCTTGATTAGCATTTCAGTAGTCATCATGACTCCTTCAATCACATCAATAATGAGCAACATGGCATCACTGGCTCGTAAGGCACAACACACCTCGTCCATGAAGTTCACATGTCCAGGAGTGTCATAGAGATTTATCAAATATGATTTATCTTTGCTATTTGGTAACAATAAACTCATAGGGATTGCCTTGATGGAGATCAATCTCTATTATTCATCTTGACGAGTATCGGTGTATCGGATGTCTTTCTACAAACTAAATTGCTTAAGATGAGTTTGCTTAACAAAGACGTCCATCATTGATGTCTTACCATGATGCAGACCGCCTACAATTGCAACATTTCTTACCAAAGCTGGATTCTTAGAAATACGACACAGAAACTCATAGTCGAAAGTAGTTTGAGGTATCTGTGTCTCTTAGATATCAAATTCCTTTGATTTTAATGGAGCAATCATTGGCTGAGTTATTGGCTAAGCATCCTCTTCTTGCACATTGATTTCAACATCTCGACCATACACTTGTTATGCATCTGGATAGTATTATTTGTCTTCATTAAGAATGACTGCAACTTATTGATTAGGTATGTACACTCTCTTCAAAGATAGAAGCATTTTCTTACATTTGCTATTACATGTTCTTGGTCATTCTCAGCCATTTATTCCTCTTCAATCTACACATTGTCTTCTTCCTCTGAATCGATTTCTGGCCCTATGTAATTTCCGAACTCATCGTAATTATTCATGTCGTCCATAATTAATATATAATATTAAATTAATGCATAAATTATTTTGATATTGTACTATATAGATATCCATGCAAATCAGAACAAAACAAATTGCTTTCTAACATTACCAATGATTTCATTTGGGATTACTTTCAAAACATTGAATCTAACAGTCTTTGACAATGGTCTTCATATTAATTCAATTGTACCTGCATTGTCCACAAACAACGATATCTCCTTCCTTGACTGGTCCAAATGCTGGTGAAATGTGCACTGGTACATTTCTGTGTCTCTTTTCATATCTGTTATATTTGGCAACATAGTGCAAATAATCTCTTCTAATAATGATGGTTCTTGTCATCTTAGTTGAAATGACAATTCCTCTATAATACAATCATTCTAGATCATACTTTAATATTGCTCCTCTGACACTGACATTTCCTGTGAATGGACATTTCTTATCAATGTAATTACCCTCAATTGCATCCTTTGGTACTTTGAACCCCAAACCAACTTCTTTCCAGTATCTAACACCTTTTGATGTCTTCTTAGCTAAGAGTTTCTTGGAGTTTTAGAAAATGCCTTCTTATTTTTAGAATGCTCTTTGATTTTTGAACGTCTGCCATAATATATTTTTTTTAATTAAAAGATATTAATTTTTTATTCTTTAATACTCTCAAATTAGAATCAATATTCTCAATATCATCCACCCACTTCCTTCACTCTCTATACTCTTTTGAATTTATATGGGATTCAACCGAATTTTATGCATAATTAAATTAAGCAAAATAGAACTGCTTCTTTATATAATTTATTAGAATCAATATTAAATGTATTATCTTATTAACCTAATCACGTACTTAATTAGAATTTAATAATTATTATAAAATCTATCAAAAGAAATATATATTTAACAATTAATATAGGTAAGTACTAAGTTATTAAATCAAATGATTTTAATTAGATTGAATTAATGAAAGATAATTTAGAAAAAATAAAGTGAAATCAGATGACTTGTTTAATATAATGAATATATACAATAACGATCTAATATATAAAAATGTATCTAAAGTTTTATTGGGAGAACAGTATATCACACTTTAATCAAATAAGAACTAAGTTAATTTATGGTAAACTTAATTATAATTAACGAAAATAAACTTAAATCATTAATAATATTATCCAGTCTAAGAATATTCAATTAATAACTACTATTGCTAAAATCTGTAATATAATAGTATAATTTATTATGATTATATTAAATTAAATAGTTTATTTATAAGCATTATATAGAAGTTTCCTAATGAATTTGTTCGTTTTATAGTGTTGTAGATGATACAAGATATTCAAAAATTGAGCAAAATGTAGGCTGCATGCTATATCACCAAAATGTAGATAAATATGGAATATGGAAATATAATAATTTACTTTATTAAAGAAAATTGATACATCAAACAACAATATATTGAATAATAATTATAAATACTTAAATGCAAAACCTAGGATTAACAACAGAATTGAGCTACGAATAATAACATGAATTATACAATTAGCAAATTGCTGATAATAAATAATTATCAAGTGCTATGGCTTATTTGCTTATGGATTTGTGTGAAGAAGGTGACAATGATGCTAATAGCATTTAAGAACTTGAAGCTTTTAATAGTTCTAAGATTCCCTCTATTTCTATTTATGATTACCTATGCAGAATTTTAAAGTAGGCTTAATGTTCCTAGGAATGCTTAATAATGGGTTTAATATTCATAGATAAATTGTCATAAAAATAGGGGAGAATTATATTAAAATCAATTAATGTCCATCGGTAATGCATTATAATTAATAAGAGATTGTACGTTGTGGCAGTCATGTTATCAGCAAAGTTTTATGATGATAGGTTCTTTCAGAATTCATATTATGCAAAGGTAGCTGGGATTTCACATGAGGAATTCAACCATTTGGAAAGAGTCTTGGTTTTCTTATTGGACTTTAAATTGAGGATAGATCCATTACTCTACTTCACCTATCGTTAAAGAATAATTACTAATTACTTTGACAATCCAGATTGAATATAAATTTAATTAATTTAATGTTATTAATTTATAATTTATAATTTATTCAATACAATGATATTGATTACTATAGCCATTCTAAAAATAAGAGAACATTCAACAACCTCTAGTTTGTAATTTGACTAAAGAAATAGATCAATAAAATGGTGTTGTGCATTACTTCTATGGCATCTAATAAAACGGCTATCTTTTGAGAAAACGATATCTCACTTAAATGATTCATACATTTGATAATACCTACAAATTCAAACTACATTTTATCTATTGAAATACGAAGCTAAATCCACAAAAGATTATGATGAAAAATGAAATCAAAATTGTATAATAAAAATGCAAATAAATGAACAAATTCAAATAAGGTCTGAAATATTTGAGTATATATATATGTTTATAAATTGACTAATGGTGAGTGGGAGATGAATTAAGTAGTGGCCACATAATTGAATTAATAGCTAAAGAATTATTCCATTTGTGTTTTATATTAATATTTATGGGGAATAATCTTTGTCATTAAACAGGGGAGAGATCATCTCAGTTTCCTTAATAGCTTCTTAAATAGGATATGGGGAACTGTGAAATTGTGTTGACAGCAGGTCATGTAGAGAATGAGGATGTAGAATGCTTAGTAATTCCAACTGATTCTGAATACTCGAATATTAAGTAAAGTGATAAGCCAACATTCGTATAATTAAATGGGAAATGTGTGTTTGTGTCAGCTAGGAAGAGTATCATTTAATATCTAAGATTTAAGAACAGAAAAACTAGATTTTGGCTGTTGTTATTGATAAGGAGATGGTATTGAATAGTGATAAAAGTGACGATGAAAAATAAACAATTTATCAGGCAGTTTAGGAGGCGTTAAAAATAGTATTTGATAATTCCTAACAATTCTTAAGGCAGAGTAAAAGTAAATGAAATCTATTGGGTTTCCAGTATTTGAGTCGAAAGATAGCACGACATCAGCAACTATTATGTTGATGGCCATTAAGTTAAGTGTGACGGAGTAAAAAATTAAGTCATTAAAAAGAATAGTAATTACATTAGACGTATAAATAAATATTATAAATAAAAAAGCATATTGAGTAGGTGAGTAGTTTTAAATGGGTGTTTTAATAAGTATTTCGAGGGAATCAGCAAATGGCACATTCAAGAACCTATTCAAATTCAATTATGGATCAAATGGAATCAATATCAATTGATGTCGTTAAACCCAAGTAAAAGAGTGCTACCAATGAGGAAAAACCATGAGAAAATTGCATAATTTATAAGTAACAAATTGATTTATATTATTTTCATTAAATTTATATATTTTACTCATTGCCATAAATATATTTAATAGAATAAAAATTATTATTTGAGTTCATATAATCATAAATTAAAAGATTATAAAAATTATTCTATGAGCAAAAATAAAACCAATGGCCGTGGGAGACCATAAAAGCCAAAGGAGGATGAGTAAGAGATCTCTTTAGATAACAATTATATTGCTACAAACGAGTTGGCATTGAAATTGATGGAAATCTTCTCGTAGTTTGCTACTTATAGATTATTAACAATAACAGGACCAAATAGTGAGAGAAATAATGATGAAACTAAATTGAGGAGGAAGAATGTTGAGAAAGTACAATCAAAGCTCAGAGAACAGCTTAAAATTTAAGAGGATTACACTTTCTTCTTAAGGGACTTGGATAACTGTACTCTTCAATATGATATCACCAATGATTAGTTGGTTGATGTCAATAAATATTAACTAAATAAGGAAGAGTTCAAAAATTTGAAAATCTAAGATTCTGTACTAAAGAGCATTGAGCTAGTGAGTAATTAATTAAATCCTGAGCTCTAATCTTTTTTGAATGAGTTTGTCAAATAGTATAGTCAAAAATATGATTAAGAAGATGAGTTTAAAAAAGGATTTTTGAATTATATTTTAACTAACCAACATAAATATTAGGAAGTTATAAATTGGAATAAATTATATGATATGGCATATAATGAAAAATTGGAATTACTAAAATTATAGATTGTAACATTCAAAGGGAAGTATAAAGTTAATGATTAGAATCGAACCAAGAAGTATAAAGTGGATGAAAAGAGAGAAAGTTAATTGAAATAAGATCAATCTTAAATCGAAAAAATAGAAAATTACAAGGGAAATCATAAATCCTTAGAATTATTTATAAATGATATAGTAGACACTTTAAAACAATATTGGATATAAAATGATTAGGAATAAGAAACTTGAGTATTTCTTATTATTTTATAACATTAGAGTTTTATTTATGATTTTTAAAAGGAATCTGAGTCAGTAGTTTTATTTGAATTCCTTTTTTGTTAATCTATTTTTGAGATCCTTTTTACCTTTGCATACTTTCCTATCTTTTTCAATTCAATTCCATTCCTTCATTCTTTCTATTCTACCTTATTTTTAGAAAAGGAATATAACATCCAAATTAATAATAATGTAATTATTTATTATCACAATTCTCGTTTTACTCGTTAATGGTGACATAAAATAATTGGATATAAGAGAAAACCTGGTGTGCAAGTAATTGATACTAAAAGGGGAACTAAAATGCCAAGAGGTTCATGCAGACAGAATTGTGACAGAAGAAATTGATATTCCTACAGAGTTTAGTTCAGATGTTTTAGAGTTGAATAGTTTGAGTCCCTTCAGAAGTGACACTAGGGCATCTGCTTTCATAGAGGAACCTAAGGAGGATACAATATTTATTAGTGCCAACTTTTAGGAGATCTACAGGGATGATGAGGATGAAAGTACTGATCACCGAACAATTGTAACTGATTTCATTTAGATCCATGGGCAATCACAATGGATTCCCGTAATTGTGGATGAGTAGAATGTTGGTTGGAAGAAGGAGAGCAAAAATTTATAAAACGATCATGAGAAATTGAGACAGATTTTAAAATAGAATAGTTATTTCAGTTATAAACATGAGCATTTCAAAAGGAGCCAATTGGATAAATACAAATATGAAAGGAATGACAACAATAGGATATATGGGAAGTGGAATGACGAGTTGATATTCCAATATAATGATTTACCGTAGAATCACACGTATGTACAAGTGACAGCTAACTTTGTGATGTTGACTGACTTTTGGAGATTCGGAACTGTAATAATAACTATTGATTTAGAGAATGATAATGAGAGTTGATGGTGAAACTGTTTGGATGCAATCTCATCATTAGAATTTGAAGATCTGTTTGTATTTGGAGCATCTGTTGAGTGGTATCCAGAGTAATCGCAATTTGCAGACAGAATTTAATGAGATGCTGTATCAGGAATGGACTTTGCCAATCAATCTGAGTGTCAAACACATTAGACACAAATTGCACATTGAATTTGGTTTGATTTTGGGAGTAAAAATACAATTGTAAGATAGCATTTGCCGAATTAGTGTTCATCTGGTTAATAGTTGTTATTTCAGGAATTAGAATCCAGATTCCCATTGTTTAGTATTGACGATTTTACACTACATTATAAATGAATTAAATAGTCGTTTTTAATTAATATATTGTATAAATGAAATATATAGTGCTCTTTGCTTTGGTACTTTTGACAATCGCAGTCAATGACAATCAGACAAAGTAATTGTTAAATAAATAAAAAGACAAAAATCAATTGAGGAATAACATCCTTCTCTTTTTAGAGCATTAAAAAACATGGCATTATTACAAGAGCAATCACAATAATTGGACTACTCTCGTTTGATCAATGCCATCAACGATCTTGAATCTGAAATCGCACAAAACAAGGAAGATGAAAATGCCTCATTCAACAAGGACTTTTTATCCAACAACGCAGATTAAGAGTTTTATGAAAATCAAATCACCCAATATCAAGTGGAAGTGGCTCAACACGAAGTTGATTTGGCTGATCTCACAGAAGCTAGGAACTCATTACAATCCTTATTGAATGATGCAATCAAGGAACAATAAGATGTTACACTCCTAAGAAATCAATTGGATCAATAGATAAAGACTGATGCTGCTAATACTGCTGCCCAATTACAAGAGTATGATGATTCTGCTGCTGCAATCGACGAAGCACTTAACTTGTTGACCTCCTTGAAGAATGCTGAAAGTTTGGCTCAAGTCAATGACAAATTGAAGACTCATTTGAGTAAACAAAAGGTGTTCTTCCAACCCTTGATCGTTGCTCTTACTGATATTGCTTAATCCAAGTAACTAAATATTAGATTATTTATTATAGTTTTGCAAATCAAGAATTGATCAGCAAAGTCACTAATCTACTCAACTAATTGAGAACCTCACTCCTAGAAAGCAGATTACAATTGGTAGTGTCATCCTAAGGATTGGAAACATTGAATAAGGAATTGTTGGGTACCTATGATGACAAATTGAATGTGTTATCCACAGTTGTATTGCCAGATTTGAGAGAGAACATTGAAATCAAGGATGGTATGTGTGATTGTCCAATTATGTAGCTGAAATCAAGGCCAAGTCAAATTTACTCAATGATGCTAAATCCAATTTGCAAGATGCTCAAGATAACTTGAAAGCCACTTAAGATGCTTGGATCGTGAGAGCTAATTTGAACTCTAAATTGGTCTAATAGTATGACAATGATCTATCACTTATTCAATAAGTCAAATAAAGTTTTGACAGGGCAGGTATCAAATAATGATTGAATAACAACAATAATTATAAAATAATAATAATGAATGATGTTCATTGTCATCTATGTATCTAATTGGTTGAAGAGTTGCATTTCAAGAGAAATGTTAAATTTTTATTATTTATATATATATTTTAGTCAGTCATGCACATCAAATCATAACCTTTTTTCTTTGTCTCTAAACCATATCAAGTAAATATTATTCTTAAATCAGAGTCCAGATTGCTATCCAAATAGATTGGATAGTAGGAGTTCTCAGGTGGATGTACTAAAAGTGTTTTATTTAGAATAATTGGTGAGTGACTTAAGAAAGGACAATCAGTAGTTGTTTGATCAAATGGAAGAGATGAGGGTTAAAAACTTCGAGAAAGAGAATGAATACATCAACCAACTAAAAGATCTGCAAGAGCAAATTTTAGATGTCTAAGCGCTGAACAAAAATTATGAATATCAAGTGCAATTTTTACAGATGAAGATCTCCTATCTAGAACAAAACCATCGACCTTAGGATTTATAATTGACTAATAGCACAGGTATATATTTACATCTAATTAGATTTATTCAATTCTAAACTTCAATCTGAAAGTGAAGAATCGAATTAACAAATTCGAAGTCTCAATAACATTCTGGAATAAAAAAACATTATTATCAAAGAATATGATGAAATGAGAAATAAATTCAAATTAACACAAATCGAGTGGTCAACCAAAATCGAACAATTGAATATTGAAATTCGTAATCTAAACAAATAAATTACCAAATTGGAACTTTAATTGATTAATCAGTAAAAGTAAGTTTCACTATATTAAAATGAATCTTAATTATGGAGAAGCAAATTTTTATAATTAAATAAAAATTATAATAAAAGTTCAGAAAAATTGGTTTTAACAAATGTTGAACTGGATACTGCCAAGAAGGAAATATAGCAAATCAATGAATTACGTAATAAAAGAAGAAGTGTCGGAAGCATAGTTTGATACTGGTGATATATATTATTTCTATTTTCATTAATATTATAATAATGGAAATTAAATTATAAGTGGATAATCTTATTAAACCCATTAAAGAAATAATTTAGAATATTGATCAAGTTAACAGTTAAATCTTACAATCACACACTCAATAGTTTGCGTTGTCGATAATTGAATTTGTTTTTTTAGGAAATTGCTGTCCTTGCACTCTAACGCCTGTTGAATATAAAACCATATTAATCCAATATGTTCAGCAATTACGAAAACACTATCAGAACAATAAAGAATCGACAGCTTGCCAAGTATATCAGTTAAATAATAAGAGATTGTAAGCAAACTTCTAAAGCAGCGATAAGAACATGGAGATCGTGAATAAGAAGGGTTCATGAATTCAGATGAAGAAGAGACACGTTTAGTTAAACAAATATCATTTTAGTAAAATATCCAAGATTATTCCAACGATGCAGATTTGGAAAAGCACAAAGTAGTGTTGCAATAAAAGGATTACGAAATTGCGACTCTCAAGGTCAAACTACAGTTGAAAGAGCAGAAACTCTTGGATTTAGCCAGTGGTTATCTCAAAGACCTACAAAACATGAGAGAACAAATGTATAAAAAGTCAGATGATTTCGATTACTACGAGGTTTCTTACTTTGATGTCACAGATATCGAGGATCCTCGCTACAGAGATTTGGTGAATAACAAGATAGCCAATCTAAAGAGTCAATATGAAACGAAGACAAGGGAAATGTATAGAACAACTAATTGTTAGATATTTATTCGTTTAGAAATAAAAGAACGAGGTCTAGAATTTGAGGTAGACAGTGGGAAACTTTGAACAAAAGATGAAGCTGATGGAGAATGTGGAGTATTTGATGAATCGTGTATTTGCATTGGAATAAGACCCTTATAAAATATGGAGATACATTCAAGACATCAAAGGAAATGATTTCTTTCATGATGTCTTTGAAAAGTAAAAGCCAGCATCAGGAATTCGATATAGAGAAGTGAATAAACTATTGATGGTAACGAAAGCTTACGATAGAGAATTAGAATACTTTAAGAAAGGTATTGAGGATCAAATGTATATCTATTTGGAGAGAGCCTGTGGAATTATTAACCTCTAAAATCAGGATCTATTGGATGAAATTGAGGAATTGAAAAAAGAGGCTGAAAGAGTTAATTAATTTGAGGGCAGAGTGAATCAATAAATTATGCAATCATTTGAATAATTTAAAAAATAATGTATTTTGAGCTTTAAATATTAAAATAGTGAAATAGCATCAGGAGGAATACATGGATATGAAATCTAAAGAATTGTAGTAATTATAGAAAATTCAACTCAAATATGCTACAAGGTTGTGGTATATTGTGAGTCAAATCAAGAAAGGCAGAGATATAAAAGAGTTGATATTATATGCATAGTAAAGCAAAAAGTTAATAATATAGTTAGAATGATTACGAAAAATTGACATCATAATAATTCTTGGAGGTGGAAAATAATTATCTCAAAAGTATGATCGCTATTAAAGCAAGTTAAGAAGAGATAGTTGAGTTGAATAATAAATTAGAACAGATGGGATTATCTAATGAAGAATTTAAGACCTAAAATTCTTAAATGAAAGTTATCATTCAAGATTTGAAAGCCAAAATCAAGAATCATTAGAAATGTTTGCAATAAACAATTAAACATATAGATTCTAAGATCAATCCAGAATAACTCAATCTGGAGGACAATAACAGAGAAACTACCATTAGTTTTAAAGATAAACTTAAACAACTAAGACAATAACATAATGGATTGAAATTTATCTAGGAAGTGAATGAGTAATATCAAAAAAATAATTTGGCATTAGACTTTTTAAGTACTAGCTATGAAAACAAAGCAATCTAAACTATGATTGGTAATGTAAATAAAAGTTTGGCAGAAGCTATTGAAATACATGAGACACATAGCAATAAGGAAAATATTCATGAAGATTTGGGATGTGTCAAAAAGGAAAGTCATGATGAAGAATGCTAAACTGATTTGATTGATGTTGAAGAATTAATAAAGCAAACCGCTGAGTTAAAATAATAGATCAAGAATTTGGCATAGGATATAGATGATATGGAAGGAGAGGGTGTTGCATAGCAACATTATAAATTAAGCAATTAATAAAATTAATCCTTTGATAACTACTCATCTTAAAAAAGTGGAAATCTTAAAAGAAGATATGTTTAAGCTAATGAATTCAAGGATTCAAATCCAAACTATCAAAATGATCTCAAAGTATACAACGAAAAAAATAATGGTTATACTTTAGGCTAGCCTAATTAATTGATCATTTTGCATCAATAGTAATCTTTTGAGAGAATAGCTTAAACTTAGACTCTCCAAGCTTCTAAACACTAATAAAAAGGTGTTTTTAGTAGATTGTTTGAGGATAGCAAGAAGAAGTCAGAAAGAATTCAAAAAATCAAAAATAATTTAGAATTGTTAGAGTAAGAGCATTGGCAATAAGTGGCTGAGTTAGTAAAAGAGAATTAAGATATTATGAATGCTTTTAAAGACACAATCTCAACAAGCAAGCATTTCTATCAGAAATAGCTAAAAAGAAGTCTTGAAATAGAATAAAAATATTTTCCTTAAAAACACAATAGAGCAAAATTTTATTTTAAGAAATTTAAGGATTTTCATGTGCATCAATAAGAACTTAATGAGATCTTTTTTGACCCTAATTCGAGTGATGAAAAAACTAATGAAATACAGAGATTGAATATCAAAAGTGTTGTCGATAACAGGAAATTGAATGGATAAATAAGATTTAATGGACTAAAAAGAGAAGAATATTAATTTTTTCAATCACTTGAAAGGAAAAAATTATAAAGCAGAACTTTTAGAAGTACTTAGCAATCTCCAAAATAAAAGAAGGTCCAGTATGTTTCATTTAATAAACCATTTATAGGAAGTTTAACTAGCAATGAAACGAACGATTTCAATAACTAATAAATCGTTAAACATTTGTAAAAGGTTTATGATTTGGGCTGATCTAGCCCTTCTAAGTTATTATTATCTCACTAATGAATTTATTAAAATTTTTTCAAATCACAAAATGTTATTGTAATTATATTCTTTTGTTTCAACTACTTTCTTTTATTCTATTAATTTTCTTACGTTGGGATTCTTTATAATTGCTCTTATAAAATAAGGAGTTAACAAGATAAAGGAATAAGGAATTGATTAAAATTTCTTCTAAATAGATGGATATATTAATAACAAACAATTGATTCTTAATAGTGGAAGTCTGAATCAAACATCTTAATTTTAGATATTCATTATCAGAATTTCTATTGAATCACAAATTAAAATAATTAGAGAAACTAGTTTTAATGAAACTACTAAAAATTATAATTTAAGTTTATAAAACGTAGGAATTCACTTTAAAACAATAAATTCAATTAAACTATCTCAAACCTACATTTAAATTTCGTTTGAATTTGTTTACATGATAAAGTTAAAATGATTAATAATTCTAAAACCAAATGATTTGAATATGATACTCTTAGAGTGTCTTTTAAGTAAATACAATTTATTATATTAATTAATATAAAGAATTGAGAACGTAAATTTTATTCCAATTATCCATCGACTATATAATATCAGATAAAATCTATAAGAATTTGGATATTTATATGTTAATTATAATTGTAGAATTTACTTTAACATCATTTTTCTGTTTTGGATATGTATGGTCTTTCAGAATATAATAGAGGAACTACAACATCAGTAATTGGAATCTAGTCCTTACAATTCAATGAAACTTTTGTATCCTTTAGACAAGAGTGTTAATCATTTTTTTCCATAAAAGCAACTATGAATTAGACTGTGGCTTTCATAACTTCGATTGGCCTTTTGGAATTGTGTGTGCCTTCAAACTATATTAATTCTTTAATTCCTCTAAACTTTTCCGATAAAACTTTAGGGTGTTTTTCTCTAATGAGCGTATCACCTTTGGCTGATAGAAAGACAATAGAAACATCAGTTGGTAAGGCTATAAAATAATTCTATTTTAAAACTTTGTATAATTTGAATGATATTCAAATCATCAATATTAAATTTGGCTTCCTTTCTTATTTTGGATTTGACAAAACACCAAAAGCAATTGAAGCAGCATCCTGGAATGCTATAAGTATTAGAAGCCAATTCCTAACATAAATGAGTCAGATTTGAGAAGGGACTATCACAAACAAGCATTTTGAAGTTAGAATTCAAACTAGCTGCTATGATGGCTGTGACTGAACCCATGGATCTACCCCACAAACCGATTTAAGTGATAAATGGCTAAGCAACTTTTAATAATGAAGTTAACTTACTTTATTTGAACGTAAATAATTATAGAGATCAACTACATCTCTTGATTCATAGAATCCTAATGAAATGTACTCTCCTTAGGATTAGCCAGAACCTAAGATCCAATATTTGATTACCTGACAAATCAATTCCACAAACCGAAATGTTCTAAGGAAGTAAATATTCAAGTATTGTTAGAGACTCCACTCTGCTGCTGGAGTTCCCATGTAAATAAATCATGCAGCAATGGGGCTTGTCTTACATTCTTACAGGCTCAAATAAACTAAGCAATCTCATTGAAGTTACCTGCACTGAAGAGTTAGTCCGCGACTGTTTACCATTTCAAAGTCTATTCGTTTGACCACAGTGTCCTGAACCATAAATATTTCATTCCCCATATCTTTTAAACGGTAATTATGCCTTGGAGGTCTAACTATCGGCTTCCATAGCTTTTCTGTGCATTTATATTCAGGTTATTTCATATTTTAATAATTAGTATCAATAATATATAGTGTTGGTCTTAAACTAAAAATAATCATACAGAGTGGTGGTCCATGAATTACTGGATTCTTTTACAATATTTTGTACATTCTCATATAATTACTCTAGAGAGCACTTCTCCATAAACCTCTTTCGAAAGTCTTCAATTTTAAATTTCTCCAAACTCACCAATAGATTATGTTTCGGACTGAAGTTCATAATCTTAACGAAGTTCAAGATTTCATCAATTTCTTATTACAACGCCATCAGACCTCAAGATTTAGTAATATCATACCTTTGAATATTAAGGTTTAGAAGTAATTATGGAAATAACTGCCTTTCCCGTCCAAAAGCTCTTCGTATTCTTCAATTAACTTAAAGGGTGCAGTTTCGAATCCCAAATTACCTGGAGTTAGAGTTAAAACGAACCCAAAGTCAATATGAATAATGTGTCCTTAATTGTCAATCAATATATTTCCATTGTGTCTATCCTTTAATTGGAATAGGTAGCATATCAATGAATAGCCAGCCAGACTTTATAAGAAGTTCGTCTAAGCCTCACTAAAGCAATCAAAGAAATTCTCATAAAACTGTTTCAAAGTGTAATCTTAATAATCTCTCTTAATTTTATCTATTGAAACAGTATTTGGAATGAATTCTAATATCCCACTATTTGGGGATGTTAAAATAATATCGTAAGGTCTCAAAAAGATGTCTAGTTTGTGTTTCTCAAATATCTCCTTTATCTTCTTTATCATCTGCATGATTAATAACTCATTCCTTAAATCATCGCCTCCTTTAATTATAATCTGTCTTATTTGATAGGTTTTAAGGTGTCCAAATTAAGATGACTTACGAATTCTAGACTAAGTCTCATTCCAATCTTCACCCCAAATCGAAGTACAATTAGTTGAAGATGCATAGATATCTTTGTCTCTTGGCTTCCTCCTTATTTTCTAGTTCTCAGGATTTAAATGAAATTCTACTTTTTTTAATGCCAATCTCTTATATCCTGATACAATACTTTTTTAATTCATCGATGTCATATTGCTAGAGTATCTTCAATTATGCTATGCTTTTCATTTCCTTCTCGATATCATAAAAGGGGTTTAATTCTTAAATATCGCTACTATTTTGATAGATTTCTACAGCTTTCTTAATGAGTTCTAATTCCGATGGACTACGTTAGAATTGATACATACTCAATAGTTTCTACAATTATCTTGTAAGGAACTCTCTTTGCAGTATTGAAACAAGTAAATTCATCATCAAGAATGTGGACTACTAAATAAGAATCTATTAATCCATGATTAAATGGTATCGTTATGCCACCTTATGAAGTTATTTGCCACAAATAATTTATATTTTGATTAATCTTTTTTAAAAAGGCTATCATCTACTATTTTCTTTCCTCAATCTCAATGCTTTTTAGTCTCAGACTTTATTCTATTAAATTAAAAATTAATTGATCTTATCTATCTTGGTAATTTGCTCTGGCTTCTTTAATCAAATACACTATATGCGTAAAATAAATGAATTACTATCCTAAAAATAATCTTCTCTGCTGTTAGTATTAGTTAATCCCTTGTTTACATATTCATGTTTCATAAGCTAAAATTATTGCATAGATTACTGTAAAGAATTTAGCGAAATAATCAGGAATGGGAAAGCACTTGGAATCCTCACTCAATGCTTTTAAAGTCCATTCTAATCTGTAATAATTTGAAGAATTCATCAAGCCATATTTTTTCAAAAATTCCTCTAGATGATTATTACCTGTTACATAATAAATATAACTAATATATTAGAATACAATTTACCAGAGCTAAAAAATAAATTAATGAATTTCGCTATTATTGATGTTTTCCTAAAATTTCTTTATTATATCAAATTTAATGCTGCCATGCTATTCCTTTAAAATACATTCTAATAAAGAATTTGTCAGTTAATTAATTGACAATTATGAGGATGGACTCCTTTGCATAACAATTAAATAATAAATTAATTATAAATAATTGGATAAAGATGACTATTTTATTGTGAAAATATGAATCATTGAATCTACTTCAGTTCAACATCAATGTAATTTTCCATCTAAGACGTTTCTAATATCTTTAATGTCATTTTAGTTTCTATAAAAGCTTCTAAATTGTGTACAGGGTATTCTTAAAAGACATTTTTTAATTTTAGCAAGGAATATTTGGCTTTGCTTGTTAGATTCGACTTCAAAATTAGAATCCTGACTAATTAGAAAAATTAGTGGAAGTAATAATGAATATCTAAAAAGGTGGTATTTTCCTTTTTGACAATTTCTTTAAGCATGTTCAAAAATTCCAACCCCTTTGCTATGTTTTAGTTAAGTGCTTAGACGTCCTTCATAGAATTATATTTTCCAAGGCTTTAGGTATACAGTTATTAACAATCAATCTATTTTAGCCAATCTTAGAAATCTGTTTATGATTTCACTTTATAACAGATTTTATCTATAATAATATATTAATTTTTAGTAATTTGATTTATGCACATCAAGCAGGATAATTAGAATCTAATAATAAATTATTTCAATATTTATATCTCACCTTGGAGCATTATATTATCTTTTTCATTTTCTTCTAATTATCCTAATACCCTAGAAGCCAAATTATATAAAGCAAAAATGTATTTATAAGTCTCGGTGAACCGTACAATAGGAGGAATGTTTCTCAATTCATCAAAAATAGAATGAACTTATAATTATTCCCAAGTAATTCTCTTTTTTGGATCATAAACAATCATTTTATTAATCAGCTCTGTAATTAATGGATTCTACAGCTCAATTTAAATAATTTACTTAATGCTGTTCACAATAAAAAGGTCTTGTCTCTAAAGAGTTATGAAATTCTAGTAGTTCTCTTCTATTATTTATATCCTTAAACATTCTTAGAAATGCCAAATAATGCAATATCACTCCTAACTAAAGTTTATGTGCAAAATAATACTGAAAAAATATCGCATTAATAGTCATAAGCTTTACCTTGTTTTAACACTTCAGGAGCTGCAAATAATGGTGTGCCTGCCTCAGTAAAAGTAACTTCTTTACCAATAATCTTGCCTACTCCGAAGTCGATAATCTAATTTTGTATAATTAATATACTTTAATAACATTTCTCCCTTAAATCTTTTTTATTAGAATATTATCTGGTTTTAGATCTCTATGAATTACTCCAATTTATTTCAGGAAGCAATAACCTTAAACAATTTAATATAGAATCTCTATAATTTCCTTATTTTCTAATTATCTTTAAGAATCACTTTTTCCTTTTAGATAATTTTGCAGACTCTCGTCACATTTCTCCATAATTATGCAAGTATCTTGATGGCGCGTTTGTGTATAAGCAATTTTTATCACATTTTCATTAGCTTTCACTTTTTTGATTTAATCAACAATTTATTTTTCTCTCAAGGTGCCTTCTTTCCCATTTGGAATTATTTTGCAAACTAATTATTCATTAGTTCTTAAATCTTATGCAATGTATGTAGATCCTTAAGCTCCAGATCCAAGAACCTATTTAATGTTTACAAAATATAAATCTGATAAGATAAAAAAATGTGGAGGATACCTTTACTCCAAAATTTCCCATTTTATTCTGTCCTCTGGATTGTAGACAATCATTTATGATATTAATGAGAGTAATTCCTTTTAACAATAAGCATTTTTTGGACATTAGAAAGCATTTTTGGCTTTTAGGTCCTCGTGAAATTTTTCTAAATTAGAGAAGTCTTCAACATTTGTTATATTATCTCCTTTGAAGCACATCATATAGAGAATCACTCCAAGCTATTCGTATAATATTAAATAAAGCTTACAGCATAAATGTCACAAAGATCGGATAATTTTATTTTCATAGAATTAAAATTGAACAATTCTGGGGACTAGAAAATTGGAGTTCGAGCCTGAGGATCTATTCTTCCGTTATCGTATATACAATAATCAGATATCTAAATCAAATGAAAGTTTACTTTTAATATCATTCTATCATTTATTAATTTCTAGACAAGTATAGTTTTAGGCGTCAAATCTCTCACATTAATTTTCAGCTTTCTCAAGTATTAATAACCTTTCACTATTTGACCTAGAAAATCTTGAATTTCATCGAAATTCAACATCATGTTTTTCCATCTTTGACTCAAGTATTGATCAAAGGTAGCTTCACAAAGTTCTGTGAAAATATAAAAATTGTCATTATCCTCTTACAATTCGTAAACCCTTAAAGTATTGAAATGCTTTTCTTTTTCTTATTTGAGTCTTTTATAAGCCTCGATTTCATTTCTATAATTATCCCCTAATTTTCTAATTACTTTCAGACAATAAACTTAGCCAGAGTTATCCTTACATCTTAGTATTGGTCCTCTCTTACCTTCTACTATAAGATCCTTCTAAGCATCGAAGGAGTAATTTCCTATCTTCATTTCATTCCTTTGATGAGCCATTTATTGAATAAATAAAATAATAAAATAATTTCTAAAAATCAAAAGTATAAATAATCGTCAGCCTTTGCAGCAATTGGCTAAATACTAGCTATTCTTCTACTTCCTCTCTTGAAATTCTAAATTAATAATTCTCCCAATTTCTCTCGATTTATCCTTTCTTAATAATCATAAATTATCATTTGAGAAATGATCTCAGTTATCTTTTAGAATTTCTATTATAGAATCATCTTTACATTTTAAGGAATTTAGAGCTTAGATTTTTTAATTCTCTATAGAAATGCAATCACGTCACCATTCTACTTTAACGAGAATGGTAATTAATGAAATACAAGTTAATAAATAATCAAACCTAACTAAAATATCTTAAAGCTTATTACCGAATATATGTTTTTGGCATCAGTCTGCTTATTGCTAAAGAAGATTTCTGGGGCCGCATAAGGTCTAACTTCTACATCAGAATGTTTATAGAGGTTACTCATACCATAATTCGAGACCTTTTCAAATAGAATAAATTCGTACTTTAATGATTTCATTATCATCGATCATAATATTAGTTGGTTTCAATTCATTTATTTCTAAACCCTGATCCAAAATATAATTATAACCCTTCAAGATTTAACTTAAAACAGCCAATAGCTCCATCTCATCATATTCCTTCTGAAATTTCATTTCGTTCCTTAAAGATGACTGACATTTCTCCATAATAATTATAACGTCCTTTTCATTTTAATATACATCATAAATTTAAACAACGTTAGCATGATTCAGCTTTTTAAGTTTGATAATTTCTGCATCATTAGGAACTGTTTAACTTTAATAGATTTTGGCCACCAATTATTTTTACATTTATTGGATATTTATACATTAATATGTAGTTGAATGCCATCCTTATCCAATCAAACGATTAAGAAGTATTTAATAGACTCCAATATTGATTATACTTGAATTCATTAAAATATATACAAATTTTTGTAGTATAAATTATCATAGAAATTATTAAAGATATCGTAATGATTATTGTAAGGAAATGGGTAATTAATTCGTTTTTAGCTTAGCCTCAAAACCAAAAATCTAACCTTATTCCGTTCTTGTTTTATTTAGTATTTTTGGCTATTTGATGTCAACAGATAGGTTTTATAATTGTATTCCTTCATCTTTATCCAACTCTTCCATTATGTCAGCTCCTGTGGAACTTAGATCTTCTAATTTAATCCTTCGACTAGTGTTATCTTATTGCTACAATAATTTTCTAGATGTCAAACTCTGTTCCTTCTCAATACCCATAAATTCAATAAATTAGGGTTAACTTAGGACTGGTTTTATTAAATTTAGAGTTTAGGACTTCGAGTAAAATCCTCCCCTTTTTTTAACAAATTTTCCAAATATTCATAATCAGGATTTTAATCAAACTCTAATTGTTTAACATATTTTATGTACTTCAAGAGCTCAAGAGGCAAATTTATGCAGGTCTCTGGTTTAAATATATCTTTCATCCTTTAAATCTTGTAATATTTATTCTGCTTATCATCACCTTTAATATTGTTCCATGGTAGAGTTCCATTGAATAAATAAATTAGTAAATAACAACAGATTCAAGTTCATCTCTCCTTGATTATTCGTATCCCTTCAATGCGTATATGGAAGCACAACGAGCTTTCCCTATCATAACCTTATTTTCTTGAAATTCTAGATGTTTTCCTTCCGAAATAGATAGTCCAAAATCTATTAGATGTAGTTTCTCTTGATGAACTACAAATTTTTCAGACTTAATAACTTAATATCTCTATGCGATAATGTGAGCATTATGTAACTCTTTAAGAAGCAGAATCATTTATTAACCTGTATTTAATATAGTAGCAGTATTAAAATTCCCAAATTTTGTTCTCACTTATTCTAAATTGTCTCCTAATAAATTCATTCTAAAGTAGGTATTCTTATGATCCTAACCTGATGTGATTATTTGAGTAAAGCCTATTTTACTTTATTTGTTACCTTTTTTCCCTTACAGTAAATGCAGGATCTTTATCAATCTTTGAAGTAAAGTTTTCTCCTTTTTCATCGAATTTTTGACTAATTTACAAGCATATAAGCGCCCAGTCTCAATATGATTGACTTTCCATATAAATCCAAAGGAACTTATTATATCAAAATGATATAAAATACCCCTCCCCTAATTTTTTCAAGAAATTAATAAGATTATGAAGCTGGTTTATTATCATGACATTTCATTCTCAGTTAACAAAAATTACAAATTATTTAAATACCTTAATAATATCTGACTAATTATAAACAATAAGATTTGATGATATTTAAAGTAAATCTTGTTATAAATATTTGAGTAAAATTATATGAAATATTTAACAAATTATAATATCTTTAATATTTAATTAATTTAAAGGCTCAAAAAATATATTAACCCGAATACCAACTTAATTAATTTAGAAAGTACGTAGTATTATTCATTTGAGTCGTCTATAGTCTTGCATAATAAACTCAGGCAAAAAAGATATTTGAAAATTAAAAATGAATAAAAAGAATGGTTTTATTAGAATTTTCATAAATTAAATAAGAAAAAGCCTAATCAAGTCAGAGAATATTAACGTAATGAAAAATAAAGTTTTTGGTGGAAAATCTAACCATGCTCAGATTGAACTTTCGCCATCAACAGTGAATTAATTTAATATAATAGAACACTAAGAGGATCGATTGAATAATACATATCAGTTGAATATCCTATTATTTGTAATTTATTGAGGTATTTATTCTTTTTATTTATTATCTTTATTTTTATTTAACTGCTATGTTTCTAAAGGAGGTTTTTAGATGATTATTTTTTGCCCTCTATTATCATCCTATTTAGTCTCTTACATTAATATAAAACTAATTTATTGTTGCCCGAATTATTCAATCCCTATAATGTAAGTCAACTTAAGTGATGAAAGTTCAGTCTCAATTTATTGTTTATTCAATAATTTAATCTCCTATTATTCAAGCTTTTTAAAATTTGAACTTATATATATTTGCAGAATTCTCAGTTCTCTGATTTTTCATTTCAGAAGCAACAATTTACCAGTTTTTCCTATGATTTAACATGGTTTTCATAAATTAAAATTCTACATTTACAACCCAAGGACCTTTGTATTGAGGAGTTTAATTTATAAATCCACCTATCTCTTACAAATTTTAACAATTAATTGTAGATTTGTTGCATTTTTAAGATAATTTCTTTGTTATATCGCTTCATTTGAAGGGCTTACTTTCTGATAAGTATTAATTACAAGTTTCACTAAGACATCATCTTCATTTTGGTTCATTTCTTTTAATGAAATATTAATTTTTTGAATTTTCTATTTGTTATCTACCATCCATTGCAGATTTGCTAAGCAATTTTGAGACTAGGTTCCACACATTATCACGTACATGAATATAAGTTATGTTTTAACAATTAAAAAAAATATTTGTATTAAAGACTTCAATAGTTTTCTTTGAGATTCTTTCTACTTTGATGGTTTTGATAGATTATTTTCAATCTAAAGATATTATTTTCTAATCTTTATATTAGTTTCTTCATCCAAATAACTTAGCAAAGACAAGTATTAATCAAACTCGATTTACATTTTATTTTTATCAATATATATATCAACAATTCAATCAAGTGAGAATGCGTTATTATAAACGATTCTCATTATCCTTACTAATTATTTACATTTTCAATTCCCAACTCGAATTCTAATGCTGCCACTCTTTTCTCAAGTAATTTTATATAATGATTAATTGATGCATCTTCTTTTTTTTATTGACTTATAGATTATTAAATGTATTCCACATATCCATTGGTTGTGCCTTGTTCTCTAATAAACTTATTCTCTAAAGCTTCAACAGAGAATTTCAATGATGTCTCTAATTGCTTAATTTTAGATTGAGCAACTATCTCTAACAATTTATATTATGACTTTGTAGATTCTATTTCTGCTCTCTCCCTTCTTTAATCTGATCTAAAATTAAGCATTTTATATTCAATTTCATTTATCATATCATAAGTTTCTTATTCGTCATTCAATTAAGCCAGTTCCTTTTCCAAACTGACTGATCTAACTTATTTAATTTAATCTAAAGAATCTTCTTGTTATGCTTATTTTGTTTAGATAGTAAGAAATATCTCAGGAGGGGAAGTTTTATTGAATTATTTATTCATTTTATTAATAAATATAAATCGAGAATTTATAAAATTTATATTATAACTTCTTTCGTATTTGAGACAATAAAGTCAATTAATTTTACGTTTGATCATAAGACGAAAAGACTCGAAAACATAATCTGAGGATCAAAATAATAGTCAAATTGATTCTTGTATTAATTCTGTTTGTTATAAAACTTAAAAAAAATCTACATTTCATCCATAAAACTATCAAAGAAAATATCCAGATTCCTGAATTAATCAGAATTGCGTATTATTTCTAGTTTTATATAGTGCCTGATTATCCATACAATTGTTCAATTAAAAATAAATGGAAAACAAAGTCATTCTTGGATATTGGCCTATTAGAGGATTAGCTTAACCACTAAGGTTCTTCCTTGAATACATAGAGCTTCCCTATGAAGATAAGAGATATAACGATCCATAAGAATGGTTTGGAAAGGATGATCAAACATTCAATAGCCCATTCACAAATCTTCCATATCTTAAAGATGGAGATCACGTAATTCATTTTATTTATCATAGACTGTTTTCGAATCAGATGCCATCTATCATTATTTAGCTCATAAAGTAAATAAACCTGAATTACTTGGCAAAGATGCCAAGTAATAAACAATGGTCGCAACTATTAGAGGAGCCATAGGAGACTTAAAGGCTTCATTCTTTACTTGGGCCTATGGTAATAAGGAAACAGCAGAAGCCAAGAAGGAAGACATGTTGAAGGAAGCAGGAGAATTCTTTAGAGCCTTCAATACTACATTAGAAAGATCAACATGGTTAACCGGGGATACAATTACCTATATTGACTTTGTGTTATGGGAATTCGTTGATGAATTCCTGGTATTGGCTCCTGAAGTAATTACTTCAAAGCCAAAACTTGTTGAATTTCACAATAGAATTTCTGAATTCCCATAAATCAAGAAATATCTAGAAAGTCCAAATTACATTAAGAGACCATTCAACTCCCCTCCTTTTGCCGTATTCTTTTGAGTTGAATTATATATACAGAGATCATTAATTATAAAGTGTCTTATCTCTATAATTTTCCACATATATATTAGAATATGATGATTTTCAATTAAAATTAAAATTGATGATTCAATATATTACACAAATATTTTAATGTAATCAGAACTTTATAGTTTAATTATCAAATACATTGTCATTAAATATTTTCTAGAATCATGATTTTCTTTGCTTCTAATGGATTAAATATAAATGCATTGAACAAATCTTTAAATTCTTCCTCATTTATTATATTTAAACTTTTATTAGATAGCATAGAGAATACTCCTTCAAATGATTCCGACTTCGGTTCATTAGCTATCTGAAATTTTAACTATGAAATTTTACTAATTTAGATACTGTCATAAAGGCTCAATAAAAATAGTTCAATTCTAGAGAGTTCATTTATTATGTTGACAAATAGTAATTTTTACTTTGCTAATTTTTGTATATTATTATATGTAATCTTTTTAGATTTTTCTTGTGAATTTTTAAGAGAGTCATAATTTAGAACAAGACTTTTTAAAACAGCTTCTACAAGGCTATTTTATAATAGATATTCATTGTAAAAATAGGCTACATACTATACAATCATTATCATACTAACGATTGATCCTACTTAGGCTAAAATCTCGCCTAATTTAGGATAGACAACTTATGTATCATAAGAGAAAGGATCTAATCTTATAGTAAATGTTATATATGCATCCATGTTTATCATTTTCTTAAAAAAGTCGATCTATAATGTAGTCATTAAAAATTGAGCATCAAATACAAAATCATTTTCTTCATAGTTTTCAAATAGGATTCCTGAATCGATTCTGGTTTTTTATTATTTTAAGATTATTTATATTTATTGTGCTCTTTCTTTCTCAAATGAAATGTAGTATTGCTTTTTGACTACATCGAATATCTAACTTTTTGAATTAAAATACTTGGTATTTATCCAAAAGCTCAACATATTAGTTTATTAAATAAAAAAGTTTTCAATATCAGTATCGCTAGCACATGTCTAATTTACAGAGAGTAGGTATTAATTGCATTTTGTAATAATAATGAGCAATTCCTTGGTTTAGTTTAATTAAGGATTAAATCCGCTATTTTATATAATATTCAAGTTCTCTACATAGATTAAATTACTATTATATGCTGATAAAGTTGTTATGTTACTAAGCATTGAAAATGGTGTTTAGGGAATGCCATCAATAATATACATTCCTATTGGCATTAAAATATTATCAGTAGTTCTGAATGGATCAATTACACCCTCTTAGTACCTCCAATAACAGAATTCGAATAGGTTATCATTAGTGAATTATATTGATGAATAGTTTTCAGCCTTTATGATATTTGTTGATTTTGGTAGGATGTTAGAATTCCTCCATTAATCCATTATATAAATAAAGTACCCTAGACTAACAGAAGTTACAATAATTGATAACACTCCTCCAAAAACTGATTTTTAAAGCTTTTCATCTTAATGTATTTCTTATTTCAATTATACTCCAAAAATATCAGCCATTTTAACATACTTCATTTTATAATTTATGATATAAACATTAATATTTTTATGTAATATATAGAACTAGGTTGATATTTTAGCTTTCAACTTTCTTAATTCTTAAAATCAATTTTTATCAAATTATCAAAATATTAGGGCTTTAAAATAGATTTTGGTAAAGTTTTAGTTTAAAATTATGTGTTTTAAAATGGACACGATCAACAGTCCTCTTTGGTTAATTTTTAATTATAATTTCCTTACAATTAGTGTAATATATGTAACATACATTGCTTAATTAATTTTTGCGTAAATTTAACAATAAATAATCAAGTTATAATTATCAACTAATAACATGAATATATATTAAAATTACACTAAGCAGGAATGCTTTATTAAAATATAATATTCATTAGATACGATGCCCTTTATTTCAATAAAGTAAATATTTTAAAATACCTTTTATTATACTAAAATATAATTGAACAATTTACAATATGATGAACAATTATAATTTCCAGCTTAAATAACTAATAATTAATTTCATAATTCATGCAATAAAAAGGCGCGATTCAATGATTTCCACTAAATGTTTATGTTAAATTAAATATAATTAAACAGAATGTTTGAATCTTATAATATTACCATAATTAAATTTAAATGAACCATTATTTTACTCAAATATGTAATATCAAATATAATTATTTACATGGAAAACAAAGTCATTCTTGGATATTGGGCAATTAGAGGATTAGCTTAACCATTAAGGTTCTTCCTTGAATACATAGAGCTTCCCTATGAAGATAAGAGATACACTAATCCAGAAGAATGGTTTGGAAAGGACGATCAAACATTCAATAGTCCATTTACAAATCTTCCCTATCTTAAAGATGGAGATCACGTAATTCATTTTATTTATCATAGACTGTTTTCGAATCAGATGCCATCTATTATTATTTAGCTCATAAAGTAAATAAACCTGAATTACTTGGCAAAGATGCCAAATAATAAACAATGGTCGCAACCATTAGAGGATCCGTTGGAGATTTCAGAGCCTCATTCTTTTAATGGGTTTATGGAGGAAAAGAAACAGCTGAAGCCAAAAAGGAGGCAATGTTGAAAGAAACTGGAGAATTTTTTAAAATTTACAACACTACATTAGAAAGTTCAACATGGTTAACCGGAGATACAATTACCTATGTTGACTTTTTGGTATGGGAATATGTCGATGAATTCCTGGTATTGGCTCCTGAAGTGATTACTTCAAAGCCAAAACTAGTTGAATTTCACAAGAGAATTTCTGAATTCCCATAAATCAAGAAATATCTAGAAAGTCCAAATTACATTAAGAGACCATACAATTGGGAAATACAAGCAGTTTTCTATTGAAAAAGATATTTTTGTTTTAAAAACGAAACATTTATTTAGAAATTTTTATCATTTATCAAATTAATATTTTATTTATATTACTTTGCAATAGATTCATAAGAATGCATAGGAATGCATAGGAATTAATTTAAGTGTTAATAAATATTGTCAATATGGGCAACTCTTCAATAACATTTAAGAATTCATAATAAGCATATATATAGATTATAGCTATAAAGTATATTATATTAGATTGATCAACTTGTAATTTTTTTATGTTGTTTGATCATGCTTTAGATTTCATCAAGTACTCTGATTTTGCTTTACTAGACTGATCTCTATTATATGGCATAATCTTTAGTTTTTAAAGCTTCCTTTTCTTCAAAAATTCTTTCACTTTCTATCAATTTGACTTTTTCCTCTAACTAAAGAATTATCAAATATATGATTACATATTTTTATTCTGATTATAATGTTTTTTAGTTTTATTTAACCTTTAAATATTTGTTTTTAAAAACATTTGCTTATTCATCGCTAGAGATAATTTGTTTTTTCAATTCTTAGATTAATTTTTTTTATTCTTATATCTCTTCCTTAGATTCATTTAATTAACGAATCAAAGATTCTATTTTTCTTTCAATTTAACGTAAATCCTACAAGTATAAATTATAATGATTACATCTTCATGTTATTATTTTAAGTATGATATATCTTTATCAGATTCATAGAGTAGATGCTACAACTTCTTATTTTCCTAATCAATTTGATTAATATCAAATAACATCTATTATTTTTCATTTTAATCTAATTAATATTAGATATCATATTAAGCTAATTTATCCTCATAAGTTTAGACTATCGATTTTTGAGATTCTAACTTCAATTTCAATTCCTTAACTTCTTAGGCTTTAAAACTTGTTTCCTTTAAAGCCTAGTCAGTCTTATATTTTTAGTCCTCAAGTTATGATTGCAACCTTAAGTAATCCTGTTTTTATCCTTAAACGATTTTACTAAATGATAGTTCTTCTTTTTATTATTGAGCTAGTTATTATTCTAATAATTAGATTTGAAGCTAAAAGGATTTGCCTTTGTCTTTTTTTTAAGTAATTTATGAAAGATACTCATTTTGAAGTTGTTATTTTTCTGATTCAATTTTAATGATTTCTTATTAATGACGTGAATCATTTAACTTGATGAACTTTTCTGTTTCATCAATTTTAGTTGTTTAATTGTCAATTGCTATTTATAATATTTTCTTTTCTTCTTATAATTCTTTGATTTTTTATTCCAATAATTGTAAATGTTACCTATCATCTTGAGCTCCCATTTCGAAATATCTGCATTAATCTTCTTTTGATTATAAGGCTTGTTTTAATATATTATTTTCATCTTTTAAAATCAAATATCTTTTTTCTTGTTCTTTTCTAAATGATCATTAGAATAGTTACATTTCATTTAATTAGGAATCATACATACGTTACACTCTATCGAATTCGACTTGATAATTGGATTACTTATCGTCCAACCGAGAATCAATGGTTTTTGATTATTCCTTGAGTAACCTGATTTTAGTCTTTTTCTTTTACAATTTAATTTTTAACTCATTTAGTTATGTTTTGAGTTCCTCATTGCCTTTATTTTAGGAGTCGACCCTTTCTTTTTCATACTTAATTAATTGTTCTTCTTTCATTTATAATTGTCTTTCTTTGTCCTTGGTGTCTTGAATATACTCTTTTAAAGTCGACTACAAATTAGTAGATGCTGTACTTTCAATTTAGAGTTGAGATCCTTGAGTTTATTGTATTTTTCTCTAGAAACATATCCTGAAGTATTTTAGACAGTAGGATCTTTCCATCCATTCGGAGAGGTACTGATCAATTAATCGATTTCTCTTCTTCCTTGGTTGTTTCTATTAAGAAGATCATTATTAGATCCCTGATTAGTTCTCATTTGTTAATTTAATTTAATAACAGCCAGATTATGTATGTAAAAATAAAAATTGTATTGTATGTTGATAATTTAATATTGATTTTCAAACTACTTTAGGTGTATGCGATCCTTTAGCACAAGTTGGTATTTTCATAAATTCATCCCAATCATATTTTTCAACCTTTGGAAATAAATGAATGACACTACTTTACAACAAGTCCAAAATTTCTTAAGATCGTGGAAACAAGGTTCCCCTGGATGATAAAAGCATTCAGTATTTTCTTTAGGATCATATTCTTTCAAGCAGCCCTTATTGGTGCATTTATGTTTTCCAGCAGGAGTAACAAAGATTTATTTTTATACTTAAGCTAAATTAGTAGAATTAGAAAGTGAAACCTTATTATTATTCTAGCAATTTCTTCTTTTCCGCTTCTTCTTTATTGTAGTCATCTATTTTTCTAACAGGCTGAGGAGCATTATTAGCAAAGTTATCAATTCCTAATATTCTAGAAATTGCAATAATACCTTTTTATGCATTCTCTACAGTCTTTGACTAATAAAATTCACTGCCTTCAGTAGCTTCAACATTGGTGTGTCTGCCAACTGCACATGGCTCTATTTTCATGAATTCATCCCAATCGTAGACTATCTTATTACAACATGTCCATCCTTTTTTGAGATCTGAAAAAATGGGTTTTCCAGGATGATGTCTGCATGCTTGATCATTATTTTCATTTTCATTGTAAGCTTTCTTACAACCATTTCTTTTACACTTAGTTTCCATTAATTAATAATTAAAAATAGTGAATTAATCATTAAATAATTATTTATGATTTAATCAACTCTTCATGATAGGTGTGTGTATGTAACTTAGTATAAGTCTGAAACTACCCTTGAATAGTTGAAATAAGCATTCTCTGAGTTCGGAAAGATCGAATAATTATAGCAAAATGCCAAGTCAAATGGAGTATTCATAGTATTTGATTCTCATGATGCAGGTACAAATTAATTTAATCAAATAGTGAAAAAAGCAACATCCAAGACAGTCACTATAGAAGGAAAGAACTTGGATGTCAATGAATACTTGGATATGGATAAATTGGATGAAGAGGCAAATATATTCATAGATGGATTAAGTCCCACAACTACCCAATTGTAAGTGAAAGAGAAATTATAAAAATATGGAAAGATCTTGAATATCAAAGTTTAGATGTCTGATAAGGCTGGAGTGGCCTATATCTAGTTTGAGTAAAGGAAATCCGCTGAACAATGTCTGGCAGATTAGGCAAATTTGGGATTGCATATCACAAGGTAATTCAATCAAATATACATCTAGAGCAATCAAGAAGGGTAAACTATAACAAATCAAGAGAGATTAACTGTTCATCTCTAATATCAAGTCCTAATAACCCTTGGATCAAATTAAACCATTGTTGGACAACTATTTCTCTGAATATGGCAAAATTGAATCCATCTAAGTCAATGTAAATCCCAAAAATCAAACATACTTTGCATTTGTTAGATTTGAAAATTCAGAAGATGCATATAAAGCAGTCAAAGCTTCCAAAACATTCCAAAACCAAACTATTACCATTTAATGGGCTGTCAATTCAAATGACAATATTGAAGCTAATCTATACACCAAAAACCTTAAACCCACAGTCACTGAACAATAACTCAGAGAAGCATATGAATCCATCGTTGTTCTAGATGATATTCAATTATTACCACCAAACAAATCTAATAAATTAACAGCTTATATCTATTTGAAATCTGCTGAAGATGGTAAAAAAGTCATTGATTTGGCTGTCAAAACTAAAAAAATATTTGATCTGTATGATAAATTGACTGTGCAAATCTCTCCAATGTTGAGTCCAGCAGAAATTATCCAATTCAAAAAAACACAATAGAAACCAGCCTTTTAACCTTATCCTTAACCCATTCCCTTCCCATACTAATAACCATTCTAAGGATATCCAAACTATCAAAACCCTCCCTATGGTGCTTATCCATAATAACCACCCCAATATCCTACTGGTTATCCTCCTCAATAACCCCCTTATTAACCAGGATTCACTCAATAATAAGGTAATTATAATCCACACAGACCTAAGAGAAATTAATACTCAAATCAATAATCTAATCAATATCATAACTAACAAAGACCACACCAACCAAGAATGCCAGACTTGTAATTCTTACAAAGTCTGTAAGCTTAAGGAAATGAGAAAAAAATCACTGCCATAGTAGGAGCAATCCTATTTCCTTTAGTTAACCAATAGGTTGAGTAAAAATTGGTAATTTATTTATAATATCTTTAGGCACCTCAAGTGACAGGAATTCTATTAGATTTTGAAAATTATGGATTGGAAGATTAATTTAAAATGCTTTAGGATGCAACTTATTTGAACGAGTAAATCAATCAAGCTGTAGATCTAATAAGAAAATCTTATTGAGTATATAAAATTAAATAAATGCAAATAAATATTTATTTCAAACTAATTAATGTCTTTATCTATTCAGTTCTTCTATTCATACTCATTTCTTAGATGTAATCTATTATTTAAAAGATAAATATTTCTATAAGAAAAGTATTATTAACAAAAAGAAAATTATGGAAAATGGTGTCAGTCTATATATATTAGATTATTTGATTGACCATATTAGACCAATAAATTATCCAAAAAACTGTTCAACTTGATATGCTTAATAAATTAAGTTCTAGAAATTGAAAATAATCATTATCTTATAATAGCTTCAAAGCTTTCAAGACTTGGGGATCGAAAGTTAGATCTGTTATTTTCTAATTCAGCTGTTAAAAAGGCATGCTTTTCTTGTAATTCGTAGTATTCTTTATTCAATTTAATAAACCTTTGTTTCCAAGAAGTCTCCTATGGATGAATTTTTGATATGTTCTATAAACTATTCTTTTTGGATAAGGCATCCTATTGAGTGTGTGAAACGGTTAGACTATTCATCAATTGAGAATTCTCTCTTAATAATTATAAAACTTGTCTTTCTAATTCTGTATGATCATGACCTTATGATTTTTTTAGATTTTCAATTTCAATTATCCTTTAACTAAATTTTGATCATTAGATTTTTACTTGTATGATTCTAACAAGATTTGGACTTATTAAGTTAGATCTTAAATCTATTTTTATATTTGGTTGGACAGATTATTCTGATTGATATCTAATATTAAATTTGAACTTACTTTCTTCTAATTACTAAATGTGTGATTTCATCATTGATATTTCTTAATCTTTGGCAAAAATGATTTTCTTGTAGTGAGATTCTCTTTGTTTATATAATTCTATTTATTTGTTAAATTCTTCGTTCTTTTTCATAGCACTTGCATTGTCAATACCAGAAGGAGTGCCAACACGTATTAATCTCCTTGGTGTTTGATTAATGGATGAATTAGATCGGGACGTTGAAATAGTATTATTATGCTGTTAAAACATTAAAATAAATTATCAAAATAACATGTATTCTTCGATATACATTAGAAGGTCATCTTCTTAATAAATTAGATAGGCTCTACTTAGAACATCTCTAATTGGTAGATTACTTGATTTTGGTAATTTAGTTTAACAAGCAATTAAAATCTGTCTTCTTTATGAGATTTGTTTTTTTTCAAGATTCTTGCCAATAGCAGTATTTTTGTTGCCTTACATAATTTTATCATAATTAAGTTTAGTCCATAATGATCTTGCATAGATGAGATTTCCTTAGGATTGATTCTTTAGGATGACTTCTCTTTAGATTTGAGCATCTGGTATGAATTGTTTCCAATCATACAAATAGTCATCATCAAACTGAGAGGATTCTTTGATGACTTCTGTTTAGACATTCTCAGCAAAGTATAATTCTAAGAACTTAGTCATTGAACCATCATGAAATAGAGTCAACCTTTGTAAGGGAGACAAGTTCTTATCAAATTAATGATATTGCATTATATATTATATATAATATATTCTTTATATTTTGTATTTATTTCAATATCATAAATTTGCTGCAATACTGAGTTTATTACAAGTATCTTCCAATAAACTGAGTAAATGTTCTTCTGATTATTCTCTATAAATTATGTGATTAATTATACCTTGTTTTCTTTTCTTGATCCAATTCTACTTTGACTCTATTGACGATATCTTTAAGCATTTCAAATATAGATTATTCACTTTCATCTCTATTTCTCTTTTCAACATTGATAAGATTACTCAATTTAACAAGTTCATCAGTAATGGATTTCATAACCTAAATGTTAGTATGTACTTACATTCTGATCAGACTCATCTCTTTCATTGGCTTCATTTCTGATGGCCTCTTAGATTTTGGGTAGATCATTTTATAATCCTTAATGGATTCCTTCAATAGAATCTACTCTTGCTGCTGTTTCTTTTTGTACTTCAGTTCTCAACAATGCTGTTTTATCTTCCAATAATCTCAATACTTTAGTTTCTCCTTCTTTTCTAGTTTATGTTTCATTTTGAATAGCATTTTCAAATTTCTTTTCTAATGCTTGAACTTCCCTGTTTTTAGTTTCATTGGCTTATTCCTTAGCCAATTTATCTTCTTCTACTTGTTTTTATAATTTGCCTAACTACACAGATATGGGTATATAAATTACTTGATCCCTTAATCCGTTCAATTTAGTAAAAATCTATTCTTAGAATTCATTGAAAGCATCTTCAGCCTATTAAATTCTTTATTCAGCTTATTCAAGTTTTTGAAATCTCTCATTTTCTACTCCAATTTAGATTGTGGATAATTTCTCTGAGATCTTTTGAATTCTGCCACTTGAAGGTGATGCTTAGGGATCTAAAAATGGTCAATTTAATTTGATACATGAGACTTAGGATCTTGAATTGTACATTATAATTAATAATAAATAAAATTTATTTATGAATTAATTTCAAAACATTCCCTTTTGAATTATTATTTATAAATATAAATCATCATTTAATACAATCTGATTTATTGGTAAAAGATGTAAGCAACTAAGATCGCTTAAAAATGATAGATGCCTTAGTAGAATCTTTATCTCTTGATCTTGAAGTGAATACATTACAATCTGATTCTTGTCTCTCTGTTTTACTACGATGTTCTGATTGAGCAATCAACGTTTTGGATTATATCTTTTTTAGGCATAATTACTTTAAATTAGATTTGCTCTTTCAATTTATTTTATAATAATTACTTCAATCAATTTGTTGATGTTTTCAGTGTTAATTTCTTAAACATTAAATTGAGGTTATATCATTCTACTTGCGAATTTTTCGAGTTGTCGATCAAGATATTCTTCGTTATCTGTTTTATTCTTTTTATGAAAAGATATCGACGATTGTGATTATACTTTGAGGAGATTTGGAGTGTAATTATCGAATTATTTAGACATATGGTAGGATTTATCTTTTAATTGAAATTTCATTTTCAAAGTATCCGTAACATTTCTGCTTGTTTACCCTATAAACTTACAAGATTTTTTCAGCAATTTGTTCCTGCTTCTAGGAGTCGGATCTTCATCATTGGTTGTTTTGTTGTATAGCTTTTCAGGTAGCTTCTCTTTGATTCTAAATTGAGATGCTTTTAATTGATTGAATGCTTTGAACCTTTCTAACAATGTAGGTTATCTCTTATCAGCTTAAATAAGTTCTTGCAGCAATTCTACGAATTTCACACCATCTTTCTTAAAGTACTGCAATGGTTTATTTCTTTGTCTTTATAACTATTCCTTTGCTATCTAAACTCTTTCTTTAAAATCTGGATCCTGAACATTCAATCTATATTTTTGATTTAGTTCCTTGTAAAATTTAGCTAAATTCTTCATCTGATACTTAAAATCGTTGGTGAGCATCCTCTCATTATTCTCCAATTGCTATTAGATCTCATCATTCTCATAATCCAAATTCAACTGTTTTTGATCTGCAATTGTATCCTTGTTCTAATAAAACACTTCATACCCTACATTCTGCCAACCATTAATGCATTTCTAATTATTATTTGATCAATACTTCTCTCTTCTGAACAGGAACAAGGATTCTACAAGTGGCTGGTCCATCTTATTCAATTGTTGTATCCCATTTGCATACTCGTCTCTTAGCAGAATTGCATGGCAACACCCTTATCACACTTTCACATACTTCATAATTCTTACATGATTAAGTAGATACAAATATGTTGCTGCCTTTGTTGGAGATAGATAGATGTCCTTCTATTGAATACCACCTAATTTTTAACACTCTCTGAAATATGGTGTCTTATTATAATTAAAATAATATATACAATACCTCCTCTCTTTATGTCATATAATAAATTAATTAAAATTCATTATTATTTACAAAATATGTCTTTTTCTATTGACACTTCAGGACATAATTAAAAATAATATATTTCAAAATGAAATACCTTAAAATGATTGATATATTCGGTGTCTAATATAAACCACAAATCTCCTTAGATGAAAAAGAGTAAAAGTCTATCCTCAGTGGAATATGTTCAATATTAGTATTAGTAGCTAGTTTTAGCTATTTTATCTATGTAATGAATGAATGGTGGAGTTCCAAAATCCTACCAAATTCAACCAACCTCATGAAAGTTTAGAACTACTCTCAAATTTTTTATAATGAAGATGCCTTATTTGAATTTTGCTATTGGAAGTATAGCAACGAGTAGGTAGATCCATTCAGATTCTAACGTAACATATTAACTCCTATTGGAATCTATTTTATTAATGGTATTCCATAAAAACCATTTTCTCTCTTAGATTAGTCACAAACAATTTCCCCCTATAATACAAGTCTTTTAAGAGTTGACAATCTATCCTTAGTTCAAAATAGTGGTTTTGATAACGATTTGAATGATACAACCGAACTTATGATAGTAATCACTTCTTGTAATGCCACTCTATTTGATATTGGATATGAGTGTGCATCTGATGAAGAAATTAAAGAGTTCTTTGAAAAATCTGTTAATTATATCAGTTTCTGGTTGAATTTAAAGTAGTATGATCCATATTCATAAAAGTTCTAGGCAGTGAAGAAATAATATTATTTAACCTTTGATTCTCAGATCTCTCATTAGGGTTAATTGATATTGACTTAAACATAAGCTACTATAGATACTGGCATTTTATTCAGTAGTTCTGAATCAAAAAGCTTTATCTACAATGCCTAGTTAATAACAAGTGCAACAACTAATCAATTTTGGTCTACTCTATTAGTTAAGAACTCATATCTTAATCTATTTATTCGTCTTGATCCGATGTCAATTGATACTTAGATTGTATATCCAAAATTAGGTGAAATACTAGCTTAAGTGGGATCAATAATGAGTATATTAATGACTATTTAATATCTGCTTAATTATTACAACGAGTAATTATTGGATTGCGATCTTGTTGATAAGGTTTTGGGTTTTTACTTTTTGGATTACATTGAATTGAAGAAATCTAAAGATAAGAAAGACCTAAAAATATGCAAAGAATTGATAGCATAAGCAAAAAAGAAACTAGTATATACTAATATCATCTATGAATTGTCTAGAATTTAATTGTTTCTAATAAATCATTTCGGAAGAAATCAGCTATATCATACGCATTAATATGGAATATAGGCAAAAGAAGAAATAAAATCTAGTAATTGTGGGTAGGTGTTTGATAATTCAATTACTATGATTAAGGTTGATGTGAATAGAGGATAGATTGAATGGCATTTTAGTAAAGAAGATTTCAATTTATTAAGTAGAGGCAAAGCAAATATGTTCAAGAATAATGAAGATTTAGTGAGAGTATATTAGGAGGTGGATAGTGCTTCATTCTAATCCATTTAATTATGAATGCAGAGATATTTGAATAATTGTTGATTTTAGAATTTATAGTCAAATAATCTTGTCTTCAGTTTAATATGTATATCCATCAAAAAGCATTTGGATTTCTTTAAATTTAAGTTACTTCAATTATTCGTTAAATATTGTTTGCTGTGAATCACTAGTCTTTTGACAGGGTCTATTCCTATCTTCTTATTTAGGTTGATAAGGAGCAATCATAGTTTTGTTTATCAATTTTTCCCATTAAAATGACTGGAATAATTTGTGATTTTTAAGTTCTTTGATCCCATTTTAATAACCCAATCGATTTTGTTATTTTCTCACTAGCAATTTATTTGTAAATTCAATCAGATTGAATGAATACTACAAATACTCTTTGGCATTTAATTAAGCTTATTTGCCTAGCATTTCATCACGTATTTCTTTTTTAGTTCTACCAAGATATGGTCTTTTCCCAGTTATCATTTCATAACAAATAACTCCTATTGCATAATAGTCTACACAATAATTGTAGTTTTATTTTAGAATTATTTCAGGTGCCATATATCCAGGAGTACCACTAGTTTCATTACTATTTTCACTTTTATAATATCTGGCTATTCCAAAATCTGTTATTTTCAGATATCCTTTACAATCCAATACTAAATTTTCAGGTTTGAGATCTCTATGAATAACTTGATAGGAGTTTATGTATTCTAAGCCAAGAATTATGCAAGCCACAAAAAATTCTATAATAGTGATATCTAAATACTAATTTATTCTTCTCTAAATGTTTTATTGAGCAATAGATGATATCGAAGATCGCCTCCTGATAGATAATCGAGGATTAGATATAAGTGATCTCTATCTTAGAAGGATCCTACCATATTGATAATAAAAGGATTTTTTAGTTTTTATAACAGTTGTTTTTCATTCATAACTGATTTGACAGATTTTTTAGCTAAAATTCTCAATAGGTTAAGAAGAATACTTGGTTTTTTTGAGTTCTTTCATTGCATAAATCATTCTAGTTTTTTTGGATTCAACCTTCCAAACATTCCCAAATCCTCCCAATCCGATAATATAATGGAATATAAAATTATATCTGAACTTCTATTAGATTTTCTATGTTTAGAGTTCTGAGGTGGCTTGTGTGCTATCCTAGATCTTAGTTAAAATGAATTGGAAGTACCATGATAACAGTACTAGTGAGATTCAAGAGAGGTCTTTTTTGGGATGATGAATTGATCTCTTGGAGACCCATATAGAAAGATCGATTGAACCGTTAATTGGCATTTGGACTGTGAATTCGAGGTTGGGAGAGGTTGATTTCGAATTATTTAGGCTTGATGATTTCTCTATATTGAAGTTAGACTCTTTTGGGCAATTTGGATCCAATCCTAAAGTTTAGGCATGATGGAGATACTTCTCCCATTGGGATTGTCCAATATTGTTTAATTTGGTCTGGCTCTCTTGATCAATGGAGAGCTTGAGTTTCTATTCAGAGATGCTCTTACATAATATTGCTAAGAGTGATGCTAAATATTAGATACAATTTTGGATGGGGTTATGAAAACTAGGACTTCTATTCAGATAAGGTTTTTGGTTGTTGATTTGCTTATTTAGAAAAGGATCAATATATGATTTATATTGCATTATAAATTATAAATAATCATTTAACCTTTTACAATTTACCTTCAATCCATTCTCCCTCTATTATACAATTTGATTTTGTTAGTGTTCCATGACCATTCCACTTATCATTCTTCCAATAGCCTTCATATTTTTGATTATTCTCCCAAAAATATTTGCCATATCCATTTTTGTAGTCGTAAACATAATTGCCTTCGTATCTTCTGCCATCACTCCATTGAAAACACCCTTGCCCATGAAAATAATTATTCACAAATTCCCCTTTATACCAACTTCCATTTTCCCATCTCAATTCTCCCATTCCATTCAAACAGTCCTATTTGAACATTCCTTCGTACTTGCTCCCATCATTCCAAATATAGATTCCAATACCCGATTTTACGTTTTAGTCGAAATTCCCAATATATTGACTTTCATCATCATAATACTCCTTCCCAATACCAATTTTCTGATCATCACACCAATAACCCTCATACTTATAGAGATCATCCACCTTATAAATACCATAACCATTCAACTAATTGTTCTTCCATTACCCTTCTATCACCAGATTATTACTCACAAACTTTCCATTTCCATCTATTTCATCAGCCTTCCAGCTGCCTTCATAATAAGTTCCATCTAAATTGCTAGATCAATATATCTACCTTTCCATACTAATACGCCCAAACCATTTCTTTTATTTCCATTCCACTGTCCATTATAAATTATGTCATCGTTATAACTAAATTAGGCTCTTCTAATCTAATCATCTTCATGACTAAACTCATCTAATGTTGGAAGATTCTCGAGATATATTTTATGCATTCCCAACACTGGAGATTTCTTAACATAGAGTATAGGTGCATGTCTAATCTTTAAATCTTCCAGGTATTAAATATGAGTAGATTAACATATACCCATTTCAATCAAATAATATTAAAAAAGTAAGAATTTAATTCAAGACACTTCTAATATTATATATAATAACTTAGTCTATATAAAAATTTATTAATTAATTTAAAAAATGTATGATCATCAATTCCAATATTGGCCCATATTCCAGGAAAACGACTAGACCAAAGCATTCTGGAATAAAAAACTATAACTCAACATTACTCAATCTATCATTTCATAGTTTACTATGAATCGAATAACTTGGAAATGTAGTAAGCCCACTGAATATCAATTTCTATTGAATCATGAAGGGTTACTATTTTACTAACATCATAACAAAACTAAGGGGTACATCTAACTCAATCATGATATCAGTCTTAAAATCATTGACCTTAAAATTTCTAATAAAAAATCTGATCTTATAAAAGTAATCAGAATCAAAAGAACCAAAGATATATTCATTTATATTTGGAATAATGATTAGTAAAATTATTAACTATCTCTTCTCTAGAAAATCTACCTTTTAATTCTTCAAGAACCTTTCTTAATTCTCCTTTATCTAAAATCTGGATTAAGTCTATACATTCTCTGATGTCATTGCTAAAGGTGGATTTTCCAAAGTCATCTAACTCACTCCAAACATTCGTCTCCCCAATTAACCACTCAATTACGCAGGCAAAATTTATTATAGAGAAGAACTGATTTAAAAGAAGGATTCATAAAAATTTCATAATTTTATTCAATCAGAATGTTACGTGCTTAGGAAATTGAATTCACCATACATCATTAAACTATTCGAAATCATATAACTTGACGAAATGCTAAGTAAATATCAGAATAACATGATTATAGTCTTAGTCACAGAGTACATCAAAGGAGGCTCCTTGTATTAGTACTTAAAGGATAAGAAGAAGTTAACAGAGGTGGAATCCACATAAATCCTACTTAAACTTACTATTGCTCTCTAGTGTGTGCATGGTATTGGCTATGTTCATAGAGATATTAAATTGGAAAATGTATTAATAGATAAAGATAATCTCAAACTGATTGACTTTGGTTTCACTGAGAAAATATCGAGAGATAGATTGTAAAATGGGTAAGGCACAGCTGGTTATATAGCACCTGAAGTATTTCTGAGATAACCATATCTAGAGGTTGGAGATGTTTTTAGTTTAGGTATAATATTTTATTCCATGTTATGTGGAAGAGCACCATTTCGATCAAATACATATGATGGATTATTGAAATTAAATAAAGAATGTTAAATCGACTTTTCGGAATCTAAATTTCTTAGTGTCAGTTAAAAAAGTATTTATTTACTGAAAGCTATGTTATAAAAATAACCAGAAAACAGAATCACAGTTTAGGACTTATTGGCTCAATTATAAGCCTAAACATTAGTTTCCCATTTTGGTAATTTCGTTTCTACTCAATCTATTGTTGAGGGTTCTGTGGGTATGAGTTTTAATTATTTGCAATCCAAAAACACTTTAAAATCATTTTATTAATAAAGTTAAAATTCGGTAAGTGAACATTCAAGTCAATTGTCAGAATATAAATAAAAGAAAAGAAGATTCAAAAGTTAGAGTATGGATAAAAAAGGGCATTTTCTAAAGCAATCCTCATTCAAACCATCACTTAAGAATATCTATTAAATGAGAATTGAATAAAGCAATGAAGACAACTTATCAAGTGATAATTAGGAACAACCAATCCAAGAATAAAACCTTTATTTTTTATAATTTTCTTATTATTAATTAAATAGATAAAAATTTGTATGATATTCAATTAAATTAACTTCATAAATAATAACAAAAACTAAATTAAATATTTTAATCCCTTATGCTTCAATTTCCAAATACCCAAATTCTACCTTATTGAAAATATTGTTATAAATTAGTTTACTGCTAATTAGTTACTCTTGATATTCTCAATTACAACAAATACTTTTGAGATTTCTTAATAGAAGAAAGTAATTTTCGGATACGCATTTAATATATAGTAAATTCTCTAAAAAAGAGACAAAACATTTTCTATTTTTTTTTAATCTCATAAAAATTATGTTCGTAAGACTCAATAACAATCTAAAGATTGTGTGCTCTTATAGATTGATTGTATAATTATACAACATGATCTAGTACTTAAAACTTGGTAATTTTTCAAACCTTTCCCATTTTTATAAATCAACAGCTAACTTAGACCTTATGATTATTCTTAAAATGTCTTACTTGTAATCTCGTAATCATATTGTACATAATGTATCAGCCATTTACAAATTATACAAGAATAACTATCTAATGAATTTATTATTCTCAATAACACTTATTTTACATTTATTAATGAATAGAATAAGAATATATTCGTAGCGTAATCGTTACAATAGTATTGATGAAAGCAAATTCAAATCTACAACCTATCGACCAATTCAAGAAAAAAATCTGTAATTGATAAATAAGAATACTCTCATTCTTTACATTAACAGAATATGTAAATATATTCAAGAATTACAATAATATAAGAATGAAGGATATATAAGGAATATTCTTAACAAAATATTTACGTCAACATCGAATTTTCAAGATATCTAAGAAATATTTAGCATTCCTGTTGTTCATCTAAATCGTGATATTTTACTGAATAGAACTATTCACTTCATAAATACTCTATAAATCAAACCATCCTAGTAAACCTTGTATTTATAAAATTTTATGAAATGGTTCGCCTATTTTGATGAATTACTATATAGCGAAATGGAAAAAATACATGAACATTATCTCTGTGGTATACAAAGTAAGATAGTGGATTAAATAAAACTTAATAAACTTAAATAAGTTGAATTAAAGCGAACTTTAAATCCAAAGAAGAAAGAAATCATTTAATATATAAACTAATTTTCTATAAAACCAATTCATAAATAATTTAGTTCTGTCTAATCCATCGAGTAATACGAGAATAAATTTGGAGAATTTGACCTCATATCGTCATACTCTAGAAATTATGCTAAATAACTTGACAAAATTAATCTAGATCTTAATTAATATTATTAATGATTAGAATACAATTTGATTTTATTAATGAATATATATAATATAAATATTTATAATTTTAATACTAAATACTATGCTATTTTTGATATCAATAGTGATTATGAATTTAATTCAATTAACATATTAGGTTTGCTAGGATTATCGTATCAAAGAAGATTAGATATTTTATTCTAAATACAGTTCATCCATCATGATAGAGTCAGATGGTAAAGATATTTAAAATGCTGAAGTCAGAATTAATCAAAATTTGATTGAAAAATCATTTACGATGAAATTATTTCCACCAGGTAAGGTAATTCAATCAAAGGTAATGGAAACTTTAGATGATTCTTAGAAATTTAAAAAATGGCTATGTAATTTAATTCAATATTCGAATTACTTTATATCACATATTCAAATATATTTGAAAATAATGATGCAAGTTATGAATAAGCATAACCCTTTGTGGTTGAGATTAATTCTAATCCTGGAGAAATCTGTGAGGAGTTCTTTAGGAATAAAAATAATTCATTTGTTGTTTTCTGTTACTCCCAAACATATGTTAATGTGTATGCTGTATTTTTTAAGAATAATTCAACTTAGCTTTTATACTAATATAGTTTAGCCAATCTAAATATAACTTAATGCAAAAGGACTTATTTTGAAATATAGAATTTCTAATTCTTATTGGCTTTTCATTAATGTGAGAACTGGGTTATTATAAATTTAACTTTGAACCAAATACTATTAAACTAAACTACATTCTATTAAATAAATATTGGATATCAAATTAAATAATTATTCGACATTTTATATTGTTCCTAACGTTCACCTTATTTAATGTTAGTTGAAGATAATTTTTATTTATAATTTAATCTTTCTCATTCATAGATATATTTAAGTTAAGTATATTAGGGAAAGATCAAAAAACTGTTACTAAATAAGTAATGTTAATTCCAATAAATTTTCACTTAGTCGAATTCAGGATAAATTTATATTTGGCAAACTGAATTAAGAACTAACTTCAACTCTTCTTATGAAATGAATTATATTAATGGTCGTTTATTTATTTATAATGAAAAAGAGATCTCTTTAATATTAACACTTGACATTAACTATACAATATAAATACCAAATTAATAAATCAAATTCATCCAATCTCTTAGTTACTTTTATTAAATTGATGAAGAATTAAATTAAATGTAATTCTATAAGTATCATCTAACTCAACCTTTCATTAAACCCAAAAAGCAATTCCTTTATATTTTCAGCATACAGAGTTTTGCTTTAAATTTAATAATGTGTTATAAGATTGTGAAAATTAAAGAAAATGAAGAAAGTCTTTGTTAAATGGACAGTTTAATACAAAATTATTGCTAACCACAAGCCAGGTTTATTTTTTAGAAATATGTGAAAGTTAATGATATCTATTATGAAATATAAGCTCCAATATCATTAGAAGAACAACCTAATAGCTTAGATAGTTTTTACTCAATCTATTAATGTAAACCATTCTTCCATAAACTTAATTATACATTACTAGGCTTTGAAAACACATCAGCCTTGTTTCTAAAGAATGATATTCTTAAATTTACATCTTGTGATTAGAAATGTCAAGATTTATCAATTAATATATAAGGTATGAAGTTAATTAAAAAAAATAATGTGTTTTGGTTATTTAAATTAGGGGTAAATTCAGCAAGAGTTTACAAATTTGATCATAATTCTTGTTTGTCAATGTAAATATAGTAACTTGAATATTCTCCAGATAAAATAATTTAATTTGGACTCACATTGCTTTTATTTTATAAAGACTAAATTCCAATAATTTTTAATCTAAATCAAAATAATACATATTAATTAAAATAATAAATGTATTAAATACCAGAAGATCTATTTTTAAATGAAAATATATTGTTCTATAAAGATAATTCTAAGTTAAAAGCTATATAATATTAAACTTTGTTTGTATTATAATAATGGTAAGTAGAAGAATAAGTCCATTATTTAAGAATTTATGATGTATAAATAATTAATATGCTGCCATTTGGTTTTGGACAATAATTGATTGGTATACATCAATCTTTAACCATCCTGTTTTGTTATTATCTAGAAGACTTTGAGATACAACACTCTGAAAATATAACTTACAAGGATTATACTTTTGTTAGACCCTTTGTTTACTAATTTTATACGAATTTTGTAGGTTTGCTTGCTACTAAGTCAGAACAAATGTATATATTGGTTCTTGCAATTTAGTGGTAAGATGAAATTTAATGGATTTCAAGTATTAAATGTAATAGTAAGCATTTCTTTTTTCAAAATTCTAAATTGGTATACTAAGATGAAAATAACTAAATGAGAATATCAAATATCTTAGAAATTGAACTCTAAATGAACAATTTAAATTCTACTCAAAGTAAATTGGTAGAATATAAAACATTCCCTATTTAACTTAATTCTTAAATTACTGGTAAATCTATAGAATGCCAATTAAATTTAAAAGTTGAAAATAAGTGTCATTAATTACAACTTAAGAACTTTATAGAAAATAAGTTAGTAAGTAGAGATATAGTATTGGCTAACTATTTTTATGGTCAAATCTTTTCTGCATTCATATCTAAGAATAATAATTTAATTTTACGAGGACCATTTCTTAGAATTCAAAAATTATTAGAATGCAAATCTAAATCTGAACTTAACTGCATTTTAAAAACAAAAATTCAAAATGAAATCGAATGCTATTTCGTAGCTTTAGATAAATATATTCATCATATAACTTGTAAATTTCTTAATTCAACTTTCAATAACAATAATATGTAAATAATTTAGATTTCAGACTATTAATTTATTTAATTTTGGTAGAATGATAATATACAATATTGCTATTATAACATTTTTTTTTTTGATATTGAAACAGGATCCTTTGTATCGGAATCTAGTAATAGTATAGAAATTACGAGTAATAATGCCAATCCATTTCTGGTCAAAAAACTTGGGAAATTGATAATTGTCCAGATTGGGATTCAGCAAGAATTATTCTTCTTTTAATTTAACTCATTATTATCAATATAGTCTAAGTTGGAAATTAACAATTCAATCACATTTGACGACAATGAAAATCTTGTTCTTCAGATGAAATTCGTTAGAACTTCAATATCATTCTAAATTTTATTATCTATACTACAATTAGAAGGAACCAGCAATTCAATACTTGGCATAATCACTTTGGATTACCTTTAACTTTAAGATCTTCTAATAAACTTAATGCCTGTTTAGCCTATCTAAATTATCGAAATTTTAGCTGAGAGCAGCTTTGCCCTGTTAAAATGTAAGTTTGAATAGGAATCTATTTATGTTTAAATCAGCTAAATAATGTTTGAATATTTGTTAATCTATAAATTATAATTTAATAAATTATATTAATTGGAAATAGGAAATGTTTCTAAAATACTTAGGCAATGTGATCATATCAATATCCTACTTTACTTGGAGAATTAAACATTAATTTGCAATAGAGCTATTTACGATTTGAGATTGGAAAAATAATTTTATGATCCTACTTATTAAATATTAATGTAACAGGATGATAAATTTCACTTTTTCAATACTACTCATCAAATACTTGAATCGATACACGATTCTGAATTTTATTTTGGAAAATTTGGGTATGAAATCGAATAGTAAAAAGTAGAAAAGGAATTTGAAAAATTCAATTTAGTCGCAACCACTCACTTACAAACTATAGAAGTTGAATTAATACTAATTAATAAACTAGAAACAAAAGGGATGTTTATTTATTTTATTTTAATATTGATTGGGCTTGTAATTTTAATTTTAGTTATTATTTATTTAATCAGAAGATAAAGATTGAAAATTAAAATTTACATAAGGAGTCCATTTTGAAAATTAATATCTATCTATTATTAATGAGTTATTTAATTTAAAAAATATGTATTTTCAGATATAATGAGAGACTTATCACCTACAAATTGTTGATTCTTTGTTTATGTATTTGATTATTATTTTTGTGTATCAATAAGGAATGATTAATTACCCAAAAATAACAAATATAATTTAAATATTTGAACGATTTAAACGATGAATGAGTATTTTTGAATGATTATTTGAGAAAAATTAATTTCAAGGAGCATCCAAAAACAATCCCAATGTGATTATTAATTATTTAAATTTAATAAAAATGCCTCTAGAAGCAGCCGTAGTAGTTTTGGATAACTCAGAATTCTCTAGAAATGGTGACTTAGAGCCATCTAGATGGAATGCTTAGCAAGAAGCCATTGAATTGTATATTAATGTAGTTATTGATTCAAACATGGAAAGTGGAATGGGATTGATTTTAGGAGGTGGTAAATAAGTGAGATTGTTGATGACTCCTACAAATGATAGAGATTTAATCTAGGGATAATTCCATAAAACGAGATTAGAAGGTATGCAAGTAAATTTAACAATTAGGCAATTTAAAGTTTTCTGTTGCAATTCAATAGGCATAATTGGCTTTGAAACATAGAATCAATAAACAATAGCATTAACGTATAGTGGCATTTGTTGCAAGTCCAATTGAAGAAGAAGTAGATACTTTAGTCAAGTATGACATAATTTAAATTATTACAGTCTTGCAAAAAGGTTAAAGAAAAACAATATTGCAATTGATTTAATCAATTTTGGAGAGTAGAATGAAGATCATCTGAAGAAATTGAAAACATTCTTTGATAATGTATAGAAAGGATAATCTTCAAAATACATTAATATTTTACCAGGAATGAGTGCCACAGAAACCCTATTTTCATCCTTAGGAAATAATTCGGATTTTCAAGCTGAACCTGGATAAGAGCAATAAGCTCCCTAATAACGAACAGGTGGATAATTCTCTGAATATGGTGGAATCGATCCAAATTTAGATCCAGAACTAGCCATGATAATGAAAATGAGTCTTGAAGAAGAAGCTTAAAGATTATAATAACAATTAACATAACAATCATAACCTTAACAATAATAATAATAACCTTAGTAATAATAATAATAATAATAACCTTAACAAACTTAATAATAAAAGGAAAAGATATAAGAAGAAAAGGTAGAAAATGGCATTGAAGAAGAGAATGATGAGTTATTAGAGTAGGCCAGATTATTGAGTATGTAAGAAGAATAGCCTGAACAACCAGAATAACCTAAATAACCCAATTAAAATGCATAACCATAAGACCAGAACACTTAGAAGTAATCCTTTAATTTATTCTAGTTAATTATTCCAAGATTAAGACTTCCTTGATGAATTATTAGATGATGTTAATAAGGATGAAGAATAAGAAGGTCTCCTCAAAAAAGATAATGATAAATCTAAGAAGGATTGATACAACATATAATATAATATAAACGACTTATATAATATAATTGAAAATAATGATACAACATCAATTATTTAGAATGATTATCAACAAGTTAGTTTAATTTATATTAGTATTTATTCTAAATGATTAATAATGGAATTTTTAGACCAAAGAGACTACCTACTGCAACAACAAGAATAAAATCATCATCGAAACCAAGTATTGATTCATTGATGTTTAACAACATTCAGAAATAAAGTGTAATGTGTGATTCATAATACTTCAAAACGTCAAGAAAAACTACTCGGCTTTAAACATCCTTATAATTACCTAGTAAAGATGCATTATTTGAATTGCCTTTGTATTCAAATGATGAAGAAACTAAAGAGTCTAAAAATAAAGATGTCTATTATCATACCAAAAGGAAATTATTCAGCAATAAATATTCAACCACAATGCCTACTCACATGAGTACTTAATAATCAATTATTAAATCTCAACCATTAATTCAATCTGTAACAAAAAGAACTACTAAAACTAATAATTCAGTTACAAAACGTGTGACCAAATCATAAACAATAGAAGTTGTAAATTAATAATAAGTTCTTCAACCTAATCCGATTAATATAAATGAATTGTTCTCTTAAATTTAATAAATAAGATAACCACCTCAATTATTATAATGCGATTTAGACAATTTTAGAGCAACCAAAAAAATATTGCAAATAAATCCTGAAGAAATAAAAGCACTCTATGATGAATTAGCACATTTAGATGTTAAATTCATGAAAATGACAACAGACACTGAAGTTTTTATACACAATTTATATGCTGACAAAAATAAGTTCCTCAAAATAAAAGATAATTTGTTAACAGAACAAGAATTAATATTTCTAACTGATTAACTAAAGAGTAAAAGAGAATTGCTTGAATAAGGCTAACCCTTTGATGGTATCAATTTTGATGAAATAGATAAAATTGTATAAAAACTCATATTTTTTGAAAGATTTACTAAATCCACAAGAATTAATCTAGTCAAACTCGGTCAGTATATTGAAGTTCCTCCAGGAGAATATGTATTTCATTAAGGCGATTTTGGGGATAATTTATTTGTTATTTTATCAGGTAGTGTAGTAGTTAAAATCGAGAAGAAATTCGACTAATTTGGCCCTGTGATTGAATAGGTAGTATCATCTCTCTATGATGGCTAACATTTCGGAGAGTTAGCAATGATGGAAACTACCTAAAAGGGATCAGAGGAAGTTCTAGAAGAAAAATTAGAGAATATCAATGTAAAATCTCTCAAAGAAGTCAAGGAGTAACTCATTAAACAACAACTCAAAGATCTAGGACACTAAGATGAAGCCTTCTAAAAATAAAAGATTAAAGAATTACAGAGACAAAATACTAATATAATTAATTTGGTTAAGGAGGACAATGTTAAGGAAAAACATTATATAATGAATCTAGCCAATGATGATGAATTAGGGCATTCCTCTGGTTTGACAAAATCTAATAATATTCAGTATAAGAAAGTTGAAAAGGTTTAATAAAGAAAAGCCTCCATTTAAGCTAGCGAAACTTGTCATCTATTGGCTATTAGCAGAGAAAATTTCAAAAATATCCTTATGGTTTTAATGTAAGATGAATTAGAACAGAAAATCAAAATGCTCAAATCCTTGAGATTCTTTAAATAAATTCAGCCCTTTGTTTTAATACCATTAGCAAATTAATTAATACCACAAAGATTCCATCTCGATGAAGTTTTAGTCAAAGAAGGAGACCTCCTAGAATACATGTACATTATATATAAAGGATCCTGTAATGTTATTCGAACCATAAATACTGATAGAATTAAATTACCAGAATATTTTAGAAATAGGCAGCACAGAAAATCCTACAGATATTATAAAGAACATCCTATTAAGATTACTCGCAATTAACCTGAAGATTACTTGTCTTGCTTAACATAAGATGGAGATATCACCTATAAAATTCCAGATTATGCTGTTTGTAATAGTAATAATGGATATATCTAATATTAAAAGAGTTATATTTATAAAAAATTGTACCCTGGTGATATCATTTTTGGGAGAGTTTTAACAGGATTAAGACTTGAAGGTGATAAAGGTACAGACAGAGCAAGAATGACTATAGTTAGTTCATCTAGTACTACAATTGTTTATAAAATTAGCTTGAAACTAATATAATTTTGCCCAGAATTTTTGATTGAACATCTGACTAATTAACTTTTGACCTACAAAGAAGTTGATCTGATTGAAAAATCAGAATTAAATTAAGAAATAAAATCAATATATTCTAAAAATTAAAACACAATCAAGGATTAAGCATAACTACTCTAGGAAATTGAAGAAAAGCAAAAGAAAAACTAGACTTGCAAGAATATTATAAAAGGACAAACTAATAAAAGCCTCAGAATGAGAAAAAATAGGATCTACTAAGTCACATGGGGAATGATTTAAAGGAAAAGGTTGATGAGTATTGCGGATAATAAGTCTTAGCTGATATT